TATAGTAAGAAGCCTAACGCTCTTACCTATTGCTCTTAGAACTAGCTTGCTTAGAAGAAAGCAAGACAAGCTTAGAAACAGACTCTACTGCGTCCTAACCTATTCTAAGAGCCTGTAGCAATTAGATTAGTAGAGACAGATAGATCTATCTAGTAGATTATTAATAATAAGTACTATTCTATAGGCGATAGGCTACCTAAAGACCTGTTTATTTAAGAAACGCTAAAGCTGTTACGCAATAGCGCACAATAGTCTAAGATAGTTACACTTAGTAACTACAAAGACTATAAGAGTCGCCTCTACTATCGCAACAAGTTAGTAATACCTAATAGCAACAAACTTAAGATTAAGATTCTGCGAATAGTCTACAATTCTCTATTAGAAGACTACTCTAGCTAAGAGAAAACACTTAAACTAATCTAGCGGGAATACTACTAGCCCTAACTATTTAAGACTATTTGCTATTATATTTCTTACTACTATGTCTACTAACGTTTAAAGGCTTCTTGTAAGAAGTACTATAGCCTGCTAAAGCTGCTACCTATATCTAAATAACGTTAGGTAGACATCTCTGTTAACTTTGTTGTTAACCTGCTAGAATCTAAAGAATGCAAGAACATTATAGTTATAGTAGACCGCCTATCTAAGTACTAATACATAATTCCTTGTAATAAGATAGAGGCTTCTAACGTAGCACGTATATTCCTGCGCTATGTTTAGTGTAATTATAGCCTCTCTAATACAATAGTCTTAGACTATAGTAGATAGTTTGTATCTGCTTTCTATAATAAGCTGTGTGCTTAACTAAGAATAGACCCGCGCTTCTTAACTAGCTACTATCCTAAGATAGATAGATAAATAGAGAACGCTAACACTACAATAGAACAAGTTCTACGCGCGTACACGAACTATTAATAAAACAATTAGGTTTAATAGCTCTCTACTACTTAGTTTAAAGCTAATAATACTATCTCTAAGTCTACTAGAGTAACTCTAATAATGGCTTACTATAGTTAGAATCTCTAAATAGGCTTTAAGCCGCCTACTAACAAGATACGTTCTGCCTACTAAGCTCTCTAAGCACGTAAGGTAAACGCAATAGTAGATAAGATACGCAATATTACTAAGTTTATCTATAAAGAAATAATATAGGCTTAAGCCCTATAGTAAGAGTACGTAAACTATAAACGCCTACTTGCGCTAACATATAAAATTAGCGATAAGGTATAGTTAGACACGCGTAATATCTAAACGCAATAGGCATCTAAGAAGCTTAATTAGAAGAATCTTAGCCTGTACTAAGTAGCTAAAAAGATCTCTTTCTACGCATACTGTCTTAAACTACCTAACTCTATAAAGATATATCTAGTATTTTATGTATTCTTACTCTAGCCTGCTGCACTAAAATAGAAGTACCTGCTAGAACAACTTATTCCACCGCCTAAACCCGTTATTGTAGACAACAAAGAAGAATACTTTATAGAAAGTATTAAAGACCTCTGCTATAATAAGCGTTGTAGGCGACACAAATACTACGTTAAATAGACAGGCTATAATAAGATAACCTAGGAACCTACTATAGACCTAAGAGATAACGCAGCTATTACTAGTTTCTATAAGAGGTTCCCTAACATCTTAGAGCTACCTAATGTAAAGCAAGACTACTACACACTATATAATCTCTACTCGCAGGAGCTTAAGAGTAAGAGAGGAGTACTATTATAGTAACTACTATAGTTCCCCTAACACCTAAACACATAGATTTTGGTTAGCTCGCTAGACCACCTAAAATCTGTTAATTAGCTAGCTAAGGCCTAAGCGCCGCGTATAGCCCTAGCTATATCTTTTACTACTTTTACACTCTGCTCTGTTCTTTACACAACGTCTTGTATTACACTAGATATTATACGTAGCTATAATTAACGCTTCTTGTAAGCTCTTAAACACGTGCTTATAGCGTCTTGTAATATAAAGCTTGCGCTAGAAAGCACAAACTTACCTTAGTGTAGATACTAGACGTACCTAGAGCAAGATTAAAATTGTAATTATATAACTATATCTATTACTACTCTATACGCGTTCTTTAAGTAGCTACTTATCTACTCAAGAGAAAGAAAGGTAGAAAACGTTAAGAGACTAAGTTAGCTAGTTCTTTAGAGACGTATTAGAAGGTTTTTCGCCTAGTGTATAAAAGAGCAACTAGTGCAAGACTAGACAGCAAAATAAACTAGAGCATGCATAAGGTATGTATAGCTAGACTTTTCCCTTAGTATTATAAGCATAACTATCTAACATAATTAATAGGTACTAAGAAAGCTAGTAAAAGAACACAATCTAAAGAAAATTAGCTAGAATAAGGCCTACATGTATGTTAAGAATCTAGCGCGAGTGCTGTAAACAAACCTAGCAACAACTAGAAAGAGATACCTCTATAGACGCTATTAGATACAAGCCTAGCTTTATCTATAACTAGGTAGATTTACAGCGAATTAACTCTAGGCTCTTCTTAAACTTTGCTACTAGCATATACAGATTACGCTGCTGCGGGATTCTAAGAGTAGCCCTTATTAAGTATTACTAGAGTTTACCTTTAAATTTACAAAGAAGTTCCTTAGTATTAAAGACTTGTGCGTAATTATTCTGTACTAGAACTTATACGCCTACTAACTTTTCTCTAAGAAATACCTTTCCTCTCTTTAAAGTTATGTATAATTAGACGCTTCTCTTTAGCCTACACGTTTTTCTTCTTAGTCTACTCTTCTGTAATTAGGTATTTGCAGCCTACAATCTAACCTCTCTAGAGAAACTAAGTAGGCTAACAATTCCGCTAGACCGCAACAAGCTACTATTACGCCTAAATTAGATATTAGATAATATTCCTGTGTTTTAGAAAGCGGTACAGACCTTGTATAGTTAGAGTATCTCTTCTAATAAGTGTCTTCCTTACTCTACTCTACTACTATAGATCTAGACTTTAGGCAAGGTTATAGAGTTTGCTTAAGTTACCTGTCTCTATTCGCTTAGATATGCTAGAGAGAAGGCGTTTAACAAGAATAGTAAGTTAATCTATTTTATACAAGGCGTGTAATGCAGAATACAGAATTAACGTAGTGTATAGGTAACGTTAGTAAGGCTATACAGAACCTAATAATAGGCTATGCTAGCATATTAACATTCTTAAAGCATTACCTTCTACGACGTATTATAGTTAACACGCAGGCTGTTGTGCGAGGCATCTAGCCCTAGATAGCTCTTATGCGGGCGGCTTATACTATAAGCTATTTAATTAATTAGCGCTAGCTACAACAACTTACACAGGAATAGTCTATATCTATAGATAATAACTCTTCTGTCTATTCTCTGCTTAACTAACGAGAGTAACTTAAACGTATAGTTCTAAATGCAATAAAACTTTCTAAGTATAAAGCGCTTACCTCTAAGATTAGCTAAGAGAGGTAGCGCTAACAGCACGCTCTTCTTAAAGAAATTAAAGAACGCTAGGAGTTTAAATAGCCTGTGCGTAATGTTAAGCAGTAGCTTACTAGCTTAGAACCTAAGAACAATCTAGAGCTTGTTTACAATATTATGCTCCTAGCTTAAGAGAAGCTAGCTGACTTAGTCCTGTCGAACTTAGGGGCTACTATAGAAGAGAAGATAAATAGGCGTAATAAGGCTATTTGTGTAGTTACTCTATACTATAGTATTAAAGAGAGGGGAATAAACTCTATCCAAATAGAAGAGTAGAGCAGAAATGCTACCCTACTTGTTAAGAGGTAGCTAAACTACAATAAAGAAGTATTAGAAGTAGCTAAGATCTTAGTGTTTAAGGAGAAGAGGCTAAAGATATATTTCCTTTGCCTAGGCAATAAAGGACTGCTATTAGCATAACGCATACGTCTCTTTAGTACCCTAGGCGATCTTAGTAAGTATCTTAGACGTAAGCACTTAAAGCATATTAAAAGTAGAAAGAGTCTTAGTTGTAATCTTTATAAGGTGCCTTTATTAGATAAGACGCACTTGCAATAACATGCTTAAGAGATTTACAGAACTATATTCTCTAGATATTTCTATAATTCCTGCTAGCACCTAGAATATCCTATTAGAGTATAGAGATACATTCTAAATTATTAAAGCTGCTCTCTCTACATGCTAATAACTAAGTGCTATAGAGAGAGAATAAACATCGCCTTTATTTATTTAGTAATTATCTAGAAGTAGTTTCTCTAGTGTATTTAGCTGCAAAGAACATTTGCATATACTCTTCTTGTTCTTACATTTACGTTGGTGCATTAATTATCCTTTAATCTAAGCTGTATTATGTTTACTAATGTCCTTTTTGTACTTCTTATAGGCCTTGAATTACCTTGCAATATTGTGTAGGTTAATGCAGCTACTATATTAGAACTATTTCTGCAACATTAAGCTCTACGTCTAAAGCTAGTTCTAATTCTATTAGTAATATTCCTTATTAAGTTTAAAGCGCGTAGAGGTAAGTAGCATAGGTTAAGTATTTTCTTAATATAAAATATGTAAAAATACTCTTGCAGTACTATATTAAATATAACTTAATATTAATCTTTAATTACTCTACACTCTGCAAAAGAATATTAATTAACTTAGTATTATGCTTATGCTATATATGTAGAGGACGTTAGCTATAGTATAATTACTAACGTAGGCTTATTCTTAAGTTTACCTTATAAGCGTAACCTATTCTCTAACCTCTTTTCTTTGGGCGTTATTAGAGAACGAGGCTCTGTTTCAACACCTAATTCAGCTAAGTTATCCCGTCAAAATCTATTAACGTGTCCTAGCGTGGGGAATCGAGCGTTCGTAGAAAGCGTCGCATTAGCTAACCATGCCTATGCCTTTGATACCTATTTTGACCTTTACTAGGACCTTGCTACTGTCCCAGATCGATATCCTCAGACGCTGTCCGGATCCCATTTTCATTGATCTAGAGTCGCCTCGTAAGGATTTCCATAGAACAGGTTGAGTGGCTAGCCGAAATCTATCAGCCCCGCGTTAGGATTGTTCAGGTATTCAAACCCAGAGACCTTTTTGAGATGGAAATTGTCTGTATTGGACTGAGGGTAGAAGCTGTTGCTATGGAATGGATCAGCGCATGGCCATGCAACATATGTCTGTTGAACTTTACGAGACTGACTATACGGCTGGTACTGCTGCTGCGGGTTAACGGTTGTATCTTGCGCGTCGTGTGGCTGTTGGTAGGGATCAGTCGGCTGTGGCTGGGACAGTTGCCGATGAGCCGCTTCTTGTTTGCTCTGCTTATTCAAGATTTTAGCCACAACGTTATATGCGCTCTCGCTGACTGCGTCAAGGGACTTCATCGAACCCAGCCATTGGACAAGCTTATCAACGCAGGATGCGACATGTGACTCATCGATCGTCAAGTCGATACCGTCCAACGGTAGCTCAGAAAGTGAGACCGTGAGGGCTTGCATGACTAGGCATGATGGTTAGCCGGGACGCTTGCTGCAAGGTCTGGGGCACTTACTGATATGAATAGCACACCACCAGGGATCTTTCCCATAAAACCACGCGATATTTGGTGTGTCTGGCATCATGAAGGTAATAGCTAGAGCCGTGCCTATGCAGGCCTCAGCGGCCTTGTGATTGAACTGAATCAATTCTTCACTCTGTCCCTTTATACGCAGGTCCAGCCGGCATAGACAGGGTCGAATGATGCAGATCTTCGCGTTGTGATAGTACAGATAAAGCTGCTGCTGCTCTCGATTCAGATCGTGCTCTGAACTAGCGACGGTTGCTGCGCTTGAACTCCGCCCTGCAGTGGTCCTTCGTGAAGAAGTCGAACAAGCCACTGGGCCAGAAATGGTCATGGTGATTTGCAAAGCGGCACCCAGAGATCAAGGCGAGGACCGTCAAGCCGGTCGACTGGAACCGCCATGAGAAGTACACGTATGAAAAGATGACGCACTGGTTCGAAGTCATTGAAAGGTGCTCCAGGACCAGCCGTTGTACCAGAAAATGTCTATAATATGGACTTGACAGGCGTGATGTTAAGCATGCTAAGTTGTGTTGAAGTGCTAGTAGGTAGGGATGAGCTGCGCGAATACAGAGGCGCGGGCGTCAAGCGAACTATAGTGATAGCCATTGAATGCACCAACGCCAATGGCAGGGTACTACCGCCTCTCATCCCAGCATATGACTCTACACCATTGAGTCACAGGGCTTATATACTTGGAAAGATCCGACTGCCTCACTATAATGTTTGCATGCCTCGGGAACATCAACCCACTGAAGACCAATCTTGCGTCGTCCTAATAGAAAAGGCATAGGAAATCAGTACAAAATATCTTCCAATTCCTCGATGCAGGAGTTCTTACCTTGTAAGAGTTTGAAATATGCATGACTTCCACCATGATTCTCAATACACTCCTCTCCAGAATTGCCGCACCAGGCGCCGTCGAGCGGACCTTCTCCAGATGTTACTCCTACACGTACGTCGTCGACAAACACTACGAAATACCGCTGCGAACTCAGCCCAAGGGTTGAGTACTGCAGGTCCAAAAGGGATCGACCTTAAAAGGTGCACTCATACACGTTGCTTGAGGCTAGGATAGCTAACCTGGAGGAGGTAAACCAGGCAGCTTCTGAACGTAAGAACCGCAAGAAAAGGCGGACCCAGAAGGGTGGGATCCTATCGCAGGCAGAGGCAGAGGATATAGTAGGGCAGAGGGATGTTGAGGCTCAATTGGAGGCGGAGAGAAATGAGGAAAGGGTGCGCATAGGTGGCAGTGCAGGGGTGTTCGACGCTGCAAGAACTGCGGCGAGGCAGGACACAACAAGCACACATGCAAGAAATGTGTCGCAGAAGTAGATTAACTATAGCTATTGTACGTCTTAATTGTTTCACTTGATGCTGAATTGTCTGTGTTTGAAGGCGCGAGGGTTAGTGGGGTGCGCCTTTGGCTTGCCGGCTACGTCATAAGAAAAGTTTCTCCAAAGTCGTCACTATCTTGTTTTAGATAGCTAAGTCTAACTACAAGAATTTTATTCGAGATTTCTGTACTCAGCTCTGCATTGCAACTTATTGCTCTAACCAGCTCCTAGATCCTGATAGAGTTGCATGGAGTCATCTAGAAGTAGGTAACGTGCCCGTGCACAGGGTTCCCTAGTGCAAATGTATTCATTACTCAACTATCGGAATATTTAAGAGAGAGGAACTTCTTTCAACAGGAGGAGGATCATAAACCAGGCGAGTGATCAATTTCCAACATTAACAACACCTGTAATTACCCGTACCGAAAACCGAGAATAAGACACAAGTCTTACCAAACGTCTTCAAACATTATTATTAACTTCGTTCTTTATTCTACACTACGACTATACACACTTCAACAGCGCTACGCAGAAAGTACGTTCCGGAACATTCCAACATCCGTATAGTAAATAAAGCTAATACTATAGAGTCTTAAATTGAAGTTGTAAACAAAGACATTCTCCAAGGTGATCCACATGTCTGCGTTTGATTACCCGCACAGCGAGAAGTGCATGTGTTAGGATCAGCTGCAGTTGCCTTCCCTCTGAAGGTATCGCCGCAATAACACCAGGACCCAGCACTAATGCCAAAGTACTTGTACTCCCGGCATATAGTGCCGCATGCTTCAATTGTCATGTCTTGGCTGCGAGTTTCGTGATCACGTAACAAGCCCTCTGAGGGTTTGATATGCTCGTAGCATCCCATGTGCGCGGCGGGCTTGCACTTGCATGTGCTCAATTCTGCTGAAAACTCCTGCTCGCGCCGGAGGAGCTCTTCTTCTTTGAGGCGAAGTTGATTTATCAAGTTTTGCTCGCGTGTGAGAAGTTCTTCATTAGCGGCCTGGCAGGCATCGGGAGAAAGGTTGCTGCCGCTTCCACCGGGCTGGAAAGAGGAGAATGGAAGGGATTGTTCGAATTTGAGGCCGTTCGTACAGGCGCACGAGCAGCTGTGTTCGTGCTGCGACGGGTCCGAACAAGTGATTGATGGCGTTACTCCTAGTGGATCCTGTAAGGTTCTGCAATCGATACAACTGCAAGGTTTCACATACCATTCTCGCAAGTAAACGACGTCCCAGCAAGTTCTAGAGAGCTGCCAAAGACTTGTTGCGTATCTCCGCCGTAAACTTTAGCACAAATACCAGAAACAAAGAGCGCCCAGGAAAGTCTCATGGTAAGTTCAGTTAAATAAGTAAATGCTTAGAAGTAACGTCAGAGTCGTGTTTTTTCGATAATTGACTTAATCTGGGAGAAGGCCACGTTTTTATATCTTTAGCTTTCACCTTCTCTGCTCCTGCTTCCGGATACTTCATGCAGCAGGTAGTCTGCTAATAGAGATCTACGCAAAACCTTCTTTTGCAGGCAATGCAACCAGAATAGAGCGGGGAATGCCGAAGCTATCTGTACACATTCATTAGGAGAATTTGTTTTCCTTACTTTCTATTTTGGGGACGATACTGCTTTTGATATTTCCCTTTTCTTTCACCAAGCATGACCTTCAGACATAGGCAAGTGATAAACTCTAGGATTATTGGGGTCGATCTTACTATGCTTTTTTCTAGCTAGTTAATAACTTACTCGGTACGAACTGGGTCTTGGGAACAACTCACCATGTACAATGCCGACATTGACGAAAAAGCGTTTAGGCGGATAGAGGGGTTCCGACTGAATATCAAAGCTAATGAGTAACTTCCCTCCCTGCGCGACGAATAGTCTAGTGGGCCGATGTTAGCCAATGAGAGGTATAATACTATATTCAACCAATCTAGAACTGCTTAAAAAATCCTTGCTTGACGGATAGGTTGGCTGCTTTCGATCTGGATGGTGTCGGAGTCGTCGGCTGATAGGTCTGGCTATGGTGGTCGCCTGCGGTAGTGTTCGTTTTGCTTGGTGGTGTTTCTTGGGCGTCTTTTCAGTGGTGCCAGTAGCTCGGTTGGCAAGGATGTCGCTTCGCGGTCGCGTTCAGGGGTCGAGATTGCCATCTCTCTCACGCGTCCAGATCGCAAACTCATCCACACAACAGTTCTTTTCCGATCTTTTCCGATACAGTCGCCTTTTCGGATGAGTACGATCTCATACGGTACAATGGTGACCAAAATCGGATCCCGATTCCTGCATTTCGTTTGTTCTCAGCGCACGGACGCCAAGAAAAGCGCTTTACTAGAGGAGGTGTAGCGCAGTGCTGGGGCTCCTATGTAATATATTTGGCTCTCACATGTTGGGCATGCCCTGCGAAATTCATCCCATTTCTCGGCACGGCGGGTTTCTCGGCACGTACGGACGGACGTTACCGGTAGTCTACGGGTAGATCGGATGAGATCTACCCAGGCTAGCATAAGTTTGGTCCAACTCTTATCTTCTTACCATCTCTGCCACCTTCATAGTAATAAACTTGATGCCAACCCTCCTTAGACCTCATTTCTTCCGTCAAACCATGGATACTCACTTACTTTTGAGATTGCCTTCTGCATTCACTGCACTCCCATATGAGCTTCTCTACATCATATTCTCGTTGCTAACACAGCCTGATCTTCTTAATCTGTGCTATGTTCGTCACTTTCGCAACGTTGTACAAGACTTGCTCTACCAGGAGTTCCATGCCGACGGCCAAAATGTCGCCTTGTTTTTGAGCACTATCCTTTCGGACAAGACGCTGGCGTCTCGAGTGCGGCGTGTCTACATCAAAGAGTCGTACGATTACAAAGACCCGCAGCAATACACAGAAAGCTTCATCGCTTTCTTAACACGACACCTTCGCCACCTCAATATACTGTCACACGTTAAGCAGCTTTGGGCCAATAAGAAATCACCCATAGAAGAGCCCTGGTTACGCTACTGCTTTCGCACTTGCCAAAGCTAGAGAGACTCGAGATATCTCCGGTGGGAGATATCTCCCTGGAAGATATCTTCCAAATGGGTCCTCCGTGGATTTTATCTCCAAAGCAACCTTTTTGGACAATCCTGATGCTAAAGATGAATAGATCCTTGGTACAAGCATCTTTCTTGCGGAAAATCCGAGAGCTTAGACTAGAAGGCCTATCCTGCTTAGTGTCTAACTTGGCCGGGATCTTTAGCTTGCTATCTCTCAGGTCATCGCGTATGAGACCTGTTATCTAATTAGACAAGACAAGGGACTTACAGAGTGGATGTTTTAACCAAGATCAAATTGTATATTAATATTGGCATTGACCTACTCGGATGTATTAAGGAAAATACTTAGGCGGGTTCTACATTCTTGCACCGCGCTCATAGACTTTACCTATATTGAGGCTTGTAATGGCGATTTGGATCGTGAGAACAAGTTTACTTGGGTGACCCAAGACTTTGACTCACTGATAAAAATCTTGTCACCTTTCCACGAAACCCTGAGAACATTGGAACTTCGAAATGGAGACATCGAACGAATTTCCACCAAGCACTCACCAATCCGCACACTCACACAATCTACGACCCTGAAACACTTCTCGACAGTCATGTTGGCATTTTACAACAACGGGAGCCGAATACAAGAGATATTGCCTGAAAGCCTGATCGAATTAGAGCTCAGTGATTCATCCCAGTCAGCGATGGAGACTGATGAGGACGACGTCAATAATATGTTATGGGGGCTTTCGGAAGCAAAACTCAAACGTCTGCCAAATTTAACAAGATTTGCGCTTACGCTGGACGACGATTGGGATCATTCGAACATGGAGTACGAAAGGCGGTCGATAAATGGGGTTGAGTTCTGCTTTGGAAGCCGAAGAAATTGTGAGCTCAAGGCTTTGGACTATGAGTTGTTCCGGGAAACTTTCGAGAGCTGCCCTTCTACCCCTACCTCTGACACCCTATACGACGAGAGCTACTAGTATGTATTTCACGCACGCTCCGCTTTTACTCGGGTAATCCGGTAATAAGGCGTGTACTCTAGCGAAAATTCACAATGCAGTTATTCTACAGTGGCTAGCAAAACAGGCTTCGCCTTGAACGCAGTAGCAACCAATCCTACCCGCTGACAGACAAAATCCGTGGCTGCTCACCTTACGCATGACTAGCAGTGGGTCGTGCGCTTTAATATCTCATGCCAGCCCGGCACCTTTGTTCACCGAGTACAATAACGTTATAAAGGTCGCACTCATGTAACACATAATTACTTGCCTACTAAGCTCTCTTATTCTACACAATCGACCGCTATCACTCCCTTAATACTATATTTGAACCTTTTCTGCAATATCAAGCCCCACGTCTAAGGCTAGTTCTAATTCTATTAGTAATACTCTGTGTCTAGTTTAAAGCGTGCAGAGGAAAGCGAAAGTAGGTTAAGCATCTTAATATAGAATGCGTAAAAATACTCTCGCAGTACTATATTAAATATAATTAGATTTTTATCTTTAATTACTCTACTCTCTACAAAGAAATAGTAATTAGCTTAGTATTATGCTTATACTAGATACGTAAAGGGCGTTAGCTATAGTAGAATTACTAACGTAGGCTTACTCTTAAGTTTACCTTGTTAGTGTAAGCTATTCTCTAACCTATTTTCTTTAGGCGTTATTAGAGAATAACGTTCTGTTTTAGCAGCTAGTTTAGATATATCGCTTAGTGTTTCCTCTCTTTCTTGTGACAATGTCGTTCTCGCAAGTTGGGTAGACATAATTTGAGCCAATTGTGATGAGAGCAGAATAATGCAAACAAACAGTTATCGGCGGTAGAAGAAATTATCACCTTGCCTAACGTAATGCCCCAGTTACCACCTTATTTTTTGATTATCTTCTTGGTGGGTTTTGATGTTGCACGTAGCGGCCGTTAGTCTTTAGAGACTCGATTTCGATAACTAGTAGTGCCTAATGCGGTTAGTGTAAGGGGCTGCGCAAATGTTGCTGATGCCTAGTAACAAGATTGTGTTAATAGCAGGAAAATCTATCTAAGGGAAGATAGAATGCTTACAAGTTCAGCGATAGTAGTCTAAGAACCTTCTCAAGTATTCTCTAAGGTTCTGCCATAGCTCTGAAGGTACTACTAAGAAACGTCACCACGGCTAGGCTCTAGCCTAGCACAGATGGCGTAGTAGCTGAAGCCTGTATTATATATAGTAGACGAAGCAGACATATTAACATTACATATGTGTCGCACGGTTAGGTGTAGGTATTATAGACAGAATAGCTAGAAGAGAGTGTATATATTGTATTGTTTGTAGCATCCTAGCTTAGCTTATATAAAGGTTATTGCTTAGTGTTATTAGTAATAAGGTTCCTAATAGCGCTTAGCCTGCGATAAACACTTACTACGCTTTCTAAAGCCTAGACGTAGATCTTACTATTCTATATTATGCTAGCTAGTCTCTGCCTCCTGCTGTATTTTCTGTGTAAGACTTGCTACTTTGTTCTGTAACTTAGACGCTACATAAATTATAATAGTTAGAGGCTTAATCTTAAACTCTAGCAAGGCTAAATAGTATTGCTAAAAGCAGATAACCTAGTCGCTATATTACTAGCCCTACACCTTTATTTTCTATAGGGATTAGTTTATTAGTGTGTGTCTTAAACTATTAATTATTTTATCTTGTTAATAACCTAGAGATCTTCACTTCTGTCTTGTTCAACTCTCTACGCTATTAACTTAAACATACCTAGCAATTTTTACCTAGTAATAGAGAAGATTATCTAAAACAAGTCTGTAAATTATTATAAAGCTTACTGCTGCCTAAATTGCACAGAAAAGAAAAAGAAACTAAGAGAGTTAGCGAAAGTCGCGCTAGAAAACTAAAGACTAGATTAATACTCTTTAACGCTAGGTTTAAAAACAACTATTTAATAGTAGACTATCTTGTTAACAGCTATAGAATAAAGAGCTTAGGCAAGACAACGTGTTGCTATAAGAGCGGCTACTATACGCATTAGCAACTATAGAAGTGTTAAAAAAGAGTACAAGTTTATAATAAATTCCTCTCTACGTAGAAAGTGTATACCTAACCTCTAACATAGCTTAGTGTCTAAGTAAAGTAATAGTAGTAACTCTAGTAGACATCTACTTTTGCTTACTACCTAGTTTAAGCAATGCATTAGCGTTCTATTAACATACGTTAACCTACACTTAGTGTTTTGTCTTAAACCTAGTGTAGCTATTACTAGCGTTGCAGGTAGACTATAATTTGTTAACTAGATGTTTCTTGCTACCTTTAACTTCTTTGTACAACTTCTTTTATATAAGTAACTATCTAAATATAGGTAGTCTTAATAAACACAAGATTAAGTTAGAAAATAGTTAGGCGTATAGTTCTCTATAGTTATTGCTAGATATAACTAAGATAGTAGACGCTATGTTTAAAGAGCTTAAAGAGTTTGAAGAGTTTAGAATATAAGAGACGTAACTTAATTAGTTTCTCATCTTATCTTCCCTCTCGCGCTAGCACGTTCTGGGCTTAGCGCCAAGCTCACCCCTTCGTACTTAGCTCGCTCCTCCCATAGAACCAATACAATACGATTCACTCACGTTCCAGATCTAGTCCCACTGAAAAAGCTGTGTTAACGACCTAGGACTATCTACTGTGTTGTGAGCTTGGAGTACTCTTACGCAGCCAGAGTCTACCTACACACTCTGGAGCCAGGACTTACCCCTCTCTTAAGCTTCAAAGGAATACCGTGCAGAGTATAGGTAATGTAGGTGAAAATCCATCGCCATGTTAAATCAGCATCTAAATTTGACTTCGTATCGCTATGGCAAGTTTTCGATGATAAAAAAACCGAAAAAGTCTGAAATCTACCCTTTCAACGGCTTCTCGCCTCCTCCTGGCCTCCTCTATTGCTTGGTCTTCGGCATGCGTCCAGTGCAGCCTCTTTACCGGATATTCTACACACAACTTTAACGTATTGATAATCTCGTGTACTGGTCTCGTAGATACACATCCGTGTAGCCGCAGCATCTCTCGACGGGAAATCATTGCTTGTTCCTTTACTCTATCATCATAGCTGGGCACGTACACTCTCAGTTCAACAGTTGCATCCGGAGTGTTCGGAACCTTATACCAAAACCCAGTGTTTCCCTTCCTGGAGGACATAATTGGGGCCCCAAAACTAATCATAAACTTTCTCATGGAATTTAAACCATATGATACCCGCATTCTCTTTAGATGGTAAATGTCTATAAGCATGCGGACGTTGTTCGGAGCCTCATCGATACTAAACCCCATTAGTCTTTCCAATGTGTGGGAGTCCTGGCCTCGAAAGGAGAAGAAGCCGATTACAGAAATGTGGAGCTTTCGCTTGCTGTATCTCTTCGAGTAGCTTTTTGTATCGTGAAGCCTCTGCTCAAGAGCTGAAGTGTCGTTGCCTAGTAAGACAAACTCCATTCCAGCCCGCAACAGGGTTTGTATCTCGGCCACGTCCCAAAATAGATCACGCATTGGATCTAGATAGATAGCCCGTTCCCGAGAGTCTAAGACGTGTCCTAGGCACTCATCGAGTTTTGCAACATCATATGCGGATAGGTATTGTAGCAAAGACTTTCGAATCTCATATGGTATAAGGATGCCTGGAAGCTTGTCGTTGTGTATTTTAGCCTCGTGTGGTCGGCGATCTGCTCGGGAAAATGCGGCCATATGCGAACGTCGTTAGTAGTAGGATCGACTTATCCTTTGCAATCGCCAAAGGTCGCTCTAGGGTGCGTCAAGCGAAGCTTTATGTAGGCATTTTCAAGGGCCTAAACATAGACTCGCCTTAGAAACAGTAGGGGCATGATTTAAATACTTTTACACAATACACAAAAGCCTTACGGACAGTACGTCTTCGACAAGGTAGCTATAAGGCTCTTGATTTAATCTACTACTATGCATATTTGTCTACATAGAAACTGACAAGGTCTAATGTTAGTTCTGTACTGATCTTGAAAGAGAGGGTGCCTGTCTCACACTTACGACAGCATCGGAGATATGCAACAAGATTAACGAGCCTTTTGTTGAGAGCTATATCAAACATATTTCCACGGGTGAAGGAGTATTTGCCAATTTGGGGAGCGCGTACAGGAACCTCATAATAACCGGTTAATTCGCTAATGTCTTTATAGATCCGAAAATTGCGAGAAATACACACATATGCAAAGCGTAGGCGGTCTAATTTAGAAACGTTACAAATTCATTAGTAAGCTGCTAAATAGTACCTCTACTTCTGTAATTACAGCAAAAGCTAGCTTAGAAAGTTTGAAGCATCACAGGGGAGATCTAACTTTCGAGGAACTACGGACTTTAGTCTAATAGCAGCCTTCGGTTCGTAGACCATGATATGAATTTACAAGAAGGGGTGGTATTACTGTGTCTAAGGCGGATTTAGTAATCAAGATCAAAACTACCATCTTTGCCTAGGCGATTGCATAGCAATATCATAAGTATCTTCATTCCGTTCTGGCGCACTTCAAACTATATTACTCGCGATTATGAAGATCTTAACTTCTGATCCTATGAACCTCCACGTGCTCTTTTTCTAGGGCGGCGTATATCGTCATCAGAGCCGTGGGCACTGGCACTACCCGCCTATCTAACGAGTTTACCGCTCTTAGGCAAGCTCCTATAATTGGGTTGCTTGAGTGCTTCTTAGAGACAATAGACCACATTGTCTACTATACTTAAAATGCGTTTTTACAGCTCTATTAAGTTATTTAGTTCGTCTAAAAGGTCTACTACTTTAGTACTATTATTCTTAGGCTAGTGCTCTATATAACTTAGTACTAGTTAATTTGTAGAGAGGAAAATCTTACTAGCGTTAATTTTTAAGGCTGTCTCTCCTAGCTCGCACAACGCATATTTTCTTAATTGCTTAAGCTTTCTCTTATTACTAGAGTGCTTGCTTGTAGGTACTAGTTCTAATAATTCTAAAGCTAGATAAACAGTATTATTACTAACTTCTAGACAGTTTTAATACCCCTAAGATAATTAGTAACAGCCGCTAATTATGTAATATCTATATATACCTAATATAATGTATTATCTGCAATAGTTTCTTAAGAACTTATTACTCTTTTAGCTTCTTAAGAATGCAATAGGTTTAAGGCGGAAGAGAGATAATATTATTAGAAGTATTAAAAGCTTCTTTATATATTAGTTATCTTAACTAGATTAGCTAGATTCTTTATGCACTAGGACCTTAAGAGTTTAAATCTACTATATTAAGACCTAACGTTTTAGACTTGCTTTATTTTGTTAATACCTTATAAAGTTGTAGCTAGTTACATATTCTAATAATATATAGTCCTTCTCTAGTAGTAAGTTCTTTCTTAACTAGAAATAGTATACACAATACATTACTCTGCTTCTATTTAATTAGTATAGCAGACAATCTTATAGCCGCTAGAGCTGCGCTATAGAATATCTGCGAAGTACCTTCTTAATTGCTTAGATTACACGTTTAGGAACTATGTTAAGCTAATACTACTATTGCAGAAGCACCTATAGTTATTAGTTAAAGCAGTAGCTATCGCGTTATTAAAATTAAAGCTAAAGCTAACTGTTTGTGTATTGTTCTATCTAGTTGTCGTAATAGCCTTTTATAAAGCTATTAGAATAGTCTATATACACAACGTATACATAATCCCTATAGGTATAGAAGGTGCTTGTTAAGAGAAGGAGGAACTGTCTTATCACTACGTGGCACCTGGATGTCCCTACCTCATGAACCGTCACATACTACACCATACTTTTTCGCGACTTGAGAATGCGAAATAGGTGTGCCTAACTCACGCGATTTAATTTCTTTGATTGCTTCCTGAATCGGATCCATGTTCGTGGAGTTATGACGCGATTTGTATAGGTGGTTGTTGTGGTGGGGTGCGCAAAGTTCGACTATGCGCATTCCGCGCACCGACACGGGTAGGTAAACGCAGTAATCTCTCTTTTTACGCATTGCTTGTACTTCAACTTATTGTACACGCGTCCGCGAACTTTTGCAATAGGCGAAGGACGCTGTAAACCCTGTATATAAGGCCGCAAGCACGTGACTCAGTCCGAGGGGCTCGAGAGGCCTACGCAACCTGACACTCGTTAAGTGTTTGTGTCTTTTTGCCTGGGTAATGCAGTAATAAGATCGACTTTGACTGCTGCGGAAAACTATCTCAGGCCAAGCGCTGTTGTGAACATAAACTGTATTATTAATTAGGCCGTACAATGGCTTGAATATAAGCTGAGCTAGGATGCTACAAATAGTACTAATGTCAATCTAAGCGTGCCGGGACGCACAGTGTAACAGAACACTTTTTCTTTTAGGCGCTTAGAATGTTCTTGCTACGCCTGTAAACTAACAGGTCTAGTGTGTATTTATTGTAAAGCTCTTGTTCTCTTAGTATATTAGCCTCTAATACTAAAAAGCGCATTATTAGCTATACTGTCGCCTATTCTACCTATGCTGTTAACTAACTCTCCTCTAATACCCCCTATTTATTTACAATAGTACGTATCTACAAAGAACTTAGTAAGCTAGAAAGTAAGCTAAGATACTAAAGATTAAGACTATAGATTTAAAAGATCTATTTAAGGTAGAGAATACACATTTTAGCAATTTCTCTGCACAAATAGCAAGATTATTAAAACGCGTCTAACTAGCTGCGCATGTCTAGTTGCTCTTGGCATATAGTAGCTTGCAGTAGCGTGCTTAGTTATTACTGTAATATACTGTAACAAATTCAACGCTATATAGATTATGGAGACTGCTAAAGATAATTGTGGCGCATGCCGATGGCTTTCTAGAAGCATCTATGCTCTAGAAAACACGACAAACAGCGAGAAATCAATTTTTGGAATTACCCATCACAACAGCTTCAAAAACATCTGCCAGCGGCCGCAATAGTCTCTACAGGCCATCACGCGTCCCCCCGCGTCGGTTTGGCACCTGTAGAGTCGCTGTTGCGGCCCTGGCAGACACAGACGAACAAAAGTTTTGCGAACAAGCTACTTAACATGACACGTCCACCAAATGCAGCGGCAGCCATCTAGCCACGACACAGCAATGCAAGACGCGACGACGGAGCCCAGACACCCCTTTGAGCATAATAGTTGCAACATACACAATACAGTCACTGATGGGCTTCCTGATCAGCCCATCGCTATCGGACAATGTCTGCAATGTCCCGCATCGACGCGCCCTCGGACTGAACAGCATCACCTCCCACGCGAATCACCTCACAGACACCCGGCATGCTACCATCGGTGCCACCACATACTTACAGATCATCAGACAGCCTCGTCCACTGTCGCCCCACGTGTTGAGGGAGTGGTGCCCCTTCGACACAACCGAAAAGGTCTGAGGGGATTCGCGCGAGAGCTCTCCTGCTCAGTAGGCTCAACGGCACGCACAAGCGGAGCATCGCTCTTGTGGAGCCGCGTTACGACGAAATGCTGCTGCCGCAGCGCCTGGTGGCAGGTTACACCACAAAACACAGCCGCATAGGAACCTAGTGGACGGCATCACAACACTGAAGAATATCGGAGTTCGAAGAACACATTGCAGGCCCTGGGGCAAGAGGGCAAGCTAGCACACACGACAGCTGAACGCTAGGGGGAGACTGAAGGTATTGCGGTCGCAAAGCATGAGGCAACCGTGCCTCTACGAGCCTTGAAACAACGCTACACACATTAGGCTTCGAGTACGGCATACACAAAGGAAGACAGTTTGAGGAACACAAACACAGGCAAACACGTCACTTCTAGAGACGAAATGTACATAGTCGTAGATAGAAGCCAGATGCGGCAGGCCTCTGGGGACAGATGGCTCTTTCGAGAGTGAAGTGGGGCGGTGCGGATCAAGGTCTGCACCGCGTCGGCTGTCTGCCAAGCCTGTCAACCGGGCATAGCTGCACTTCGCGGCTGCAACCATGTAGGATCTAATCAAATCAAATCAATCAAATCAGCATCTATGCTCTCGCGCTCAGTCTGCCTGCATCGTGCCTAATTACACGATCCACTAACAGCGAGAACCTCATGTGTGAAATCTACTCAATAGCGTAATGTGCTATGCCATACCTACAGTGATGTTACAAAAACTACTATTCTGTAGCGATTCTTGAAGCTTAAATGTGGCAAACAGTTGACATATATAATTATACACGTACATCTTCGTCCCTCTATAAGTGCTGATTTAGTTTAAAAAATCTAAACTATAAATATTACTCCAAGCGACATATCCAAACTTTTCTAGACCCGGTACCTACACCAACACATCTGCCTAACACAGCTGCGCTCGCTGGTCGATACTCTGTTAGGAGCTACAACAGCTTTTGAGCATTATTAGAAACCTACATGTTATTGGAACTAATGATTACTACCTTCTAGATAGATTGCTAGAGTTCAACTGTTATAATTTCGTCTGGGTACAGAAACGCAAGGATAGAGACAAGATTAGCTAAGCTAGTATTACTGCTATAGCTCTTAAGCGTCTGCAGACACGCGCTACTACTTACATTCTAGATCTTAATAGTGCTATTACTAGACGCTAACGCTAGCTATATTAAGTTATATAAGAAAGCTACTAAGATAACCTCTTTACTATAGCTCTTAAGTGTCTATAAACACGCGCTACTACTTATATTTTATATCTTAATAGTCTTGTCTCTAGACGCTAACACTAGCTATATTAAATTATGTAAGAAGGCTACTAACCTAATATTACTGCTATAGCCCTTAAGCGTTTGTAGACACGCGCTACTACTTATATTTTAGATCTTAATAGTCTTATTCTAGAATACTAAGGCTAGCTAGGTTAAGTTATATAAGAAGACTACTAAAGTAATACTATTACTATAGCTTTTAAGTGTTTATAGACACGCGCTACTACTTATATTCTAGATCTTAATAGTTCTATTATAAAACGCTAAGGCTAGCTAGGTTAAGTTATATAAGAAGACTACTAAGGTAACACTATTGCTATAGCTCTTAAGCGTCTGTAGACACGCGCTGCTACTTGCATTCTAGATCTTAATAGTGCTGTTGCTAGACGCTAACGCTAGCCGCGTTAAGTTATGCGAGAAGGCTACTAACCTAACATAATTGCTATAGCTTTTAAGCGTCTGTAGACACGCGCTACTACTTATATTCTAGATCTTAATAGTCTTATTAATAGACGCTAACGCTAGCTGCGTTAAGTTATATAAGAAGGCTACTAAGATAACCTTATTACTATAGCTCTTAAGCGTCTATAGATACGCGCTACTACTTATATTCTAGATCTTAATAGTTCTATTCTAGAACACTAACGCTAGCTATATTAAATTATGTAAAAAGGCTACTAAGATAACTTTCCTGCTATAGCCTTTAAGTGTCTATAGACACGCGCTGCTGCTTATATTCTATATCTTAATAGTTCTATTATAGAACGCTAAGGCTAGCTAGGTTAAGTTATATAAGAAGGCTACTAAGGTAACCTCGCTGCTATAGCTCTTAAGCGTCTGTAGACACGCGCTCTACTTGTTGCTTAGAGCTAGCCTAATCCTAATTGTTTTTGGCTCTTCGTGCTGGAACAGCTGTCTAATTAGACTGCCTGTTAGACTGAATAACAGTGCGGATGCATAGGCCTAAAGAGGGTAACCTTTAATTACCCCTTTGTAGTACATGATGAATCGCCGTCTGTCTTGAACAAGCTAAGCAAGTCTCTCTTAGTCACACATCTCCTGCTAGCGTTAGCATCTAGCTTAAACTAAGGACATGTAGATCCTGTACGACAAACCTGCACCAGCAACCACAGCTTTTGCATTAAGACGACGCCTTTCCCTACGCTCTTACACAGACTTAGCCTCTCTAGCTAGTAGAGATACTTCTTGCTTAGAAACTCGTCAACAACACCTACGGCTTGCAGGCTACTAACACTGCTCGCTAAAGACTTAGGCTCTAAGTCGCACAGATAGTTAATCTAGTAGATACACAGGTAGCGTAACACTGCTAACAGGTCTACCTTAGGTAGTTTAACGTTCTTAATAGAATATCCTAGTGCTTCTAAGCTGTACATGTCTCTGTGCAACGTCCTAGATAGAATCGCTAGCTGTTACAGGTAACACAAAGGATTCTCTCCTTGACATGGGGTGAAGGGGTTGAAGGCCAACCACGACCAAGTCAGAACGCAACGATGATCGCGGGGCTCGGGGTCACGTGATCAGGATTGGCATCCCGCCAAGACCAGGCCTCCGGGAGGCCAGTGGGGCTAGGGAAGCCACGGTCCTCCCAAACCTCCCTCTGGGATGGGAGGCCAGGGAGGACAGGACCTAAGGCAATGGGTATAAGAATGTGTTGGATTTCATTATTACACTCATTGTGGTCAACTCAAATAGTTCATCTCTTACACAGATTGTCAACTAGTTATTCTATCGTTTATAGAATTGGATTGTCTTTACCTGCAGTTATTCCACGATAACTCTTTTCCACAGAATCGCCAGACAAACCTCACGGACTACCGCTTTAGTCTACCTCGCCTTAGTACGGACCGAGCCTAGAGAAGTATAGCCTAACCCCGTGTAACACTAGCGACCTTAAGAAGATTGTCTAATAAACAGCTTTGCTTCCAGCGGAAAAGGCCTCGCTATAAGCCTTTGCAAAGAGGAAGTCTTTTGCGGACTAATGCACAAAGTAGACTGTATCTTCTTACAAGGTAAGAAACAATATATAGAAGCTAATAATCTCCCGCACTAACTCTAGGTCGTCTAAGTCTTTAAGCTGCTCTATAAGCGCAACAAGTTTAGGGACCACAACAGGTTAATATAGAATTATAGTCAAAGCTAGTACCTGCCAGCAGATCTTGGCGCCATTAGACTCGCTTATCTAGTTCATTATCCGCTTGTACAAAGAGTCTAGCCCAGGCGGGAATAGGCCTAGCTTTTTTAGCACGTTCTACTTTAGCGTCGTTTTAAGGTCCTAGCACACCAACGCTACCTAGAGAAAGGTATTGTTAGCGTTTGACCTTAGGTGCTAGAGCACAGCGTGTTAGACCTCTGCCTTGTATCGCTTTTCCTGCGCTAGCTAATCCACCTTCTACTATATAAAGATGTTAACTGCAGCCGCAACTAAGTTTGCGTTCAGCTTAAGGCTTAACTTTACTTTATAACCTGCCCGCTCTAGCTGTGCTTTAATATCTAGCCAGTTGCGACTAGATACAATCCACTTGACGCGAGAAGACGCAGACGACTGCTTAGCGACAAAATCTAGCAGTTTTGATAGATTAAAGACGCACTCATCTAGCGCGTCAATAATCAGATACGTTGGGCGCAGGCGTGGATCTTTAAGCATGTCTTCGAAGATCTCTGCCAAGATTACCCAGGCATTCGCATCTTTGAACAAGGCTTTGCCAGCGTAGTCGTGCTTCTTGCGGATGTGCGATGCAAGCGATAGTTGCTAAGTCACGAGCATGTGCAACAGCCCTCGTAGCGCGGCCGTGGCGCTGTTAATGCGCGCGTCAGTCGCTTGACAGAAGAAGTACAACAGTAGGGCACTTGAGGGCATCGAACTTTGCAGCTCGTTGATAAGGCCGCAGAGCAGCATCGTCTTGCCTTTACCAGGATCTCCTTTTACCCATAGCAGTCGGCTGTTCGGGTTCTGTCGCCATTGCTGGAAAGTAATGTTGTCAAGAACCCAGCGGTAGAAGTCTGCTAGCAATCCTCCCTTTGTGTCTTCAATGCGCTTCTTGTCGTGACGCGGATCCGTATGGCGTATGTCTCGAACGCATGTTTCGAGCTTGTCAATCTCGTCTTTTAGACATTTGAATGCGCTGGCCGCCCCTTCGCTGTAAGCTGGCGCTATCTCGACATCGAAAATGCCCGCTAACAAGTACCATGCGTCTTCTTCGCGTTTGGTCTCCCTGTCACCTTTCCACCGCAGCCTCTCTTCAACGCTGAAGCGGGAAAGAGGAGCTCCGTCGAGCACTTCGTATGGAATACCAGTGACTTTTCCGAGTAGTGACTTTAATGATATCTTATCGCCAAGCTTCTCCCACTCTTGAGAGAAGAACTCGACTATGCTTGGTGCAAGAAGCTCTTGGAGCGTCCAGCCACGCGTGAACCAACGACTTGACCTGAAGGCTGGCTCCCAAGTGAACTCAGTGGACAAACCGCCGGCTTCCCCCTTCTTTGTCGATACATCTGATAGGTACACGTAGCACTTCGCTGCATCTTGGTACCAGCGAAACATGGAGCGGATGGCCAAAGAGAGCTCAGCCTTGTCTGTTTTGTCGATGCAGCATGTGTCCACCCAGAAGTACTGCAGACCATCTTGCTGTGCTTGCTCTCCACAGAAGCGAATCTTCTTGTAGCCAGACTTCTGCTTACCGCTGCCTTTTGCAAGGTCCGCGAAGGTCACCTCTGCATCTGCCCCCCAGGTGTGTGAAAGTATCGCATAATGGGGTGTCGCATCGTCTTTGAAGCTCGTAATCGTAAGGCGGCCATCTCCTTCGTACTTTAGAAGCCGCATCGACTCGTGTGGGTGTGTGGTAGCCGCGCGGTGGGAACGAGACAAGGCTTTACGCGGCAGCCTGATAGGAGCGCAGCAACTAACTTTCCTGCTCCTTTTCTAGGTTAGCTTACAGAAGGGAGGATAAAGAGCTAGTATAGTACTAAGTAAGCAGATCTATAACAGAATGTAAGCTGCAACAGTGTAGGACCTAGAGGTAACGCCTATTGTTGCATTCTTAGTGTAGTAACGGCGTCGCATCAGGCTTTAGGCGGGGAAGGCGTAGCTGAACGTGCGCGCAGCATACTAGCCGCAAGGCTATCCTGTAGCGTTAAAGGCGGCATCACAAAGATAATAGGTAGTCCCGTTAGCGCTACAAGCAGAGTGGCAGACCGCTAAGCCGCCCTGCATTATAACTAGCGAGAAGAAGAGAAGTGCCTAAGCGCACAGAGGTGCGCGCGAGGGCAGACGCTTGATAGCTAGTACACGCTACAGTTATTCTTAGCAGTCTACCTGCTGCAGGCATAGCGTCGAATTCGTTACAACAGCCTGCTGCGACATCTAAGCACGCTACTATACGCTACTGCGTGCCAAGTGCTGCTAGCAGCGCACGTCTTATAGAACAAGTTTTAACAATCTTACCCTATACGTAGAGAAACTGCTAGAGTGTTCCTATTTTACCTAAAGTTTAATCGCAAGGCTGTAGTCTTAATCTTTACTATTCTAGATTTCTTTCTAGCGCACTAAGCTTTTTATAGATATGTACTATTATAAATAGATAGAGGGATATTAGAGGAGAGTTAGAGGACAATATTAATAGAATAAGCGACAGTAAGGTTAACAACGCGTTTTTTAGCGTTAGAGACTAATGTGCTAGAAGAAGGAGAGCTGCAGAATAGATGCGCGTTGCACTTGCTTATATTTGAGAACACTAGGGGCAATCCGAGGGTCTAGAAGAGAATGCGTCCTGTTACACCGTGCGTCCCGGCACACTTGGATCGACATTATACATACGCTGTTTTCTAGCCTTGCTACGTTACAATATTCCCACTCAATCGTGCGACAAAAATCCTCACACCCCGCATTTTCCTGCGCAGTTTCTGAAGTTATTTAACCAACTGTACTCGCCCATAACCACCTTGCATTATCGCACCGAGAATTTCTCGATTGTCCTGCTCTGTAAACAACGATGCGCTCCTTTTTGCTAGTACGCCTGATCATACCCTGTAAGGATGCTGCTTCTAACATTAGTTAGAGATGTTATGACGATGAAGCGCTGCTACGCTATGCGTATGGAAGAATGAGAGAAGAGGAAGATGATGTAGGTTGATGTGACTAAAACGGAAACTGCTGACTCCGGACAGTTCATATACATAGGCAAAGCCTTTCTATCTCTACTTGCATCTGTGGAGGACGAGTACCTTGAATCCATTCAAACGAAACTCCTACCACATGAGTTATCGTTCGGAGGTCCTATGCCATACAGGGACTCGTTTCATGCAGACTCTGGTGTGGATCTACGGCCTTGCAGCAATCTTCTAGACACACGGAACTCTAGACCTCGTTTAGGGGATGTAGCTGACGAGCAGTTCATTCCGGACTATCATGCCTCTACCAGTCCTGCAACCTGCTATCCAGCTCATGACGAATCTGACCCATCGAAACACCAAAGTCAGATGCGTGATCACATGGCAATCTCGAATTTACAGACGGAAGATGAAGAGAGCACAAGATCACTCCTTTTATCACGCCAAAGAAGACTAGGTTCTTTGTCACCATCTCTGCTCTCTTCGAACTGGGACGAAAGTCCAGTGACTAAAACGAAATTCTCAATCCCTGAGGGCATGACAAAGACTCACTGGCTTCACTGCTACGACCAATTGAATTATCTATATGGGGGCCTCCATGAGGACCTATGTTACTTTATCAGAATCGGCGATTCCTTCCTTCGAGAGGATGCGGGAGACTTCATAACCAAATTCTACCGTAGGTGGAACCTAGAAGATCCCTGGTCTCGTCTTCCGATAAGCAATCCAACATTGAAATATCCTTTGACAGAAAGAATGCTCACGAGCCTCCGCTGTGCTGAGGCGATTGAGTTCGACTCTATCGTCGACCCTGTCAAACTGCGGATAGCACGAATGCTTCTTCACCACTACGTTGAGCAATTGGGCATTAAACTCAAGAAAGACCGGAAATCGTGCAACCTTTCCGCAGGAAAAGGGGTCGCTAGCGTAGCGAAAGAAGTTGTCTTAGAAACGATATATGGCTGCCATAAGAACACTCTCACTCCAGAAACAAGAAAAAAACACGAGAACAGTTATACATGGCACAAGAGAATTGGCAAAAGATGGTCTTACGTAGCTTCTCACCTTGGAGTAGGGATCACTTTGACTTGCAGCCCTACCCTAGAGGCCCACATGTAAGATATTCGTCACGCGCTTAGTACAATTGACCTGCTGATAAAATTTTAGCAACGATCCTAGTAAGCTAGATGATCGAGAGTTGATGATACTTCTGACACATATATTGTACGGATATCCTGGCGGCGTTCATGTTAGCCGGAAGATAGACCCTCTGGTCAAGTCTATTATGAAGGGAGTTATGCTACCTTCTCCTTCACAGGTGGAACGCAGTGCAAGTGATATAGAAGGATATAAACAGGAGGATGAAAGACTTCTTGTAGAGCTGGAAGAAAATTGGCAGCCATTAAAACCGCCAGGAAGATCTGTTTAAGCGTACTCTGTGTAGGATCTGGGTGTAGCCAATAAGCGCAGGTGGATTGAATGATATTGCAGGGGGTTGCAGAAGGATACTTCCTGAACTATTTTGGCGTTAAGCCCTCCTTTTATAACTGGCAGAACTATGTAGTGCCACTTCCTAAAGCTAGATTTAGAGAATGGTAGCAGTCTGATCCTAAAGACAGTTTGCTTCTACAAATGCTCTTATCCTAGGAGCAGAGCGTTTCTAGGAGCAAAGCGTTTCTAGGAGCAAAGCGTTTCTAGGAGCAGAGCGTTTCTAGGAGCAAAGCGTTTCTAGGAGCAAAGCGTTTCTAGGAGCAAAGCGTTTCTAGGAGCAGAGCGTTTCTAGGAGCAAAGCGTTTCTAGGAGCAGAGCGTTTCTAGGAGCAGAGCGTTTCTAGGAGCATGAATGTCATGATAGTTAAAGAAGTATCCTCCTGCAACCACTTAAAAACCGCTAGATAGTCACAAAAAGAATGCTTAGCGCTAAAGCAGTTCAGGAAGTATCCTTCTGCAAACCCCTGCAATATCAGTATACTTAACTAAATTCCACATAACGGCCAGACCGAGCTAATAGAAATTATATTCTGTATCCGACAGAACACTATAAAATTTATCTAAGGAATTGATCATTATTTAATTTGAGTTGCTAGCGGTAGGTCGTGCGCCTAGCATTTCCGCTTCAACGCTTGTAGTATTATAGGAAGAATGGTTGCCTCGGTCGTCTTTGTCTTGGTCGTAAAGGCGTGTAGTGCACGTAAGAGAGGCGGACGGTCGGACATCAACGTGCGCTGGGTGCGATAGGAGCATATGCGGTATGGCTTGCGGTGCGTCGCTGTTATCCTTACCATACCCGTCTAGCATGTCCGCATTAGTGCTTGCAGTATTAGAGGAAGAGTGACCGTCTCCTAATGTAGTTTCAAAGACGTTGCTATTCTTCTCTGTTTCTAGTTGGGAGCTGCCAGTAGGAAGGAAAGTAGCGGACGGTTGGATAACAACCATAGCTGGATGTGACGGGCGCTTAGACTGTGCAGCTTGTGTAGAGAAATTCGAGTCGCAATCGAAAGACAGCCTGTGTGGTAGAAGCTTTGGCCGCAAATACTCTAGATACTCAGGTTCCGCCCTTGCAAGCAAGGACAGAAAAGCTTTCGCTGTCAAGATAAACTACCAAATGTTAGCGGAATCGTGGTAGGACTAGTCATCGTACCTCTTCTTCTCTCATTCTAGCCTGGATCTGATCAAGAAGTAGCTCATCGTGAGTTATCGCCTGTCGCATGTTAGCAACAGCATTACTATTAGTACCAAACTTACAAGATGTATGGAACGCATAATGTTCTTGAGTAGCAGATTTTGATCTCACGATACGAACACAAGATGATGGCAAGACGCTCATTATATAGACTTAGAAAGCTTGCACTAGCGTTACGCTTTTGTTCCTACTAGCTCAAGTTGTACTGTCATGCCAAGTCAGGCACATGTGATAGCGGCGCTTAAGTTCTGGTGTGCCTTAATGCCAAGATAGCTAGAAGTAAGCATCACAATACAGCATGACACCAGGAATATGTGGGGGATTTCGCGTCCCGATGTAATTATTGCCAAAACAACCACAAATCATCGGCACTTTTTCGTGTCTGAGCAGGTGCATGGGGCAATTCTAACGTATAATGCCACGCCGGATTTTTTTAACACCTAGCCGTCTAACATCCTTTTTAAGTCATTACGCGGAGTCTGTTATAGGCTGTCTTCTCTCGCTTTATATATTGGAAGGTATAAGCAAATACCAAGCTAGCATCAGGATATCCATGTGTGCTGGAAGTAAGTGAGCGAGAGTCTGACGAGCGGAGCAGAAAAAAGTTCACGGCGCGCAGATATACAGGAGCAGGAGTGCAACTACATATATTATAAAGAGACTGGTGGTAAATTGCGGGGTGTGGAAGAAAAACTGTCATAAGCTGGAGCTGATCCATGTTGAAGGACATGTCTAGATGTTGCGGCGAATGCAGTAAAGTAAATATTATATAAAGAGCACTTAAGAGAGAATGGTGCAGAGCTAAGTCAAGATGAATTGCATTGTTGTGTTCTGCTGTTCTGCTGTTCTGCTGTGGTGGCCACCTTTTTCTATGGCACCTGGAACGCAAAATATGGTATCATGGGTATGATTCCGCCGAGCAGGTACGTCAAGCCCATGACCAGCGCAGAGATCCACGCGCGCGACAATGCCGGCTTGACAAGCTGGAGTTCAAAGTCCATCATGAACTACACCTTGTTAGCTTTGCACCTCGCATCGTCGACATGGACTCACCTTGACCCACATGTCCTCGTCCTTCTTCAGTGCGTCGACCATCCCCGATACGTGCCCCCTGTCGAGACCGTACTTGCTGAAGATGGCATAGATCTCCTCCTCTTCGGCCTCGGGCACGTCGATGACTTCTTGCCGCTCACGCGCCTCCTCGACTTCGTAGTGCTTGGCTTCGGTTTTGGCGGCGAGCCAGGCGCCCAGACCCATGCTGATGGCGCCGGCGAAGAGCTCGGCTGTGCCGCCAATAATTACGATGTGGGAGGATCCGGCGCTGGAGAGGTTAGTGGGTATTTGGTGGGAGGGGTGAGTGACTTACGCTGTGAGACCAGCGGTCAGGGCGAAGGGCACGGTGAGGCCGTCTGCGAAGCCGATGATGGCGTCTCGTAGGAATTCTGAGTGGTCCTTGTGTTTCTCGGGATGGCTTTCGAGCGTTGGATGTGCCTCGAGGGTCGCGAGGTCGGTTGTCGGGTTGGTGTCGTCCTTTTCGGCCATGTTTGTTGTCGTTAAGAGAATGGTGCTTGTTCTCGACAGCAGGGAAAGAGGTGACATATAGACTCTGATGCCGCCTTCCAGTAATCTGCATCCTGATCGATAAGCTCAAGCGTGTTCTTGACTGACAAATTGGGAGGCTGTTACTGGCTAGCGCGGTATCAGATGGCCGATGTATATCAGATGGAGCAGTGGCAATTCGAGAAGTGTGTCGAGACACGTTTGTTACAATCCATTCAGCCTATTAATACGGGATGAATCCGTGCATTTATCTCTTTACTAAAGACGATAGGTTTTACAGGAAGAACTTCCGGCACCACGACTGTTGAAGTTTGGCTCTCGCCAAATGACATGGGAATGCCGACATTCTACTTTCTGGGAGAGCCTACCTCATCAACGTAACCGCAACGCTAATTCATGCGCCCTAAGAATCATGAACTGCGTATGCGGACGTATGACTGTAGAGTTGCACGGGATTTGGACAGTCAAAAACGAAGGGATATGTTGACGTGTTTGTGCGAACTTGTTGAGAACTACTATAAGCGCTCGTTCACATACGCGCACGACGCTCTATCGGCGATTACCGGCATTTCGAGCGTCTTTTCGAAGAATAACCAACTTTCGTATATCAGCAGGCTCTGGAAAGAAGGCTTGCCTCTAGAACTACTTTGGACTGTCAGTAAAGGTGACAGTATGCGTACACCACATCCGTCTGATCCGAAAGCCGGTGATCGATCCGATGCTCCCTCTTGAACATGGCTATCACATTGGGGCAAACCCGTGCAAATTGAGCAAAAGCAGTTGCGACATAGGGCCAAACCCTACGCAACAATGATCGATCAACTGGACCATTCTGATGATAATTTGAATGAAACAGCTTGTCGTCGGGACGGAATACCTTTAGACCAGATTATCAATTTCCAACGAGTTAATATGAGACCGCTTCAACTTCGAGGCCATCTCATCAAGGGAGACGTAGATCTGGGTAGTTGGTGACCTTTGTCCCCACAGGCGTGGGGACGCAGTGTGACCACGAATCATACCCGGGAGGACATGGGGGTTTTCTTCCCCGATTCAGATCTGTTCAAAGAGCCCATGCTTGCGATCACATGTTGTCTTTATGTCGTGTGTGCGGATAGACATACCGCTGCGTATCTGTGGTTAGCTTTGGTATCAACACCTCAGCCGGACGTCTACAAACGAGTCGGTATGGGCCGGCTCACCTTTGTTGACAAGACTCAACCTTTGTCATCATTTTGGGAAGCTGAGGGCAAAGCGACTTTCACGTCGGTTTGAATTTAGCAAGAAAAGTATGATTACTTTTTCGAACGTGCGGGGGCCGCAGGTGGCGTGGCCTCGCCCTGCGCCCATCCCCGATCTCCAACTCACAGGCCAATCTATCTCTTGAATGTAATGCACGGTAAATCAAGTAGAGGCTAGTACCTTCGCAAACTTGAATACATTCTGCAAGGGCTCACCCCTACGTCAGTGCTCCCAGAGCCGACAGGATCTGACCCCACGGCCTTTCAGGCGTTCCCACAGCCCTGCGATCCTACATAGCCTGCGCGCGCCTCACGCTTATCCTTCGCCAACGATCGCTCGCGCAATACAGGATGGCGACACAAGAAGAAAGTCAGGTGACAACCTGCAAAGAGTTCTTGCAGACGTTTGAGAGATGGTCAGATCCAACCTGGGGCTTCTTCGTTTACGGCACCTATACGCGCACACAAGACCAGGAAGTCTCAAACGAAGATACAGATAGGAAAAGCAGAACAGGTCAGTGGACCACAATACAGCCTATCGAGCGCAAGTATTGATGAACAGCAGATTCGACCGGCGATGATGCGCACTTCCAAGCAATGATCCGCAAAGTCTACGCCCACGCAACAGATAGCCTGCGTTACACCCACCCAGCGCCATACAACCAAAAAATGATAGACAACCTACGTCTCGATCCTGCTGCTTATATGCCTGGAGCATCGCTTGACGTCGTCTGCAAGCATTTCCGCCAACACTATGCTCAAAAAGTGTTCCCAGAGACAATGCATGAACCTGGGCCTCCCGCGATACAAGACGACATTCCCGACGAGGAGAAACTCGGTCCAAAGTGGAGCTGGTGTATAGTAATCGATGATGAGGCGCTTGAGAGTCTGGAAAACGGCCCCGAACCCATAGGAGATACGCCGCCAGAAGGCGTAAGTCCTCGTCAACTACAACATAATGCCAAGAACGCATTTGTAAAGTTGCTGTCCGGGATGAAGACGACGATGGAGAAGCCTCAAGTGATGAGTGCATCAGGTCGGGCAGGTGCTGGAGTCGGAACAGTGTGGAATGGATGGCTCAAGTTTTCGCCTGTGGATCTTATGGGTGTCTGGATTCATGCGGAGGGTGGGATTATCGAGGATGTGTTTGATGGAGAGGACAAACTTTTTGACTGGTGATCATCGAGGATGATGTGCCGTATATGCGATGGCAGCTTGGGTGCGTACACTTGGCACTCGAATCGATCAAATCAGATCCTCTAGGCAACCATCCTTCGTTCAAAAGTAGCCGATATATCCGGTCTTGCCTACATCATCATAGTAGAGGCGCATGAAGAACAGTACTACGATTGCGCACACACAATGGCGCATCAGATATCGCTGACTTCGGTAAGACACGACATCAAGTGAGCATATATCATGTTGATGCTGACTATTCGCAGGGTCTAAATCTGCATCCAGATTCAACAACGCTGACCTGTCCTTACACCTTCCTAGTAGCCATTACACCAATTTCATCGACCGTCATGAGCTACTGGGCACCTTCAAGTCCCTCACGCTCATTTGTACGCCTACAAACGCAGCTTACGGCTTCTCAAATCCGACTCATACAACCCCACAAAGACTTCGGTGAGGTGCGCCTTCCAGTCAACGAACTTACTCTCGCAAACTTCCTCCGCAGCCAGATCGAACTCGAGGCTTCATCGCAAGGCGCGCCGATGGTATCGAAGCTTGTCGCCCGATTGCAAGACGCAAAGGCTGGCGATAATGAGGACAGTGACGGTGGCGATAGCGCTTTGGTTCACATCTTGAGCTTCACAGTACTCGGTGATGAAAGTGGGGAGCTAGTCCCGAAAGGTCGCATGTTACTGTGGAAGTGGTCTAAACCTCATAGTCAGTACCGGAAGGCAGGCTTCTGGAGTTGTAGCTTGACAGAGGTCTTGGTCGATGCCGAGTGGAATACTGGTAAAGATGTTGCGATATATGTGAAGGCTGTTGAAGAGGAGGAGTATGAGAGGGTGTTGAAAGGCGAGAAGAAGACTTAAGCGGAGTTCACTTGAGCTGAGACTGGGGAGCGTAAGGCGTCTTGATGTGAGACGTCTGGATGTTAAGACAGGAGAAGGGAGTGACCGTGCTTTCTCGAAACAGCTCATTCTGGGAAGGCGCTATGCTTGAAAGGTGTTAGGCTCACAACGTGTCGAAGGAACGTTCCTGCCGTCACTCATTTCCAATGCGGAGGTTAACGTCAACGTTATGCATGCAACACTAATACAAGCGTTGTCTATGAGCCTTTAATCAAGAAAGACCCCATCTGTACATCCGCGACCAGCTAAGCATGTTCAAAAACGTGAGCAAAAGCACTTATCTCCGCGTCTGCAAGCCAGACCTAACTACACACCTCACGACCCACTACTACGCTTCCGCAGCAGCGGCATCGACGGTATCTTCGTCAACCGCCTAACCTTCGTCATCGCCTTTGGACTCGGGCTGGGGCTGGAGCTCGCCATCGGCGTCTTAACCCTCAACGCGTTCTTCGAATCGGCAAGCACCTCACCCTTACCAGACTTGTGTGGCACGAGGAAAGAGTCGAACGTCGCCTCTGGGTCAGCGCGGAACAGCACTCCTTGTTTCAGAGGGCTGCGTACGCGTGTCGAAGAGCTGGACGACGACGGCCCTGACGGTGATGCTAGAGGCGAGATACGACGGGTGTTGTATGCGCTTGTGCGAGGGCCGGAAGGCTGGGAGAAATAGTCTCCGCTGCTAGCTGCGCGAGTGTGTGAGTAGCGACGGTGGCGCGGCGCTCCATACTCCTCAGACGGTGCGGTTGGTGTTGACTGAGGCAGCGAAGGTGGCAGCATAGAAGAGCAAAGGTCGTATGTCGACTGAGAGGACCGCCAAAAATGTGTGTGAATGTATTCGTCATCCTTTGTATTGTCAGTTGATTTCCCAATCCAAGGTATGTACAATTTATTACGCACCTTCTCCTTCGTCTTCACTGCAGCGCGCTGGCTTTGCAGCATATCGTGCTCAATGTCCGCGAGCGCATTCATCTTCTCCACCATAGGCATCGCCCGAGGAACCAAAGCCTCTTGACCCTCATGGTGAGTGACAAGGCGCTCGCTCGACCACTCTTGGAGGTTGTGGTTCTTCTCGCCTTGTGCGAGCGCTTTCAAGTCTTCTACAGACAGCGCCTGAGCGTAGTAGCGTGGCCTCGGCGCGGGTTCCTCCCATGAGAAGACCGACATAGAGTCGCATGAGTAACGATGCGTGCTTGACTCTGTGAGGCGGTACCGGGGTTGCGGGTTGATGCTTGTAGAGCGATTAGGCGCGTTGCTAGTCACGAAAGGCGTCAAGAAGTTGGTGTCGAGTGGTTCAAAGCACTCTTGCACGGAAGAAGTGAAAAGAGGTACTGCCACTCGTTGATCAAATGGCTCACTCAGATTTGCAGCGACATTGTACGAGGTAGAGCCCTCTGTGGACCCTGGAACTGTGTAGGTCAAGGGCTCCCGCGAGATTGCATCAAAAGAGAACACTGAATCCCGATCAGAGTCGTCCACAACCCGCGGCCAATTTTCATCGCCAGCTTCACCATCACATGCCTTCATCTTTCGCTTCGAAGGTGTCGCACGCAGCATGTAGCCCATACGCACGGTTGACTCTTGTGATGGGACTTGCGACAAGGTGGAAAGAAGATGTTCGTATTGCGGAAAAGCTCCTTCAAGGTAAGATTGTGCAATAGATCGGAGATACGTGCGATATTGAGCTCGCAATGATGAGGATGCCTCCCCAGGAGCAAAAGATATCTGCTTATATGCGCATGGGCAGATATCAGTGTGAAAACCCATCATCTGTACGATGCGCATCTGCGGTAAAGAGCCTCCATCATTCACAATGGCTGATACCTTGTTGGGTGAACAGAGTAAGACGCCCAGAAAGCCTTGCACGAAGCGCTGATACAAGATTCACTGCTATCCCCGAAGCCCTTCTGATCTCATACTGGGCCTTCTGCCTTCTGCCTTCGCATCTTTGTCTTCATGCATCTTTCTCTTCTCTTCCTCAAGTGCTTCCTGCCTCCTCACGGATATGGAACTAGCTGCTACACAGCTCATTTCCGGCATTTGCCTTCTCTTCGTGCGATGCGTCAGCCGTGGAAGTATCGGCATGGCTTCCAAATGACATCGTGTGTCAGATGTCTCAGTTGTGCGTCGCCATTTGGCGTACGAATGTTTGTTATCTTGCGTCCTATTATCCATTGCCTCATTCATACGTAAACCCAGTAGAAAAAGCTGAAGAGCATTGTAGCGGCGCCCACATACGCTGATGTACGGGGTGTGTGCCGACTTCCGAGAGAGGTGGGGTCGAACACGGGTCTACGATCATCGTTAGCTCCTGGACTTGGCGTAACTTCTAAATAAGGCAATAATGTCATCGGTACGCAGTCTACTGGCATATGGTAGATCGCTTGGTTAAAGTGGTGTTAACTTACTGCTTTAGGTGCAAACCCATGTCGTCGATGGCATCGCACTTCTGCCACTCACTCTCCGGAACAGCTTCCATGTCCACTTGGTTCTTGTCGTTGAAGCTTAATCGCTGCCCTTCGCTCGCGCCGAATGAGTGCCAATCTGGGCTCTGTAGCTCCGAGCCTTTGGAAAGCAGATACTCTGCGGCGTGGGTATTGGGGTCATAGCTTCGTATGAATGATGCCCAGTACGCCTGGACAAAGACACCAGCCGCTGAAGTGGCATTGTTCCAGATTGGCAGGAGTTCACCAACGTGTGATGCAGTTCCAACGTTCCATCGGTACTGCCAGGTAGGATTCGTGTTGTTGAGGGCGTACGTATCAGTAATGTTGAGACTGGGACAGTTGTAGCGGATATAACCATAGACATCTGCGGTCAATGATCTCCAGCGAGCGTCGCCAGTAGTTCCAATGTTGCCATTCCAAAGCTGACGAATTGTGTCCCATTTTACACCTGGGTATTGGTCGATTAGGAAATCCTGAGCTCGAGGTTGAGACATGATGCTCTTGGCCACGAAGTTGATTCCATCGTTTGTGGCGGTGCCGAAGATGGTCGGCACGTTGACGAAATGACCAGACTTCAGTTCGTTGAAGGTAAAGTCTTTTATGAAGTCGTAGTCTACTGTCGGGTTCCAGAAGTAAAGAGGTGGGTTCTTGCCGCCTGGGAAAGGCTTCTGCAATGTACGCACAGCATCTTGAAAGATGACCGCATCCAAGCTCGCCATACAGTTGAGATCTGCGCATCCGGTTTGGTGGAGTAGCTCGTCATACTGCCATTGACTGTTCTCTACGTCTCGCAAGGGCGGAAAGGCAGGAGATTCGGCGGCAGCAGCGTGGAAGAGGCCATCGTCTCGACCACCATATGCGGTAAGTTGGAAGACCACGGAGCCTCCACCAGCACTTGCGCCTCCAATCGTAACGTGTTTTGGATCGCCTCCGAACTGCTGGATGTGTTTCTGGACCCACTCGAGCGCTTTCCTCTGATCCTTTAGTCCATTGTTCAAGCTCAGGCTTTGATTTGCGACAATCTCTTTGCCGGCCAGAAATCCATAAGGCCCTACTCGGTAGTTGAAGTTGACCACAACCATGCCGTCGTCGCCAGCATCAATCAAGTCTGCACCGTTGTAGTTCGCATTGCCGTTCATGTTGAAGCCACCGCCCTGAATGAAGACGTAGACCGGCAACATGCTTTTGTTGGTAGCTCTTTCTGGCGCAAAGACATTGACAAACAGGCAGTCTTCCGAGTGCTTCTCCCCGAATTCAGCTTTGAGGGTGCTCTTGGTGCCGATACATAGGGGTCCGAACTAAGTCTTGTTAGCGTAGTGTCAGCAAACCGTGAACACGCTCTGTACCTTTGTAGCATCAACAACATTGCGCTCGTCCTTGGGATCTTGAGGTGCAGCAAATCGAAGTCCATCTAACCGGGTTGGACTTCGAGCATATCGCATGCCAGCCCATCGTATGACACCGTTGCCAATATCCTTGCCACGGTATTGTGCGTAGCCAAGGTCGATGGTCTCCTTCAATGCGAGGGCGTGTTGAAAGAAAAGCGCTGCGCAAAGCAGCAAACGAAACATTGTCGACAGCTGTGTGAGGAACCAAGGAAAGAAAGGTAGCTGTAAAGTATCTCGACAATCTGTATCGTATTCGGCCGCGCTGCCCCTGGTTGTCGCCGAAGGGTCGTTCCGATACGAGCTATGCTATAGTGCGGCAGGGCTGTGGTAGATCGTTGTTCTAGGGGAGCGAAATAGAACAACAAAAGGAACTTGACAATTGCATCATAGTTTCATAGCGGGAATTTGCGTGGGAAGGTACTATTTCCGAGCGTTGGCATTCACTGGTGGCGTCTGTAGGCATTGTGTGAGTACATACCGTGGGGAAAGGTCAGTGACATTAGCATCGTGCTACTAGCAAACGTAAGCTCGAGGGCTGAGTCGGTGGTAGGACGACAACTCAGATCCACGTCACAGAAGTGCGGACTCCGCGGGTATAAGAGAGCCCGGGCGACTTTGTTGTTGGTGCTCCCTAAGTACATACCGCCGCCAGCCACAGCATCAAGCCAGGGGTTTTCGAAATCCAGACCATTCGCATGCATGAGGATGTGACACACACTGTGACTGGGTAGCCCTAGGCCTATGGGGAGTGGAGAACGTTGGCCTGGATGATTTACCGACAGGTCGTAGCGCGCGCTGACGGTGTAATTACACCGAGACCATTACTGCATGACTCCAGGGCTGTGTTTCGTTGGACACCTGAGGCCCGCGGAACCCCTTCTGGAATTGAGGACGGCGAAAGGGGGTGCAGCATGATGGCTAGCGCTTGACGAGACGGCAGATGAGGACTGACGACAACAATGAGATCAGATCTACGATAGAAGCGCGGCTGGCGGGTGCCCAGCGTTGATGATCAGAAAGCCATGTGGGACCTGCAGCTAAATCCATGATGCGAAAGCTTGATCACCTCTAGGATGATAAGCGACATCCTTGCCGGCTTCCCCCCAAAGGGCAAGATCGACCCTGCCAACGCCCTTCCAGCACGGCTGAAACCTAGGAATGAAACCACCATGGCCTTGCACAGCGCATCCGCCCTCACGACATTATGTGGAAACTATGAGGTGCTGCAATCCAAGGTTTTCGCTCATTACTTGGCCTCATCATCGCGAGCAGTGGTGCTGCGCAAGCTCATGTGGAAATACTTGGCTTCATCGCGATGCCCGAATGGCGTTCAACAGCCACGTCGAGACGTGCTTGGCTGATCCTATTGCAACATTTGTGAGTACCTTGGGGCCCTGCCTACGTCGTCAGCTGTCACCTCAAGTGCACTGTTTGTTGTTCAAGCACCCGCCCGGCTGGAAACCTGCTCGGCCTGGAAGCCGGTTCCTCCTCAGGGTCCAAGTGCGTCATTAAGGTTCACTCCAACGGTCGTGAATCAATAAATTTCATCCACGGTTCAGCCACAGAGAACCCAGCAGCAACTCTTCAATTTCGGAAACCAAAAGTCTACCGAGCAGCGAGCACGGATAGACCCCGCGTTGAAGCTCAACAATAGCGCTGGTAAATTCGGTGATCCGGGGGAGTGCAGTGCCGCGGAACTCCAAGCTTCCCGAACGCCATGCAAGCCACTGAGCTGTTGTTCTAAAACTTCCACCACTCTTAATCCTCACCACATCTCCTCGAGAATTCTTCTAGAGCCCTGGATGGACGTTTTGCACATGTTCTGTGGTCGCAAGATACCGAGGTCTTCGCCTACCCCATTTTGTCTCAACAGGAAGCTGTACCCTACGATGTTCTTCCGATACCGCTCTTTGTATGAACGAATCGCAACCTACATGCAGTAAAGTCAATTCCGAATGCTGCTAGCAAGGAATCGCTTAGATAGTGGCATTCCTACTCGAATTCCGCCTTGAAAGTGCTCGTAAGGGTAATATCCCTAGTTCGGGCAGTTACGGGTAACATTCATTTACTCACTGCTGCTTAATGTAAAGTGTAATCGCGCTCGATGGATGCAGATATAGGTTTCGAAAGGTATGCATGTCAAAAGCCATGGAATCCGGAGGGTACATAGTCATGTGCATTATACCATTGGTCTTTGATGTCTTCTTGTCTATCTTCCATGGGACATGCGCCACGAAAGTCCATGTTCACTCACTCCTCCCACTATCTACATATCCACCTCATCTATGTGCCCTCGTTTACATGTCTTTGAACAATAGACTCACATCCATCGTGTAGTCTCAAACCTCCACACTAGCATACCCTGGAGCCTGCTCGCGTCTTCCCCTCAAAAATCAGTCACCCTCCCATTATAGCTCCAATCCCCCGTCTTCCCCGTGCTCCCCCACCTAAGCGGTTCATTCTTCGGTCCGCCCACCTCTCCCGTCTTGGGATTGACATCGCCCTCAAACTCCGGTGGCGCCCCTCTCCTCATATTAGGATGGAACTCCTCTCCCTTCTTAATCTGTTTACCATTCTCGAACCTGATTTCCGGACCTTCACTACCTTCCGAAGCCGAATCAGGCGACTGATTTATCTGGGGTCGTGACGCCGATGCAGGAGACGCGGGTGTAGGAGAAGAATCCGGCGACTGGTTGATGCGCATGCGGATATTGGGAGTGGAGGTGGGTGTTTCGATGTCTTTGGGGGTGCTGAAGGCGCCGGTGCTTTGTTTTTGCAGCTTTTCGAAGATTTCCTGGTCTTCTTTGGGTAGGCGGGGTGGTGCTGGGCCGGAGCCGAAAGGTGCTTGCGCGTGTCGGGTGGAGATGCTGAAGGTGCGGCGGGAGAGCTGGCGCGGGAGACGTGTCATGGTGCGCATTGTGGCGGCCATGGTGGAGGATTGTATAGGTAACCGGTCTGTTGTGAGGTATGTGGGCTGTATGAGGTATGTAATGTGTGAAGTGAAAGCTGTTTGTGACTCGATGGCGAAGACGACTTTCTTGACTGTCGATCTGGGCCGCGGCTTGACGGGGCCAATCGGAGCCTTGCAGTGGCAACGGAGGTCGCATTTTCGTAGATCGTAGACATGCATCACAGCATTCTAGAAATCTGAATGTACAGTTCCGAATTATTATCGTGATATCGAATGACCCAGTATATGTTGCGTGTAACTTTTCAAAACGCTATCGTCCCTTCTGGGTGAAAACGCCCACCATCCTCTGCATCCAAACGCCAGGCTATCGTACAAACTGCAGCACAACATCTACGAAATGTATCCATTCGTCTCGCCCAGGGCCCGCGCACTCCTTCCTGCGTCCAGGAACAAGCTCTGACATTCCTCCACATCGTCCACCTCAATTTGCTTGTTCTCCCGTCCGTTGACCTCTGCCAGTACGCTTGCGGGTGCTAGAAGTTGCAGCGCGTAGCGCAAACTGATTTTCTCACCAAGAGAGCTGACCTTCTCCTTCGCTGGTCCCGAGATGTTGAGCTTCTCGGTTGTAACGCGCGTGGAAATAATCGACTTGATCTCTGCAGGACCGTATGGGTGTGTTGGGATGATGAGCAGACGTGCGAGGAGATCGGTCGGGATACCATGCGCCGAAGGAGGAAGGTTCTCTCCGCCACGAATATGTGTGTTGCCGCGGTTCGACGCAAGGATAACAAGAGGTGACAGAGGTGATTCGAGAGCACGGTTCAGGAACGTGAAGGCTTCGAGATCGAGCATGTGAACCTACGTATGTTAGTCGAGCCCATAAATCAGAAAGTAATGTCTTACCTCGTCGATGAAGAGCACACCGGGTACTAGGTCTGCGATACCTTGGTCGATGTACCTATTAACAACCTTGTTGATCTCTAACCGCAGCTTCTCGGTAATCTCGGTCTTCTTAGGCTTCATCAATTGTCCCATCATGCTCATGATGTCCTGTCCACCTTGCGGCCGCGCGTTGGCGACATCTAGGTCGTGCAGGGTAACATCCTGGACAATCTCCTTCTTCTTGTGCACATCGCCCTTTGGTATCGGAACGTATTCCTCCGCCTCGAGGTCAAATTCAGTCGCGTAAGCGTCCGATCGTCCGACGCGCTTTACGGCTCCCGTATTGGCTTCAATGTAGATGACATCGCCGAGACGAACGCGCTCCTTCTGTATAGCCTCGTATATGGATGGGTCGAGTCGTAGCTTCTTGGTGCCCTTGGCGGACTTGAGGTTGATGAGGAGATGCGAAATGGTGCGGCCATAGCCCCCGAGCGGGTTTTCAGCTTCTTCGGGCGTGAGCTCAGTCACTTCACCTTCGTAGACTTCCTTGGTTTCCTTGACGCGAAGACCTGTTCCAATGTATCAGTACAGTCCGTGCCCATGGAAAAAGTGAATGCGCACCTATCGCTCTCCTGAAGTTCTCCATGAGCGCTTCGGTCTTCTTGACTTCCGCAGAGTAGATCTCGCTGCCGACAATCGGACAGAATGGCACCTTGGTACCCAGCTCCTGGCTTACAGCCAATGCCAATGCGGTTTTACCGGTTCCGGGACCACCTGCGAGTAGCACGGCTCTGCCTGACATCTTCTTTGCCTTGACAAGGTCGACGACTAAACCACATGCCTGCGCCAGTTAGTACCTAGGCTGAACGAGAGTGTGCAGGGCTCAAGTACCTCTCGTGCTGCAGCTTGGCCAACGAAGCCGCCAGCTGAGGGAGTTGCGCGTCCATCGCTTGATAGACCGAGTCCTTTGATGTGGGAATGCGCCGCGGTTCTGGATGAGCGATCGTGCGTGCTCTTGACTTCGCTGACTGGCACAGTCGTCATTTTCAGTGTCGCAAGCGCTCAATGATATGGAACGGTAATGGTTCGCAATCGGGGTGTCGATGGCAGTCGCGTGGGGTAGGTGGCGATGGTATGTACAGCTGGGCGCGTGTTGTTTGGGGTGTCTTGAGCTCGAAGTTTTGGGAGGGATGGCAGTTCGCGAAAGGCACAGCTTAGCGCGTCGACCGCAGCACTGGCGCTCCATGTCAGTCACCCGCTTGAATCCCCACCCTCCGCCTCCACTCACAGCAGCAGAGCATTCACACTCTCGGGCCTGTCTCAGGGTCGTCCGCCATACTGCCTACATTCTTGCTATCGCTCCAGCCACTGCACTGCACACTACCATTTACCAGGATTTTCGACCATCGCGCCTTCCTTTATGGTGTCGCTGTCCATTCCCGTCACACGACGTCGCAGTCAGGGTCACTGCCTGAGCGAGGCGCCCAACACAGCGTACAGTATCTGATGTCCCTCTTACGGCGTCTGAGCCTAACCTTGCTCCAGTCTATCGTCCTCGGGAGCATACCTAGCCATGTGCGCGCCCTGAGTACGGTCACCTCTCGGAGCTTCCTCCCCCGAACATTCAGTGGCCGCCCCTTCACCCTGAAGAGACACGGACTACCTGGAAGACACACATGGATATGCAAAAGAATCATACAGGCGAAGCGACACACGATAGCGGTTATCCCTTTCCGCCAGCTCCACAGCTGCGCCGCATCCACTGGCATCCACTGGCATCCACTCTCGAGGCCTACCGAGCCAAGACCATTAGGACTATGGAACATCACACGCCGAGGCACAACGCACATTTGGCAATATTATCTGAATTTTGTTCTGGGCTGCCGACCCGAGCAGCATACTCATACAGCAAAAGGATACTCGCATGTCCTCCCTTTTCAGTCGAACCTCCACGCCAAGTTCCACTTGGGGCTCGCAGCCCACGCCTTTGACCAAAAGGACCTAAAAAGACAAACCTCATCACTCGTTATCCGTTGTCGGCATTGGTACCATGATCATGGCACCTCTAGGGTGTGGTCGGTGTGCAAGAGAGAATACTATACAATCGATGTGGGATGGTTGTGTGTGGATTTGGTGGTGAGTTGACGCCTTCCAGCTTGAGCAAGCACTGACACTGCCTCAGTTCCCTGGCCATCAGACGCCCACGTTCCGTCATGTCAAGGAGAAGGAAAGAGTTGGACCAATCATCGAATCAGGACGTCACACGAGAATAGCAGGACTTATTGACGGAAGATCACTCTTCCTCGCTCTCGGAGCCGCTGTCGTCATCGTCGCTGGATGCATCATGCACTGCAAAGGTTAGTGGGTGATTGAAACGTGCACTTGCTGACGACTCACCAGGTGGAGACTGGCTGGATCCCGACGCACCGCCCTGGAACGACTGCAGCTTCTCCTGGATCTTGCGCATGTTATCCTCTTGCTCGCTCTTGCCCATGGGCTTGTTCTTCTTCGGTCGGGCCGCCGCCTGCTTCGACACCTGCCTCGGCGGTTCAAAGTCATCATCGACCACGGCACCTCCCTTAGAGCTACGGAGAGACTTGATAAACCTCAACAGCTCGCGGAGCGTATCATCGTTGATCTCGTCCATATCGAGCTCCATCTCATCATCGTTCACGGTAGCAAGGTGCGGGCAGCCGTTTCTGATGATCTGGACCGCCTTGCGCATGTCAAGATCGCCGAGCGTACTGATACCCTCGGAGATCTCCTGTTTCTGGGCGAAACTCAGAGGCGCAGGAGCCTTTGCCTTCTTGACCGGTGCGGTTTTGATGGGCTTGGCAGGAGGCGGCACCGCAAGGGGAAGACTCTTCCTCTTTGCTGGTGGCGCCACAGCCTTCTTCTTCTTGCCAGGCAACTTGGGGGAAGCACGCTTGCCACCCGTCTGTTGTTGCAAAAGTTGTTGCGCTGTGGCGTTCAGTTGAGCAATCTGTTGTTGGATTGCAAGGAACTGCGCCTGAGCAGGATCTATCTCCTCCTCCTCTTCGTCTTCCTCATCTTCCTCATCAGAATAGAGGTCGCTTGGCGAGTGTTCAGGAGCAGGCGCATGCTGGGCAAGCCAGTCCGCCTTCTCCTTCCACAGGCTCTCGAAGAGATCTTCCATCTTGTGTCCCATCTGGTTGACAGCATCACCTTCAGGATTGAACTTGTAGCAGTTGTGGAAGACCAGTTGCGCATCCGCGTAGAAGTCCTTGGCACTCTGGTAGACACCGTTCTTCAGGTTCTTCTCGATCGTTCCAAAGTCCATCGGCTTCTTAATGATCTTGAGATAGGACGGAATGTTGAGTGCCACGGGATCTACGGGAGCGATGAACGGGTAAGTAACCGCACTGTACTTTGGCTTCATGAGCTCGGTAAGGACAGACTCGCAGAACTTGAGTTCTTGTTGGAACTTCTTCCGTCTCGGCTTTGCGTTGGTGTACGGCAAATCCTTCGACGGCCTGTGAATCTCTCGCTTTGGCCTACCGTCGGTGGTGGACGAATCACGTCGAATCAGTGGAGTGCCGTCTTGCTGGAGAGGCCAGGCAGCCTGAGGCGACGTCGCAGCCGGAGTAGCGACAGCAGGAGACTTGACGTTGGGTGGCGCAACGCGAGACTCACGTCGAGCCTTTTGCGAAGTGCTCACCGACGGCTTCTTGGCCTTGACCGGCTTGGGTGGCTCTTCCGCAGCAGCTCCCCGGGGCATCTTACCCATGCCTTTCAAGAAGTAGGCGCGAAGGTTGTAACCTGCCTGCGTTACAGGATGCTCCTTGTTGTTGAAAAGCTCGCTGTTCGTGATCATCTGATCCAGATCTGCCATGAAATCCCTTACGTAAGTGTACTTTTTGTCCTTGAGCTTGTGCTCCATAGTCGTCAAGTCCATTGGGTTCTTGACAATGTCGGGATAACTCGGGATGTTGAGTGCTACAGGGTCAACGGGATCCTTGAACGCTAATGAAACCTTGATCTTCTTCGTGTTCCTTATCCGCTCAAGAAGAAACCTGTTCTGTGCATCCGTCATCGGAGTGGTGGGCCACTCTTCCCAATCAACAGCCTTGTGGACACCTGACGCCTCTTGCGCAGAATCAGATGCCGGGCCCGGGGTACCTCCATTTGCGCTGGCCTGTTCGGTCTGATTCGGTAACTCTGGCAGCTTGAAGTCGGCTTGAGTCTCCTCGTCGGTCTTGGTGCGCTTTGCGTCCGGAATGTCGTCATCGTCATCCTCGCGTGGGCGCACCTTGCCAGAGGATGGGGCATCTTCCATTTCCCGGTCTACTATCGCTGGTGATTGAGCAGCAGCAGATGGGGGCGCAGTGGCTGCATCGCCATCGGTCTTGATCGTGAGGTCGTTCATCGGCTTGGTAGGCGCTCCGGAAGATTCTGAGGGCTTCGACTCTTCGGGCGCATCAGCGGTAGTGTCCATGCTGTCTTCAGCCGGGGCTTCCTCTGTGGCGGAGAGTTGGGTTTCGGGCACTTCCTGAGTGCTAGCGCCTGTTGCCTGGGTGGCTGAAGAGAGCTCCTCTGCAGTCGCTGGCTCATCGCGTACGTCTGAAGTCGGCGCCTCCACAGCATTCGCTACCGTGGCACCAACATCTGAGTCGCCGAATAACGAATTATTGTCTTGGTTCTCAGGCAGATATTGTGCGACACCATCGATTCCGGCGGATACGTTGGTAGTGGGCTCAACTGCAGGCGCTGACGTGTCCATGTCTACGTGATTTCCGTTTGTAGTGGGTTTTGACTGTGCGATGGTATCGTCGATGGTGGTGGTTTTGGAATCGGGTTCGTCGAAGAGTACATCGTGAACACTACTAGGTATTAGTAGGTCGCGCGAGGTGAGAGGAGGGGCAAGTGAAGGTGAAGGGAAGAGCGACTTACCCGTTTGCCTCGGTATCCACTGCCATTGCGTCTGCCGGCGCAAAAGCGCTCGCCTTAAGGTCCAGGGAGGATTTGTCGACAGTAGGTGATGTCATTACTGCCATGGGGCCATGAAAGTCAAAGACGGGATTGCGCGCGGCTGACAGAGTGTATGGTGTGTTTGATGTTGTTGCTAATCTGGGATCGTTAGCGACTTCCGCTTTAGGCGCACGCGACTGCGCGAGTATACGCGTGTTAATGACGGACACGGCAGTGAGGGAGGGATGGGCGCGTTTACGGTAAAGGTGGGGTCGCAAAGTGAGGCTAGCGTCGGTAGAGTGACGCGAGGAATGAGGAGGGGCAGCTGAGGACTATATGTTGCAGAGGCTGAAACGCACGTGACTACGTACCAGATGGTGGCGGCGGCGAGGTAGCAGGGCGGAGGCGGCAGTCGGTGATGAGTCAGACTTTATAGCGCCGACGCGTTTGTTGTGGTGGGCCAAGCGCGTAGAGGGAGAGGCAATAACGGCGTGGTGCAGCTGTGCGCCCTCTCAAGATGTGCGACAACAACACAAACGTTGGTGATGTAGTGCACGGATGGTGACGGTGGCTTGGGTGTTCAGACGGCGGGCGGTGAGCGCTAGTGTGCAGCGGGTGCGGATGCAGACAGACGGGGATGGGGATGGATGCGCCGTATTAATTATGTCGGATGTAGTGGGTGCAGCCGCCTGGACTTGGGACGCGATATACTGGGCCTTGGGCGGGTGATGAGGTGTGGCGGGGGAGTGCGAGTAAGGTTGGGTGATCGGGAGCAGGCGCGTATTGATTGGAGGCAGATCAGGAAAATGGACTCAAGAACGTCGAAGACAGACGCGAGAGGAGAGGCATTGGGGTTAAGTAGCCCGGCCCTTCCATCTCCGAGCCAAGCCTCAGAGCAGCCCCTGACGTGCCACTAAACTCGACGGGGACGTGTCCTTGCCGACTTCTTGACCATGCGCGTCCGCAACGCCGCGTCTGGACATTGTTTACCTCTTTTGTAGCATTTTTGAGATGCGCTTGGACTACCACGCTTCCTTGCTGATGATTTTGGTGTTGCAACAGCGGTCATGAACGCGTCGCAGCGAGCTCGACAGCTCTACACTATGATCCCTGTCGGCAAGGCCCGTGCGTGCAGGGGTGGGTAATTCGCTCTTCCAAATTTTTTGCGACCACTTGTATCTTGCGCATTGCTTCAGGCTGCAACATTACAGCCTTGTACAAACTTCCGGTGAAGCCCTCCACACGCGCCGCCTGCGACAAATCGAAACATACGGTGCCCACGAAAATGCCCGCCGCCGTAGCAACCCCGAAGAATCGCGACCGCCGGCCTGCGAAAAAACCCAAGTTGGCGCAATCGCCTGCGACAGTCCGCCAAAATGGTCTCAAAGCACTTGTAAATGGAAATGCGGCCAAGCCCACAGCAAAGACAAACGGTGTCAAGAATGCGCAGGCAGACCGAGTCGACGACGCCACCGCTGTTGTTGAAGGACCAGCCGATGCGCACATGGCGGATGCGGACGTCATAGAGATCAGCAGCGCCGAGGAAGAGAGCGATGACGACTCGGACAGCGCGCAAGAAGGTCCCACGCAGGCTGATGCTGCTGTGGATGACGAGAATGGGGCGGAACCGGAAGAGCTCACATTCGGGGACCGATTACGCGCAGAAGGCCCTGAGCCTGTCCAAGAATCGCGAATCATAAGCGTCGAAGACGCCTTCGACCCCAACCCAGAGCGCGCAGTAACAGCGACGAAGAACCGCCCACTTGCACCGCCGAATGCAAACTCTCTCGGCACCGTCCTCACTCAAGCCTTGCGCACCAACGACAAAGAGCTTCTCGATTCATGCCTTCAGGTTGTCGATGTAGAGTCGGTCTATGCTACCGTCGAACGGTTGCCATCGCCGTTGGTCGGAACGCTATTGCAAAGACTGGCGGAGCGGCTACACAGAAGTCCCGGCCGAGCGGGCATGTTGATGGCCTGGGTACAATGGAGTCTTGCCGTAAGCAGTCCACGTCTGAATGGAAAATGCATCGACTAACACTTACCGAACAGGCGCACGGAGGATACCTCGCTTCCCAGCCCCAAATTGTCAAGCAACTCACGGCACTGAACAAAGTTTTGAAGGAGCGCTCGAGCGGTCTGATGCCGCTCATGTCGTTGAAAGGTCGCCTAGATATGCTACAAGCTCAACTTGATCTAAGGAAACGAAACCAAGCCGCCAACGACGATGCGGACGAAGCACTGGTATACGTCGAGGGCCAGGACGATTACGTCTCTGATGACGAGTCTGTTGAGGGAGCCACTGCAACCCCGAAACGATCGCGTCCAGAGATGGACGACGACGACGAGAGCTCGTCAGATGATATGGGCCTGAATATGGAGATGGACGACGTTTCCGACGAGGGTAGTGAAGGTTCTGATGAAGACCTCATCGATGACGAGGCAGAAGAGACGGATGATGACGAGGGCGAGGACATGTCAGACCCTATGAGCGATGATTTGGAGGATGGTGACTCCGAGAGCGGAGACGAATCGAAACCAGAGCGACGATCAACAGCGGCTCGGGCTGGGCTCAAGAGCCGGCGCTGAGTGTTGAAGAGGAAGTTCGTAATTCTTGTACAGTCTACGACGGCCCGCGAACCACACTACTTGGCGCGTCCGATCATCGAAAATTGGGATTCACGCATAGGCGTTCATCTATGGTGGCGTTGATACCTTACTTACGGCAATCTATACGAAGTCTAGATTTCTTCTACGTACCGCATTCCGGAAGTATCCTATACATGACCAATGGAAGGTTTCTGCAGCTAACCAAGCTGTTTGTCGGTCTGAGACATGTCTTTGCCTTGTGGTCAGTCAGAAATACTCCCTATTGTGAGCTCTGATCCCCTCTAGTGCACAACGTACTGCCATCTCACTTTACAATGATCTCATCGCCAATTGCGTAAGAGCACTCATGTTTTCCCTGTCGAAATGCCAATCTTATACACCAGAAATACGCCCACCCACGCTAAGGCCCTGAGATCTAACGACCAGTCGTCTGAGCCAGGACGACATCCACAGCTCAAACGCAGGGCCACCGGAGAAATCTACCGGTCTTCCAATCTACAACTCAGACCACATCCGAGTCAGGTATACGCTACTATCCTAGATCTCAACGGCAATTCCATAAAGCGCGACCAGCCTTGCCCCGTTTTGCGCCACACAGCTTCTAGCCGTATCTTTCAGCCTAAGCCTTTGACAGTTGCCAGACGTGAGTCGCACAAGCCAGAACTATCCACAGCGAATCTGATTCACACCAATAGTATAAAAACGTCCATAGCGCGCAACGGATTCGCTCAGACTAAACAAAGCTACGAAGAGAAAGGACAAGCGGACCATGGATTGCACTGTCGAATCTCAGCGCCAATACGAAGTTTACAAAAAGGAAGCATGTGACGTCCGCCATGTGACTTCTTGTCACAATCTACATGCTCATTACAAGCGCGATGGCGGACATGGCGGAGGGCATTACTGTAAGATTGACGAGTCTAAGCGCTACGATTTGAATGACTATCATCGGACTGACCGTCTTGTACTTAGCAATCTGACACATACCAGATTGACGAAGGATCCTGACCTACAAGAGTGGCTTTGTTCAACAACTCCTTCTGACAATACGGTGGAGGGGTCAGAGGGGGAGGAGATGATTGACGATGAGGATATCTGGTCGCAAGTGGGAAAGGCGGAAGGAGGGGAGGGCACTAAGTGAGGATATCCTCATATTATTCGCTGACGCCTAGAACTGTTTTGTTCTCCGGAATTTCCGTAACGCTTCATTTTCTCTACACATTCAGCGATACATTTCATCGTCTTTAGCACAGCCCTATTTCGCGATGTTCTTCATGGCAATCTTTATTGTTCAAGAATTCTTCTTCGATTTCTATCTAGTAGGCATTCGATATTTCACCATTCTTCCCCCGTCAAACGTGTACCTTCACAATGCGGTTACCCAAACAAATCAACCTTGGCTTTTCTATACGTCTTGAGAGGGAGGCCCCAGTGAGTTAGTCCCAACCGGATTGAGGCAAATTGTCTGCGACAAACATGCCATCTCTACCTTGGGGCTCGATGAGTGCCAGACAACGCAAGTATGAAATCGAGAGGATGGAAGCTTGCGCTGTCCCACGCAAATCGCGTAACAGAGATCTTCAGGCTGCGTTTCGAGAGGCCCAGAGAGAAGGGACTGAGCCGACGGTGGCTTTCACTGTGACACCTCAGGATGTTGTTGTGGGTACTGAGCTCTTACCTCCTGTAACAAGTCGTCCTGCCTCGCTTGACCGGTCATCTCGTCGCCACGGTATAGTCGGTATTGAGCAACTATACAAAACCGAACATCTCCATATAGCGCCTTCATGGTCTCCAGGGAACATCGAGCCAGCACGAACAGACAGATTGTCTAGGCACATCGTCGCTTACCCATCATTCTCTAGAAGAGAGGAATGGGAGGAAATCCGTGCAGAAGTTCCAACGAGATTCGCAAATGCGGAAACGCTGCCGCCAGCTCCGTCACCTATATTTACAAATGCTCTCGTAGAACAAGAGACACCTACAATCTCACACGAAGCCCTGGTAGCTGGGCCTCCTGAACTTCATCGGCCTAATCGAAACTCCGGTAGCTCATACGTCCCGCCAATACACATGAGACGCGACCAAGTCTATCAACACCAGTACAGGCAAGATTCTATTCGAACTGACTCTGTTACCGACTCCGACAACGGCAAAGCGCCCAACAGAAGAGCACGCAAGTACACCGTAGTCAACCAAACCAAACAAACTCCAAGAAACTGCGACACAGATACAGAAAGCCATACCACAGAGTCGCCCGATAGACCAGCATCTCCATACATTGCTCTTGAACGAAACATTGGACTGCGCTGTGTTCTGAGCGACTGCGATACAGATACAGATAGCAATACCACGGAAAAGCGGAACAGACGAGGAGTTGTACACATCGCTCTTGGACAGAACGATAGACCACGACTTGTTCTAAGCGATTGCGACACCGAGAGAAAGGCCGGTAGCGATATCACGGAATTGCCTGACAAACGGGGACCAGAACATACCGCTCCGAGGGAAACCAACACACCACGATCTTCTCGAAGCAACCATTATACTGATGTAGGTACTACACAAGCGCCCAAAATAGGAATCAAGGTACCGATCAACAGCCTTCTGCTTCTCAAGAAAAGTTCCAAAGATCTCCTCAAAAGCTCACATCACTTGTCGACATGGAATCAACCCAAGATCTTGCCTGATATCACAACATCTGGGCGATCTGGACTGCGTAAAGCCAAGTCGTGGTTTGCAGAGAAAATACAAGGTCGTAACGAGCCGCCTCTTAGTGCTGAAGAAGCCGCTAAGAAAAAGGATGAAGCCGAGGAAGTCGCTGCTGCGAAAGAGTGGGCTAAAGAACGGACTGCTTTTGACCGAGTACAGGCTGATATTGCACGAGCGACATTTGCTCTTGAACAAGCTGCTAGCGAGGCGGCGTTGAAGAAAATGGGCCCTGGAGCTATGCCTGGGTGCTGCGACCCGGAGTGTAAGCTTAGGTGCTGCAGAAAGGGGAGATGATGATGAGTGGTGGGTATCTGACTTATGGGCTAGTTATCTACATACGTCCGAAGCGGATACAGTATGCTCGAAAGCTTCGAGGGATGGATAGCTTGATGAAATGTTTATAAACACTGTTCTATAGTAAACTATCACGGCTTCTTTGTTCCCTTCCCATATCTCATCACTGCTGTGGTGTCTTTGTTCCGTTCACGCTGTCATTTCCCACACAGCCACAATGTCCTTGTCTACCAGCGCAAACCCCCCCTCACTCTGTCACATATGAGGCAAAAGTACCACGAGAAGTCTTCAGCAAGCATGCAAGCCTCGCTATCGTGTTACGCAGCACTTTTCGCCTACCGCTTCGCATCTCTCCGTTGGCAACCAATTACCAGACTATCAACGACCACATATACCACCCGCCGAATAGCCGCGCCAAAGTCAGCGCGAAAAACGCGGATAATGCCACGACGAAACCCCAACGTGACGATTACCACGAATGCAGTTGTTAAGCAAACCTTCTTGCTGAGTCCAACACCTACAACAACAACCTTCCGCGCCAGCGTTAATACTCTCCCTATGTTCCCCAGCGCCCAAAAATTCATTTTTAGCCAGACGGTAACGCTTAGTCCAACATCCTTCCGTACTGATTCGCCTGTTCTGCCACCTACGCCACTATCTCCTGCAGTCACTCTCTTCCACGCTAATCACATTCTCCGTACTTCAAGGTCTTCGGAAAATCTGCCTGTCTACCCGATATCTCGCAATTTTCACGATGGTAGTATCAGCTCTCTTGATTCGTCTGGTAGTCCATCTGGTGATTCGGACTTGTTTACCGTTCCGACGGCTAAAGAGGAAAATGTAGTCTCGACAACGCGGATGAGCGATATTCTGCCTGATGATCTGGATCTGTACAGTGAGAAGGAAGACGAACAAGAAGAGAACGAAGAAGAAAGCTCAGATACGAGACAATGGAGTATCGTGCTTACTGACGCAGCTCAAGACGTTGTCCGTGGACAAGATGAGAAGATTCAGCACGTAGAAAAAACGGGACAGAAAGGACGATCAGGGACTGAAGTAGAGCGGGAGACGAAAGACCTGGAATTAGGTCCGGAGGTTCAGGGTTCGTTGCTGGTTATTAGGGACGGTGATTATCCTTACTACCCACTGCCATCGTATCGTCAACAGCCAAGGGCTAAGAGAAATGTCCAGTGGGTGGTTCCATTGAAGGGCGGAGGGGTAGCGAAGAAAAGTAGTAGCGATAGCGCTGGCTGTGGTAACCCTGTGAAAGATCTTTTGAGAAGACTCTTCCGGAGGAGAGGGTAAGGGAAGCAATAGTTTCTAGTCAGTAAAAACATCTTCCAAGTACGGTATGACAGCTTTTCCTCCACTGCAATCTCATTCCAATTCCATGACTGTAAGGGAAAACTCTTCACTCCATCACTGCAGATATGTTTCACCAAACGCCAGAACAGCATCACCAACAGCAAAAACATATTCATAAAAAGCCACAACCGGGCTCAAACCACATCAATTCAAAAAAGGTACTAAACAAAGAACGCAACCCTTTGGGTATCGCAGCAGCTACAATCTCGCATCCCCTTCCATCTCAAATCCCCACACATATCACTCTCTACAAGAAGAAAGCAGCAACGGCACCGACACCGGCGAGCGCACCACCGACCTTGAGGCCAGAAGCGGCACCAGTGAACTCAGAGGGGGGAGGACCAGTCATGCTGCCAGTAGGGGCGGCAGTGCCAGTAGGCATGGCGTATCCGGTGCCGACGGAGGACGCCTCGGGGACCATGGGAACACCGGTACCGCCCATGACGGGGGCGGAGGAGGGGGCCATGGGGGCGGTGGTGGGGTAGTAGGCGGAGCTCATGGAGGGAGCAACGGGGGTGTGCTGCATAGTCCTGAATAGGGGATTAGTATGCGGGCTTATAATGAATGGTGTGAGAGAAAACGTACTCGGTGACAGTGACAGTGACGAGAGCAGAGCAGGACTCCTCAGCGGGAGCACCGTACTGAGCAGCAACAGCTGCGACGAGCGAAGCGGCGATGATGGTGAAACGCATCTTGAATGTTGATAGAAGTTGGGAGAAGGGTAAATTGGGTATAGGGCGTTAGGAGACGTAAGAGTCGAGTCGTTGAGTGATTGGTGGGTAGTAAAGACTGTGAGTTTGACTTGACTTGCAAGAAAAAAATGAGTGGCTAATAGAACACTAGGTACTATAGATTATGTTGGATCGTAGGATGATGAGAGAAGAAGAGTAGTAGGAGGGTTATGAGGCGCTCCAATGGGTCTTATACAGCCCTCTTATTAGTAGTCATATGACAGGTGATGGGGTGGGCAAGGACGCGCCAGCCTTGCCCATCGATCGACTGCGTTGGTTCATTTCCTCGCGGGCGATGGTCTAGATTGGTTGGGTCATCCTTGCATGTCAGGTGTGGCGAGCGTGCTGGATTGCTCACAGGTTGGGGTGGGCGATAGCGGAAATTGTGTTTGTTGATCGACGGTTGGTAGGTGCGCGTCATGAGGTTTGCAAAAGCCCTGCCATTGCCGCGATGAATGTGGGGGAGTGTTGCGCGTCATGCTGGGCTTTTTGTGTTTCGCGCGCCTCGTCGCGACTGTTCAGACTGCTTTTACTGTTACAAAGGCGTTGAGTTCTATTTCCATCGCAGCACGCGACATCTCGAGGATGACTTGTTTCGAAACATCCCTAATCACAGCTTCCAACCAAAAATGCGGCCTGCATATTAAGGTCATTTTGATAGGAACGGCTCGATATTAGCACGCGGCGCCTTCCACCGTTCTGAGACGCCGGTGGGCGGACCCCTGACGCTAGCCGTGATGGGGCTAGGCTATCACCTCGATCATGAATGCTCCCGCGGACGAGGAAATGTACCTGTCGATCTTGCTGCTCATCCTCGCTCATTTCTACTTTTGCGTTTGATGGGAGCGCGCAAATCGCGGATAGGGGTTTGCAGACGTCATATGACAAGAGAGGTGGCAGTACGATGCGATTGTACACTTTTCGCCCAGTGAACATGATGTGAGGAAGTTCGTATTCGCTAATCTAGTGACGAGCAGAAATCCGGGGTATATCGTGTTGCTCTAGAGTCGTTAGTGATGCCGCGTTGCCGGCGGCTGCAACACTGACCCTAATGTACACACCTCCAACGCCAGACATGCCTTCTTCTCCGAGGTTGACATGTGCCAAATCGAGCCTTACTTCACCCTGCCCATGATCGGATCAGGAGGCGCATCTTCTGCTATAGGTTCTGCGGCCTTTGCTTTAACCGCGTTCAACATGCCCCGGTCAAAGTCATCCCTTGTCCTCAAAACAGCTTCCACCCATGTAATACTAACATCCCGGTAAGCATTCTTGAAGTCAACATACGCAAACTGCACTTGCGACTTGTCGCATTCCAGCAGCTTGAGGAACTCTTGCACAGCGCGCCATCGTTGCTTGATATCGTTACCCTGCTCACCAAACGTCATGAACCACTCGAACGCTGTGAAAAGGTCGTCTCTCATCTTTTCTGCAAACTGATCCGTCCTCTTGAACTTGGCACCCTTGTTGCGCACGGCCCCGAGATACTGAACCAGCAGCTCGTCAGCGAGAGAATCGATAATAAGATCTTGTAGCGAGCGGTGGATCCTAGGGAGGAACTCATCCACGTAGTCTTTGAACGTTGTGATGATCGATGCCATGTCGGTCCTCGAGTACCACTCGACGGTGAAGAATTTGGAAAGCACAGGCTTAAGGTCGACAATGAAGATGAGCTCGCTAAAGACTTGTATGCAGTGCGATGAAATGTCAATATAGCCGTTCTTGGCTTCGTCCACATTCTTGGCCAGCTTGTCGATCATGTAGTCCTGCGAGACGATAGGCGTGACTTCGCGTTCGAAGACGCTTAAGAAGGATGCTTGACCACTGCCGTCAATGTCATCGTCAATGCAGATGATCTGGTCGTTTGCAAGAGCGATAAGCCACTCCTGCAAGACATATATGTCATCTTCATCTTGCGCCGGAGTTGGTCCGAGGAATTTGGCCTTTTCTTCATCGATGAGTTGGGTCCATATACGCTGGCGAGACAATAGGGCACGGAACATGGAGTCGACTACACCATCAGCAACGTCGGGACGTTGGCTACTTGCAGCGACACCGATATTCTGACTGAAAAGCGTCCAGACGTCTCCAAGAGCTTTTGTTTGAAGGATACCGTCGAAGTTGGTCTCGTACGCTGTTTTGTCCTGCTGCACAAATCTTTGCCTGTCCTGAGTATTGATGCGCTCCATGTATTGATCGACGGCCTGGATGATGACGGAGCGGTAGGTACGTATCAGCTCGGCACTACGGTTGTCGATGACATGTGGCTGTAGTTGCTCTTCTGAGTACCCAAGCTTCTGCATCTTGACATAGTACTTGTCCACCCAGTTGATAACAGCCAACAAGTATTGCGGCCCAAGAGCTTCGTCATCGGCAAACTCCATGAGGAAGTCGTGCATCTGCTTGTGGTAGATATTGGTGTAGGTGTCAAAGATCTTCCACTTCTTAGGCATGAGCTCGACCATACCCAGCTTGACTGTGTTCAGGTTGTTGAAATACCACTTGAAGTACTTTTCAACCTTCTCGGGGTCTTCCTGGAACTGTTCTCTCACTCCGTCCATCTCGGCCTTGCAAACATATTCGATGGAAGTAATGAACTTCTCCTTGTAGCCACGAAGCTCCTTAGGCCCTTGTGTAATGGACTTGAAGCGAGAGGCGAGATCTCCAAACTCTCTCTGCGCATCTTGCAACGCCTTGATCTTCTTGTCCGTCTTCTCTTCTTCCTCGATCACGACGGCCAAGCGGACCACCATGCCTACGTTGTCGGTCTGCACCAGCTGTATGAGATTTATGCACGCCTCGCCAATATGCCTGTCAAACCACTCTACGACGTCGTCCAAGCGCGCGAAGAGGTCCTGCACCGTGACACCACTCTCTAGTGTGAGGTTGTCGATGAGCTCAGTAGAGGTGTCGCTGTTCTTGATCTGGCCCATGGCTTCGTCGCGGATATCTCGTAGCTGCGTCAGACCGTAGTGTACTTGCAGCAGATTTGGCTGGTTCGCGGGGTCTTCGTCGTCCTGTGCCAGCAGGATCTCGAGGTTCTCCAGGCGCTCCTCAAAGGCCTCGATGTCATTGCGCATCTTCTCCACCGATTCAAAGTTCTTGTGTGTTTGCGCCACCAGGTTGATGTGCGGGAAGTCCTGAATCATATTTTGGGCCTCGGCGCATAGCTTGTCTATCTTCATCATCTCCTCTTTGATCAGGTTGACGGTGCGCTGGCCCTCGGTGATGCTGCTCATGCCCGACTGGGTCAGCTCGAGCTGCTCTTTCAGCCCATGGCGGAGTTGACCATCTACAGCCGCCTTCTTGCGCATAAATTCGGCTTTCAGTGCGGGTATCTTGTCAAGGTCCTCCGGGTGTCGCAGCAGCTCCGCGAGCTTAACCGTGGCGGACTCGACATCGCCCATGGTTCTAGACGTGGCTCAATTCGGCAGGCGCGCGCCCATGGTAGGGTGGAGGTGAAGGTCGCGGACGGGGTGGGCGGGCGGCCTCGACGTTACTATACGTGTTCGGAGCTTCTGTTGATGTGAATGGACGGGTAACAGTCTGGGGCGGATGCAGGTCGAGGGCTAGCGTGCCGGAGGTGTGCTGCGGCCAAAAGTTCCCACCCCCGCCACTTGCTCGCAGTCGCCGACAAACTCAATCACTCTTTGCACGCGCACACCCACCCACCATGGCCGACGAAGAGCTGAACCTCTACGACGAGATCGAAATCGAAGACTGCTTCTACGACGAGACGCTGCAGATATACCACCACCCATGCCCTTGCGGTGACCGTTTTGAGATCTCCATTTACGACATGCGCGACGGAGAGGACATTGCGCGCTGCCCCAGTTGTAGTCTGATGATACGGATTATATTCGACCCGGTATGCTTTCTATTCTGTGTACAGCGGGAGTTAAGTACTGACATGTTGCAGTCCGATCTCCCACCAGAGAACGACGATGCGCCCAAGAGCGTCGCCATTACCGCCTAGATTCCTCGATTTCTATTCTCATGCCACCTTAAGGAGTCACAGCTGACCCTCTCGATGTTCACGGCGTTGTAATGCATATATTGGCGTTGGGGGAAGTTGGTTATATAAATGTGGTCGCATTCTAGCAAAGACGAGGGAGATATCACCCCACATGCGATATTTGGCGAAGCAGGGCTGAAAGTGCGCAATCAAAGTCGTTGTCGCTTTTCGCTATTGGCTACCGTGTCATCGTGTATACTCTCATAGCCAGAAGACTCCATCTTTCCAGACGTGCTCTGCGACGAGAGAGCGTACTAAAGCATGTGCTACCGACTACAGCCCGCTCCATTAACGCGGGACCTGATCGTCGACACTGACGTCAACGCCCAGCTCTTTCCTGAGAATCTCAGTGAGCGAGCTGCCGTCCCTCATGTATACCCAGTCGCCGATGCCACCACCCTCCTTGAAGTCCATGCCCTCTTGTGCGACGACCCAGTCGAATCGCTTCGGTCCGGAGATTGGGGAGCTGAGCCAGATCTGCTTGTTCGGGGGTTGTTTGTTCAGTACAAATGTGTTCTCTTGGAAAGTGACTTCGAGGACGCCAGCCTGCAACCAAATTAGTATCCAATCCGAGTTCTGCTGCGTAATCGTGACTTACGGAGTAGTCTACTTCGATGGCCGGGTCGTTCTCCTGGGCCTCCTCTAACCTCTGTACCAGCTCGCCCAGGTAGTAGTCTGCGCGCTCGTGGAACTCTTCTATTGAGAGCTCCGTGGGTTTGCCGGGTTCGTCATGGGCTTCGCTCTCTTTGGGCTTCGGGTCCTCTTCACCAGGCATGATGCCCACCCTCATACCCATTGATACGTGGAAGCTGCGAACGGGGGCAGCATGGCTGATGGCAGGAGCTCTGCTGGCGATGATGCAATTGGCGGGCGACTGGACGCGGAGGGAAGTTCGGGCGGCGCGACGGATGGCGGTGCTGGCGAATCGAGTAGCTGGCTTCATTGTGGTTGGGTTGGATGGGTTGGAGTAACTGAGAGGATTGTTGGTGGTGGAAGTTGCGGAGTAGCGGGAGCGTGTTCTGTTCCTGGGCTGGACGCAAGCTGGAGGAGCATGGACCCTCGCGCGTCTCCCCGCATCCTTCGGCGGGACATGTCCAACGCCAGTGTGCGCCTCACCACCAACTATCCACACCATGATCAACGCCGTCCTCGTCTTCAACAATGCCGGCCAGCCGCGACTGACCAAGTTCTACACACAGCTGGTACATTACACGTGACCTGACATCGTGCCCCAGGCCTCTCATACTCACAACCACCCAGGAAACCAGCGTCCAGCAGCGCCTCATCTCTGAGATCTTCACCCTCGTCGCCAACCGTCCAAACTCAGCATGTAACTTTTTACCGTACGTTTCTCCGTGGTCCTACACAGTAATGTCACTAACATGTACCTAGCCTGCCGCCGCTCCTCGCCAGCAGCTCCAAATCCAGCACGCCCACAACTCCACACAACGACACGCCGTCCCTTGTGACCTACCGCCACTACGCGACACTCTACTTCATCGTCATATCTACATCCACCGAATCGCCTCTCGCGCTTCTCGATCTCATCCAGGTCTTCGTACAAGCGCTCGATGGTCTCTTCGAAAACGTATGCGAACTCGACCTGATCTTCAACTTTGAGACCCTGCATGCGACACTGGGCGAGATGATAGTGGGCGGGGTTGTGGTAGAGACGCAGTTAGACAAGGTCATTCAAGGCGTCAAGGCACAAGGAAGAGTCGCCAAGCGGCCTGTGAATGAAGGCAAGAACATTGGCGGCAGTGGAGGCGGTGGTGTCATGGGCGGACTGACTTTTGGCGGTCTAGGAAGGGGAGATGGTATGTGGGCTGGTAGGTGAAGAAGAGAGTCCGAGGTCAGATCCGTGAAGCCAGAAGCGTTGCGCTCGAAGCGTTGGGCGCGCCGAACAGCCGAACAGCTTACACAGCCTCGATTGTTCAAGAGCAACGACCCAACGGCGAAATCAGAGCTCACCAGGCGCACCGGCCTCTTCAACGTCTAGATCTGGACCCGGCGCATCAGCATCGCGCCCGAAGTCGATACTGTGTCAGTTTCCTCGGCACTACTAAAGACCCCTCATCCTGTCCGCACAGGCTCGGCGGACTCGCAAACAATTCTTCCATGCCTCATGCGGCCTCTATACATATAGCGCGCCTGCTTACCTGTCCTGTGGGGTCACTTTTGTAAATTTCCCCGGACCGGGTAAACACATGGCAAAGGTCAAGGGTCGGTATATGTTCGAAACGTCGCGCCTGGAACCAATGCCGAGCTAGGATTAATGGAAACAAGCTTTTAATTTACCGCTCACTAGTTCGTTCCAAGTCCGACTAGAGGGCGAATGACAACTGTCAGCCCTTCATCTACGTTGTGGCGCCGAAGATGTGGGGAGAAACACTTTAGTCGAGAACTGCGTGACCTCATTTCCGCTACTGCTGATTGCTGGATAGTTTCGGGGAGATCGTTTCAATGCAGACTGCATCCCTTGAACCGCACGCACGTTCCGGCTGAAGACAAGCTTTATAAGAAGGTCTGTATCCCAAGACTCTTGGATTCCCCACCGCGTTCATTCATTCCAAGTCAACACCATGCGCTTCCTCACTGCTGTCACCAGCTTCCTGTCCGTAGCTGCGGCTGCAACCACTGACATCGCCAAGCGTGCCGTGACACCTGGCGCTCTCTCCCAGGTCACCTCCTTTGGTGCTGCACCCACCAAGGCTGGCTTCTACATCTACGTGCCCAAGAAGCTCGCGGCATCGCCAGGAGTTATTGTCGCTATCCACTACTGCACTGGTACCGCGCAGGCATACTACACCGGCAGCCCCTACGCCAAGCTGTCTGAGCAGTATGGCTTCATCGTCATCTACCCAGAGTCTCCCCACGAGGGCAAGTGCTGGGATGTCAGCAGCAAGGCCACTCTGAGCCACGAGGGAGGAGGAGACAGCAACACCATTGCCAACATGGTCAAGTGGACAGTCAAGCAGTACAAGGCCGATTCGTCCAAGGTCTTCGTTACCGGTTCCAGCAGCGGCGCCATGATGACCGTACGTTTTGTCAAGTCCTGAAGTATTATACCTGCTAACCCCCTTCAGAACGTCATGGCCGCTACCTACCCCGACATCTTCAAGGCCGCCATCCCCTACTCCGGTGTCGCCGCCGGTTGCTTCGCTTCCGCCGCCAACGGTGTCGACGCCTGGAACAGCACCTGCGCCCAGGGTAACTCCATCGCCACTCCCCAAGCCTGGGCCACTGTAGTCAAGAACATGTACCCCGGCTACACCGGTGCTCGCCCCAAGATGCAAGTCTACCACGGTAGTGCCGACGCCACTCTGCGCCCCCAGAACTACCAGGAGACCATGAAGGAATGGGTAAGTCCAAAGATCTGGTCCCTCAAGTGATCACGTGCTAATTGTATATAGGCTGGCGTTTTCGGTTACAACTACGACAAGCCCCAGAGCACCAAGGCCAACGACCCCCAGAGCGGATACACAAGGACTATCTACGGTCCTAATGTCCAGGGTATCTACGCTGCTGGTGTCGGCCACACTGTACCCATTCGGGGTGCGGACGACATGAAGTTCTTCGGCTTTGCTTAGATGCATCGAAAGCGAAGAGCTGCCGTATACTACAGTCAAACCTCATGGCAGTCACCAACAATTCAATGTACATATTTGTGACTATACATATACCTCACTGCATTCTCACCATGTTTACTTTTACTTTTTTGCTTGCTATACTTACCAAGTCCTACGCTTTTTCTTCTTTTCATGCACTTGACTAGCTTCTACGCTCCGGCTCCGCCGATGACGAGACCAGAAACTTCGCCGCTTCGGGGACTTGTCATCGGTATCGTTGAGGTTATCCCAGCTGAACTTACTTTGAAGCTGTGGTGTCGGCTCATATACAGTTCTATCTTCGAACCCGCTGTCGTGTCGCTCAAGAGGCGGTAGCGAAGGCTTATAAGGCGGTAAGGGTTTTTTATCATTATACGTACCTGGATGCTTATGCCACGATGCGTGGTCAGCAGCATGACGCCGATGTTCACCATACCTCCTCTCCAAGTTCCGCAATTCCTCGTTGAACTCGGCGATATACCTCGTCGGGACAGGCTCCTCATCGCACTCTTCATGCTCACCAGAACTACTCGGGGTCTCCGGTAAGTTACATCCTGCTTGCATTCTATCATACCCCTCATCAGTGAAATCAAAACCTACCCCCAGAGCCGCACGCGTAGCGAACTTCGTTGCAGATATGTCTGCCCGCCGTTCACGGCTCAAGTTACCTTGTTTTTGGTACGCCGTCTTGTGTAGCAACTTCTGGGGTCGTTGGAGAGAGGGCTGTGCGAAATGCGCTTCGAGACGAGAGCGGTCCTGATGCTTGACTAGGTAGCGGTATTCGTCGTTGGGGAGGTAGTCTGATGGGATGGAGGAGCGGTAGTGTAGTGCGGGGTGGTAGGCTGGAGATAGGGATGAGAGGGAGTATGCTGGTGGGGTGGGCGTGTGGGATAGTGGAGATGCCATTCTTAGGGGTCGTTTCTGTAATGGAAAGGTTGGTTGTGGTGAAGTAAGAGTTTGGTTCTGTTGTTAGTTTTGCCTGGTATGTGTCGTTCAAATTGAGAGACATGTCTAAGGGCTAGAATGGAATGTGTTATGTGTGTATATTGATGGAGCGGGGTGGTCCATTGAGGGTGTACTATGTGGGGTTTGGGTCCACGGGTGAATGCTGGGGGCGGATCATGGGAGTATCCTCTGTGTGGGTTTTTCCACTTGATATTCAAACGCTGCGTCTATGTCGATGCGTCACAACCAATATTGATTTTTGAATTCGCTTCTAGCAAAGTCTCATGAGTTACCTCTCTGTCAACAACTTCTACCTAGGTAACCGTAGACGTCCCAGCCATTGTGACATGCCCGCCCGGGCGGCTTTAGATATTTCGGTATATACACAGATGACATTCTTTTCATTTCGTCATAAGTTGATGGTCGTTCTACTTTGTACGCAACACGCAAGAGGCCAGCGAAGCCCAAGAAAGTTGTGGAGCTTTAGAGCGATGACGTCATTGTCCTTTTCCAATCCCATCAACTAAAGCGGCGCCAAAATTCATCTTCCAGGTTGATTTCAGCGCTTCATAACGTGACTTCGAAATTGCTCAACGCAGATTATACAAAAGAATGGCTGTCCGCGTTCGTGAAGGTTCTCGCATCTTGTTACCCAGGCATGGATGTGAAATATTCCACGGTGGCGATGGAGGCTAAAATTCGGCTGTATTGGCGATCTGTTACTTGACAACATCACCTGAGACACGGTGCGCAACGCTTGTTTGAGCATCATTACTTATCGAGTTGTTTCTATTGCACTAAAAGAATTCAATCAAAGCAAAACGAAGCCGAGAATGGCATCCTCAGCAATCAATGGAGATCGAGCGCTGGATCTCACAGAGGCCGTTGTCACACTCCAGCAAACGATAAGCAAGTTCATCGCAGACACCAAAGCAGGGCGTGAGGGTTTTGTTTTGAGACCCTTCTCTTCCGCTGACGATGAAAATGGCACTGGAAATATGCTCATCGTAACCTCGCCTGACAAAGAGATCAAGACCCACCTGGAAGCTCTGGAAATGCAACTACGAATGTTGGAACAACGATTGCGGTCGCGAGGAGACTGGCGTCCATCAGATCAAGTGTTCAACGTATCACCACCAACTATTCTCGATATCATTGACCTCTCAAACGCAATCACGCTGCTCGACCAATTGATCACCTCTACAAGCCCCGGTGAACAGACTACCCCACGGCAGACTTTTTCGGCGTATTCTTGGACTTGGGATCCTGCCTGGCATGAGTTCTACACCTACATACCCTCTCAGCAAACATACCTCTATCTTTCGCGCTGGAAGTTGAATGAGACCAGGAACGTTTGGGAGCACGTGAGCATGGCTGGTGTAGATTTGATGCCGGATGTCGCGGTAGAAATGCTGGGTGCGTGGGAAGATTGGACGTGGGACTCAACATGGAAACAGTGGTATCTGGATGTCGCCGATAACGACACTGAGGAGAAGAGTCAGATTTTCGCAAGCCCATGGCGTGTACAAGGGGACGGTGAATGGGTCTATGTTGGCAGAATAGACGGCGTACACTAAGAAGAGTCGACGACCAGATATCAACACAACACCTTGAACGATACCGAAGGATCTTCAACGATGAACAGGCGCTCAAACACCTAGCCACGTCGGCAGTGTGCGTGAATGGCGCATGTGAGACTTCAGGATCAGACATCATGTGTCAGACAAAGCGCGCATGCCCTGCCCGCACAACGTGGTATCAACACTCTATATCCTAGCCTTGTTCCGCGTTTTCACTATTACCAAATGGCGTGAATCTTTGTTCCAAGAACACGAGCAGGAACGATGAACGGTCGAACAAACACACGCGTAACCACACGAACCGAAACATACCCAACACTCCAACCCACAGCGCAAGAGGACTACTTCTCATATCATCCGAAGATCAATCCTCGTAGTGAACCGGCCCTTCAGCGTCCGCATATTCCGGCCCCACTGCATGTAAGCTATACAAATTGTTCGCCGCTAGCTGCGGGCCCGGCAGGATGGAAGTACACACCGCTATCTGCGCGCACTCCTGGACTTGAATCCTTTAGTCATGACCATGGAGTTAGGTTCAAGACGCGTCTTTCATTTCGGGCTGTTCTGCTGAATTGCCGTTGGGATTTGCTATGGGACGAAGATGAGCTACCGGCGAGGGCAGTGGGTCGCTGCCAGACGTATCTTGAGGAAACCTACCTGTCTGTAAAAGGGAGGTTGGCGAAGTGTGGACGCGTATCGTGTACTTTCCTAGGTCGACCTTGGCAGAGGCTGTGCTCCCGGCGGCTGGCATTGGAGGAGGTAGATGATCTTCCCCCTGGTATCTATCGCGATGATGTTGAGCCTGGGCCGTTGAATGATATAGAAGACATCCAGGCTTTCCTGAACCATGCAACCTAGCATGCACGCGGGTGAATGTGCGCGCGACACTATCTTTTTACGATGAGCAGGTGAATAGAAGGTACTTCTTACATTATTCCTCGATCAAATGCAAAGAATGCTGTCAACCCTCGAAACATCCTTTGATCTTCACGCGTACTGGCAGTGCCTAATTACTAGAGGGATTGAAAAGGGATAGTGCCACGATGGTGCTATGTGCGGCTATGACGTAAGCTCTTACTAGCCTCTGGTCCCGCCCGGTGCCGCACGCCCGCGTTCCACCTTTGTTCTACAATCCCCGCTCAGCATTTACTGATATCATCTTCGTGATCACGTATGTCATCGTCGCACGGCGAATCCTCTACGATTTGGACGCAATATCGGCAATAAAGATTTCGGACTCAATAGACAATCGTTCCTTCTCAATGTCCATCCTACTCCCAGGCGGCTGCGAGATGCGTCTAGTTCACATGGGCAAGTCGCGGAGAGTGATCCAACATCACAATACCAATGTCCATTCGTTAAGCATCAATGCCTATCAGGTGACTGCGCGCATGATCAGCAGGCGCCACTGCTTTCGGGCGATATTGGATCGAGGCAACTACCGGCATGGCTAATCACCAGAGATTCATCCACGATATTGGAGATCAGCTCCATTAGCTGCACCCCACAATGCACTTTCACGGCAACGTACAATGCGGGGGCTGGCTCGTATGCTAGTAACCGCCAGACGATAAAACCATATCCTTACACTCACATTAGTCCGATTCTTATTCCGTCATACGGCGCCATGTTGGCTCTCCTTGCAACTGTACTATTTGTACCGTGTATGCACGCGTTACTACACCATCTCGCAGTCGGCACTACGAATGGACAGGCCTTGTACTCGCTGGAGACGAACGATGAATCCAGGAAAGTGTATACGATTCAGGCGAGAGACGCAGGTGGAGCATCACCGTCTTTGGCGCTCGACGTACGTGGATTAATCCTCAGTAGGGTTCATTTCCGTTGACCTATTCGGTAGCGCTCGAAGCAACACCTCTTCAGCAGTCGTCCGCAGGATGGAACGCTGACCCGCCACTCGATTGCGCCTTCATACGAACTCATCAGCGAAGGCACCATGGAGATACCCTCATCATGTTGGTTATCATCTTGGCATCTGCATGAATCCTTTTGACCAATCTAGGCAACACTACGAACTTCCTGTCCCTGAAGCTAGGATCTTCAGTGCACAACACGGCTATATGGGGCACTGCTAGCACAGGAACTTGCAGTATCGTCTTTGGAGTGTCGCCAGATGGTTATGATACCATAAACTCCCAGGAGATCGCCGGGGACGTGCACTCTATCGCATGGGCTCCCGACGGGCGTAACTTGCATGCATTGGACTCGCATTCTTCCGGGAATCTCTTGACATCAATCACCAACTTCCGCATGTCCGGAGATTCGAATTTGCAGGACGTGGTCGGTGTCGATGTCCTCGGTAACGTCACAAGCGCTTCACAAATCGTCGCCCATCCTAGCGAATCCTTAATGTATATCGTCACCAAGGACTCAAACGAGCTAGTCGTTGTGTCATTGGTAGGTGACACTATTGTGAGCAATTCTACTTCGGTTTTGCGATATAGAATGCTTCCTATTTCTTTGGATACGACACAATTTCATTCGTCATCACTGACTATTTCTGCGTCTCGAAATACGTTGTGGACACTTTCGCAGTCATCGCGTCAAGCAGTTATCACAGCCTTCACTCTCAATACCACAACAGGCGAGGTGGTAGATGTCGCTGCACGAGCGAGTTGGCAGGGGTTTGGCGAAGGTCAGCTTACGGCCGCGCCTTTCGACGGTGACGATGTGGTCGCTGTCGCAAACTCTCCAGCGGGATATATCACTATACTCGGTCTCGATCAGTCTACGCTACGAAGCGCACATACAGACGAGGGTCTTGATGTTCATGACTATCTACATCCTATAGCCTTTGATGAAAGCAGGCCTGACGAGAAAAAAATGGCTGCACTGAAAATCAAGAGCTATGGCCGGGTTTTGGTCGACGATTACGTTAACTTAGGGGACTGCATCTGGATCGACTGAAGACATCTGCATTTCTTGCGCGTAAGTGCAGGCAATGTATTGTTCTCAGTGGGTCTTTGATAGCCCCCGCTCGACAAAGCCACTACCGTTCATCAGTTCCACACTCGCATCTCTAGTTAAACGCATCGTTTGTTTGATAGGCGGGTCAGGTCAAAAAACTTTGATGCAGCAATACGATGTGTTTCCTCTAGTCGAAAGGGTTCTACATATCTATACAATCCATATTCAGAAGTTTCAAGACTATCTTATATGCCGTATATGTATGTTGTAGCACTATAGAATACAACTAATGATGGCAGTCTGAAGCGCCGCCGCAAGGCCGAGACCGCAGCTACTCGCCGAGTACGCTGCTCGGCGATCTTGACCATACCATGAGGTTGTGAAAAGCGTAGTGTTATGCGAGCAGATCACTCATTGGCTCGTAGATAAATTTCAAGGCATCCAGCAGGTTGTATACTCGGCATGCGTATAAACAGGGCTATAGAGTGGTCGTGTGGCATGGATGTTCGAGACGTTAGTAGAATGGGTGGTTGGCGCAATCTTACCCACTTTACCAAAGGGAAAAGATCAGTCCAATTGAACAAGCACAGCCAGCGATACCTACTCTTCATTCAAGTAAGTGCCCGTCACTATGCATAGTAAAGCCAGGTTGATTCACACTAGGAGACAAAAAAAAAAGTGAAATCCTCCAAAATGCTCAAACACCAATTTCTCGTACCAACGAGCAAGAAAAGAGCAAAAAAGATATGTTGTGACCTAACCAGGGGTCGCTTTTGGCGATGTCAGCGTCGGTATTTGAATGGGCGACTCTTGAGAGTCGTGTGAGTGAATACTTACAACCTGGAATCTCTTGATATCGAATTGAATCGTAGTCAAGCGCCTTGCCATTGGGCCATTAGGCCAATCTATTGATTGATGGAGATTTAGAGAATTATGTCTTAACAGTCCACGGTTATTGTCATTCTCGCTGTCGGTCAACACGCACAAGTTTACGCATCGCTGGGATGCGTGGTGGCAGTGTAGCGTGAAAGAGTTTGCGCTTGTGGTGGGGTTTCGGAAGGCTTCGGCGGGGTGGGGCAGGGCAAACCTGCGAAAAGACGCGTTTGATTAGAACGGGAACACGAAGCTGACGCGACACAGAAAACAAGGTATACATTATCGTTGTCATCTACATTCATTGTGTCGTATCTAGTCTATACATCTAAACTCTTGAGGCTGCTCATGAGTGGACGATCAAGCCCTTGCTGCGGGCTGTGTGAGTGTGTTTCCGCCGTCGGGGTACAAGACCTGCTCGTTGAAGAAAACACCGCCTGGACCAGCCAGCAGGAGTACAGTCGCAGCCATGTCGGTGTCGGCGCCGGGACGACCCGCGGGGTTGCTCATGCCGGATTCGATTTTGCTCTTGTTGTCCTCGTCGGAAGTGCCGGTGGTCATCTGCAGAGTGTTAGAACGAATTTCACTGGTAAGCTTTCGGATCCTGGAGTTACTCACCTCACTCGGGAAAACACCAGGCGCGATAGTGTTGACGCGAACCTTAGTACCAACAAACGTCGTAGCCAACATACGGCTCAAATGCGTAGCAGCCGCCTTACTCGACGCGTAAGAGAACTGGCCGTTGCTGCTACCCTTCATGTATCCTGAGATACTGCTAACGTTGATGACTTGCGAGCTGTATCCCGGAGTGACCTTGCCGCCCTTGGCCAATAGAGGCAGGAAAGTCATGGACATCCAGAATATGCTTCCGACGTTGGTCTTCATGGTGTCGGCCCAGTTCTCGGGCTGCGACTTGAGGAAATGGTCGGAAATGGCTTGTGCGTCCTCCATATCTGGCTGACCGTTGGCGGAGAACTTGGTGTTGTCGTCGCGGGCGATGCCGGCGTTGTTGACGAGGATTTGGATGCCTTTGGGCTCTTTTTGGCACATCTCGTCGTAGAGGCGCTTTACATCGTTCTTCTCGCTGGGTAGCGTTAGCTTCAGCTCGTGTGGGTGCTTTGAGAGAGATTTTTGCCTACCTGACATCTGCTTGGATAGGAATGATCTGTCCTGGACCACCGCCGCTGTACAGCTCCTCCGTCTTCTTCAGTACTTCATCACGTCTTGATGTAATGTAGACCTTCGCGCCGTTTGCAACTAGTGCTTGTGTGATCATCAAACCTATACCAGTTCCTCCACCAGTAACGAGAGCAGTAACATGAGAAACATCAAAGAGCTTGGAGCCCTTGAGCTCATCGGTGTTTGCCTTGCCATTACCCATGTTTCTGACAATTTGGTATGTAGTTCTTGGAAGGAATTGATTTGTCCGTAATGTTGATGTGATGGAGTTGGTAGCTGAGGGAAGGTTTCTTGAGAAAAGTCGAAGCATGTTGAGATATGTTTGTAGTGATTGCGACCTTTATGTCGTTTAAAGGTGGAGGAACGATGTCACAGTTGAATGCGAACATGATGACGTTGAGACGACGCATGAGTGCTTGTAGAGGGGGTCCAATGCATTAGGCACTGGCGCGACGCGTCGATGCATGCTATGAGCGCATACAATCATCGAATTCTGCTTTCCCCATAGTAGAAGCGCACGCCACCAACATGTAGTATGCCTTAGCATCAGTTCAGGGTGGGTGAGACGGCAATTACGGCTAGAAGCGAGTTGAAGGCCGATGCTACTAGACATGCATCAGTTAGATGCTATCTCTAGATCTCCATGGACATATTGAAGATGTATCTAGATCACTGTCACTTCCTCTGCATAACTACAGTGCTTCATAGCTGTCCTCGTTGCTGGTAGCAACGACCGCCTCGGATCGTCGCTGTTGATGGCGTGCCGTCGCGGTCACATATTTTCTGTGAGCATAGGTAAGCTCAGCTTGGTAATCTCATAAAGAAGACATGTCAATAGAAAACTGGCATCGTGAGTACCCTGGAGAGCTGAAGTCGCGACATATGGTGGTGTTGAGCTGCATTTCGCCACATGTCTGCACCAGGTATGACGTAACCGAACCTCCGAATCATCTCCGAACCATCTCCGGGCAGCTGCTCATCCCTTTGCGAACGTTGGCTTAGAAACCACGCAACTGTTACAAAGCACGACACCAACGACTGACACTGCGCACGCGTATTGTCGAATAGCTATTCCCAGCACGCAATTCGCACACTTTGTCAGCACGCACACAGTCATTGGACAATTGAGATTAGTAACACAGGCTTGGCCTCGGGAATAGAGCTATGGCATCATCGCCACAGAGATGCCGAATGAGGGGAAGCCCCGACGGATGAAGGGCGACTTGACGTCGCAATGGTATGAAGCATTTCTAATCGCATATGCGTATATAACAGCATCGAAGCTGTCCTTGATCTCAACTCATACCCAAACAACTTACCATACAGCCACTGATCCAGCAACTACCATTACCACTCTCGATCCAAATCTAGCGAACCTTCGATCATACAATTCTCATTTCGACTGCGAACACTTCTAGTATATCAGTCACCAAAATGACGACCACCGCCTCCCTTCCTACGCCCGCACACCAACTCTCCAACCCTACGCCTACCTCCAGCGACACAACCTCTTCCGACGTCAACTACCAAGGCCTACCCATCCCCCGCGGCCCCGTCATAGCATCTCTATCCTTCTACAAGGCCCCCGAAGACGGCTCACCACCCCACAACTACGTCGAGCCGCTCCCAGGCGTACCGCAGCGAAACTGGGGAGATGACTGGACCAAAGTCCAACTCAACGACCTACGAGGTCAGGAGCAGAACTTCACACTAGACAACAACGCCTTCGACACATACCAAAACATCAAGAGTGGACTGGACAGAGACGGTTTCGCAGACGACGACGCGATAAAACGAGTCTATTACCCAGAAGTGGAAGATCTGCTCATGAAGAACGTGCAAGGCGCGCAAAGAGTCATCCTCTTCGACCACACGATCCGCCGACCGACCGGCAACCGCAATCCCGTCCAGCGCGTACACATCGATCAAACACCTTTTTCGGCCGCCGAACGAGTGAAACTCCATCTTCCCGACGAAGCCGAACAATTACTACAGGGACGATACCGCATCATAAATGTCTGGCGTCCACTCAATGGACCTGTCATGGGTAGTCCGCTTGCGGTCGCTGATAGCCAGACTGTGCGCGATGGCGATTTGATTCCTATTGAGCATCGCTACCCCGATCGCAACGGGCAGACGGCGGCTGTGGCGTACAACCCGGGGCAGAAGTGGTACTATTGGTCTGGCATGACGAATGAGGACCGTCTGTTGCTCAAGTGCTTTGATAGCGATGAGAATGTAGGTCAGTGGGGGCGTGTGCCACACACGGCTTTTGTAGATCCAAGAACACCAGAGGGTGCGGTTGGTAGGGAGAGCATTGAGGTTCGAGCGCTGGTCTTTGGTTGAGCTTATGCCTAGTCGTCTGTATTCATAAGCCTTCTTATTCCTAATTAGTATACTACCTGTTGTAAATTAGTTTTAACGTTATCCTTCGCAATAGTACATCTCACATGCCTATACTCTCTTCCACATTCTATGTCTCTGGAGTGACGGCTAGTTGTTACATAAAATTGTATCGTCGTTTAGTCCTCTTTCCCTTGATTATCTGACGAACACCGAGCTATTCCTTGTTACCACTACCAAGGAGAACTAGGCACTGACAGTGAAAGACACTTCGATTTGTACAAGTTGCGTGGTGCGCTAACCCCATAACAATGTCTGCTTGATATACACCAAGAAAATTTGCCATCTCTCGACCTATGAAAGCAGAAAAGATAAGGCATGTTCTAGGCTGCCTTCTCCCCACAAATCTGTCCCATCGTACAGTCATTCTCCATACGAGAGGTGGCTTGAGAGACTTCCAACATCTCGTACAGCTGTGTGGCGACCCTTCACTTTCCACTCGTTCCAAATCCCGTCATATTCTCAAACTGCTCATTCATTCTTTGGATGAATTCGTTGTACGCTGTCTTACCACCCCTTTTGTGCGCGTCCAATCGATTGGAGTAAGACGGCCCTACTGTCAAGAACTCATCCTCCTCGCCGGTTTTGGTGTGTCTGACAACAAACTTGAACGGGTCATGACCTTTTCGAAGCTCTTCGATGAGTTGTATGAAGATGTCCTTCTTGTCTAACTCTCTATCATCAATGAGTTGAACTAGCGTGTGTGTGTCAGTGGTACCGCCTGCAATTAGTCTCAGAAAAAATCTCATACTCAGCGGTGCGAGGTATGTGCCGAAATGTATCAGCTCCTTGAGATCAAGGAAGTTAAGTTTCGGGAGGACAAATTCTCGGTTCGATGCGAGACTGCCTTGAGTTCCCACAGGCTGAGTTTGCGAAGGCGTTGCCGATGTGCGTCGATGTTCGATAGGCGCCGTACTCATGTGTTGTTTGGAGACGGCTAATCGATCAAGTAATCTTCAATCAGCATGAGAGGCCGCGGTCTTTGGCGTTGGCGTTGGAGTTGGCGTTGTTGATGCTTGGGGCTTCTCTTTGTTTCGGGAAATAAAAGTTGAAAACATGGACGCCATCTCGCTGTGTGTATCCTAGGTGCAAACCTGGTGATGAATGTGTAGTTTGTGCATGTTTGTAAAGCTGCCAATTTATATGAGCAGTGACTCCGACTGCAGCACGTATTCGACTCATAAACGCACGGACTGATGAGTATGTATCTCTGACGATGGGCGTACTCCGCTCTCTTGTCATTCTATGACTTCTGCTGATGCTAAGTTCGCGCCGTGCTCCCATCGTTGATGTCCTGTCATAGCACAGCCCCAGACGTCATTAGTCCTGCCTCATGTGCACTCACGTCCGCTCACTAATCTGTAAAATGTCACTCAGTGCAGAACGTATGTTTCTTCAGGTGTATGAAATCACAATGCTTTGTAGGGGCCAATTCATAAGTGTATTGACATTATAACTCAGTGTGAATGAGCTGCAGTGACGTAATTGCGTTATGCATATGGGACTGGAGTAAATATCGTACGCGGGAGTACAGTGTCAACAGACGAGTGATTTTAACGAACGTGGTGCATTAAGCTAGTAGAGAGGGAAAGTCAGAGCTAAGGTGTGTTGAATCACCTTCGCTGAGCATTCTTATACCGACTGTTGAAGTCATGTATACCTCAGACGCATCATCCTTCAGTAGTCGTCACCCCGAGAGACGACCTCTTTGCAGCTAGGCCTCAGCAATACTGTCTGTAAAACATCGAGTCAGTCATTGCCCACATGTTCCACAACGTGCAACTTACATGCTCAAACTGCGCGATGAACGAACCGGGAACGTCCACCAACGGCGCATATGCCTGGACGATGCCACTGTTTACTAGCGTTCGCATACCGAGGTGGTATTTCTCCACACCCGGCAAACGTTCAAGCTGACGACGGGCGAAGACCAGAGTGCCAAAGTTCTCATCTATGGTCTTCAAGAGGGATCTCGCAGATGAATGATGGAGGCCAGCAGCGCTGACACCCTCATTGCGTCCATAACCGTACACACCAACGTCGTCATGGAGATATGCTTTGCCGGTGCTACCGAAGGTTTCGATCGCGAAGATGTCGCCTTCTTCCATACGTTGGGAGGTCTTCGTTTTGACGAACGGAACTTGCTTGTCGCCGTGAATGCGGTAACGTAGGATGTTATGGCCGGTGATGTTGCGCACCGCCTTCACGGGAATGGTCTTCCCTTTGAGCTCCACTTCGTAACTTTCCATAACCTCTTGGATCATCTCACTGATATGATCAATCCTCGCATCGATTCCCGCTTCCTTCAAGCCCGTGTTGGTAGCTGCCTTCACAGATGCCAGCAAGTTGTCATAAATCGGATTGGCAGCCACAGTAAAAGCGCTATCCACGATCCTGCCGTTGACATGTACACCGAAATCGACTTTGAGGACGTCGTCGTGTTGAAGAAAGACTTCCTTCGCTCCAGCATTCGGAGTCCAGTGTGCGCCGATGTTGTTTAGACACAACCCCGTTGGGAAGGCGAGACCAGCTTTGAGACCATCTCCATTCTCGAGACCCTGGTGGCCGACAAGTGCACGAACACTGTCGTCAATCTCTTCGGCAATGCGGGTGAGAGACACGCCGGGCTTTGCGATGGTCTGTATGTACTGGCGCACCTGGCGGTGGACCTCAGCAGCCTTACGATAGTCCTCCAGGAAGCCGTCATTCATGTTATCTAAAGCGGCCAGATGGCGAAGCTCTCCAGCCGTGGTACGCTGCAGGTTTTCATCCTTGACGGCATACTCGACAGTCTGACCTTGCGGGTATTTCTGGCGGAAGTATAGATCAGCTAGTGGCACCCTTGGAGGCGCTGTCTGCTGTGTTGGTGACACTTTCTTGGTCTTCTTCTTGTTGCGCTTTCTTTTCTTCTTTGCGCCTTCCGAAGTCAGATTGGGAGCAAAGTCACGTTACGTCGGCTCACCATCGTTGTTCTTCACGTCAGCTCCATGCTTCGCGATATCATCGTCGTCGTCCCCATCTTCATCCTGCCCTTCGAGAACGCCTGGAAGTAGTCCACTAGCGGCGGCTGGCTTGGGAGGGTTGATGACGGCAATCGCACCGTCTGCTGAGGACCCTATAAGCTGTCAGCATGTGTGTTCTCAGAGTCATTTCAATCGCGCTCACCATCTGGGCCTTGACGATGATCTTCCGGAGACTTTGATCCCATGATTGCTTCGGAACGATTGTCATCAAGCTTCCGAGATGCTGTTGGTGTTGGTGTTGGAGTTGGTGGTCAATGAAGCGGCGCGCGGAGCTACCCAGGTGACACGGCGGGGGCCTGTGCGGGGCGTAATAACGCTTTACCTTTTGCAACCCCCCATCCTGCCACCAATTACGACGTCGCACAGCACCAACATCAATCACTCTCCTTGCTCAGAACTATGAGGAGACCAGGACTCAGCTGTGTACTGCCGAATTCGTTCGTTTCCGACTTTGACACTGTACGAGTTGCATCAGATCCGGACGGGCTCCTCTCGTTGTACAGTGGTACTTCGCACACCAACAGAGTACAACTTCCGTAACAAGCACAAGATTGACGCAAGAGTATGAGGCGATTGCCGTGGGCATTGTTGATATAGACATGTCAAACGCTTCGCAAACGCGATGAACGGATGGAGACTATCCGCTCATCCTATGTGACCTGGAAAATACCGTCAACTGGCACTGTAGTGCATTCTCATGCTCTTTTCAAACCTTGGTAGATGCGCAGTAGCCCCATTTGATCATCCCTGCTGATGGCACAGACATTCAAGACTGAACACCCGATCATACTTGAAGATCACCTGGGCAATGATACCCCGGTGGTGGACCTTGAAGTTGCCGAACCCCCAACAACAACTTGTCCAATACTTCTGGAATTGTGTCACCCACTGCTGCTTCACTAAGTGGCTGCCCACCAGCTGAGGATACAACACGCGCTTGATATTCCTGGGTTCCCCTGAAGCGATGCACGTATTCCTGTTCGACGATCACCTTGAAGGCATTGAGTGAGTTCCCCGACGAATTTGGGTCCCAGAGATCTGCATTGCGACGCAGGCAATAGTCAGCAAATCTCAGATAATCAACTTAACGGGTGTACCTACTGATGATGTCTTCTTTGATACGCTCATGTTCAGGACCCAGAACATCGATGGAGTTCCATTTGTGAAAACTTGTCTCTTTTCTTCCACTCCCAGCGAAGATAGTGCAAATGCACTGCCACATTGGAAAACAGTTCGAGTTGGTATATGTGGTATGTGAAGGGAATTCCCAGCAAGGGCTTCTGAAGAACGAGCGCAAAGAAGTACATTTGCAGCCCTACTCCTTATACTCAGCGTGAGTCACAATCAAAAGACGGGATATGCGAACATCCGGGCCATTCCAGTGCTTTCATGAACGGTTGCAAAAGCACAGTCGAGAAGCTGGCCATGGAGTTGCTAGTGATTAGCAGGTCTCTACATCTTCGGTGGCATCACACAGCTATGGTACATGTTACAACAACCGGCATGATCAAATCCTGAAGGACAATCGTTATATACCCTTTGAGGAAGCGCAAGTTGCGCCGTGCATGCAACTACGGCCCAGCACCGCACGTCTATCCTAGCGAATCAATGTTACAAGGCTTCCAGCGGCAGAGCAGCTACAGAAGGCGGAAACATATCGAACATCCGTGGTAAGTTGGACAACTCGCTAGCGAATGGAGGCTTGCTTTCGAGATGGTGACGAAAGAGACCATGCAGTGAGGCGTAAAGACCTGTGAGCATGAAGGCCTTAATTTTCCGGAGTGACATGCTTCATATTCCTGAGGCATTTATGGCAACTCTAATAAAGATCTAAACCATAGGCAGCGTATACCTCTAGAACAGCTGGGTGTGAGAAGACCGTGATAGGAAGAAAGAGGCCCCAACGCGAAATTGCCGAGGATGACTGTTCAGGTGTCGCCAAGACGTCGCACTTGTCGTACGAGAACGCCACCAAAACGAGTTCTGACTTGTGCAACCACTATTCTCCACCGCACAACCATTACCAACGAGCCGTATTGTTGGCTTTCTCGACCTATATCCCATTCAGGATCTCTGCAGCATCTATACGGCAGAATCATTCATGTTTGGCTGGTTCATCATGCTCAGTAAGAGTCGGAGTCACCTTTTCAATAAAGGCCAGGGCAGTGCAAGCTCTTTATTCTTCAGGCGTCCTATTTACCCCTGCAGAAAATGAGTCTGCAACGAGCCGCATGGACCCAAAGATAGACGGCTCAATGTCGCTAAACGTCTAGATCTTCCGCGGAATTGGCTGACTCGCTTGGCAAGGGCAGCATGATTGGTTGAAAGAGACGGATCCTGGAAGAGGCGCAAGGCTGCATCGATCGCTTAAGGGGAAACGAGATGTGCCTGCACGCTTTGCACGACCGGTGAGCTAGCTGTGTAGTTGTCTGGGTCGTCGGTGCGGTGCTTGATGGTGCTTAAGATGAGGGCGTGGCCCTCACGGTTGGAAACAGCCCTACGACTTTACTAATATCTAATTTTCGCGTTTCGCGACCCACGATCGTTACTTTCGCAGGACATAGCGAAATGGCTGCCCGATTCGCCCTTGTAGCGATCGCTAATGCCGCCATTGCAAGCGCGCAGTTCTTGGATGATGACTACACTACCACTCGTTCTACTTCAGCGTACTGGACCTACACCTCTTGTTACGCGGAGTCTGTCACAGAAAGCCCGTACACATATTATGACGACACTGTCACTACCGACACTTACACTGAGACCCGTACCGTTAAAGATGGAGTCACTCCTACGATCGCGCCGTACTCGACCGAAGTCTACTACTACAGCTACGATAATCTTCAGCTCGTATACGCATACTACACGACTAGTGCGGTGGCAGATTCCGATCTTATGCCTGAGTATGATTACTACGCGACTACACCTTCGGCGACGACGACGGCTACAGTCAAGAACATTGAATTCAGCATGCCAGTCACAATGACGGCACCTGCCTCGTGCCCCACACCATGTAAGTACTACCTCTCTCTTCGTATCTTCTCGACACTGATCTGACTGCCTGTAGTTACCATAACAACATCCGCCTCTGTAGATGTCCCAACTCAGGTTACCGCGCAACTCTCGCCAGCTTCGATTGAAACATACTCTAGCAGCACTACCTACGACAACACTGTTTATCTTTGGGAGACATGGTATCTTTCAGAGAGCGCGGCGCCTTTCACGTCAACGTCAGACTACTACTACTCTGCTTACATGGCGGATTGCAGTACGCCTCCTGCATCGTACAACACCCATACCTCGTCTTCTGGCGGCGGCTCAAATAGTGGCAGCTTGGACAGCGATGACAGCGACAGCTCATACGATAACTGCTATTACTACTACTGTAGATCTCGCATGCTTACATGGATCATCATCATCGCATCCATAATCCCCGGACTCTTCCTGCTGGGTTTCCTCGAGTCTTGGTTCTGGTTCCGTCGCCTCATGCTCGGTAAGAGTGCCATGCGTTTTGGTACCGTTTGCTGGGTGCTCATCTCGCTTTGGGTGCTCTGCTTTACTCGCATGCAAGATCGCCGAAGCACCGAAGACCAGAAGATGTTGGCTGAGAGGTGGAAGAACATGGGTAGCGGGGCGGCTTTCAAGGCTTGGTGGAAGTGGGGATTCCGTCACAGGTACCCTGAAGAGTTGCTAGGTCAATTCAGTAAGACCACCGTCGGCTTTGTGCCGCCGGGTCAGCCGTTGTATCCGGCAATGGCACAAACACCCGGTGCTTCCCAGCCTATGGTCCCTGGTCAAGTTTACTACTACGGCCCTCCGCCTCCGGGCTGGGTCATGTCACCGAATGGAGGTTTCGTCCCACCCCAAGGCTACACGTACCCACCTCCTCAGCAAGCTGGCTACTACGGCGATATGACCAAAGCCGGACCGGTCGTATCTCAATCTCCCGTCTCGGCAGTAGGCTACCCACAACCGCAGCAGCAGATGGGCAATGTCTCTCCCATGGTACCCCAAGCCCCTCAGGCCGTGCATACTGCTCCCCAGAACGGCGCGCACACGCCTACGCCATATGGCGCACCACCCAATGTGGGTACAATGCCAGCACAAGCACCGCCCCGAAGCCCTTCCCCGGAGGGACCTTCGCCTCCACTTCCACCTCGACCTGTGGCCGAGGGAGCGCCGCAGATTCCACCTGTGAACGTGAGCGATGCAACAACGACAAACGATGTAGCAGAACAGGAGCCCACTGCATCGACTACTGCTCCTCCTCCACCGAAGAACGATCCCAACGACCGGAGCTTGTATGAGTAGGCTTATTAGTTGACTCCATGTAATAAACGTTGATGAGTCAAGACAGTAGACCATCATGGTCATGGAAAAAAAGGTAGTCGCAGTTTAGCATAGTTCTCCTTGAGCGTTTCGCGTACAGATACCCTAGCTCGGAGTTAATTCCCTTAGGTCATTTAAAAACTGACGATAATATACACTGCAGTACGGCTGTTGCCAACAGATCCCTACCTTCTTGCCGCTAAGATCCGCTCCCGCCTGCCCCCATAATGTTCTCTGACAGATGTTTCTGAGATTGCACGACGTGGAATGCTATTGCAAGCTTTGTGGCTTTATGGCAGCTGCGTGCGTACATCCGACAGCTGTCAACAGATGTGACTATATGGCAGGAAGCATCGCACGCTTTGATGGTCGGAAACTGTTGGCACATCACTGCAAATGAGTCTTTATACGTACCCACATTCAGAGTCATCACCCAACAAAGCATAGCGATACTGTTTGGACTGCTGTCCTGCCCGCCTCCATAGTTATCGGAACTTAAGTTCGGAACCACGGCACGAGCATCACATCAGATGTTACAGCAGTTCACTAGAAAACGGAAGTTGCGCGCGACACTACTTGTCACAACTGATCACTGCGCTGTTAAGATCTTCCCAACGTGCTTCAAGCACATAGCGAGATCTCTGTGCGCAACGGTCTGACCATCGTGAATCATTAGTGAACCGCAATACGGACTCATTTTTGTGTCACGGCCTTGGAGTCAGTGTCCACTGTGCGTCATAGGACGCATAAAAGCGCGCGTCGATTTCCTACCTTAGGTTCCTCAAATGCAAGCCGCAATGTCAAATCGAACCGAGAAGCCAAGAACCCGTCGATTCGAGGAAGTGTTATCAGAGCCTGAGCTTGAGCCCAGCCCGAAGCCAAATCTGGAGATCCAGTTCGAGGACTTAAACCTTCTGGAGGGTGGAGAACTTATTGCGCAGTGTCTTGAAAGACAAATCATAGGTCAGTATCACGCAAAAGAGAATTTACAGTGCTGAAAGCGATACACCAGTGTGGGAGAAAGTGGGTTGTCTGAGAAGCCTCCGTCCAAACGTTGAACGCAAGGGTTTTAACATCAAATGGGAGAAGGATAATGCGAAACTTTCAACGAGATACCGAGCCAGCTTCAAAAGAGATTCAACCGTTCCCGGCTCAATTCACTCAAATGAATGGTAAGAAAGCCCGCTCAAAGCGCTGAGCGATCTGCATGAGAAGGCCATGTCTGAACATAGCCCGAAGGAAACCGAAATAACCAAGAGCCAAACGAGCATCGGAAAGGCCGAGACCAAAAGGGTACAGGGGGGAGTCTTGGGAAATGAAAGGACTGCCCAAGACGCTACGCTTGGGGTACTTCCACAACTACCTATCATAGATGAGCAATCGCTAAATGCCAACGGTAGACAGGTTCAACCCACAATACGGTATAAGCGGAAAGACATCAACGAGAATTGCCCGGATATCAAACTCTCTAGAGAAGGAAACAGACTGGAACGTATGACTATAGGTAGGCTATCAATTCTACTCGAAATAGGCGGTATTGGTGCTTATACTAACGAGTTATAGCGCGAGAGAAGAATTCCAGCCCTTCAGAGTACGGCCATGGTCACAAATACATCTGGGCGCTCTGGGAGCGAACTTTCGAACCAAAGGGCAAAGCGAAGGTTGCAGTGAGTCTTGCGAGACAGGACAAGGACGACTTTCTACATGAAAGCAATGTAGTAGCGACAAGTCGTTCAAGTGGAACGCCAAGGCAAGCATTGATGGATCTCTATAAGCAGCACAATGAGGATCAGCCGATCAAAAGTCTATGGCAACGTTGTCTAGAACGATGGTCGACATCGCGGCTGGGTCGGTCCTTGCCTTGGGGTTCTCATATGAGGATTAGGTTATTGGGGCTATAAGGTGACTATAGTTGATGATAACTTCTGCTGTTGAATACGTAAATGGATTACGCCTGGCTTCGGACGAATCAACAGGATTGTACTCACCAGACGATAAGAATTACTTTGACATGACTTGACAGGAGAGGAGCAGTCATGGTAGTCATGAGGTTGCAATAGGTCACTCATATGAGTCGAAGAATAGTGTGGTGAAGATTATCTCCGTTAACCGCGCGTATAGACTTTTGTATGAGCTATGACCCTTCCACTTTTGACGACTGCGTACACAAGTCAGTATTGCAAAGCCGTTTAGGACTCAAATTTATCCGTCACCGATAGATCTGAGTCTGCAAGAATACCGAAGCACTCTGGCCAATGCGGTACCCAGTCATAGCCTGTTAGTCATCGGCTTCCATCCCGAGTGTTGATAGATATTTGATGAGATGATAATGCTATTCTTGAGGTAGTAGGTTATTTCAGTAAGTGCAATGTAGAGGTCAGATTGCGGTCCTACTGAAATGGGAAAGAAGACCAGAGGAAGCGACTAGGTGGCATGAGAGCCGTGAGAGATGTGTGACACGGAGACAGAGAAGTAAAATTGTTACTATCGGAACAATTGCCTGAGAATTAGAGGTACTCTGTGGGAATGCGTTGGTAGACACATCTCCAACCGTCGTGCCTCCTTGCTCTTGGATTGACTCCTATATGACTTACATTCCCCACCTTACAGGACAACGCCATTGTACTCAATGGGCCATAACAACCACATTCTCAACGCGAACAATAGCCTTGTTCAAACTACTACATCAAATACAAACCGATAGAAAAACCCTACCTCGAACCACCCAAGATGGCATCTGGCAAAGAAACAACACCTCCCGAGGCCTTCGAGTCTGGAAATTAGATCTTCATTCAGCTAAACCTGACGCTGCAAAAGGCATTCTCTGCAGCCTGGCGCCCAGAGCTCGCACGGCCATAAGCATTGTCAAGAGTACTTCAGACCCGAAGCACTTCCTTGATCTACATCCATAAGCGACTAACATGTTTGTGGGTAGATACTATCGCGATCATGGACCCAGCTGGAGACCATCTTGACGGAGTTTTTGGAGTGGCCTTAGATGGCGACGGAACCTTGGTTTGGGAAGCTTCGCAAGGAGGGCACGGCCTAGACGAGACAGTCAGGTGCTCAGGAAAAACGGACGTTGAGGCTTTGGATAGCTCACGAAAGAAGCTACAGGCGATAAAGGACAGTCGAAAGGAAGCAGCACCAAAGGGTTGAGTGTTGCGGTATCAGACTGGGTCGGAACTGGCATTTGACATGCCAAAGCTCATGCATCAAGGCTACACTTATTTTCATTACCTCACACTCATTGAATCACTTCACCGGTAAAAATATACCGTATATTATCGTATCACGGCCCTTAAAACAAGTGAACTCCTTGACAGATCTAGAGAACCCATTATGAGGGGATATGAATATGGGGAGGCAGTTGTTGGAATATAAGATGCATTGGAAATCTCAATAAGTGGTATCGATTCTTACATTCGGCCCAAGGAAAATGTAAAGTAAAACGCACGAAGGCGTAAGAAGGAACCACAATCTACGCAAGCCAAATACTATGCATAATGTCCTAAAGCATCGATTCGAGAAGCAGGAAGAGGAAAGAAGAAGAAAAAGTACTCCGACATGCCAGGCTCCAGCGTCCAGACATCGAGCTAAGAAGTGTGTGAGAAAGTCAAAGAAAAGACACTGCTTCCTCCACAACAACAAAAAAAAAACATTATCGTACAAACGCCATCGAAGAGCGTGAAAAAGGACATGGTATGTGTAGCGTTTCCATGTTGTGCCATTAGTATCCGTACTGTCGTCTAGCCGTGGCGGCACGTGGTCTGCGTCCACCGGAACCGGGGCCAATGTCGATGCTCTGCAGCTCTAAGCTGAGCGCCATGTCCTCGTTCTGTGTACCGTAGCCGCCGCCGTTCATGTCCATGGGTACCTTGGCGGGGATGGGCGGTGCCGCGACACTGTGCCTTTGGGTACCACGTCGGTCGTAGCTGGGGCTGCTGCCGTAGCTGTTGGGGTTGTCGCGTTCGCGGAGGACCTGTCGGTCCGGCAGCTGGTACTGCGGTGGGGAGTCGTAAGCGGACACAGGGCGTTGATCGCGCCTTGTGGGCCTGCTGCGTGCTGTTGGGTTGGGAGGTGCGTTGTGCTGGCTCTGGCTTGCGAGGACCAACGCACCTGCGTTCACAGGCGAATTGTAGTCGTTATTGAAGTCATGTCTCGTGGTGACTAGCGCGTTGCTGTTGTCGAAGTTCATGCTGGCGGCATGGCGAATGCGCTCTCTGTCAGCACGCTCTCGCTGGTATCGTTCCTCGCGTTGCATCGCGGCCTCGAGGTCTCTGCTGCCGTTAAGCTGAGCTCTTGTGCGAGGAGCCTTCTCCTTCACTGTGCCCTTGGGTACTGGTTCAGGCGCCCAGTTGTCGACAGGTAGATGGTCGGACGCATCGACAACCCGTCCGCTGAATGTGACAATCTGTCCTTTGTCGTTGTACTCCATACGGCTGCCTGGCCGCTCGAGCTCGTCGTCCGAAGGTATGGGAGACTTCGATATCCTAGGGTTGTAGACGTCGAAACTGTCGGGGTTGAAGGCTACTCCAGACAGTCGTCGCTCACCCATATCTTCCCTGGAAGGTGGTGGGCGAGGTGACACTGATTTACGCGTCGGCATACTTCTCGCAGGCAACCTAGATGAGCGATCGGTAGCCGGGTTAGGAGAGTGTCGTTCCATCTCAGGGTTGGGAGAGTAGCGATCCATGATCGGGTTGGGCGAGTAGCGCTCCATAGCTGGGTTGGGAGAGTAGCGTGAGCTCACGTTAGGGCTCGTAGCACGCGGCTTGATGATCGGGCCAGCATCGTAAACTGGGGGAGACATCTGTCGAGGCTGCTCAGGCGGGTCATGGGGATAGTAGTCGTTCGTTTGGTACGCGGAATGATGAACCAGTTCCTGCGACTGAACAGGGTCTTCGTATTGAGTGATGGCCCGATACTCTGCAGGCTCAGAGTAGTGGCGCAGTCTCGGCGGTGTCTCATACGATGGGGGCGCTTCGTAAGGTGGCGCTTCAATCTCCTGTCTTTGTGGGATGAGTCCAGCGATGAGTGCACTCGGCAGTGCCGGTGCTTCCTGTCGCAGGGGTTCCTGTCGCAGTGGGGATGGCACCATGTTGTCGCGAGACACTGGACGGCTTGATGGCTGCGCCGGCATACGAGGATGAGTGTAGCGTCGCTCTGCAGGTTGTCGAGGCGCGTAGTTGTCGGGCTCATATTGCTGAGGCGGCATATCGTAACTGAACTGACGGGGCTCCTCACGCGATCTCGCCGAGAAGCTGAGGGGCGCAGGGGCTTCTTCGCGGTACCTCTCACGCTCGGGACTTTCTTGATTAGGGTGAGGTAACGTGCTGGCATTGCGCTTGTGCATTGGCGGCGGTGGTGGCATGTCATCCTCGTCTTCGACCATGGGCTGCATGGCGCTGCGTCTCCGATGTGTAGGGCTCTCGTCTTGTAGGGGAGGAGCCTCGATGAACCGTTGGCCGTAGTATTGGTCGAGTGGAGGCGCCTGTTCCTGGGCGTGCTCGCGGCTACGACTGCTTCGCAGAGGTGCAACTTGATAAGTCGGATCCTGGTACTGGTCTTGCGCGTATGGCTGAGCTGGCTGCGGGGCCGGCTCAATTCGTTGAGGCTCAAACTGCTGATGCTGGAGTAGCTGTTGCTGCAAATACTCGATCTGCTTCTGCTGCTCCTGCAGCTTTTGCGATTGTGCCGGAGATTCATATGCGTGCTGCGTTGGGACTACCGGAGCCGAGTGAGAATGTATTGGCTCGGGGTGTTGCAGCGCCTGGCTTCTGGGAGATCGACCGTCTTCCTGGGACATCCTCCTCTGGTCTGAGTGCCGAACGTGTTGTGGCAGAGGATCGATGGGCTTCACCTCGTATGGCTTGGGCGCGGCGTAGGACATGTCGAAGCTCTCTTCCCTTGGTAGGGGCATCCTCTGGGCTGATGAGCGCGGGTTCGGAGGTGTGCTGTAGGAGGTCTGCGGTACCGGGCGCTGAGGAGTGTTCTGGCTCGATGATGACGCAGGATTGAGGGGAGACGCATCTGGCACCGGCCTGCGGGAAGCTGTGTCGGGCTGGCTGCGCTGTGTTGGTGATGGCTCGGTGGCTGTCCTTTGGTGTCGCGGGGAGCCCAGCTCTCGCGGGCCAGCTCTAACGCCCCGCAATCCTCGGTGCTCTGGTGTGTGTATAGGTGATGGCGTCGCGCTTGTGGGGTCGCTGGGCAGCGGGCGTCGCTTGACGGGTGCCATATCTCGCGCTCCACCTACAGCCGCCTGCCCCTCTGGCTTGGTCGACTCTCTCTTCTTCTGCTGTACCAGCTTCTCGCTCTTCTCACGGGTGTCGTAGTAGGTGATCTCCATTCGGATCTCGCCAGCGTACTTGCCCTTGCAATTGAGGCCGAGCCACTCGTCACTCTGGCCTCCACCGGGGGTGATGACGGAGTTGAGGTTCGCAAAGGCCTCGCCGATGAGTTCCGTCTTCTTGTCGTCATTGAAGACAGACACCTTGAGGCGGTTGTAGTCGGGCGAGTCGTGGACGGTGAAGCGCAATTCCTGGTCCCTGCATATGTCAGTGGTGGTCGTTGGAAACTCGTCGAAGCCATGCATACCATCTCGGTGTCTGGCCGCCTCGTTTGTCGGTCTTTGTCTTTTTTGCTTCCTTGCCTAACCGGGCAGCGCAGTACGGGTCCTGCTTTCCCATGGTCCTCTTGTTAGGCAGGTTGCGGGCGCGGTCCATGATGACAACTAGGGTGCCTATTACCGGCCCGTCGACCGTCATGTCGGAAAAGATGCCCGCTGCATGAGCGCCGCCGAAGCTGGGGACGTTCATGGCCTTGGTCGCCATGCTGGGGTGGTCGTCCGGGTGCGGGACTCGTGGAGGGCAGGCGCGTTGGGCGAAAGTGTTCGGTGGTGGGTGGCCGCGAGTGCAGCGTCGAGGGCGGAGATAAGGCGCATTCGCTGCAATGGCAGGACTAGGTGTGTGGAATCACAGCGAAGGAGAGAAAGAAGCCAAAACAAAAGAGCGACGGTGCAGAAAGAGAGGTTTGGCGTGCTAGCAAGCGTGTTTGGGTGGATCGGGTTCGCGGGAGTTGTTCTATTCCTATGTTACGCATCTTCATGTGGCTGGTTCCAGCCCCCGCAAGCACCGCAAGCACCAATCACCTGCCCTGAGCCACCATGTGGACCTACCACGCCTTTCCCCGGTCAGATCATTAAGGCTGAAAGGGTCGTCCCTTGCAGACGCGAAGTCTCAAGTTTCTTGTTTAGCTCCATCCTGCTGCGAACGCCTGTCGCGCTATTGTTTGCGCTTCTTTGGGGCTATGTCATATCCTGTGGCTGGGTCGCCGAGTGCTCCTCATCGCCTCACTAACCACGACGCGTCTCGGCTGTGACGGGCTCGCCTGCATACAGACACGCGTAGGACGGATCGGTGATGCGTATACCCTCGTACTGCAGCGATTCTATTGCACTTCGTCCGGTTCTTATCACACTACCATGCGTCGGCTTGTCGCGATCCGACCTGTCAGACCAGCTGCCCTCCACGCTCAATCATGCATCTCCAGACAATGCACGTCTGTTGGTATGTCGCTCATTTCTGGGCCTGGTTGTCCCATGCGCTGCCATCGTGCTACGCGCAGTCTATGCTTCCATTCGATACTTCCGCGCTGAGTTTGGCGGATGTTCCTATGGAGACGAGGGTAAGCTGGGATACCGTTGATCACCCCCGGGCCGGCGCCAATCGCGAGATCACCCCATTGCGATCCCACAGACCCGACTCCGGTCTGCGAAAAGATGGCTGGTATCGCCGAATCCAATTGACGCCCAATGCCAGCACCCCGATTCGTCCGGTATCAAGAAACATGCGGCAGTTGTCACTATTGTGGAGATTGCGCGTGGGATGATATACAGAAGCTTGGTTGTAATAGATCCTTCGCGCAAGAACTGACATGCGAAAGGCATCTAAGCTCGGTAAAGCTTATCTAGAGATTCCCGAGGCTGGATCTATTAGGTCGTTGAGATCATGACATGTGAGCGCGAGTGGTTTGGGTATCGACGCAGAGACAATCGCATTCTTTTCGATCGCTGGACTATGTGCAGCTCCCGGGTGATGCGGTTTATCATGCGTCAGATACGAATGCGAGTATCCTGCAGGGAAGGAGTCTATTGCGATGGGAAGGGTGAAGTTATAGACACGTGACGTGCCTGCCAAACGCGCTGCCTGCTGACCACGCGCCCCCGCGTTTTCGCGACTGCATCGCGCTGGCGATGGCCTCGACGTCGCCAGTCTCGCCACCCTGACCATGCCTCCGCCCACAACGAATTGCACCGAACACCATCTACCCGCCATATCGGACACACCCCAAGCGCCGATGTTGCTCATACGATGCCGACCCATACGCCCTCCCCGCACCGCTTCCTAGCGCCCAATCCGCCTTCCACACAGAAGACCAAGAAACCCCAATCTGGCCTGCGCAACGCCCTCGCTATACAGACACCTGCTTCTACAAAGAAGACTCAACCAAAGCCCGAGCTTCAGTTCAAGAACTTGACTCCTGCGAAACGCTTCGTCTTTGCGCCGCCTCGGCAAACACATGAAGGCACCAAAGAGGGGCGCGATGAACCGCAAGAAGATGCGTTCGCACATGCTACACCGCTCCCAAAGCTTCGGAGGAAGTTCGAAAGAGTGGAAAGCATAGAGGAACCATCGCAGTCAAGCCAATCAGAAGCGCAAGATGAGCTGCACGGCGAAGATGTCATGCAATCCATCGAAGACGGGGACATTCAGCCCAGCCACTGGGAAGGACAGGGTGCAGACCAAGAAGATGAGATGCTATTCGAATCAGTTCAAACGAGCAAGCGTCGCCGCATGTCCCCCGGGAGCTCTCCAACTCTCCAACGACCGTCTGAGCCCTCCACACCAGCCCCTGTATCCAATTCAACGACGCACCGCTTCAAGGTCCCGCCGCCACGGACGCCCGCGCCCTTCCCCAGTATTGCAGTGGTGACTTCCACACCGGCGAGTGCACCGCAACGTCCTCACTTCATACTCCCTGCGCTTCCCACATCGCCTCCGAAGCCTTCTCGTCCGCTCCCTGAGATCTTTTCACCTTCGCGAAAAAATGGCAAATACATACCTAACGGCCTTGCCTCGACTGTCACGACATGGATGATCGAGACGGCAAATACAGGTTTCGCGGCACAGGATAGAAGCGGCGCTGTCTCTGGTCGTGAGATGGAAGACGGCGTGAGGCTGCGTATACGGGTTTTGAGTCTGTCGAGGGGCGGAGGTCGAAGCCGTAGCGCAGACGAAGTGGAGTGCTATGCAGGTGGAGTCGTGTTCGCTCGCGGAGATACCGAGGCTGGCATGTATAACGCGTCAAGAGCAGATAATTTGAGCGGTGAACATATCGCGTTGAGAGTCTTACTAGCCGGCCAAGGTGGTGCTAGAGGCTCAGGAGGTGTACTGCTTAAGACTGCTAGTGTAATCGGTATTCGCGCACCAATGTGGGACGTTAATGTGGGCGAGGAGAGGTGGACGGTGGCTGTGGACTGGGTGCTACTCTAAACTCTGGACGAGACGTGCTCTTACGATTTGATGACTGATGAACGATACCCAATTTCATGGAAACACGACAAATTACAGATCGATATGCAAGGAATCTAAATCATTTATAAGAGAGGAAACACCCAAGTTCACAGACGTCCATCCCTCAAAACACCCTTGAGTGATTATTCTCACATGTCCCTAGACTTGGGTGTAGTTTGCTAGCCGCTGCCAAATGGTTGCCTTGAGCCCACGTTGTGCTTGTTCACACATCATGTTAGAACCATGGTTTGCTCCGCCAAGTTCAGCGACTCACAACACCTGGAAAGCCATTTCGCTTACTGTATAGAATATTGCAGTCATGGTAGTCGTCTTCACTGTCTTCCAGATATGTAGTCTCTCTACTCATCAGTCACTCGCCTGCTATCAACATAGTTCTTCAGACAGCCTTCAAAGAACACCCATTTCCAAACACATCGCATCAAAGCCAAAGTCATGACTACCGTCAGCACCCCATGTTGGGCCTGCTCCTACGCCGACTCACAAGACCAAGTCAACTATCTAGTCTGCTGTCCGTCGCCTTCACCACCGCCGCCTGGAACACACTTGCCCACCCCAATCACCGCAAAACAACGATGGTCTATGCCCACCATCTGCGCCTCTACACTGAAAAAGACATGGAAGAGCTGCGGCTCCGAAATCACACAAGAATGGCGCGAAACACTCGATTGGATGAATACGCTCAATCCAAAGAGACTTCACACACCACCAGAGGAAGTGAACTTATCGTATGAGCGGCAGAAAGCTCCCACGGTGGTACTGAAAAACAGCGATTATTTCGAAGGCACACCGACTATTACGCTTACATCCGCGTCACCCACCTCGCCGCCTACAATGAATCTTACTACTTGGCACACGCTTGAGCAGCGTGTTTGGTCGAAGGCCGACGTACATATTACAACGATACCTCATATACATAATAAGAAGCACAGGGGAAAGAGGCTTGATTGCGGAAAATGCAAGAGGGATGAAGAGGTGAATCGGAAATGGATGGCGGCTATGGGAATAGATAGAGAGGGAGTACGTGGACGCGGTGGGTGTATTGTGATGATGAAGGGATTTTTTATGGGGAGAGGACATAGGGTGTTGCGGTAGCTGTGCTCGGTTGAGGTGGACACGTAATGATCATTCAATCATGTACCCGTGAACCTAGTTATTTTAGCGGTTAAATCCAGATTCACACCTCATTCGAATAAGAATCTGAACACTGGAGCCTACATTGGCGGTGGGGTTTCTACTTTACGTATGCTCATCTTAACGTAGGTTGCGATTCTGTTCAGCTTTCAAAGGTTGTCATTGTATGAGATACTCAGATGATTTCGGCTTGGATGTGATCCTCTGGGGATTATTATGGGCGTCTTGTTGATAGGACGCTTCGAACGTCCGTCGAATGAGACTGCCCGCCAAGTGATTCCAAGAGAGTTCGTTGGAATCGCCCATTCAGATCATCCTACTCACGTGACCGAACTCCTCGGTTCAGGGCTGGATGAATCCAGAGCTGCTTACATGAGCGCATCTGACGACATGCTCGCTTGCAGCGCGGTAATCAACTCATCTACGTTGATTGGGGCACCGAGCATTGAGCTGCGAACACGTACTGACAATAGATTCGCCCGCCATTCTGGGCAATCTTCCTTACCCTTCCACTGCTTTTCGTCTTTTTAGAAAGCCTCGATAACCGCTGCATAATCAATTCCACCTATCGTCGACTGAATGCACGTCACCAAAGCTTCCGGCCGCAGATTGGACGTAGCGAGGAAGGTTAGTCGCAGCATCGCGATCTGGAGCTGCGACTAAAGTCGATGACACCGGAGACCCCTCCATACCGCTATGCGACTGCTTTGTTGTACCATGGGCTTTGGTGGTGGGGTCAGTAGGATGCTTCTTTGTGAGTGTCCCACGTCGCCAGGTAGTAGTGGCAGGTACGACCAAACCCGGGTCGGCCCTCATGAATCAGTCGCTTAGTGGCTGCTTTCCGGACCCGCGGTGCCACGCCACGTCACTCAACCCATCAACACCTCACTTTTTCCTCTTAGCCATGACGCTCCCATGCGTGCCCCTGCATCGCGGCCCTCTTTGGGTATCGAGAAGGTTGTGAGAAGGGCCCTCCCTGCTAATTGACGCTTTGCCGCACTATACGCTCTCAAGTCTTCCGGTGCCGCAAAATTTCGCCGTTGACCAACGCTGCACCACGATCCGCGCTGGCGACACAACTGCAAGCTAAACAGTCATCGGGCCAATAATCGAAAAGCTCTCGGAGTGGAAAACCCCACCTTCTGGGCTCCCAACTCTATCAACCTGAGCGAACTGGGTTTCCCTACGTGGACCAATGATGCTTACAGCCGAAAGGCGTCTTCTCAGCGTGAGCCTGCGCGAGCATGCGGGTATGCCAGTCTGAGGCTTACCGAACCATTGCGCCCGCAATGCGAGGCATCTCCTTACGATTTCGCGCATCATGTCTTGTGACAGTTGTCCTGCACCTCTCTTTCGTCTGATCTGAGCGCTCTGTCCCAGCTTTGGCCGATTGAAGCCACGCACGTTGCACACCTCCACCCTCTGTGCTTTGCGTCTAGACTGACCCGTTTCTCATTCGTCTCTCCGCAATCAATGCTCGCACCCCACGTCTAATGTCGCCTCTGCATACCTACCGTTTGTTATCACCAGCAATGGAACAAAGAAAACATCTATAGCACGTAGCACAACTTGTCGAATTTCTGGATCTCGAACCACCGCGTCTGACTTTGTTTGATACACTATGCGCCAATTCGAGAATGTTTCGATATCGCAATGGGCGAACCCGTATGCGAGCGGCGGCACCAACACCGGAAAGAACTTCTATGCTACGGCGACTACACCGAAGCCCCAACCCGTCTATCGTCGAGTAGTCCCACCTACTCCAAAATTCTCGTATACGCAAGTAGTTGATGAGAAGAGCAGCAATGCCGAACAAGCAGGTATGCTTGGAATATATCGTGCGTAGCATGTCCAATTGACCATTGTAGATCCAGAGAATGTTCCAGCTGCTCCGGAGGAATCACCAGCAGCAGAGGTCACACCTGAAGAGGCCGCACCGCCGGCTATATCAGAGGCACCTCCAGCAGAAGAGCCATCAGTAGAAGCAGATGCACCTGCGACAACAACCCCAGCAGAACCAACACCAGAAGATCCATCAACACAACCAGCAGAGGCACCATCAAGTAGTGGGGACGGCGTTGTGGCAGCTGAAGTTGTGACGGAGGATGTCAAAGACGAGCCTCCAGGACCAAGCCATGCCACGAATGTTGACGCACTGCCGCCTCCACCACCACCACCCCCAGCACCGGTAGATGCACCACCTACTGAACCCGAAGCAGCAGCACCTCCGGTATCGCCAGTACCAGAAGTTTTGCCAGTACCTCCTAGTGAGCCTGCACCCCCTGCCCCATCAGCACCACCTGCGGATACAACACCGGAGCCAGTGGTTGTAGAGAGTGAGAAGAGTGGTGAGTCCGAGCAGGCCGCTCAAGAGCCCCCGAAATCCCCAACCGAAAAGTTTGTCCACTTTGCCTCTGACACCAAAGACCCAGACGCCGCAAGCATAGGCAAAAAGAAGAAACAGCTGGCGTATGGTAAAGGCAAGCCCACCGCGTTCATCCGTCCCAGAAAACCATCGACATCCGTTCCACCTCCTTCGCCACCGAAAGAGGAGAAAAAGAAGGTTTTCGTACCGATCGGCATCATCAAGAAGGAGAGAAGAGGTTCATTGCTATCGGCACTAGCCAGTGAGAAGGTGATGACTAGCAAGTCGAGAGGGAAGAAGGCTAGCAACGACGGTAGCCCACCACCAGGTGACGACAGGTCGACCGTAATCACTGATGGAGATGCTCCCTCTTCAGACGTCTCTGAAAGCGTCATCATCGAAGAACCTACCGAAGACGCTTCAGGGTCGATTATAAGCGAGACTGTGCCGCCACCACCGCCACCGAACGATAACCCGCCTGTGGTAGACGAGGTCGCCGTCAGCGAGGGTGTCGTGGAGGGACAAGACGAGGCAGTTGCGGACAGTCCTCCATGCGAGGAACCAGCGCCTGCCGCTCCCGAGCCAGCAGCTGAAGCTGAGCCATCACCGACAGATGCATCTGCCGACACTACAGAGACACCACACTCGGATGCCCCTGCTGCTGTGGAAGAAGTGAGTGCTGCTGATACTAAAACAGAGGTGACTGGCCCCGCCGATCCAGTCACCGAAGACACTCCTCCCCCTCCAGTCGAGCCGACCGCAGAAACAGCTTCAGAAGAGCCTACGCCTTCACCTGTACCAGAGCCGCCCGTGGAAGCCCCCGACGCTACAGCCGATGAACCACAGCCATCCAGCGAAGCGGTACCAGAAGAGGAACAAGCTACAGCAGAGAGTGCGGATGCGGTTGAGCCCGACGTAGCAACTTCAGAGGAACCGAAGCCAGCCGAAGCGGACGTCCCTGCCGAAGAACCAGCAGCTCCCGTGGAAGAGTCTGTTGCCGCAGAGGAGGCAGCGACTCCGCCAGCGGCTGAAGAGCAACCTGCAGTTGAGGAAACAAGTACCTCAGACGAGCCGTCGACAGTCGCAGAAGACTCTCCTGCTGTCGAAGCAGCGGTCCCCACTGCGGAAGAACCTATTTCTGCTGCCGAAGAGATACCTGCTGTCGAAGAGGCGCCTGTTATTGACGACGCACCTTCTGCTGAGGAAGAGACACCTCCTGTTGAGGAACAGACAGCCATTCTGGATGCAGAGACGCCCATTACTGAAGAGACACCGGCTGCTGAAGAGACAACAACCGCTGTAGAATCGGCTCCTACCGAGGAGACCCCAATCGCGGAAGATACTCCAGCCGTAGACGATGTAGCTGTTGCTGAGCCCGCCCCTTCTGCCGAAGAGACAGCCACAGCCGAAGAGACGCCTTCCGTCGAAGAGACGGCCACCGCAATCCAAGACGCTCCTGAAGTTGACGGCACGCCTGAAGCACCTGCCGCTGAGGAGAAAGCGTCTTCTGAAGACGTCCCGGCCGCCGAAGATACCCCTGTTGGTGAAGACACATCGACTGTAGAGGATTCTACTCATGTCGAGGAAGCATCAAAGACTGAGGATACACCTATTGCCGAAGAGCCCACCCAGGCTGAGGCTACACCCGTTGTTGACGAAACGCCCTTTACCGAGGAGCCACCTATTGTCGAAGACGTCTCTGCTGCCGAGGAGCAAACTCAGCCTGTGGAACCGCCAGTTGATGACCAAACACCCGTGGTCGAAGAAGCCCTGGCTGCCGAGCCTGTTCCTCCTGAAGTTGCTGAGGATGCCGCTGAACCAGAGTCAGAAGCAAGCGTTGCTCAAGAAGAGCCACCACTGGATGAGAAGCAAGACATCGAAACGTCTAATGCCGCAGTCGAGGAAGCTCGAGCATGGACTTCAGCAGCACCGGCAGACGTCGCTGTCGTAGCTTCAATACTTGCAGCTGAAGGAGAAGCAGATGCACCTGAATCCTCACCTGTTCAGGATCCTGCTCCCGAATCTCCTGGTGCTGCAGAAGTTGCGGAATCTGCGCTAGTCCCATCTAGCGACTCACCGTCAACTGAGAGCGATGACAAGCCTGAAGTTGCAGACGTCGAAGCGCCTGCGAGTACTGAACCGGTCGTGGATGTAGCTGAGCCAAACGAGGCTAGCGCTGATCCCACAGGTACGTTCACACATATCTTACTGTCGCATGGCGAGCCGCGTTCGAGCAAATTTATTTGTAATCAATGCTGACAAGATCACAGACGAGCCCCAATTTGACTCCACAGCGGAAGCCTCAGAAGCAACGGACGCACCCGAACCAGCTCCCGCCGACGAAGCTGTCGAACCAGCCTCCAGCGAAGGCGACAGTGAGCCGACAGCTGCACAAGACGAGAGCAATACCTCCACCGAGGAGCCAGAAGCTGCATCGACACTAGAAGGGGTAGACGACACTCACACCATTGAAGCCACGCCTGATGTGACATCGGAAGAGCCCACTGCAGTGGCCCAAGACGCCGCTGATATGGCACCCATCGAAGTTGCTACAGTGGAGGCTGAGGCGAGCGACGAAAAAATGCCAACTGCAGACACTATGCAGGACATCTCCGATTGGGAGAAAGACGACGACGATGTATCCGACATGGGTATCTCGGACTGGGAGAGGGATGATGATGCCTCATCACAGCCCGGCGAGAGCGAGACGAATCCCTCCGAGCATCAAGACTTCGACGATGAGAGCATCGCGCAAGACCCATTGGAGCCTGCACACGAGGATGAGAAGTCACTAGACCAGGATAAGTCCAATGCTGTAGAGGTCATTCGACCATCCGACGCTGCAACCTCTGCTCCAGTTACCGATGATGTCGGTGAAGATGCCGTCGTCTCAATCGATGTCAAAGAGGATGAGCCTACAAAGGACGATACATCCGCGGCCGTACCAGAGGTTGTCGAACAGAATGAAGCCTCAGCCTCTGAAACATCACCAGAGTCATCCGAGCCACAAGACACTGGCGACTCAATTGATCGTTCCGCGGAGGATCAGACGCCTGAGACACGTATCCAAGAAAGCACTGAGGAAGCACAGCTTGCAGTTGGCGATGCACCTGCAACTCAAGAACCCGCCCCAGAGATGAGCCAGCCATCAGCTCCAGAGGAGAATGCCATCACCGATGCGAGCACAGACGCACAAGACGATGCGAGTGCACACGAATCGCCAGTCGACGAGTCGGAGCCAGCGGTGAGCAGCGAGGCTGCCAAGGACAGCGAGCAAGTCATAGTCTCGGCTACACCCGATGACGTGGAGAATCCAGATTCATGCACAGGTACGTATCTCCTATGTTTTTTGTGTTTCACATCTTTATGTCCGTCTGCACTTCTTTTCGCTGGCTCAATTACGCACGTTTGGACGATAGCGCGCCATGCCAGCGGCGAATCGGGCTAGCGAGCAGCGGTTGGCTTACCCCATTGGACGCCCCATATTTTCCTCTGGCCCACCTGCCAGCACATTCTGCGGACATTCTGCCACCGCTGTGACTAGCTTATCGTCACGTGGAAGCATGTGTGTCGCCATGAGTCTCGGGCTGCGATAGATGCATCGCAATTTGTCGACGTTCCAAGATGCGTGGTTTTGCTCCGCGCTAGCTCTGCCGCTTGTCTTTTGGCTCCCGACATCCCCGTCACCTCTGAATCTCACCTTCTTTTTTTTTCGTGATTGCACTTCTACTTGTACAGCAGCGATATTTTCCTCCACCCAAAAGTGGCCATGCATTACAGCCGCTGACCAGTGCAGCTGAGACTGAAGCACCTTTACCCAAACTCGACGATAATACCGACGAAACATGCGCAAGCATCCCAGCTGACGCGACAAGCGAAGTCAGCCCAGACCCTGTCTCGAGAGAGGCTGACGTTGAGACGCCAATTGAAAACCCCACGGTCGAAGAAGAGCAGACCGAAGACGCCGCGGCCGATCCAATCGTTCTTCAAGATATTTCCGAACAAATCGACGATGATGTTGTAGTTGCCAACGTAGCGCTAGCTGAAGCCGAGCCCGACTCTGCACCAGACATGCCGGCCAAAAAGGTGCCGGAAGTGGTATGTATAAGCTGTGATTGATTCTGAACTTATATACGCTTCGTGCGGTTCGCCATTCAGAAGAGTATGCTGATTCATTGCAGGTCCATGAGGACGTTGGGCCCGATGAGGAGCCACAGCATTCGGAGGTTTCCAGCGGAGCCAGCACAGGACCAGAGCCGGATGATGAACCAGTAGAAGAGCAGGGATCCGATGCGGGGAGCGAATCTGGGTCAGAGTCCGAAGATGATGACTGGTCTGGATCTGAAGTGTCTGCCGCACCTTCTGCCTCTGAAGTTCCCCAGGCCGACGACGCGCCTGACTCAGCACCCGCTGAAGATGAAACAACGAATGCCGAAGAGGCTCCGCCGAGTGAAGTCGCTGATGTCACTGCTGCTGAGCCTGAAGAGCCGGAGGAAGATCAGTCAATCCATGACGACGATGCCGGTTCCGATGACGATGCTGCTTCCGGGCTCTCCTCGAATTCCCAAGAAGAGCCAGAGAGTTCTATGGTAGTCGACGATGCTGCCGAGCCCGACGAGCCAGAAGCTTCTGAGAGTCCAGAGTCGCCTGCCGAATCGGCCGCGGTCACAGAAGCGCATCCAGGTCTATCACTCGAAGTTAATGTCGCAACTTCTGAAATCGTCCCTGAGGCAGAGTCTCCAGCATCAGAGGTCGAAGATCCGTCTGATCCTGCGCTCGAAGCAGTCAAGGAGGAGCAAGGAGATGACGGGAACGATGCCAGTGCTATCACTCAAGAAGACTCTGCGAACGACGATTCACTAGTTTCGTCACAAGACTCTGCTGAGCCTGAAGAGGAGACCGCAGCAGCTACCGAAGTGTCTGAGCCGGCAGATGCACCCCAACCAGGAGAGGAAGTTCCCCAGGAAGATGAGGGTGACGATGCTTCTCAAGTCAGCGAATCTGGCAGCGAGAGCGAGGCTGGAGAGTCCGTTGCACCGCCGGAAGACCCTGCTGAGGCCGATGACGACGCTGCACCAACCACAGTTGACGGAGAGGAGCTAGACACCGGCGCACCGCCTGCTGAAGACCCATCAACCGACGGGGTCGAGAACCAGGCATCTGAAGTGGGCGATGTATCCGTGGCTGAGGAAGAGGCGGAACAACCCGCTGAACCAGAGACAGCTGAAGCAGTCACAGAAGAGCCGGAGCCGGAAGCGGAAGCGGAAGCTGTTGAGCAAGATGCGGAGGCAGCTGCAGATGAGCCAGACGAGTCGCCGGCTGAGGAGGCTGCCGATCCAGAGGAATCGGTGGCGACGCCAGATGAAGCCGTCGATGAGGGACCAAATGCAGCCGAGGAAAACGAATCTGCTGCGGCTGACGCCGATCCTTCACTCGTTGAAGAGACTGAAGAAGTTCTGCCAGAACCGCCTGCTGAAGAGTCACCAGAGCCACTTAGTGAGGATGGTCATTCCAGCGACGGATCTGGAGCTACAGGGGACGCAGATGAGCCATCAGTGGTTGAGGCCAGCGAAGCAAACGCCGACGGTGCTGAAAATGCTCCACCTGCATCAGAGTCAGCCCCGGAAGAAGACACACCACCGGAAGAGGCTGCTGTGGAGGTGGAAGAAGCGCCCGCTGAAGCCGCTGAGCCAGTAGTAACGGGCAGTGATGCTGAAGAAGCTGCGGCCGACGAATCAGCGGAGGAAGCAAACGATGGCGAAGAGCCGACGCCGTCGCCTGATGTCGAGCTTGAAGAAGAACAGGTACAGGCACCATCTGAGGCCCCCGAAGAAGAACAGCTAGAACCCGATTCAACAGCTGCTGTTGAAGAGCCCGAGCCACCAGTTGAACCTGTTCCTGAGGAAGCTGAAGAACCGGCTGAGGCGGCCCCAGAGCCAACGCAGGAACCCGAGGAACCCGCTCCAGTAGCGGCGGATACAGCCGCCGAAGAAACCTTGGAAGACCATGATGCGGAGGAGTCGGTACCAGCCCCCGAAATGGAGGTTGAAGAGGTCGTAGCCGAGGTGGCCAATGAAGAGAGTCCCGAACCCCAGCAGGCTGATGACGATGCACCGGCAGACCGGTCCCTCGACGTTGATGAAATTCCAAGCGCACCTTCACCCCTACCGTCCGTAGCTGCTGTTGCTGCTGCCGGTATTGTTGGTGCCGCTGCTGCTGCTGTATTGGTCGACCAAACCGCCGATGACCGTGCGGTCAGGGACCGCGATTTTGCAATCGAGGACGAACCTTCAGCCGATACGCCCAGTCGTGAGAGGACTCATCGCCGACATTCGCACTCCCGTCGTGAAAGCCAGCACCGACCGAGCCGCAGACGCGAAAGTGGTGCTAGTATCAGGGAGCGACCAATAATGCCAACGACGGCCGTTCCCGATGCGCCAAGGACGAGGCGTCGCGACAGCATGACAGAGCGCGAAGCGGCCGAGCGTAGAAGGGTAAAACTACGCGAGGCCGAGATAGCCAGTAGTGGTAGCGACATACAAAAGGCGTACCCGGATCCATACCGCTCACACTACCGGGAACCCAGGGGTGAAGAGAGATACAGCAAGCGTCGCCCAGTGGAGGAGGTTGACGAAGAAGCTGATAGACAGAAGCGACGCGAAGCTCGGCGGGCTGAGAGAGCTGAGAAAGAGCGACTTGCCGCCGCAGACGCTGCCCGCTTAAAGGCAGAAGAGGAGGCGAGAAAGTTGGAGCATCGTGAGAGACGTCGAGCAGTCAGGCGTGCCGAAGAGGAGCTCATGAGGGCCATGGAGGAACGCAAGAAGCTCAAAGAAGAGCAGAAGCTCGCTCAGGAAGAAGAGGAACGTCGTCTTCGACATGAGAAGAGGCGGCAAAGACACGAGGCTGAGAAAGAGGCCAAGCGCCTAGAGCAGGAGAAGATTGAGCAGGCTGCACGCGAAGAAGAGGAGGCTCGGAAACTACGACGTCAGAAACGGGCGGAGCGGGAGGCAGCCAAAGCAGCTGGCTTACTGAAACCAAAAGAAGAGCTTGTTGATGTCTCTCGCGATGCTGCTCGCCGAGCAGCAGAGGAAGACGACGATGGCGCTTCTCCTCCACCCCCGCTGCCACCCGTAGTCGATGACACTCCTCCTCGTAGTGCGCCGCGCAGGCGTTTGAGTACCCGAGAGACTCCACCGAACGTGAAGCGTGGTAGTCTCTTCGGTGGCATCTTTGGTCGCTCAAAGCCCGAAGCGACGCCGCCGGCTGCGAAATTGTCAAGATCGTCTCGTGCGCGCGCCAACACGCTAGAGGCTACACCCGTAAAGTCATCGCGAAGAGAACCGGAGATGGAACGACCTTCGAGCCGAGACATGTCATCGGACCAGAGCCGAGAGCGTCCAGAACGTATGCACCGCAGTCGGCGTCTTTCACACAGCCAACGTCGCTTTGCATCTGCCGAGGAGGAAGCCGATTACTACAGGTGGAAAGAGGAGCGTCGCTTTATGCGTCGCCCTGAACACGAAATGTCTGGTGGACGAGATGGAGGGGTCTCTCTCCCACCGCCGCCACCACCGCCTGAGGATCTACCTCCACCACCACCAGAGCCTTTCGAATACGAGCCAGAGCCAGAACCGATCGAGACGATTGAATCACCAGTGATCGAGGACGCAGCTGCGGTTGTCGGTGAAATCTCCATCTCAGACGAGGAAAGACGCGAGCGTCGCCGAAGCAGGCGGATGTCCAAGCCGGAAGAACGCCCCAAGACACGCCGCATATCCGTCGTTGAGAAAGAGAGGCCATCTGGTGGTCGTCGAGTAGAGTCAGATCGACCCCGTGCACGAGACCATGGCGAAGACCGTCCCAGGCCCCGGCGCGGCGAGACCGACCGGCGCGACAGGAGGAAGAAGAAGGAAGAGTCCAGTGGTCTCAAGGGACTATTTGGAGGCTTGAAGAGGAGGATTACTTGAGTTTGGAGTACAACAGAAACACACATTTACACATTCGGGAAGGGTCCACACGGGCAACACTGGCGTTTTGGCTTGGGTGAATTGTTCTATACCATTGACGGATCTCCTACTACATTTTAATCACTGAGGTGTTTGGAGTTGGGTTTCAGCATAAGATGGGTGGGCATCTGTACTTGTAGGGCTGCATGTTCTTGTTTCTTTAGATCGGTGATGAGGGCTCGCGAGAGTCAGGTAGTATATAGCTTCCGCTTCGGCGGTGACACGATATGAATGATGATTCGTTAGTACGAGATCAGGACTTGCGATGCTGATATGTGGGCTACGGCGTGTGATGGGAGAGCCTCATCTCGATCGGAGGACTCGGAACTGAAAACGAGGGGATCGTGATCCATACAAAGACGTTATCATGGGTGTCGGTCAGCGTTCAAGGGTGTGCAGACTCCTTGCTCATACGATTACGCAGAGCGATGGCCTGAGCTCCCTTCTCAAGTAAGGAAGCGGCCCTCGATGCCCAACCATGCAGAGCGCCAACGCCTTCCATCCACCTAGACGAGCATCTTACCTACTCGCATTGAAGTCCTAAGGCTGCCATGGAATCTGCAGCGCCAACAAAGCGACAATGGAAGGGCCGCACCGACGAGCAGAGAGCCGAGCGGGCCCGAAAGCGCCAGTAACAAAAGGCCATTGAAGAATGGAAGCCAGAGGAGTTAGGATTGCCAGCTGGCATCAAAGAAATCGAATTTGGACCAGACTTTGTGGTGCAGGAGTAGGTGAACACGTTCCCGGACCTAGCGGGTGGGGCTCACGCACGTGACAGCGCGCATCTCGACGCAATTGCTATTGTAGACGAAGCTTTTTGCTCTAAGTTGGAGAAGATAGGCTTGGGCGCGCGTATTGGTAAGACAAACATGCCCATCAGCGACGATGCAGTGGATCGTCTAGCACACGCGTGCCCAAACCTCAAGACGCTCTGGCTTGACCCTGCTCTTCTCATCACAGGAACGTACATCCCGATCATCCTAACAGCATGCCCACATATTACCTCGATCAGCATCACCGGCCACAACGGCCGCACAGGCAGCTTAAACCTAGAAAACATTCAAACCCATGGCCGACGACCCCGTAATGTCCATCAGCGCGCCTAAGCTTAGGAACCTAGATCTGCGCCGCGCGATCAACGCTGCAAAAAAGAACTACTACGATGTTCTAAGAGCGATCACTAGGCCGCCAGGTTGGAAGAAAAAATTGGAAGTGCTGTTTCAGCATCCGACTGCGCATTGAGAGAAGGTGTACAAGAATGGCAAGGAGAAGCAGCAGAAAATTACCCAAGCCATGAAGGCTCAGGCGCTGCTTGAGGAGGCGATGGAGGCGGTGAGATCTGGGGGCTATGGAGATGATGATTATGGCTCTGGGTTGGGAATCGATCACAGTGCGATAAGTGCGATTATCCATAGGCCGATGTAGGGGGGTGGTGGTGGGGAGTGGTGCACTTCGCTGTGTATAAAGACAAGCTTTAATACTAGTATCATAAATGTCCGAACTTCACGCTAGTTGAAGCGTGCTAGAACTTCACATTAGTGTCACAGAACACCAAATTTTTCACAGATCCATGGAGTGAAATCATCGTAAAAGTGGAATCCATCCTGTCATTACTGAACGCCTCATCGTGCTACCCACAGTTTGATAACTTTGCCTTCAACCCAGCAAGTTTGCCCATCTTCATCCCGCTACAGATTGCTCCTAATTTGCGCGAAGATCTAGTCGGAAGCTATAACAACATTCGGCATGATAAGACCACCCAGTCCAATCCTCATCTTCCACATCGTAGCAGCAGCCCGGTGTTGCTTGGACGAGCTCTCTCGCGAAGTCGCCGCGTCCCAAGGCATCCAGTCTTCTTTTGCGTCCTTGTTGACTTCGATGGTCCAAGACAGAGTCCCATGTAGTTCCACGGTGATATTGACAATCGCGTATCGAGTGTAATTGCGCCAAACTTCCATGCATTTGAGAGCGAAGATAGCTTGGATACAGCAAGTGAAAGCGAAGTGTTCGCCATCTCTGAAAAGTTTCTCCGTGGAAGAACGTTCGATAAACGTTTCAGGGATAAGCCTCACATTGATGAGAACGGATCTAGCTGCGTTTTGGAGGCGAACTAGTGGCATGAGGTCAACAGTGTAGGAAGAAATTAGCATTCTAAGCATCAAGTTGTTGGTCCACGCCTCTGGCTTTGGTATTAAGTCTGCGACGAATTTGTTGACAACTTGGACATCCAGCTCGATTTCCGAGCCCTGTATTTCGAGCGGTTGGAATCCTTCGCGGAGCTGACGGCAGGTATGAATAAGGCCAATAGCTGTACGTGGAGTGCATCGGCGTCTCGAGATCGTCAGCGGTATCTGATCTGCCGTAGGTATCCAGAATCGCCTTTGATCTAGATTCATGCAGCTCGCAGATATGCGAAACTTAGTACATCGCATGACAGGATGATACACTTCTAGTACTTGGATGACGAGTTTAATTTCATACCATGGCAATAGCAACACTACCAGACACGCAATTATCTCAATTGTTCTTGTTATAGACTCTCCTAACTTCAGCCTGCCCCTCAAAGATCTTTGTTGAGATATTCGACGGGCCCAACATACACCTTGCGGCCCTTGAGAAAGAAGTACACAAGAGAGAATACCACAACAACTCCGTAGATGAGGATGTTCCAGTTCATCAGATCAGGTGTTGGGTGCGGGAATGTGGGGAAGAAGGCGAACACCAACACTACACACAGGTACACAACGGACACACCATTGACCCAGATACCAGCGCGACCGAGCGAGAACTTGCAGGGTAGGAGGGGCTCTCTGTTCCATCTCTTGATGAACATGCATGAGATGCTCACGATGTAGGACGAGAGGAGGGCACATGTGCCCAGCGATGCAACGGAGTTGAAAGCCACGGTGCTACCGATGTTGATTAGGGAGAGCCCCACGGCAATACCGAAAGATACAAGAACGCTGTTAAGAGGAATGTCCCAACCTGGTCGGACTCGGGATAGGAAGGCACTGAAGGGAACGCCGTGGTCGCGGGCAAAGGCAAAGAGCTGGCGCGAGCATGTTGCCACATTGTTGACGCATCCAAACACTGCCATGATCGTCGTGATAGATGCTAGAGCTGTTGCTCCTGGGATGGATTGCGTCGCGTTGTACATGATCTGGATGTGGGGCTGCCCGGTCGGCGACATGATGGCGCTTTCGACGTCACCGAGGCAGAAGCAGAAGGTTACTAGCATGAGGAAACCCAAGCTGCTGTTGACCACAGCTGTCCAAATCATGGCGCGGGGAAGGGTATGTGAAGCGTCCTTCAGTTCCTCCGACATATGGGTTGCAGCATCTGCACCCAAGAGAGAGAAGATTGGCGAGAGCTGTCCCACCAACACGGACAGGCCGACACTACCCCATCCAGCGTTGTCTTGGAATCCACCGAAAACCTCTCTGGATGGGCTACGCGGTCCCAGCACCCACATTGTGATGAAGATTGCGAAAAACCCAAAGATGTGTAAGACCAGGACGATGCCTTCGACTAGAGGTAGCTTACGAGCTAGGAGTGTGTTGAACAGTATCGAGAACGTTGCTACCGCGATGACTAGGAGGGTGCCGTGCCATCGTTCGGGGACGTAGTTGGGGTTGTTGAGGATGATGAGTCCTTGGACCTGACCGCCGGCAAGGAAGGCGATGGATGCGATTCCGGTCTGCCAACCCAGCACGCAAAGCCAGCCACTGATATGCAGTTAGTGATAAAGTTTGTGGATATACTCAGGAAAGCTCACACGAGGTAACTCAAGAATTTTTGGTGTTTCTTTGGCGCAAACTCAGACACCCAGTGATACTGTCCGCCAGAAGTAGGAGCCCTTCATTTTGGTCAGCGATTGGTTCGTGCCGAAGTGATTTCAGCAAAGGGCCGCCACGCACATTGAAGCCATTTCAGCCATCGAGACGATGACAAAGCCCATGCCCACCGCTGTGACGAGGAACATAACGATGGCGCCACCAGTTCCACCGTTGGTCAATGGGATGATTAGAGTTCTGCTACATGTCAGATAACGTAGAGCACACGTTAACGTATACTCACGTCAATATGGTTTCCCATGTTGCCATTAACACCATGCTGTAGCCAAATATTGAAACAAAACGGAAGTTTCGTCGCAGTTCCTGCTGCTTTCCCATACGATACATGTCTTTTTGGTCGCCAGCGGTTCCTTTCTTCTCTGAAACGACGACATCCTGCTGAGACTCGCCGTCGAAAGGCTGGGCCACTGCAGCAGCCTCACTCTTTAAGACTGACATGATAGGAAAACGATTATCCAAAGTGAAGATTGGAAAGAATGAGTACGAGTGTGGAAATGCAAGCAATAAGACAGCCGAGAAGACCCGGAATTTGCTTCGGTGACACTACCTAGGTAAGAACCATAAGAACGCGCAAATGCACTTGAATCAATAGCACGGGAGGAATATGAGTACCAGCAGCTTAAGCTGAAGGCCAGCTGCAAAATAAGACCACTCAGATGGTGTGATGGCTGGATGCACATTGATCGTACAGGGGACGGGCCGGCCAAAGCCCAGGAGAGGCTAGCGCGCCGCCCCGCGGGGGAAGCGGCCTTGCAGCCGATGCATCTTCATTCCTTCGCAATGTAACTCAACTCCTTCGCATCCTCTGCGACGTACCGCGACGGGTCGAAGCCTTGTCAAGACGGCTCGCTTGCGCCACAGGCTTTGGCTAAATCATATCGTCCAATAATCTGGCTGATGAAGGTGGCCAGATGAGAGACGGGCAGTTTACTGAACATGTGGGCGTGGGGGCACAGACGTGAATCCAGTAAGGTGACAGCCAGCCTGTAACCCTCGACTTCAGGGTCAAAGCCGCCATAGTCCGGCAGTCAATGCCTACCGTCTCACACATCTCGCAACTCCAACATGTCCGCGACATTGCAAGACGGCTATCGATGGGCGCGCATCACGCCTGATGACCGCAGTGGGATCTTGTACATTGTCACACTCCTCGCCTTCACTTATACTAGCCTTACGTTTCTCACACGACTGTTCATCAGATGGCGCATGCTGGGACTGGATGATGCAGCGATGCTGATTGCGCAGGTACGAATGCCACCAGCACGAGACCGTCTAATGCAATGAACTGATAAGAACAGATTGCCAGCGTTGTACAGTTCTCACTACTTCTTGCTTCCCTGTCAGCCGGACTGGCACGATCATCCGCATCCCTGACCAACGACCAATACTCATGGATGGCCTCCGTAATACGACCTCAACCAGCGCGGCAACTGTTTCTAACACGTTGACAGACCTATTCACGTGGTCAAGTGTTCATCTACATGTCCCTCGGCTTTTCGAAGACGGCTCTGATACTGCTGGTACGACGACTCTTCATGCGCGACATGAAGCACGCTTGGGCAGTGTGCAATGTAGCCACCGCGGTTATCACAACGTGGACACTTGTATCTGCGGTGCTAGTCTCGGCTGGCTGCACAAGTGAGAGCCTGTTACCAAGGAACTCCTCTGAAATTTGCCAGGGTCTCGAAATCCGCTACATGGTCGTCGTAATCAGTGACGGGATAACCGACTTCATGCTGGCCTTCATCCCGACATACCTGTGTCGGCGTCTTCAGATGAACATTGTGTTCAAGCTGCAGATATTGGGAGTGTTTGCGCTACGTCTACCGCTGATCATCCTCGCTGGCCTGTTCTACAAAACCTGGAGTAGCTCGATACACGGTGAAAACCCCAGTGTCGAGCGCACGACAGCATTGATCTATCAGCAATCACAGCTCTGCTTCTCGTTGATAGCCGCAACGATACCGTGTCTAAAGTCGTTCATCCAAAGCTTTGACACCGGTAGCGGCCAGAAAGCGGGTGTTGGATACTCGACCCATTCCAGCGGCTATGGACACGTGTCGAGTATACATCACAGCATTCCACAGTTCGATGAAGGTGAAAGCATTCCGTTGTCTCGGTTTGACCGTAGCGAGGGCGGTCCATCACGGCTGCGAGGAGGAGCCGGCGAAGGCGCTGTCAGGGTCAATAGGAAACCATACGTTGTGGAGAGTACTTTTGGCACGGATGATGGCAGCGGGGAGCTAGATCGAAGGAGTACACAGGAATCTGATCGGAAGAGTCAGCACAGTACCCAAGAGCTTTTTATTAGGAAGGATGTACAGTTTGAAGTGAAGCATGAACCTGTAAAAAAAGGGACCGATACACATCGGCCTGGCCTACTTCGCTTGCCTAAGTAGTCGTATCGAGTCATGATACTGAGTCGTTAGCTATGCGGCGTCGCAAAGAATGTATACGATCGAGCAAGGTGCCCACGTGTTTGCACAATAATCACAGTAACTACAGAGCTGGCTCTTCGATAGCCTTACCATCCTTGACCCACATAAACAATATATTCCCACCCTTCACACCCTCCTTCCGCAACAGATTGCCCTCCCCTTCGCTTGCATTCCCAACCACTTCATCAAACCCACATTTCAGATAAAACGCATCTGAGCCCTCACTAGCCATCACGCTTGCCCTAATGCCCTCTCCCTCGGCACGATCCAAGCCCCACCGTACTAGCAGCCGTCCGGCCCCACGACCCTTAACATCAGGATCCACGCAGCAAAGGGAAAGGTACCAATTGGTCGCGCACGGCCCGGCCCAGTAGTGTTTAGTAAACGGCCCGGCCTCGATCAGAATCGTCTTCTTCGAGGGGTCTAGGGCGCGGTTGAGGGCTGAAGGCAGGACGGGAAATGTACCAGGATCAGTCCATCCTGCGATAATTCTTTGCGCGCCCGGGTCGTCGCCTTGGCGTTGCCAGGTTGCTGCGCCGATGACATTCTCTTGCTGATCAGAGGCAGTTGAGACGGCAACGATGATTCTGTTACGTGTATTGATCCAGTCGTTGCGTAGCCATTCGTGCCAGAAGATCTTTACGTCGTTGGGATATTGGGCGCGATAGGGGTGAATTACTCGGCCGAAGAGGTCTTCTTCCATGAAGGCGCGAGCGCAGATGTCGGCGATGGCTGGTTCATCTGAAGGCTTTGCGAGGCGAAGATGCATGTTTGGAATTTGGAAAATGTGCTGGTATTGATGGGATGAGACTTAGAATGATTGGGGTATATGTAGCCTTGAAAGCATTTCTGAACCTGGACTAACGTACTTCATGCAGCTGTCGAGCTGTTCCATAGTATGACCTGTCGCCTTAGATAGGCGAGACATCCCAGTCGTTACCATGTGAACAAATCCTGGAGGCGTTGATATGTAAAGCGTCTCAAGCTGCTGTGTTCAAACATCGGCACGCAAGATGACGAGTTGACTATTCCCTAGTGTATAGCTACTGGAAAGACATCGGTGACTCCTGTAAGATGTAGTCTGCACTCGGACTGACTTTGTTGCACGTGACGTGTTGATGCCTAGGTAGGTAGTAAGTGACCCCCCAACTGTACCCTTCTCTTGCTCCAGTGCACAACCTCGCTCCGTTTTGGCTTCGGTCATCACATCTCCGGTCTTTGAGCGATAGTCAACTCCGGAACTGCTAATCCGCAAAGCGATGGAGGGCACTGGAGACATCCCTATGGCGACATGCCGACTTCTACAACTGCCTGGCGGTATGTCTCCTTTCCTCTCCCAGTTTGTCGCGCATACTGATCCTTTTGATGTAGAGGTGCGAAATGAAATCTACAAGTATCTCGCACAGGCCCACGGCATTAATTTTGGCATACGAAGCCTCAACTCGCATATGCGGCACTACTTACCTGGATCGTCGCTGTGCTGGACTTCGAGCGGGCGGAACACACTTGGCCTTTTTCAAACATGTCGGAAGCTTCGGCGTGAATTCCTACCACTACTCGAGGCGCAGTCGACGGTTGTAATTGGAATGCATCTGGTAGATCAGTACATCGCCGACTTCTTCCCCGATGGTACTGAGGCGCGCGGCAACTTGTACGTTATGGACCGACACTACGGTGTGTCGCTCGAACTAGCTGGACTGCTCCGTCTCTATGCTGGGTCTCCTTTACTGCGGGGTTTCATCAATACACCCTTCCCACATCTACCTTGCCGAGTGATACCCGAAGATCGAAACACCGCTTGGCTGGCCTATGCGATCAAAGCTGTGTCTCTAATGACATACACACATTACGCTTTCGCGTGCGATGGTGCGCACTATCATTTCCACGTCTACTTGACACATGACGCCTTCACTGTCATTGCGTCGGAAGGCGAGACAGATAACCCGGGACAGTATTGGACTAATCTTGTCGACTTTCTGGCACAAGATTGGCGCAAAACGATTGTAATAATTACGAAGGCGCCGAGTGTTTGAACGGAACAGAACAAAAGGATACCTAGAGGCGCGTTGAAAAGCTGACCAGAGATCGTACGGACACACAGATAAGGGGAGAATTGAGTAAAGATGATGATGGATTCTGCCTGTAGCTTCATACCGTACAAAGATTGTTGGAGTTCGTAATCTGACAACGTTATGCGGGAATAATATCAGCAACACTCCTCCAGAAATCGCACCTCATACCCCGCCCAGCCTCCCACGTATAAGCATTAACAAGACTAAAGTTATTCATCAGCCCCGGTTCAGTAAGATAAGTCGTGTTGACAGGTGACCCAATAATCTGCGAGCCAACAGCCAGTACACCGCCTGTCTGGTTGAGATCAAGCTGGTATGGCTCAGCGATCGTGAAAGCGGGCCATTGTGTAGCATCGTTGGTAGCAACGGATCCGTTGGACGAGCTTGAAGAGCCAGCTGCAACGGAAGCAGAGATCGACGGGTTGCCCTCGGTGATGAAGTTACCCCAGATGTTCATGAAGGCGCGTTGAAGGTCGGTGCTTATGCCTGGCTTGCTGCCTAATAATCCGAAGTATACTCCCACATCCGCGCCGTGGGTGGCTGGGAGGGCACTGAACTGGTACTTGTATGATGTGCGATCACCATCAGTGTACGCTTCCGCCATCCAGTATGATGGACACACGAAAGTCAGTTCAGCGTAGAGATTGTTGGCACGCTGCTGCTGTCCGGTAGCTATCGAGCTTTGATCGAGCGCGCTGGGCCCAGTAACGCCGTTCGTCGCGAACTCATCTGCATTGGAAGCTGTCGCGACGTCGCTGATGGGGTAGTAGCGCAGAACCTTTGCGATGTCAGAGTCGGTGAATTCGGGCAGATTGTTGCGAAGCCACGCCGTGAAATCGTCTTCGGAAGTGATTCCTTGCGGCACGAAGGAAGGGCCCTCGTTGGCGTTGTTTCCGATCAAAGCATTCCTTCCGTTCACACGCTTCTCGAGGAGCTGGCTACTTGGCTCATCTTGGACGAACACTCCATCCGTTACTGGCAAGAAAGCCCAGGTTCCGAATGTCGCCGTGCTTGTTACTTCGCTCGAAGCGTTCTGTAGCGTCTCCGTGTCTTGCGACAACAAACAGTCGAAGATGGTGGAAGTCGCATTACCGTATGCGTTGATCATGCAGCCGGCGCGGTCGGCGAAAGCATAGTAGTTCTGTGTCGGAATCCAGTCTTTGTAGGCGTACTGCTTGGGCAGGTATGGGGAAGCAGCAATAGTACTGCGGAACATGGAATCGCCTAAAGAGCCACCGTATGCCATGTCGTGCAGCATGACTGAGCCGCCACCAGCACTCTCTCCAGAAATAGTGACGGCTGATGGGTCGCCACCAAACTGGCTGACATATGTCTGAACCCATTGGAGAGCGAAGAACTGATCCAAAAGTCCCGCATTCACGACACCCTTTCGGTATACCTCGTCAGACGCGAGGAAGCCAAAAGGCCCTAGCCGGTACTGGATTGATACTACAACGAATTTCTTTCCCGTAGTTGTAAGAAGCTCAGTAAAGTCCTGTCGGCCGTTACCAGCGCCGTAGCCACCACCATGGATCCACACGAGCACAGGAAGGTTTGTCGCGTTTGCCGGGCTTTGGACGTTAAGAAAAAGACAGTCTTCTGAGAGTGGTGGTGATTCTGAATCCCGAGGCATACTTGGCATCCCGTTACTTTGGCCGATTTGTGGACATTGCGATCCGTAGGTGTCTGCAGCTATGGGTGTAGTTCGGTTTATGGACGGTGCTTGGGGTCGTTGCCAACGTAAGCTTCCTGTTGGTGATGCAGCGAAGCGGATACTTGGAGTACTAGGTTAGCTGGAGTCGTTCAAGATTACGAGATAGCCATACCCTCTCCAAGCGTTGATACCTGTGCTTGCATTGCTAGAACCTTGATAGATCTCGTAACCTAGGTCCACCTCTAAAGCATTGCTCGTAGTACTCTGTCTGTTACGCAAGACTTCTCGAAACGGCTGAGATTGAGGCAACGCAGCAACCGCGCCCAGAAGTGTGAAAGCACCTGCGATGACAGACGGCAGTAACATGACGCTGGCTGGCGGTGGTAGCTATCTGGTTGAGTTTGTGGTCACCCGTGATACACGAAGAGCTTTTATAGTGCAAGCTGGTTCCGTGTTACGAGTTTCGGATGCGTAGCCCGGACTGCCCGCACTTCATTCAACCAAGCCATTTACCCTCGGACGTTAAATCGTGCGCCGTGCCGGAGTGGACCAAAGGTTGGGGATGAAGCCGTCCGTCGATCGATGGCACTAGATGGCGAAGCATCGCCGCGTAAGGACGACTAGTCTTTCCAGATCATCCGTGAGGGGCGATCACTGGCTAATTGTCCCATAACGGCTGCTCCAATCTGCCGAAGACTAGGATGTAAAGACCGTTACCCTCTAGCGTTTGGTACCTAAATCGGTATACGTGGGGAAAATGGCGTCAATGACAAGTGTCAAAAATTCGAGAGAGTGTACGTTAGATTCGAAAATCGGATGCTATGCATACGGTGTCGCTCTCGCTGTACCCTTAGCAGCCGTTTCCGGAAGATCCGGGGTACGCATACCAAGGGATTATGTGGACACTTGACGCTTGTCTACTCACTCGTGTCAATACTGTACCGTTGTCTTTGTTAGCTTCGTACCTGTTTGCTGTGCATAAGGGCATGCAAGCGTGACGTCTACCGTCTGCGTGTGCCGTGTGCGGAGTTAGGTTCGGTCGGGCGCTGATTCAGCAATTGCATCATGATTTCTCTAGCGTGGGTGTGTAGCTCGGGCCATTTGCACCGAAAAGCATCGGAAATAAGTCCAGGATACCAAATTCACGCGTCTTACTGTTCCCGAAGCGTGTTCCTATCAAGCTTGAAGGCCCTGGAGGAGAGACACCATCCCCGCATTCGAGATCCAAAACGCTCCTCGCCTAAAGCCGACCTCACGACCCTTGAATTTTCAATCGCATGGGCTAGGTAGGCCTTCGCTGACCTCTCTCCGCGACTTTGGGTACCAAACCCACACGAAACACCTTGCGGCTGTGAGGGCTCGCGATAGTAGGCCATATGGCTTTCAGTGCTGAGCATAAGCTCGCTGCGATAGCCCCGGGTCGGCACCTTTGCCTCAGCTAGATCTCTCTATTGACGGCACGTCCTCCAACAGGAACATCGTACTTCACTCGCAACACTTTTCGCATCTCTGGCCTGATATCTTTCTGAACCTTCAAAGCCATCTCGACTTTTTCAAGCGAACCTACTTGATGACATGGGTGCATGCAACCGATTGGATTGAGTAAGCGAGGCACTCTCATTGGCAGCTTCGACTCTGCATCTCTCGACTCAGCCACCACGTCGGAGGATACGGCACCAATAGCTCCTTCCCTCAGTCTGACAATAGAGGCTGAGCACAATTCCGATATTATTATGGCCTCAGCCGTCTTCTCTTCCCTCACTTGCCTGACAAGGCCCGACTTGAACCCTAAGCTTTTCCCTCCTTGACCCTGCTACTTTTTGTCGCTACGGCAAGCTAAACAACACCATGATCTTCGGCGGTCTTGAGCTTGTTGCAGGCGGATACCTCATTCACCGGCATTATCGAAAGAAGAACGGAAAGGAGCAGCTTGAGGAAGAGGCTCAACAGCGACGCCATCACACATTTCCTGGTGCCAACCCTGCAAAGCAGAATGGCTGGAATACTCAGGCCCACCACCGCCCTCAACACCATCCACACACGCAACAGCAGCAACCCGTGATACCACAGCAAAAGTACGCGTGCTATGCTCCAGTACCGGCACAGCCTCGACCGCAGATATACCAGCCTCAATTCCAACCCCAGGCTCAAGTTCAGCACCACACCCAGCACCAATCGCGACCGCACGCGCCTCCTCACACGCAAAGCTTCAACATCCCACGGCGGCCTGTACCGCAGCGAAAGCCTCAGATCATCATCGAGCCCTCTCTCCAACGCACCGACTCCTTTGCGACGATATCGCGCATGCCCATCGCGAACGGCTCACGGCCACACGACGTCACCGAGCAGGCTAGCCCTGCGACTGGCCTTTCGCCTATACCACAACATGGCGTCTATGGAAACGCGGGGTTTTCGGTGTCGACACCGGCATTTGGAGCTACGCCTACATCGCCAGGACTAGTATACGAAATGGCTACGGGGCATGAGGACGGTGCTGGTCAGACTGTGGACGATAACTGGGAGACGTATGGCCGCGCGAATGGTGGGGGGCTGCATTATGCGCCGACTGTGTCTACTGAGCTGGGCGAGCGCGATCCACCGCCGCCCTACAAGCCTTGATGCATGCGCCAAATACGCCAGGCCCAATCTTTCTTCTTTTCTTCTTTCAGGGAACTCTTGGTTATTGTACACTTTAATGCACGTATTGAACACGTACAATCTACGGTTAAAATATGCTCTTTCACATAGTGCTTTCGTAGCTCGAACTGCTACCGCCTTGGTAGATTCATTCATGGCATCAACGAGCGAAGCCTTGCGCGCAGACGAGGGCACCTTCCCACACCGATCGCAGAAACACTCACTTCGTGATGTTGGTGCACCTTCTGATTGGGTGGACTTCGCCTCAAATGCTTTCGGCTAGCTGCAGGCGCCCGCATGTCGTCTTCGTTCTCCAGCCTTCAGCCTTCGGCCTTCCTTCATGTTACCTCTCACTCAAGCATTAGACACCGGTCTACTCAGCTTCCAACGACGCTCGGCATATACTTGATAACTAGAAGCGTCGCTCCATCAGCGCACGATATTGACGCGCTGGAGGTCTTGAAGGGCTGCCTTGGGGCGAGATGGAAGACATGACGGCAGATCTGTGTTCACGCTGTTCCAGCATTCCGTGGGATCGCTTGGAGCAGGAGCATTGGGGACCGCTCTGGATGGATGAAAAGCCAACCTTAGGAGACCTCCAGACCTCGTCCTGCAGGGTGTGTCGTCTCATCATTTCTACTATTCTGACAGGTGCCGAACAACACGTTCCCCTAGAATCCCGTGTGAAGATCTTTTGGGATTCAAAGATTCCAAATGGGGACGATTGCCTGGGGTCTATTCTGTTATCTACAGAGCCAGAAGGATCTGTTGCAGAGCTGATTCTCACGACCGACGAGTCTATCGAAGAAGACATGACAGCCAGCTACAAAGTTGCCTCAAAGCGCGCCGACTTCGCGAAGATTGATCGATGGCTCGAAGCTTGTAAATCGTCACATGAGTCCTGCAAATACGAAATAGCTGTCCAACTCTCCAATCTAAGAGTCATCGATTGCATCAAAAAAGTCGTCGTTGACGCACCAAAAGACTGCTCATTTGTTGCGCTTTCCTACGTATGGGGTAGACTTCCCGCGGATAATCACGTCCTTGGATCACCAATCGCGTTCCCACCGACAATAGAGGATGCAGTCGAGTGCACTCAGAAACTTGGGTATCGGTATCTATGGGTTGACAGATATGTAAGGCTGCGCAAGTGCTTAGCCATACCGAGCTAATAGATCAGTGCATCAATCAAGAGGACTCTCGCAATAAAGGGGAACAGATCAGCCAGATGGACCGGATCTATGCCACTGCGAAGGTGACCATTGTTGCTGCAGCGGGCGCGGACCCCTCATATGGCCTTGTAGGCATCAGTAGAGATTGCAATTGGCCATTGTCAGATCGAGAACCACTAGGAAGCTCCCGATTCCTACATCCTGTTCCTAAGGCTGCTGAAGATTACATCGCACAATCGACTTGGTTCTCAAGGGCTTGGACATTACAAGAAGGATATCTCTCGAAGCGAATTCTGTGTTTTACAGAACGCGAAGCAGTTTTTGTTTGCAAGTCGTATTCTTCGACAGCAGAGTTCACCCCGCGTACTTACGGATCAATTTCCAAGTACCAAAGGTCATTCACAAAGAACGCCACAAGAATAGCGTTGAGTTCCCAGATCAAAAGTCTATCTGATGCAAGTAGCATCATGGCGACATACTCGAGACGGGTGCTGGGGTACGATTCCGACACGCTAAGTGCTATTACCGGTATTCTCAATGTCTTAAGAAGACGTGATCCGCCGATCTATCATATCTGGGGAGTCCCTTTCACCATTACCCGAGGACCGGACGCTGCTCACAACACCGATTGCACCGTATCCGTTTCGTTGAACTGGACGCATTTCGAAAGCAGCCGTCGCCTTCTTGAGCTCCCGAGTTGGTCAACTCTAGGATGGAGAGGGCGAGCGGACCACGAATTTCGCGAACCAGAAATTACACCTCATTTCATGATCAAGTATTGGTCCGGCGACAGATACCAAGACCTTGGTAACAGTACCTGTAACCTAGACTATACATACTGTTCGGATGCTACTCATCGGTCTCAATACCTAGAGATCACGACGGATTTCGTACAAGTCGAGCTACAGAGGCAATGCCTCGGCGACGCAATCAGTTATTTCCTCAGACCAACTTTTATCAGAAGAAAGGAGGTTGAGAAGGTGGAGGAGGACCGGCCGAGCCAAGGATTGGAAGGTCCACTGTTTAGGGTGTTTCTGAGCGATGAGCCCAGTTTTGATGATACTTTACCCGTCCTATGCGCCACGATGACTCTACTTGATATCGTCTCTGATTCTTGGAGTTCCTTCCAAGACAAAGATCCCCTTTTCCTCTTTTTCCAGAAGAAAGCAAAGTCTTACGAGCGGGTCGGCGCTTGCAAAGCCTACTTGTATTCCATTGACTCAGAAGGAAAGAAGTCATCGATTGCAGATGACCTCTGCGAATTTATTCCATCTGGGGAGGAAGGTGCTTGGGATCAAGTCGCTGAGAGACGTACTTTCCTTCTTGGCTAGACAGCTTCGCACACAGTTTTGCGCTTCAGATGATACTTTTTACCGTGATATAATCTTCTCGCAAACCTAATGCTTCTTCGATCATTAATGCACTTGTGATCATAGTGGCTATGCAACATCATCAATGTTGCTCAGCCTCGTCCGGATTGGGTAAAGCGGCAAATGGCCTGGAGCGTCATTTCCCGGCTTGAGCAGCTGCTGCCTGCCAGCCTTTCCCACCAACTTTCATCTCAATATATCCTACTTCGACTGCAGAGTACATTCTTGTTGGATTTAAAATCCCTTATGGCCGCATTCTCGCGGCCTGTGCGACGCCTCCCTCTGCTGATGTCCTGCACCTTACCGCTCTAAGCGAGTTGTTGTTCTCGTTTTCCGCAACGTAGAAACCCACATCGTTACGTCGAGATGGATAGCAGCTTCACCATGGGAAGAATGACCGAACGGCTGTCAACCAAAAACGAGGCTCCTACGTGCGAGTGGTGTGCGCCTATCAATTTCGTCAACCTAGAGAAAACCGAGCCAGATGTTCTTTCTTGTGTTGCTATTCAGCATCCAAGATCTGTCACAAGTCTTCACAACCCGGCACTGCCCTACTTGTCAAATTCTGCAAAACGTACTAAATGTGCACCGCTCACAGTATGAATCCGCTAGTGTGTGGTAGCGCCGCGCCATTCCCGGACTGGGCTTCATGGGGACGGTCGAATTCCAGTACACAACTGGAGACAATTACAAAACGTTAAAGCCCGACCTGACGATATATGATGAAATGGCTACGCCGCGGCGCCTCAAAACACAGTATGCACCAAGACGTATTTACTTTAAGTTAGCCAAGACATGGGTAGCGGCGTGCAAAGAGTCGCATCCAGCTTGCACTACTCACTTTTCAAGAGAGCTCAAGGGCCTTCGTGTGATCGATTGTGTTACGAGAAATGTAGCTGCAGCCCCAAAAGACTGCATATACGTTGCTCTTTCGTACGTTTGGGGGATGTCAGGCATCTGCGACGATCCAAGTTCTTATACACTACCGGAACGGTTGCCACTCAGCGTCGAAAACAGTATCGATGCAACTCTAATGTTAGGGTATCGATATCTCTGGGTTGATAGATACGTACGTTTATTGCTTGCAGTCTTCTGAATGTTACGACTCACGCGATACCTAGTGCATCGATCAAATGAATGCTGCAGACAAGCATCACCAGATAAACCAGATGGGCGATATCTACTCTTCGGCAGAGCTCACACTTATCGCGGCAGCGGGCGCAAATTCAGCTCATGGCCTGCCTGGCGTCGTAAGCGAACGCGAACGCTTTGAGCATGATGTTGCGATCGGGCGTCTAAGATTTGTCACCACGTACGGGTGGGCCATCGATGAAATATATCGTTCAGTCTGGTCCTCACGCGCTTGGACATTCCAAGAAGGATACATATCAAGACGCAGGCTGTACTTCACCGACACCCGGTTGGTTTACATCTGTGAGACAGAGGTCTACTGCGACGCCGAATGGGGCTGCATGCCCACAGGACGTGAAAGTCTAGCACACCTTGCCGAATGTCTTCCCAGTATATACTCAAAAATGGGCCTTGCCGCTGGTATCCTCAGAGAATACACACGCCGTAATCTCACATTCAATTCGGATGCACTGAATGCGATAGTCGGCATCTTGAACACACTCAGCAAGGGCAGAACGCCTATTTTCCATACTTGGGGAGTCACCTTTGGCAAGATTCCCATTCCAAAGACAGTTGCCCAGAATCGCATAGGTGTACCTCTGATCAAGACACAGAATGTATTGGCCATTGCATTACATTGGATCCACACCTCCCCGTGCCATCGACGGAAAGCGTTTCCCAGCTGGTCTCCACTAGGCTGGGAGGGGTAGTGGACTATGTTGATCTCTTGCCGCCCGTTATCTCAACTTCTTTCCACGTCAATTTGTGGAACGATGGTGAATTTATTCACATATCCAATGCAAGAGAAACAACGCTTCGGCAAGTCGAACCTGATGGTCTGGATAAGTCACGGCATCTTGAAATCACTACAAAGCTCGGTTGGTTAGAAGTTCGCCATTTTTCCGCAAGCGAATTGCTCTCAGTCAATGAGTCAACCCCCGCAGCCGATCTAGACTATGTGCTGCTTCCAGGATACCATGTGCGAGTCCCGGGTGTCGATGATGCTGAGGTATATGTCAATGCGATGCCATGGTGGGACTTGGAAGCAGATCCTTTACTTGGTTCAACCCGAGTGCCATGCGCAATAATTCCGGTAGGTCACCGGGAGGTGGTCACACCCTACCTAGCCCCTGTCGTAAGAGAAACACAAAGAAAGATCGTACTTATGCTCCGGAATCACGGAACTCATTACGAACGGATTGGTTGTTTCGAATACCCATTCACATACTGGAACAATCGAACCATCTTCAAAGTCGAAAAGGGAACTCTTACATCGAGGGATGGATGGAATATGGACTACAGTAGTGATAAGACGCTCGCCAGGGTCTTCAATGAACCAAAGATGCAGAGCTTTCTACTTGGTTAGCTCAAGCGCGCCTGAGAGGGTCTCTACCGATGTAAGCTTGATAGGATATCCTGGCGTCGACACATAAACTCTGCGATGAGGGTTCTGGTGAGGGAATGAATGCAAAACACTAAACCGCGATTATAGATACAATTCTAGCGCGGCCATATTCGCCAGAGTCCTACGTACACCCATTACAATAACACGAAAGCGGCACCGCACGCCTGAAACTCGAAAAGAAGACATAGTATCCCAGTGATGAGAACAATACTACTCAATCCCTCAACTAATCCCCCAATAATCCCCCACCCTCCACCTAACCGCCCACTCCTTAACCGCCTCAAAATCCCTACAAACCCTCTCCGTCCCCCACCCAAGCGTCCCAATGCCTAAGTCCCCATCTTCATCAGGCTCAGTCTCTGTGTCTTCTAGATTGGTATCTGCTGCGCACATGAGAGCCTGGCGCAGGTACTCGAAGCAGTGCTGGATGTGGTCGGGGTCGTCATGCTCTTCGGGAGAGCTGAGAAGAGCTTCTATGAAGGGGTTTTGCGTGAATGTGGGGGTGGAGGGGTACTCATGATCGCTGGAGGGGATATCAATGTCCATGTGAGGTGGGCCGGAGTGGGGGAGTGAGCGGTGGGATTCGTGGTGTTGGAGTTTGGAGAGGAGGTAGGACTTTTTGTAAAATTCTTGTCGGAGGCCGTGCTGGGCTTGGTAAGCGAGGTGTTTTGATGCGGTAGTAGGGAGAGAGAGCTTACTAGACAGTGCAGCTCATGGAAGACTGAAATCGATTTAATCTCTTTCGCTAGCTTGGGGTGTATAACGAATGCTCGTCCTAGCGGTATGAGGCTCTCCCACATCTTCTCTGTCTCCATACTAAGTCCGCCGGCGAAACTTTCATTGAGCGACCAGACGACTTTCTCGATCCTGCGGTGTGGACTGCCATACGGCGCTGGTGCCTGGTCAGTAACGCGACTAATTCCACACCAAAAGACCAGCTTGGGAAACGAGGAGTCAATGAGAGCTGGAGAGGAGCTTACTAAGGTATCCATCGATTTCGTGTTCCGCATTGAGCAGTCTGATGAAGCCGAGGCCGATTGAAAGGCCTAGAAACGCGACAAAAATGTATCCATATACGTGCAAGAGGCAGGAACGAAGCGATCGACAAGGTACCTTACCGAGCAAGAGCTCTTCATCTGCACTGCATTCTTCTTTGCGAATAGTGGAGCTTGAAGAGAGGCATGCATCGCTTTCGGCATCAGTGGAGTGGTCAGATAAACGGTGATACGACGAGGTCTTCTTTGCAAAGGGATTGAGGTTCGGCATTACGGCAACTTGCCAATACACTTAACATGCAGTGTGGAGCAGACTCAAATACTTCGGAGAATTGATACGATATTTACATATCAGACGAATAGATTAATTCTATTGGCGATTTTGGGGATTGTATTCAGATCCTAAAATGGTAAGCCCTGGGACGCGGGAAGGATCAGCTTAGATTAGGGCGACCAGTGGGGAAAGCAGTAAGGACAACTTGATTTGGTACGTTATTAAAGCGCTAGCCCATTAATTTTCCGCGCTGGGCGCCATGACGCTGCCGTCACCAAGGGGTATCATACAATTTCTCGCCATTCGTAAGGAAGTTTGAAAATCAACGCCACCGTACCAGCCAAGTCCAAGGCCTAGACCGCCAACTGTTGGATCGTCGTAGGTTGCAGAGATTGGGTTTGCGGAAACGATGCTAGTTCAGCTTCTTGTTGCCGACTGTAACCTGTTTGCCCTGGCTGCGCTGGTATCGGAGGAAGCCGAAGACAGCGGCGGCGACGACGCCCATCATAAGAATGTTGCCTATAGAGTTGTTAGTTTACCAAATCGATCGGTACGCGAGTGAAATGTCATCAGCCAACTCACCGAGTACGAAGCTAACGATACCGCCAGCAAGGTCCACGAGACCACGGAAGAAGTTAACCACGAGGTCGATCATCTCCAAGACGAAGTTGAGGGCAAACTGGACCGTCTTCTGAACTAGCGCGCCGGCAGTGGTGATGAAGGACCAGACGAGCTCGACCATGGACGAGACGAGATCGCTGAGGGCGTTGACGATGGAAGACATGTTTGTTCGATTGGACTTGTGAGTAATGGCGAGTAGTGTGGTGTAACAGGCCTGAGGTGGAGTAGTTGATGGTGATAGTGGGGTGTAGTGTAAGAGAGACGGCTGCGTCTGCCAGATATGCAGTGTTTGTTCCTGTGCGACAGTGCAACAAGGCGCGACTTCCGTTAAGACAGTTTGCTTGCTTCCCAAACACGGGGATGACGCGGGGCCTACGTTAACCCAGGCAGCACTTCCTGTTTCACATAGCTGTTGCCGTGGATGTGTAGGCCTGCATGTTGCCCGCTTTCCATGGGCAGCCCGGTTGGCTATTCGGGTGAATAGCCGTTGTTGTGGTGAGATGTGACGTCACCCGTGCAACGTGTGTGAACGCCTGTTTGTAGCCAACGACAAGGAAGCATGACGAATCAGAAAATGGAGGAGGAGGAGCGATGCTGATTGGAGGAATTAGAGAAACAACGAGACGAAGAAATGATGAAGGCTCGGTTAAGCTTGGAGAGGTTGGTACACTGCGAGGAAGATCCATGAACTGGCTAGTCGCGATGGCCTAGAACATGTGCCTCATAATCTCCTCACGCAAGGTTACCTGACCTTGAGGACGAAGAAGGTTGTTTGTACAAGGCTGTTCATGTTTGATATACGCGTTGTTGGAGAGTTTGTCGTCGGCGCTTCTGGGGAGGTGCAGCCCTGCTTGCGTCATGGCGGCTCGGCTTAAAGCGGAAACTTCGTCCCACCGCGACTTCCGTATCACGGCACCGCAACACAATGTCAGGCACACTCGACAAGCTCCTCGCAAAAGGCAAGGCGAAGCTCTCAGAATTTACTGGGCAGCCTTCCGGAGGCCATCACCAGCAAGGCCACCCGAACCAAGGCTATCCGGGCCAGCAGCCTCCCCCGGGCTACCAACAACCCGCTCCAGGCTATCAGCAGCCACCACAAGGCTATCCAGCGCCGAATCCAGGGCAGTACTCTGGCAGCCAGTATCCTCCGCAATACCCACCCCAAAACCAGCAATGGGGCCAGCAGAATCAACAGCAGAATCAATGGGGCGCACCCCCTCAGCAGCAATGGGGCCCGCCGCCTCCGCAACAGCAGCCCTTTGCGCCGCCCGTTCCCCAGGGTAGCAAGCCCCATACTCCACAACCTGGCGGGCCCCCACCTATTCCCCAGAACCGACCGAACTCCGCGCAGCCTCCGCCGCCTCAGAATCTCCCTCCGCCGCAGGGCCAGAGCGTGTACTGGAAGCCGTCCTTCGACATCAAGACACCCGTGTCGCAGAACTTCCGGCACGAGATCGGCGACCATGGCTGGGGCAATAACGAGAAGCAGATGTACACGGACAAACCCGAAAACTCGTTCCATCACGACAACCGCCTGATCGTGCGCGCCCTCGTACAGAACGGCAGCTACACTTCTGCGCGTTTGACCTCACACCAGACGCTGTCGCGACCGCGCGGATACTTGACAGCGACCTGTCTACCTCCGTCCGCACCAGGCATATGGCCTGCATACTGGATGCTGCCTGCAGACCCGTTCAAATGGCCGACTGACGGCGAGGTCGACCTTGCGGAGAGCTGGAACGGCGAGACGGAGAACCACTCGTGCCTACATTGGGGCTCCTACACCGGCGAAGATGCTCAAAAGCATCGCGTTGTCAAGACGCCTCTTCCAGACCTTGCACGGCAACCACATACCTATGGCTTCGCTTGGATCGAAGAAGAAGGCATACCCGGGTGGAGAGGGCGCATGATCTGGTACATCGACAACTACCCAGTCATGAAGGGTTGCATTCCAGAGGGCACACGCCGCATGGAAGACTTTAGAATTCTCATCAATATCGCCATGGGCGGGACTGTGAACCAGGGAAAGCTGCCTGCTGAAGGGTACTACGACTTCGTCATTAGCGATCTCAAAATGTGCGAAGAACCCCATGGCGGATGGCAACAATTCGAACATGCGTGGAACAGCACGCCTGAAGGCAAGGCGATGTAGCAAGGCTTGGTAGCAGCTACCTAGTATATCACATTTGGGTCTCTGCCCGATATCACTCCGTTACCAGTGACCTTTCTATCCTTTCACCTTCTCGAAAATGTCCGCTTGTGCACAAGTCAGAATCGTGGATCAGGTCGTCGAGGAAATGCCTAGTCGAGCTTAACAAATGGTTTCGAAGGAGAAAGAAGCGCTCAGTGATTTCCAGAAGCACTGACCTTTCCTGAAGGCCAACTACTCCTTCCACTACTATGACTGCAGGCCGGATTTAGCACAGTAACCAGCAGCCCTACCACCTGTTTGTCAACTCGATAACCATAACACGAAGCAGCTCCACTACGGTGTTCAGCAAGTATGTCGACCGACAAGGACATGGCCTCAATGACTACTTCTCGCCCAAGGACCAGGTTCATGGACCCGCCTGGCGGTGAGCAACATTTACCTTATTACTCTATCAATTCGCGCTAATTTGACCGAAGAGCTACGGAACAATGTCTACTTGCTTTGCAAAAATGAAGACATCGTGGACATGAAACGTCCCCAAGACAGCGACCCTGGCCTACGGATCGATCGCACCCGCCATCAATTCTTAGGCCTAACTCAGGTCTCGAGGACGCTCCGAAGCGAGTTTGGGGCTTTATACCGCAAACAACTTCAACTCCGGGTGGACGCACGTGACGTCTACGAATACCTCGCAATGGCCATCGAGGCGAACAGCTGGGTGGAGGGAGGCGTCAAGACCTTTGTATACCCGATCTTTGCCAATATCATTCTTGATCTTGGCCCTGGGGTCAATGATCGAGACGATTGCTTTCTGGACATCCTCCCGCTGCTGCGGATACGCTCCAAGAAACCATCCTTCATATGCGAGTTCGACTTTCCACAGAGATTGACACCACCCACGTTCCAACCGACCCCGGCCAACCCTGCAGCCAGCTTGTATCAGAAGTATACAGCGAGTTGCTTATACAAGATCTGAACAAGATTCTCGCTGGGCCAAAGATATTAGCAACGTTCAGGTCGGAAGACAACAATGTGGATGCCGCCATTCTTCATCTCAAAACTCTCGGTGTGCGAGACCTCAGATACTTTAAAGGCCCTTATTCAGTAGTCTCGACGCTATATTTTGATCTTTGGCTTACCGAAGACCCTCCGTGGGGTCCAGGCGCGACACAATCATTCACTCGGCGGGCCTCGAAGCGATGGAATTTATCGAAAATACTGGCTTGGCTGGTGTTCGCCTACTGAACGTCCGGACGAATTCCTGCAAGCCCTCTGATTGGTATAGATGGCTGCATCCTGGAGCGCCCAGATGAGGCACCCAGCGCAAGACGCCCCGCTAGCCGAAAGGGCTCTAGCGTTTCGTGTCCTTGTTGATTGCTTGTCACCACTTGACTTCTCTGCTGTCTCACCTGCGACTTTCACAAATTTCCAAACGACTACAGCAAACATCTTTTGTATTCATCGTCGATTCCACTTTTGCTCACTCATTTCAACGCTATCAAAATGTCCACGTCGACGTTTCTATCGATGCCTGGCGAGATTCGCAACCGCATCTACAAATACTGTATCGAACCAAAAGCTATACAGATCCCTCGCATGCCTAAGCGCTCAAAGAACCCCTACGAACATGCCCGCTGCGGACTGTACGGAAGCCTGCGCAACGTGTGCAGGCAAACACGCGCGGAATTCGGACCCATGTACATGGCCAAGACGGTCCTTGTTATCCACCAGGTCACCGCGAATGAGTTCCTATATTCTTTCTACCCCGAATTGAGGAAACAACAATTAGTTGCTAGCGAACAGCTTCAGCGCGACCGCCCGACCGACAAGCTCCCTGTGTCGACTGGCGTTCCTGGCGTGCAAGGCAACATCCAAATCATCACGTACTTCGGCCTCCGATACGACGCAACACCACTGGTACGTCTTTGTACAATGCATCCCGCCTTCAAAGTCGCTTTCAAAGATGCTAGCGCGTGTCTGCATCTCGCTTCCTCAGTCAGGAACTTCTTCGTCACAATCTCGTCCGGCGCTTTTCGTCCGCACTTGAAGCGTGTACTTGAAAGGATCGAGATTATCTGCAGTACCGTACCTCAGATTTGGTTTACTTTCCACTCCAGTAATGTAATGGAAAAATTCATGGCGCGTGTCGGGAAGTTGGATCCACGGCAAGCTCTGATTGAGATGGGTGCGCCGCCCATGGATACGTTTGCTGTTGTCTTCACGGATTGTACTGGAAGTGTGGATAAGCGCTCCGATCCGCAGGCTTGATTCAGACATTACTTTACGTCCAGCGCCTTCGTACCGGCGTCCAAAGATATCTTCGTCGCATATAGGTTAGCAGTCTGGATTGTGTCCCCATCGAGGTTCCGATTTTGCAAAAGAACGTGGTTTCCTAAAAGCATGTACCAATTCCCAAACAGTCAAGCGCGTTTGCACCCTGATTACGTATTTCACGTGAAGGTGAAGCCCCGCACCCGTAGACCCCACCAGTACATGCAGGTACCCGATAACACGCGCTACTCATTGCTTGGCAGTCGTACCGTGATTCACCTGGGCGGGCGCTTCCCTCTATTCTCACTTCACACAAACTCTTCCCACTGACAACACAAGCTCGTAGATATATCACCTATACCTGTACTTCGCCCTTTACAGTCAGCCATCCGGTACTAACCTTGACAGCAATAACCCAGAAATGGACGAGGAGTATCCGCTCATGGCCTGTGTAGAAGCGCAAATGCGGGGTGTCACCATGAGCGCATCACACAGTCGCTTTCTTAACCTCCCGGGTGGTGCGTACGTCCTCTCAACTATCCGGAATCCAGCTGACCCATTGCCTACAGAACTTCGCAACAAAATCTACGGCTTCTGCGTCGATGCAGACCCCGTTCCACTGCGTCTCCGTCACGATGATCCGATCAAACCGGTAGGAGGATGGCGCTGCTTTACACAGACGTGTCGGCAAATCCGAAAAGAGTTCCATATCATCTACATGACCCATACAACGTTTCGCCTAGAATCCACTTACCACTACGCCCGATACATTCGCGATTTTTATTCACCAAGGGATGAGGTCACGATGCTGCGCTACCGCGGACACATCATCAGTGTAGTTGGGCATAGCCGCGATGAGAATATGGGTGTGGACGAGTTCTACGATGCAGACATCGCCCGCGTAGTCTCGCTTGTCGCGCGCTCACCGAAGGTTCGCTTTACCTTCGAACTCCAGAAGGATCTAAAGAAATACTTCACGGCGGCAAATGGCATCGCACAGGTCAATAGTATGCTCTCGTTGTTCGCTGATTCGTCCGACTCAAAGTGGCACGACATGGCCAAGTCGATCAAAGAGATGAGACTCAGGGTTCGCACCAATCACTGTCTACTTCGAATTACCATGGACCAAGACATGGCTAGGATGTGGAAGACTGCGGTTCATGAGATGTGGAACGAAGCAGCTCAGCCCACGCGTGGCATACGTGAATTGAGGCTCGCATGGCCTGACCCGAACCCGCAGGAGCGTTCATATGGGTATCGGCACAAGTTTTGGTTCAGTGACGATGAGGATAAGACTAAAAGTTGTATTTGGCGATCGTGAGTAGTATGCAGAGGGGTAAGGGGATGGATGATACTCACACGCTAGCTTTGGCTGATAGCTGAGACATGCGTCCAGGCAGCCTGGTGACGTCTTCGAAATGTATGGCAAGGTGCTCTGGATTATCACTCAGCAGTTCATCTTTCATTATGAAAGCGGCTATTTCATGTCGTCCTGAGTGGTCATTAGGTCGGGTGCGTCAACACGGAGGTACACGCACTCGATGCCACGAACTTGCAAAATAGATAGCGCTTTGCAATTCAACTTTAAACTCCCGATTTCATGTCCATCTCGACAAATACTTCGTCGGCCGAAGTGGCCAAACATTCTTACAATGCCCCTCTATCGAAGCATGAACATCCAGTCCCTTTCTCTTCGTCCAGCCCACACTCTCGGCAAATTTGTCAACGAACCCCTCATCGCGAACCATCACTTCAGGGACAATGACCTCGCTAGTAAGCCGACCAGGTGCCTTCCCGCTCTTAAACACAACCACAACTCTCACTATGGAAACGCCGTAGTCGAGACTCCCTCTTCCAGCATGTATCACGACTTCCGCCACATCTCCACTTCCAATGCAAGTCACCCAACGCGGATCATCAAAGTCCAATATGGAATCGAGCTGCACTTTCATTGTCGTCGGCTGCTTTAGGTAGTCATGACAGGGCCTGAACGATATGGAGGTTGATCTTCCAGCGGAAGATTCGCAATGCCGGATCCGCAGCAAAGGTAGCGCATCGAGTCTAAGACGCTCTACCAACGGATCCTCGATGATCAGGTCAACGCGTCTAGGCACGTGTTCTACTGGCCGAGAAGGCCCGTAGACAAAGTCGACGTAGCGGAGCCAGGGCTTGATGCTGATAGTGAGCTCTTGTTGGCGGAGAGCTAAGGGCCGGTACTCGTGTCGCATTTGGCGGCATACTTGGCTGGGTTTCATCGTCTGGAACCAAGCGGATGTGCTGTGAATCCATGTCTCATAGAGTACAGGTGATTTGAAGAGTTCGATGTGGCAGTGTTGGGATGATAACACGTATTCGTAGATCTTGTTGCGGAGTTCTGGGGGGTGTTGGCAGTGAGACTTTTGTGTTTCTGCAGAGACTTACCAGCTGGTAACAGTAGAAGTGGTGAGGTGATGGGCTCTGAATCGCTTGCTGTAGAAGCGAGCTTGGGTACATCCCGGCGCTTCTTCATCTTCCTAAAGACGTGTACCAATTGATTGTAAGTACTTCTTGGCGACGGATTATCGGAGTCGATGGTATCGGGCATTGAAACGTTCATGGAGTGATCTCTTGAAGTCATCTTCCGTCAGTGTAGGCGACAGTTTCTACGCAACAGGCTGAGCCAGAGCTGTGACTCTTTGTGGTTCCTATCCTTGATGGATGTCACACCGGCATGAGGCGCAGTTGTGGGGCTCGAGTAAGCGCTGTCCCCAATCCGGCGGGGATAGGTGCATGGCTAAGCGAGAGACCCGCGGTTGAGAGTATCGACATCATCTTATGCATGGCTTCCAAATTCATGGAGTTATGGTTGTTGCAACGATGAACGCAAACGCATTTGTAGACTACCTAGGTAGATGACGTCACAGCAAACGCGAGACCCTATGTTTACGGTACGTATTTCGCGTCTGTGTACAAACAACGACAACAGCAACACCACCTGCGTAGCATCCATAACCTCACCATGGATAGCTACGCGCCCGAACTCTCGATGCTTCGCCTGAAGCGACGCCGTAACGACGAAGCCCATTTACGCAGTGACCTTCCGCGAGCGAAGAAGGTAGCAAATAATCCAACAGAGACTTTCAACTTCATTCGTCTCCCAGCAGGTCAGCACATCGAGGTGCGAAATGTTGCGCAGTGGAGAATTGACATTTGTTCAGAGCTTCGCAATCGGACCTACGAGTATACTGTCGCAGAGGTACCCTGTCAGCTACTTTCGCCCGTCCTGCACCAAAATCATCGACCTCGTGATCAATGCGCCGCGGGTATCGCGTTGACACAGGTCTCTCACCAGGTACGATCCGAGTACCGACCAATGTGGCTTAAACGCGCCAAGTTCGTCATCGATTGGCACTCTGTACACGCGTTCCTCGAGAGCTTTTACCCGAACGATAACGAGTACGGCAGCGGTCCCAAGAAGCTCATCGTACAGTACGAGCCGGCTTACGATTGCACGCTGGAACGTCCGACGGAGATCATTCATCTAGTGCGATTGGGCCTGACTTTCAAGGGATTGGAAGTACGCGTTGTTAATTTCGATGAACGCTCTCCCGCCGGTACCTCTATCACGAAGCTAGTACAATATGGTTCTACATGTCTCGAGACTGTCCAACAAGACACTGCTCTGGTCAAGGAGGCGAAGCGGAAGTGGCGGGTTGCTGTACAGGAGTACGAGGTGAAGAGTGTAGCCATTACTATGCAATCCTTGGACGAAGATGTGGATGTACATGTTAAGGTCAGTAGGAAGTTCGCCTCAACGATGGGTACTGGAGGTCTTGATGGGCTATGGGACGAGATAGTGGTCTCATAGACCCTCCACCGGTATGATGTAGGTGAGAGATGGTGCGATTCGTCATGGAAGAAAGAAGTCGAACGTAGCCAAGAAGTCAACACTACCTTCGGTTTTGTTGACTCTCGTCTGTAGACTGATGTAGCCTGGAGTGCGCCTGTTCAATTCTACTTTTCATATGAGGTGCGCGCATGGCAGGTGGGGCCGCGGGCAATGAACGTTTTGGGTTAGCGTGAGATTGGACGCCTGATTGAACGTGAAAGCTCCAGGCACGCCGGGACGCTCGCCGACTCCTACGTGACTTGCATTGACGAGGGCCTCGATATTTGATAGAAGCACTTTTATTCCTCAATAGAGCAGGCCCTCATCATGTCCGATACTCCTGCCGTTGGCGACACGTTTGCAGCCATGCAGCTCCACGATGCCGCGGCTGCCTCCGTTTCAACCAATCGACACCATTTCCGCTTCCTAGACCTGGCTGCAGGTAAATGCTGAGCATAACTTCCTCGAATGAGATCAATCTATTAATCTCAACTACAGAAATTCGAAACCGCATCTATGACTTTGCCGCTGAGGCACCCCCGAGCAATATCATACCCAAGCCTGGCAACGGACCCACTATCGGTCTCATCCAAGTCTGCCGACAAATCCGAGATGAGTTTAGAAAGATCTACATGCAGAATGTCCCCTTCACAGTCCGAGACAAAGACGTTGTGGATTTCGCGATAGCATTCTTTGAGACTAGTCACGCGGACCAGCAGGCACCCATCGGGCAACATCCCATCCATGTCTTCTATCTCTATCCGCCGTCCACGAATGTGGACATACTACCTCTCCTAAAACTCAAGATGGCGTTCCCGCAAACCGAGGTCACAATCATACCAGATCCTGCAGAAAACGAAGAGCATTTCTATACCCAATTGAATTGTGAACACATAACGCACGTCCTGGAAAATACGTCGCCTGCATTGAGACATGATATTCGAGCATCCAAAATTTCCGAATTCTGCTGTCATCACGATAGCAGATTCTACTTGTGGTACAAGCTGGGTCATGTACCCCACGGTGTCGACATGACATTGGATCGGGAAGGGGTAGCTTTCGCGAACCAGATCTACAACATGATAGGTGTTAAAGATATGTATGGAATTCATCACGGCGTTGCATTTGAAGGCATCGATGTGCGCAATTCCAACAATTCGAGCCGGGCGGGAGATGTAGAGAAAGGACTGAGTTAGAGAGTGGTCGGCTTGAGCACCGATGGATCAGGCCGGCTTGGATCCTGACACCGTTGTACTGCTATTAATATTGCAGGTTCTATGGTTCCAAAAATGAAGGTTTCGTCAATGTATTCATAGCTCCATACAGGACAGAAACACTTCGTTGTAGCACTCCACCTTGATTCTGCAATGCAGTTTTGCATACTCTGCGTAGCTTAAGAATACATGATGGGTTCCTTGACCACCGGCATGAAATGTCATTGTCTGGTTACCATCTAAATCATCTACTGGTACTGCGATGACGTAGAGCGACAAGCCAATCACCATTTCCACAACACATAACATACCTATCAGACGCAAAGGTGCTCTCGAACAAGATGCATCGCAATCATCAGAGGACTCCTCCAGTCAAAAGAAAATAGATCATGCATACTGCTATCTGCTTGACAGATCAGGTGTTTGGTCACATTTCACTTTGACTCATGTGGAACAATCCAACAATATGACCGTGGGACGCATCAGTTGACTAGCGCCACGCTAACAAAGACCACTCTACCGTTGCACCTTCACCCTCAATCCATTGCATCATCCTTCCACCACGCTCCTCCGTCATAAACCGTTGACACAGCTTCAGTTCCCTTCCAGAAATGGCCCACGCCACTGTCAGCAGGAGCGACCGCGAAGATCACTTTCGTTTCCTGGATCTACCAGCAGGTAAGCGCAAGCTCTTTTGAGGCAGGATCGTGACTAACATGCGTGTTAGAGCTGCGCAATCGTATCTACGACTTCGCCGTTGAGACTGGAGCCAACCACCTTCGCTGCGTACTGCCATGTCTTGCGCTTGCGCAGAGCTGTCAACAATTGCGCACCGAGTATCGATCTATCTGCCTGAAGCGAGACATCATTATAGATTGGAAATCGGTTGCCGGCTACCTGCGCAGTTTCTTTCCGACCGTCAACGGAAAGATCGAGAATGTTGAGCTTGCACCAGCGAGCATGACTATAGTGACTCCTTGGTGCGGCGACGCAAAGGGGGACGGTCATGAGCTTGACTTACTACCGTTGGTCAAGCTTGGCCTTCAACGACCGAACTTTACATGTTGCTTAATTCATGACCCGGCTAGCCTTGATGAAGAGGAGAAACTATCCCAGGAACACGACTTCAGAAGCTACATCGAGGAAGACTCCACAGCTCTAGAAAAGATGATGTGTAGTCAGAATCCACATTGGCTGTCCGATATCGAAGCCGGTGTTATCACAAAGCTCATGATTTCGAACATTGGTGTTAGCGACTCCCCACAGGCAGCGTTCTACATGAAAACTCCTTCATTGGCCCTCGAAACGTTTGATGAGGATAACGAAGAAGATTCATTCGAAGGAACCTACTTCGCCAATATCGGAGTTGACGCAGCTTGGGGGGAGTTCAGAGAATTCTTGACTTTTCCTGAACTGCTGTTTGATACATCGGAGTTTTTGACATGAGAGTCCACTGAGGCGGGTTGGTATCAAGCAAGAGTGCAAGGATGCACATCGTCATAGTTACTGCTACGCTGAGGTCATAGTCGTCTATTCTATCCAAAGGGTACTAGTGCTAGTCTTCCCGGTATCTTGTCCAGTAGCACTATGCACACACCTCGGACAAGGATGAAACTGAAGGGTACACTGTAGTGTACAGTAATATAACGATCATAAGTTCCAGCGCCTTGAATCAATGTAGACTGATAGGTTCCTTACTTTTACCCATCATTGTCTGCAACAAGTGTTCAACAAGCTTTCTCTTCACTGGCATGCACACCTCACGTGTCACACGACATCCAGTGTTGCTTACTCTCACAACGGACCACAATGCTGATGACTACTCCTAACTCGCCAACTCTCCTCCTCTCTGATCCCACAGCCCCATCTACTAGATAACTACTGAGCATTTCTACGAAACTTGGATCAATCCTTATAACATTGTCGCTAGTCAGCATGAGAACGCGACGCTCACTCCCCGAGCCCTTCCGCTTCCTCGACCTGCCTGCAGGTGAGTTGAATAGACCGCAAAATCTGTCGCACTCACACTTGCATCATCGCAGAACTTCGCAACTCAGTCTACGAGGTCTAGGCTGCCGAATTGGAGGGCCGCGTCCGGCCTTTCGCTCCCAATCCATCCTCCTTACTCGGCAGGAACTCCACTCCCGTTTCAACCTTCGCACTCGCACGTGTGTGTAAAGAGCTGCGCAAAGAATTCCTTTCGCACCTCTTTGCCAGGTTCGAAGTCGGTCTAGACTGGCTGGACGTCGGGTACTTCCGTCACACGGCATGCTGTACCTTCAGCGACGGTGAGTTTCTGTCCATGCGCGCGCCGAAGTCAATCACTGTATACATCTACGAAACCATCTGCGGTGAGCCTCCCGTTTCGAGGCCAAGATCCAAGGATACTCCCTAGAATGATGCTGAGATCGCTACTTATAAGGCGAAAGTATTGGAGGGCATTGTCGACGTGCCCCAAGTGCTACATCCATCGCTCAACCTCCTTCCGCTACTGAGAATGCGACTCCTGCGAAACGAATACGCCTGCTTGTTTGCACTAGATCCGAAGGTCGACTGGGACGCTGTGAAAGAGAAGCATAACAGCGAGGAGAGCCTGGCTGGCAAGCGCGTTGCTACAGACATCCAGGACCTCACACAGTTTTTGGTCTTCGGTAGTGAGCCTTGGACGCAGTGCATGGAACGAAAACTCGATGAAGTCTTGCTTCACCCATGGGCAGACTGGAAAGATCTAAAAATCGAGCTGGTGTTCAAGGAGCAACCAAACGAATTCATTACACTGGACAGGAAGACACCACGATGCTACTTGCCTGATCTGCGGCGGGCAGGAATGCAAGCGTTCTACGCGAAAACAGGCCTGACATTCAACATGAGTATGGCGTCATCGACTCCAAAACCCGATTGGGAAGAAGGCTCTATATCGCGTTCGGCGACACGGCGGTAGCCATCGCGCCATCCTACACCCGCTGCACCTTCTTCTCTTCTTACATTCCCACCGCCGATCCACCACCAAACCCAAACGTAATATCCTTCCGCAAAACCACCATCTCAAAACTCGTCTTGCAACTCCACGTACCCGGCCCCCATGTCTTCTTCCGCACTTCCTGATACCCTCTCTTACGCCAATACGCGCCGTTGAGACACTCCGCCGCCAGGATCCACAAGTTCAACACGCGTTGACCCCGCAGTCCCTTTTGTTCAAGCTCAATTGTTTCTCTCACAATGAGATATTGCTCTAGGAAGTTGAGCAGTTGAACAGCTAGGCCACGGTGATGGTACTTTGGATCACCATCAACACACACGATCTTAATCTCCCAGCCTGTTTCCGTGTCTGCGCCTTCTTTTTCCCATCCGCCTTTCCAGGGTACTAGGGAAGCGCACGCGACGACTATTCTGGTTTCTTCGCCATTGATGCTGCCGTTCTCGTCTGCGCTCGCCGCGTCGTCAAAGATCAGTGCAATGACGCTGCCCGCCCCACTAAGCAGCAAATGAAGCCCTTCTTCATCGTCGAATCGAGAGCCTGTGGTATCCCATTTCACCGGATCTGGTGCATGCGAACGATGGAATGCGTCGATTGCGAGTTGCGTGATGGATTTGGATAACCTAGGATTGGATCGCAGTTCCGATGGCGTGAAAATCGTTGGTGGGGAAAGGTTTGGTGTCATCATGCGGGGGAGATGAATTGCTTATTTGATTTTGTCCGATGAGGAGATTCAAGCTTTCGCTGAGAAAGCTTTTTCATTTTGGAGAACGCCATTGAGTCATTACGTGCGGTAGGGCGTGGATGTTGAAGGTGTCCCGTGTGGAGATTCAGGGCGGCCGCCTCATCGGAATCGGAATGGTTGGATCGTTAATTCCGAACAAAAAGTAGCGAGGATGCACCTTCTTCTTTCGGCTAATATACCATGAGTCTAGAATCTACACTACAATCTCCTCCCCCGCTATACATAATTTTACTTCTTCTTTTCTTCTGACGTACGATGAAATTCGATGTGAATTGCATGGTTCAGCTGCATGCCGAGGTTGCAGGGCGATGGTGTAAGTCGTCATCATCGGCACCTTATCGCCGCAACATCAAACTCGTGAATTGAGAACGATGGTAGCAGTGTACACGAAGCTTTGCGGAGGTTTAAATATATTGATGCACATAGAACATGCGGCTATAGTAACGCGAGAGAGCGAACATGGTATCATAAAGCGACATTACAGCGAAGCTGCAAGCAAAAGGAAAGACAAGGAATTTTTTGCGCGATCTACGCGACACTTCGTATCGTGCATGGGTATAGGTCGGCAGAAGGGTCTGAACATTAGCATGCGCGGCACGCTTCAGGACCACGACTGCCAACTTGGCTTCTTCTGACTTGAACCCCATGGGGGGTATGGCGACTCGCGCGCGGTCGGCGGTGGTGGCATGGGTGTGGGACTCCTCTCCCTCCTAGTCTCTTCTCTTGTTGTAGTAGTTGGTAGGGGTGTTATGGGCAGCGTCTTCTCTGTGGTTGAGAGAGCATGCAACGCGAGGGGAGCACGGTTAGCTGGCGATGTTGGCGATGTTGGCGATGCCGGTGACGTCGGTAGTGGAGGAAGTGCTTCCAAGTCGTGCCCTTCATAGAGATGAGTCGATCGCATGCTGGATGCTCGAGAGTTGTGGCCTGTAGTGTAACGCCCAAGCTCGATGTCCTCGTAATCGCGGTCGCAGATCATGTCGGCTGTCATGGTTGACACTGGGCGGTCAATGCCCGTGGGCGTCGGCATCGCTGAGCTCGTTGGTGACAGGGTGACTTGCACCTCTTTGTGCACATGCACACCTCCATGCGGGTCGACGGACGTACCAAGGTGAGAATCATAATATCCCCTGGTGCTATTGGCCCAGCTTCCACCTGTGATGCTCGCACCGAACTTTCTCCACGAGTTCTTGGACTTGGTATGCGCGCTGTCCTGACGGTCATCTGTACCAGCTGGTGTTCTCGTCTTGGATCGCTGGCTGAGCTTCTCCTGGAAAAAGTGTTTGAAAAAGACCTTCATGGCGGGAGCATTGGCGCATAAGCACCCGATGTACAGCTCGAGCATGCAGGTAAGAAACAGATTCCATGTGTGCCATGTTACGTCGTAAGTGCCATAGAAGGTGTACCAGCTGTAGTAGGCTCGAACAGCCCCCAGTGCGACGACGCCGTAGCCCATGGCAAAGATACCGAACAGGGCCAGTTTCTGTCGAATGGGTATCTGAAGGTTCCAGTAGAGGAATGTAGGAAGGACGGCAGTCAAGGCGTCTTGGGCGCACGATATGATGCTGGCAGCAAAGACGTCGGCACCTTCGTCGAAACAGTGGAACTCGTAACCTTGTAGTGTCTTGATAATGTTGACTTGATCCCAGAATGCTGAGATAGGTTGGCAGCCCAGGATGGGTGCCAAAGTCAAGGCAATGGTGTAGGCGATGATGAAGCCGATGGTGGCCCACGTCACCCATACGAATGTCTTCGACACGGCCCGGGCCGAGAGACGTCGGTAGAAGAGAAGAATGGAGATCTTGACGAGGCCAGTTGCAACACAGAAGATACACTCGGTTGCGAGAACGTATTTCCGCGCGGTAACGATAATCTCCGGTTCAAAAAGGTAGTCTAAGTCCCAGATATGTCGGTCAAAGGCTTGGTTGGTTGCTGACTAGCGTTAGCTAGATAGCAGTGAACTGGTCTGAGATCTTACCCAAGGGATATATGACTGTCAAGGCGATGACTGGCGGCTAGGATCGTTAGCGTAGCCATGATGAGTGATCACGATTAACTCACAAGGGCAGCTAACATCAACCAGTCGTCCCAACCGGGACATCGTTGATGGAAGACCCTAACCCATAGCCGCACAAAAGTCATAATGACGGTAATGGGTCCGAGTATACACGAAATCCACGTGATGGCGTTTGGTCGGAGTGTCGGGTTGACATAGTTAGGTGTTGGCCAACTTAGTTTGACCTCGATAGGGGGATGTATGCCACCAGGCATTGTGTGGATGAGTCAAAAGGTTATGTTGGGTGTGGAACGCTGCCAAAGTTTGAGACAACTGAGCAACGGCTTTTCAAGTGAAGGGATGCCTACCCTTTGTGCATGGTGGCTTTTGAAGTACCAAACCTGTTAAATGGGAGAGGAGCATGGGGGCGTAAGACACCCGCCAGGGCTTGACAAAAGTGGGTCGACCACAAAAAACAATACCAAATGGTCGACCAATGCAGCGGTTGGGAACGACGACCGTTGAGCTGCGCATAACGGCAGTCGAGAGCTTGCCCGGCTATGTATCCACCCGCATATACGAGCATCGACGCGGAGATGGGATATACTCCGTAGGCGATGGACCGCGTGGTCGTTGTGTGTCTACGATACTGATCGGTGAGAAGTAACGAGACCTCTTGTGATACTGTTCAACACGACTTCGAGTCCCGGCATTAATGTGCCCATTATGCGTCAGTGATCTGGATTGGGAGTGTAGAGCGGTCTTGCTGCCGTGAGAAGCGTTTGCAGTTCAGGCTTTGCCACACTCCTGTTTGAAACCTGGATAGGCCATTTACGTTGAATTACGTCGCATGCGTGTATACTCATGAACCTGGGATGAGCAAGGGACGTTGACAGAATTCTAGTGGCAGGCAGTGGACCCGAGAATTCTACCCTGCTTGACCACGACAGCGTATTGGGATTTGACGAAACGCGAGTCCGACCTTGAGTTTCCTCGCGTACGGAACGTCAAACATGCGTGACCAACAGGGCTCGAGCCAATCTGCAGTGGTCGGGCGCTCCCGCCGCGGTGGTCCCTGTCAACAATCTGTCCGGAATGGCGCCTTTCGATCGATGCCATCTGCATCGTACGTGATCGTGTCGGCTATCGAGCTCAATTCTCCTGCAGCCGTGAACGGTGTACGATGAAGTGGTGTCGAGGACCCATTTGTGACGAGTTTGCATACGGTGGCAAGTGCAAGTGTATGCGGTCACCTCCGAATTGGGAACACTAGAAGGATCAGCGGCTTCGCAGCATCTGTAACAATGCAAAATGGAAAGGTCCGAGAACTAGTCGCGGAGATGACAGGAGATGTAGTATGCCGTCATCCCCCATGCGCAATGATTCGTCCGCGTCCACAATGCAGCCATCGTGGATTCTAAGATTGAAGGTAAGGCAAGAGAATTTGAAGCAAAAAAGTAAAGACGCATAGGCCTGGAGCTGTCAGGTACCGGTCAGAGTGTGCGTTCGTACCCCCTGCTCGTGTGCATCAAACCTTGGCATGGTGTGGTGGGGTGCGGGACCGGAAGGTGGGGGCGGGTGGAATCTGGAGCGAAAGCGGACGCGAGAAACGCAACAGCGGCCTGGCTACCTGTGTAGGATAGAGCGGTGATAGTCGAGAGATACCTGTTTCCGCGGCTGCAGCGTGGGCATTCGGCGCGAAGGGCGTTGAAGAGAGGGGCTACGCCCATAGGACATAAAAATAGTCGCGGAATCAGGATGGCACCCTCGCCCTAGTACTCAAAACAGCAACGCGCTCTGTCAGCATCTAAGCGACTGAAGCCTCACGATAGTTGTTGCATCGTCCTGAATCCTACAGCGCCCTTTTTATATCTCTTGAGGCATTCGGTTATACAGTTGTGAGTCACGCAGAAGAGTGAGTGATAAGCGCAGTCTCCATGTATCTAGTTATAAGGGGACCGGTATCTCTAGAAATGACATCCACAAACAACCAAAGCATTACGTACCTTCCAAGTAACCAAGATGACAACCTCTGCCTCGTTCAATGACGCTTTCGCGTCGGCAGTTGCATCCGGCCCTGAGCGCCTTCTGCCCGGTGTGGCTCTCGGTGCTGCAAGAGCCCTTCGAATGGGTATGGTCTAGTTTTACATGTTTTCTTTTGCCAAAACACTTGCCAGGGCCGTTGAGTTTAGCGTGCGTTTGAGAGCAGCACGTTGAGATGGACTGGGAATATGCGACGAAGCCGTCGGATGCTCGCAGCCGTTCGCACGGTCGGCGACCTCGCTTGTCATTTGTGTTTCTGTTACATGGCCTACGGTTCGCGGCTAACGTGATTCACAGCTGATACTTCAGAGCCGGATGACTTTCTTGCTGCATTTGGCACATTGCAGCTTCATCCCACGTCGCCACCAGTATCGACCAAGACGACTGTATGGCTGGCATCTTGCACGAAACTAGTGACGGCTATCGCAGCCTTGCAGTGCGTCGAGCGCGGGCTGTTTTCGCTCGACGAACCCACTGACACCGATCGTTTACTGCCTGAATGGAAGAACCCCGCTGTCTTAACTGGCTGGACCGCTGATGAACCTATCTTACAACCTGCAAAAGAAAGATTGACTTTGAGAAGATTGCTGACACATACAAGCGGAGTTGGCTATGACTTTCTCTCGGCTGACCTCGTGAAGTGGAGGCAGCATCTCAACGAAGAAAGTCTCTTCATGCGCGCGCCTATCACGCAGTGCTTTGCGACACCTCTCCTCTTCGACCCCGGCTCCGGCTTCGCCTATGGTGGCGGGCTGGAGCTTGCGGGCTTGATGATCGCGAGGGCCAACAACTGCACGCTGGAAGCATACATGCGCCAATACATCTTTGACGTCCTGGGGATGGACAAAACTTCCTTCTACGTCAAGCACAACAATATCGAGCAGGAGTTGATGCCGATGACGACTCGTCCTACACCTGATGCAGCTCTCATACCAGGCAATCCACCGGACATGCCACTGGCACAGCCGCTGGATCCTCAAGATGAGTTTGGTGGCGGGGGTTTGTTCGGCAATACCGAAGACTACCTCGTACTTCTGAAGTCGCTTCTCCGGAATGATGGCAAGCTTCTCAAGGCGGAAAGTATCGACCTCTTGTTTACTCCATGTATACCACCCACGGCGCAAGAGTCGCTCGATCAGACGCTGTCTGTCCCAGCCTACGCCGCCATCATGATTCCAGGCGATGCTCCAATTGGCACGCCTGGTGCGCGGAAGTGGTCTCATGCTTTGGGGGGTTTAGTAGCACTCGAAGACGATGCCGATGGAGGCTTGAGGGCTGGCACGTTACGATGGGGAGGTGCACCGAATCTGAAGTGGTGGATTGATCGCAAGGGCGGCACTTGTGGCATCTTCGCGACGCAGCTATTGCCGGCTGGCGAGACCCGACACACGCACCTGGGGAAGATGTTTGAGAGGATGGTAGCTGCAATGTAGATTTAATAGATGCTACTGCGGGTCGATGGGCATATGAATGGGCATCAATCGCATCTCCCCCTATTGCGACGATTTCTCAATTGAGGACCACGAGGTGCCCCACTTGCATGAGGCGCTACATATGCACGGTGATGACGATGGCCTGCGCCGCTGATTACCCAGCAGATTCTGCCATGACGTATCCGAACTTCTATTTCCGCCGGCAAACCTCTTCTCTGTGCTCAGCTGCCCCGTCCAATCATGATGGTTGATAACTCTGACCGCCTTCGCTCAGTCGGCTAGCGGTGGCTTACTCAGCCTTTGTCCGCCGGATATGGACGCTGGTATCGGCAATATTCTCGCCATGTCGCATGGGACAGATGCGGGAGATGTGCAGGCGAGCAAATCTTTCGCTCATGACGGCCACGCGCGCCAGATACTTAGGGCGACGGGCTGCTGTCAAGCGATTGAACGATTGAAGCTTGTTCATCGCCATTGACAGCATCCGCGTCCATCTCCCGAAAACACGGTCACGACTAGTCGTACCGTCGCGCATTAGATCCACACGATCCACAACGGCCTCGTCGTCGGGCTGAACATTTACTATTATTGTTCCGACAGCCGAGCGCTGGCAATTTCTATCGCTTTCCAGCGCGACAGCACCACTCAACACCTTGGTCGAGGAAAGGAAAGAGAGCAGCCAGTATGCAGAACGAAGACCTTAACATCCTGCGCAATGAGGCGAATGCAAGCCCTGAGCGCTTCGCAAATTGGGACCCGCACAGGCAGTTTCGCGAAGAGTACCACAGACGGCATTTGCACGATCAGACACCCGACGAGCGCCTGCGCAACATCGAAGCACACGAGCGAGGGGAGCGCACCCAGAGCGAGATATCCTTCCCAACAGAAGCGGTGGCATCACCCACCAGAGAAAAGGAAGAGGAGGTCGCTTCGCCTCTCTCACGACACAGCACATCTTCGGCTTCGACGGTTAGCTCTGCAAGCTCTGCATCGACACATAGCGCCCGCCTCGAAGAGATACGCACCGCCCGCTCGACCCCCGCACGCGACCGCCGACCGACTGTCAATTCGCAAGCCTCAAGCGGCAACTACCTCACACTACATCCCACTGAACGCAACCCCGAAGCCATCCGTCGAATCGAGACACACAGAAGTCAGCATGCAGGCACAGTTGGTGCATCGCGGGTCGATTCACGGTTGTCAAGGACCCTTACGCGCCGCCGTACAGAGAAGCCATTACCGAACCTAGGAGCTGGCAAGCCTTTCCCTCCCCTGCTACCGGATAGGGAGGAGTATGTCGTCGAGTTCGACGGCGTTGACGACCCACTCCATGCGCAGAACTGGCCGATGAACAAGAAGATCGGTATTGGTGCTATCCTAGCATTCGACGCCCTCACAGCCACCATGGGTAGCAGTATCTTCTCGGCCGCTACCGGAGCAGTGTCGCAACAATACGGTGTTGCCAATGTTGTGGGTACTCTAGGAACGAGTTTGTTCGTTTTTGGATATGCTTTTGGTCCTTTGGTATGTCAAATCTAATTACACTCTGGGAACAGAAATGCTAACTAGTGTAGATGTGGGCGCCCTTCTCCGAGTTGTACGGCCGAAAACCTCCGCTCATCATCGCTGCCTTTGGTTTCGCCATCTTCAGCATCGCTGTTGCCGCAGCCAAAGATCTCCAAACCATCCTGATATGTCGATTCTTCGCCGGTCTCTTTGGCTCTTCTCCGCTCGCTATCGTCGCCGCCGTCTTCGCGGATATGTTTGACAACAAACTTCGCGGTCTCGCCGTCGCAGTCTTTTCCGCAACTGTTTTCATGGGCCCTCTACTCGCACCCTTCATCGGAGGATTCATCACACAGAGTGACCTGGGATGGCGGTGGACCGAATACATCAGCAGTTTCATGGGCTTTTTGTCGTTTGCTCTACTCTTCTTCTTCATGGAGGAGACCTATCCTCCCGTTGTGCTGATCAACAAGGCGAGCGAGCTTAGAAGACGAACCAAGAACTGGGGTATACACGCAAAGCAGGAGGAAATCGAGGTCGACTTTAAAGAGTTGATCGTCAAGAACGTCAGCCGACCGATGCGCATCCTCTTTACTGAGCCTATCGTGCTTCTCATCACCATCTACATGAGCTTCATCTGTAAGTTTGAATAACCCACCAACTTATCACAAGGACTTAGCTAACGGCGCCAGATGGTCTACTCTACCTCTTCCTTACCGCATATGCTCTCGTATTTCAAGGAGTCTACGGCTGGAGTCCGGGCATTGGCGGACTTGCCTACTTCGGCATGGTCGCTGGTGAAGTCATTGCTTTCATCATCATTGTGCTTGACAATCCGCGTTACATCAGAAAACTGGAAGCCAACAACAACATCCCGGTTCCAGAATGGCGGCTACCCATCAGCATGGTCGGGGGTGTTCTCTTCGCGGCTGGTCTCTTCTGGTTTGGATGGACAGGCTACACCGGCAATGTTCACTGGATCGTCCCTGTCTTGAGTGGTCTCTTTACCGGCTTCGGCATCTTCTCCATCTTCCTCTCGCTGCTCAACTATATTGTCGACGCGTATCTCATGTTTGCCGCTTCCGCCATTGCAGCAAACACATTCATGCGGTCCATTTTCGGTGGAGTCTTCCCGCTATTCGCAACTTTCATGTTTAACGGTATGGGAATCCAGTGGGCCAGTACACTGCTTGGTTGTGTGGCCGCCGTGCTTGTACCGATGCCGGTAGTCTTTTACCTTTTTGGTAAGAGGATCAGAGGCAAGAGCAACTTCGCTCCTGCGCCAGACATCGCTCAAGACAAGAGGAGAGATGAAGAGAGCAAGGGAAGCGAAGGTGTTGAAGCGGGCAGTGGAGAGACGACTGAGCGGGAGAGCCTGGACAGGGCGAGGAGTAAAGATGAGTAGAATTCTCATTGTATTTTTAATTTCTTATTCATCTGGGCTTAGCGAGCACATAGACCTTTTAATTTCAACCTTTCCGTCTGATCACTTGTTTGAAAAGCTGCAAGAGTGTAGACAACTGAAAATGTAATAACGAAGTCGATGAAGATATTTCTTTCATGAACAGCAGACATGGTATCAATTCTTTCCTCGCTACTCACCCCAAACTTAGGGTAATACATACCCACCATCAATAATACAATCACTTCCTGTCATATAGCTTGAGGCATCGCTGCCCAGGTACAAGAATAATCCCTTAATCTCCTTAACGTTACCCTGCCTTCCGAGCGGAATCATTCTCAACCCTTCATTAATAACCTGCGGCCCAGCCCCCATCTTGGTATCAAAGAACCCCGGGCTCACAATATTAACCCTCGCGAACTCTCTCCACTCCCTCGCTAGCGACTTGCCCAAATGCGACACAAACGCCTTTGTACCATTGTAGATAGGTTGGTCGATGGGTACATTGACAATGTGTGCTGAGATGGAGCTGGTGAGGATCAAGTTGCCGAAACCTTGCTTTTTGAATACCTCGCCGGCGTACTTGGCGCAGAAAACGGGGCCGTCGACGTTGACTTTCATGAGGTTGTGGTAGCTTTCGAGGGTTTGGTCGAGGAGAGGCTTGCTGTCTCCTGTGCCGGCGTTGGCGACGAAGACGTCGATGCGGCCAAAATCCTCAACAACTTGCTGGACGGCTTTTTGGACTGCAGCAGCGTCGATTTGATTCACGCTGTAGGCTTTTGTCTTTACGTTGTGTGTCTTTGCGAGAGTCTCTGCGCGTGTTATGGCGGCGCTGTTGGAGTTGTACCACAGGGCTACGTTGCCGCCTGCTTCGGCCATGGCGTCAGCTACAGCTCCGCCGATTCCTTCGGCTGCACCGTTGACGACGATGACTTTTCCTTTCATGCTGAATTGTTGCATGACGTTTGTCGGCGTGTCGGGCACGGGTTTGGGGAAACCGGCGCGCGGCGTCTGGCATTCTTCGACGGACATGGACATTTTGGCGGTTCTTTGGGGGAGGATGTATGCTTTAGAAGCTTGTGAAAGAGTTGTCAATTATAAAAAAGACAGATACTTTGCAGTCTGTATAGTAAGAAGTCGGAGTCGGAGGTCGACACTTATGTATCTAGACGCGTGAGACTGCGCGGAGGAAGGTCTGCCGAGTGAGGCTCAAAGGCCGCGACTTGACGGTGCATCTTTTACCCCGCCGAGGAAGACATTGAGTGGTGTTGCGTCACGGGGTGGTGTTGCGGGGCAAATCTGGAGGACTGTCGTCCGGATGGGGCGGGATGGTTCCTGAGTTGGGATGGTGCCCGTTGCCCTCGGCTTACCTTCCTTCTGAGTGCGCGGCTCGTACCGTGTCTACTGCCGACTAAGCCCTACTTCTATGACTTCCTCCCACGATGCTTACCTAGCGATTGAGTGCACTCTGGCTCGGCTGGAATCTCGGAGGCGTCAATAGATGCAAGAGATCAGTCAGGTCAACATGATTTTATCGCCTCTCACCAACTCTCTTCCCGGGCGTTGCCATGCGGCAGCCATGGCACGTCCTTTGCGGCGCCCGGAGTCCATGTTTCGCACGGCAGTTTTCTTCTATACGGTGTGAGATGCCATTATAGCGGATAGTACTAGGCAAGTTCGTCTGGAGTACGAGCAAAGTATCAACATCCACGTAGCGAAGCCACTCGGACGCCTCGCACACGACGATGAGGTAGCAGTCCACTTCCCTCGGCACCTGAAGACAACATTTGGCGACTCTCTTTAGCCAAACTTTTCCACTATACGGCGACCGAGGAAGAGAAAGCTGCAGTCAAGGCGGTCACGTTCATCAAGCCTCTCGGCCAGTCACTATGGTCCACAAGAGTAGTGGAAGTAGCTCGTACGCATGAGATAGCTTGTATCTTGTTGCAGTAGATCCAGGAAAGTATGCTCAGCTGTTTCTTCCTTTACTCCTCAGAAGCACGATAAGCCTCCGGGCTTACCTAGGTAGTGTGCACGGTCTGCCGCTAGACGACTCCCGTCTGCACCCTCACAACAATCTCGCTTCCTCAATCGCACTGTGGACACGCAACTCCACATTGGACTTGGATACCCTGAGTACCACCCGTCAACGCAACAGTTCGCAAAGATGAATTCCAGGTTTCTAGATCTTCCAGCAGCTGCACAATGACTCACTCCCTTTCCTCTTGAGGCCGTTCGGTACTAATTGAGTTTAGAGTTGCGCAACCGCATCTACGAGATCGTCACAACACCAGATAATGGACCTCATTCTAAGGCTAGTTACGTACGGCGAGTGGAGGGCTACGACGATGGTAACTATGCGGGCCTCACCAGAGCGTGCATCCAGATTCGCAAAGAATACCGCCCCATCCAACGTCGGAAGGCTGAGGTTCGGCTGGACCTTGCAGGCGTACCCCATTATGGCCAAACGTTCCTTATCATAGCCGACGACTCTATGATTCTGCATCACAAGATACGCGTCGAGGTACCATTCAAGATATACAGTTTCGGCTCTCGCTTCAGCGTCCTGCCAATCCTCGAGCTCAAGGCTGCGTACCCTAGTCTGGACTGCAAGATAGTGCCCACCATCATTGGGGATAATTCTAGTTTCGTACACCCTCACATGATTCCCCGGACTCCAAGTCAAGCTCGTGATCTCAACGCACTTGTTTTCCATGCAAACCGAAAGTGGCTCGACGAGGTTAGCGATGGTTCTATTGGAGATGTCCGGATCACAACCGCCTGCGCATTCTTTCAGACCACATTGGTAAACATCGTTTTCAACTCCCTTGAGAGCTATAAAGAAGCAGGTAGTGCACCTGATGCGTGGCGCAGCGCTCGCGGTCTGGAGGTTCGGTTATCGAATGGTCACAACGTCAGGTTGTGCTTTTCGCATGTTACGTCCGAGCACTGGGAATGAAATTCATTGGCTTGGAATAGGATGCACGGAAGTAGATTATACTGTACGTATCAATACCCACTTCAGCGAGGTGGAAGAACCAGTCAATCCAAGTTGTCAGGCGTATCACCGGATGAACCAAGGTATCGCATCGCACTTAGATATGAGTCAGGAGCAAAGAAGTATAAGATTGCCGTACCGTCCACATAGCACTAGCTCTGCATAGAAATCTCGATCCGCGAGCACGCTGACTTCATAGCTACCGTCAAAGAGATTTGTCATCCACCTCCTAACCTACAGCACAGTCACGATGAATTTCCGCTTCCTCGATCTTATCCCAGGTACGGGGTTCTCCTCGCCCCTCCTACGAGACTTAAAACTGACGATGGACAGAATTGCGCAACCGGGTGTACCACTTCTCTTCAGTGTCTCACGAACAAACTCATCCCAAGCATGATCCTTCCTTTCCCGGCACCCACGCTGGACTTACAAGAGTGTGCCGTCAGATTCGAGCCGAATTCCTGCCGCTCCAGCGTCGTGAAGCGGAAGTAACGTTCCGTTGGGACAGAATCGAGATGATATCGGTATACTTCGATACCTTCTACCCAGTCGTTCCCGATTCGAGCGGCGGTCCTCGCGTTGTACGGCTTCTATGGGGCGAGGATGAAGAAAATTCAGCGCTGAGGTACCGGGCCCATGGTTTTACATGCTTGGCTGTGATTGACGACCTGGTTCCACTACTAAAGATCCGTGCGTGTTGGACATCAGTTCGCTTTGAAGTTGCGTTGGAAGGTTCCTACTGTGCATTCGATGCGTCTGATTTCAGACACAGGGTTCTGGCAGAGAAATACTGCCACACAATGTGGCTTGTTATTCAATACGACAACCCCGCCTGGCTCACAACTATACGTGAGAGCGTATTTGACAGCATCCAGATCCACCACATCCCTTGGTATCCCCCCCTAGTCATTCAGCTAGAGCTTGGAGAGGCTGGATCAGATGAAGTAAGAAGCTTTGCTCCTTCGCCGTACCAGTCCACCATGTGAATTCGTGGCATCGGAGAAGCCTTGGGGGCTATTGGCGGTATGCAAATCCTTTCTACAATACCTAGATAGACATGATGAAACAGGTCTACCATCAATGAGCACAGATTAGCAGCGGATGTAGGAGACGAACGATGGGTTGCGAGTGGAGCGCAATGTAGACACGATCGACAATTACATCATGGGATAGCAGAATTCGTGTCGTACTGTACAGAGATGTCTTTGGGAGTCAGGACTTATGACTTTGTTAAAATTCTACAACAATCTAAACAAAGTTGACTCGTTAACACGTGATACTGTGAATGCAGCAATGCGATACTGATTCAGGTGCCCTAGTAACTATCGTGGAGATGACGACGTCATGGCTCAGGCAGCTCTCAGGGTCCACTCCTTCTACCACGACCTTCGGATCTTTCCTCTTTGAATGCATCTACTCATGTAAAGTCTTATCTCCCTCCATATATGTGGAGCTGCAGTGTCGATTTCTGCCAGGCTCTACTGCTCTCGATATCGTCTTGCATATAAGAGGGCGCTTGTTTGTACTCCAGTTTGCTCCCACCACAGCCATCACGACATCATTTGGTACTTAGTACCCTCAGTTCTATTACCACTCATTTCGATATATCATTGCGCATTGTCACCGCATCTTGCATCGCGACCAACTCAACAGCCACTCGGTCGACGGAGGGACTTTCTATCTACTTTAGGCTCCCAGCTCACTTGCCTCGATCAAACCACCACGACGTTTACATGATAGTGGTCACGCTGAATCAAAGTCACGACGGATTTCGACACAATAGCACGTTGCAGCAGTCTACAACAGCACGTTCTTGTTCATAGTCACGAGCGCGATATCGGAGATAACAGTTGGAGGGAGTCGCTCTCTCCACGATTGCAACCATCAACAATCGCACTTCACCTTCTTATTCAGGGTCCGCACTTGGGTATTTGCGATTAATGACCCATCGCCATGACTGCAACTGGTACTGCAATGCTGCCTTCCCTCGCAGTACAATAGGAAAGACCTACCCACAACCACGTGACTGAATCACGCGCTCCTTCCACGTTCTTGAACTATTGTACAATGACATCGTATCCAACATTCTTGCTTCCAAAATCCATCACACCAGCACCAAACACGATTGTGACAATGAACTGCCAAGTATCCCCGCTCTCTTACCTGAGGCCTAGTTTCGAGGCGACCTCCGATTTGGGCAATTTCCCCAGTCACCGTCAGAGACTTTGGTGGCGATCATCGTTGGTGTTTTCCTCGCTCACTTTTACCTCGCGGGAGATAAAAGAAGTCCCATCGTCTACGCTCCATTTCTCTTACACCTCACAAGTACCTTCAATATTTGATTATCACTATTTCCCAAGCTATCGGCGATTTCTTTCAACACCAGCAAGAAGCCGGAAGTACAAGACCTCATGGCGTGAGTCCCCTTTTTTCACATGCAAATCTTACGAGTAGCCACCCGAAAGTTCCCAGTGTTGGTATGATGGACTCTGCTAACTCAGACAGCCCTACTCGCCCGAGCACCCCACCTCCTTCTCGTTCATCTCCCAGGAAGTTCGGTCATCCGCCAGTCGTTCCTGCCCCTTCTACACCAACTTCACGCCAGAATGGCTTCAACGGCAGGTTTAACGTCATCATGGGCTCGGAGCATGCGACTGTGCCGCCCTCCCCTGGATTGCCTGTACCTGGCTTCGCGGCACTCACCATGAGTTCTGTCCCTGCCCAAGCCCTGCCCATCCGCCAGAGCAAGCGCAAGCGTGGAGGTCACGCGCGCACTGATGCCGGTGTCAAGAAAAAGACCAAGAAAAACCCAGATAGCACCATGGCCAAATTGGTTGAAAACGCTCTCAAGCAGAAGGTCGGCACCAGCGACCCCGCTCTGCAGAAGCCGTTCCGTTTCATGGACCTTCCCGGAGGTCAGTCTTTCGAATCTGACCCACTGTTACACAAGCTGACTCACAATAGAACTCAGGAACCAAATCTACATGCACACCTATGGTCGTCCCAAGCAGGCTCTTCTCGTTTACCGACCGCGCATCGCCTCTCTGCGTCCCCGCACTCGTCTCGATCGCAGCCGTACTTTGGCGTCTGACATTGTCGATCAGGATCAGGAGAAGAAGATCTCGGGCGGCAGCAACAAGTCTCGCCTTTCAGCCAAGCCCAAGCCCAAGGCCGAAGTACGAGAGACCAATCGTCCCTTCTGGGGCCTTACCCAAGTATGCCGTCAACTCAGGGCTGAGTACCGACCCATCTACATGGCCAAGCAGGAGATCGGCATGGACCTCACCGAGATCGTGTACTACCTTAAAACTTTCTATCCAACCGCCGCGGATATCGTCTCCAACCTTGGTCCCCCAGGAGAGCGCGATGAGGATGCGCCTTTCGTTGGTAATCTTACCATCGCCGTCGGTGATAAGCCCAACGAGCTGGAGCGTGCTGTTGATGGCATCGAGGTCTTTTGTCTTCTTGACATCTGGGCCAACAGCCTCAAGATCGAAGCTGGGTTCGGTCGCTACCTCAAGGCCAACTACGTTGCCGAGACTGATGGTGAAGCCAAGGACCTGTAAGTTTCCCTGCCTCTTTCATCAAATGATTTATTCACTGACCATCTTACAGCTACCGCCTGTTCGGCCGTCGCGTCCTTCACAACCGTCAATGCTCTAGCATGAACGGACATTGGCGCTCTATCCTTCGCAGCCGTTCCCTGGCGTCAGTTCGTATCCATCGCAAGCCCGCCCAGCGTGACACTGCCTCAGCTCCTGCTGTGGTAGCTCTTGCAGCAGCTCTTGGAGTAGTAGTCCCTGCTATCCCTGCCGTCACCAAGCCCTACCTGCACATCATCTTCAAGAAGGGGTCTGCTGAGCCTTGGATGACTCAGTTCGAGTCGGTCATCCCTACTGGTTGGCTGACCAAGCACGGCTTTGGCGGCATGGAGCACTTCGAAGTCAAGGTCGGCGTCGACCAAGACGACTTCAACTAGCTGCCCGTTCAGAGCTGTCATCGCTGGTGCGACGTTAACATTCCCAAAAGTTCCCATCTTGAATGGGGAGCAGCGCATGCGGACATTTCTTAAGCGTTGGACTGATATCTCTACCGGGGTGTTCGTTGACATGCTCAAGATCGGTAACATTTACGAGGTTTTACATATGAAGGTATATCAACTTTATGATCGAAAGGTAACACGTTGGCAACGCGTCTTGCACGCCGCACCTTGGTTATCATCTAGCAGGAATCAATAGTCCCATGCAGAACACCCTGGTTCCCCTCTGCATTGATGTGACGACTGACACCGGACTACATGCTCAAACAGGATGTCAAAATGAAGAGGCTGATGTAGTTTGTTTCTAAGAAAAGAAAATCCGTCGCCATCTCCTTACCTCGGCCAATCAGATTGCATCATTCTCCACAGAGATACACGCGTTTTTCCGAGTGTCCACACTGCAATGGGACTGTAAGAAACACTTGTTGTCGAAGCATGTCTATAATCGTGCGCATAACGTCTTTTCCAAGGACGCTGGAAGCTCTGCGCCTGCGACCGCACGTGCGCGACGTCATGCCCCACTGTCAAATGCCGCGCCAAACTTCGCTCGCGGCTCCGCCCCAGTGCATCGCGAACCAACTGTATCGCACCGTTTATCTTATTCAACGAGCCGCGGCCTAAGGCCCACCTATTTCCAGGCGGAGGACGTTCCTTCTTCCCCCCTGAAGTCGCGATCCTGATGCGCAGCCCCCTGCATTCGCTAATGAGACAGGTACCGTTTGATGGGTAACAACAACATGCGCGTCCTCTCGTGTCGAGCAGGCTGGAGCCCCTCGTTCGCTGCGATGCTTTTCCCGCAAGCAAGGGAGCTAGCATGCGATGAGACAATTGACATCCATTGACATCTAGACTTCCCGTCTTCCGCTGGTACAGAACCCCCAAGCGCACGCGAATCCTAGTAAAGCCGTGGTACTGTGAGGTCATCGACAGGGATGGTGGCCAGCCGCAAACCTCATACACTACCATAGCTCACCAGCCCCTCCCCGGTCACTTGGTGTTTTATTTGTTCTTAGGCTTTCAAGAGATTGTGTTCGTCCATATGTCTCTTTATGTCGTTTAGATGTCACTTGGCCAATAACTTCGACGATACTTTCTGCTGCCACTGTACCTCCGAACCTGAATCACCGTCACATCCAGACATGTCGCGTCCACAGAGCATGCCTGATTTCGCCGCGCTCATGGAATCTTCCATGTCGCAGGCTGTCTTTGAGTCGTCCAGCTCGAACTTCGAGAAGCGCATACACAGTCACAGTCGACGACAGACATCGCCGGAGCGAAAGCCTCAGAATATGAGGAAGAAGCCGAGCATCTCGCTCGCTGCTGGATTGATGATGAACACCGACACCCCACCAGCGACTGGATCACTATCGCCGCGCAAACGAAGCCAAAGCCGACCGGCCCAGGAAAAGAGGGTTGAGATGGAAGAGGGTGGAAATCTGTTCTATGCCTACGCGCAGAGGGTGAGCCATGCCAATTGAACTGCGTGCCATCGACCGGCCAACAACGGCGTACTGACTTATGCTATAGAGCGACTATCCTGCATCTCCCCCATACATCCTCACCTTCGCCTCGGCCGCTGTTTGCACGCAATGGTGGAATCTGGTCCAGCAGGAATACACGTCATCGTCGCGATTGAGCCCGCAGTATTTCGTGGTCAGGAGCGAAGACATGGAGCTCATAATGGAAGACCCCAGGTTCTCCGATATTCAGAACAAGTGGTTCTATACGTGCCAGGATAGCCCAACATGCCCGCCGATTGTCCTACCCTTGCAACATGCGAACGGTGTTCCCGCCGTCGCACCCCCACAACCAATCGAAGAGAAGGCGAGCACATCGGCTATTGACAGCCTGGCGGCGAGCCTGACCCAACTGGCAAGCATAGTCGAGAGCAATGCTGAGCAAGTTCACGCGCTATCGGTCGCGCAATCAACAGGCCTACAAGCGATGCAAGAGATCAACGAGTCGAACAGTATCCAGATCAAGGCTATTTCCGAATCCCAAATCAAGCTTCAAGCGCTTGTCGATCAGAACGCGTCACACTACATTGCCCTGTCCAACACGTCTTTCCAGTCGCACGAGCAGAGCAGGTTATCTCAAGAACAGACACGGAAATCTCAAGAGCAAACGCGCAAGTCTCAGGAGCAGACCAAAGACATACTCAAGACGACCGTCTCTCAACTTCAGACTCTATCCAAGAACCAGATCGAGCTGTCGCAGACCTGCCAGGGTATGATGCGCAGTATTGAGACCCTCGGCGACTCTGTCACACAGTTCACTTCAAATGTCATCTCGGATACAGCAAGCAACCAGTCACTATCTACTAGCTCCTTCAACGCTCTCGCAACCCGCATCAGCCCGCCTCCCCGGAAGCTAAACAGGCGGGTGAAAGGCGTTTGGTACGAGTACGACAACGTGGGCTCGGGCTCACCTAGCGGCACCCCCAGGAAGAGAGTAGACTCGATCAATGTGGACACCCCGCCGAAGAGCCCGGTTATCTACAAGCATGTTTGACGGTGGTACGGCTGGCTCCGAAGTATTCGTTTGACGCCCCCAACGCAAGAGGAGCTTGACGAGGAAGCACTAAATATTCGACGACCATTGCTCACTACTTAATACTCTTGATGGATATCGTCGCCTAATGAGTCCCTCTCTTACGGTGCTGGAAAGCCCCGCCTGGGCCAGCCGTTTGTGATTTGCATTACATTGGCGTTTGGAGCGAAGATTGTATGATAGCGCATTTGGGCTCTTTATGGCAGCGAATCAGCTTTCTATTTTCGGCATGTTTGCGTATCTTACATGAAAAGTGTGGGCTTCTGGAGCGGCAGCGCGTCGTTGATGTATCTTTTGGTGCTCTAATCGTTTGTGTTTACGCGACGTCACCGCTAGTCGTGCCTTCCGCAGTCGGATTTTTTAATATTCTAGCCGGCTTCAGGTCGAGTCCGCGTTTTCACCTCTCACTGCTATCGCAATCTCTTCCTATCAAAAAGTGTCTGCACCTCTACAAATTTCCCTCGCTTGACGCAGCAACAACCAATCCACCCACTGCATTCTACAAACCCTACACCACTACCAAAGGCACATCACTGCCTTCACGATGAAGCTCCTCAACGCCGCTCTGGTACTTGCTTTGAGCCTCTGCAAGACTACCCACGCTGCTGCGCTGCCCACTGCATCACCCGACGTCGCCATGTTGACCTCGGACGCCGCCGCGAAACTTGACCCACCTGCTCATGGCATGTGCTATCTCTACCTCAACATTGTCGAGAAGAACCCCCAGAACCCGCAAGATATCGACACCACCGTCTGGGTCGCGCTTTCGGACGGCCAGAACAAGACCATCGAAGGCATGACGTACGTACACCACTCTTACCATGACTGGTAGGCCAGTCATGACAGCAGAACATACATTGACATCATACAGCTGGGACGACGGTGAACCTCTCAAAGGCATGCTCAACGGAAAGTCGATCGACGGCAAGCCACCTGGCCAAGCACTCAAGATTCACGGTCTCTTCAAGCCCACGGACACCTTCAGCCTCAGGTGGATCAACATGACTCCTGGTGCCCACTGGGAGTGGTTCAGATTTCAGTACACTGGCGGCATGGTCGGTACTTTGGACTTTGACGATAGCTTCAAGGGCTGGAAGGATGCTTCGTGCAACCGCACTGAGTGGGTCAACCAGTATCAGGACTATTACGACAGAATAACGACCTGCTACTTCGAGTGCTAGGCATCATCGGGAAAGCTGCAAGAAGTACTGATGGTGGGTATCCGTGGCGTCGAGAGCGACGAATAGATCGATCTGCAGACAAGTTCTTTCTCTGCACGTGATCTTCACGTTGCTATCTCGATGAGTTGTTGAGTAACCTAGAAAGAATTCATCAAACCTATTCCAATAACTCCAATCTTTCGCATACCGTATGACCACACAGTGCTCTGATGTGCTCCAGATACTGCAACGACGTCCGACGTTCCGCCTTGCCGCCCAATCTGGACACGGAGGATCCACTCCGCCCTGTAGCAATATGCGCCCAATCTAAATTAAGTCACGTCCACGCCTTCTAGAATTAACATGGAATAATCCACCAAAAAGCAGCAGGCGATCGCTAAACAAGCATTGTAGTAATCTACGGATTCCGGGTCGAACGTCGTTACACTGCAGGACTGTATGCAGATGGTACTGAGAAAGGACTTGACCGTGGTAGTATATAAACCATAACATTCAGCGACGAGAACGTAGTCAACAAAAACAAACAAAACTAGCTGCTATTCACTGCGGCTTGCTCAATATCTCCATCATGTTCATCTCTGCTATCTCACTGCTCGGTTTCATCACCTCCGCATCCGCTCACGGCTATCTGAAGTCAATCTCCGTCAATGGTGGAGCCAACTACCTAGCCTGGCAAGTAGGCCAAGACGACTACCTGACTCCCGAACCCGTTCGCTATGCCCGTCGCATCAAAGACAACGGACCTGTTCCTGACTTCACGTCCAAAGACATAACGTGCAATGTCGGTGGTAACCTACCAGCTAAGGGCGTTATACCTGTTATGCCGGGGGATAAAGTGTATGTTCTTCCCTCTTCTTCCTTTCACATTCCCTCGTCCTACTTCATTGGCATGGAAAGCATCAACACAGCATTCTTGAATTCAGCGCCGATACTAACGCCCACGAAGCAAACTCCAATGGGACCAATGGGGTTCCTCACACTCCGGCCCCGTAATGAACTACCTCGCCTCCTGCGGCACGAACTGCTCCACTTTCAAAGGCGACACCGGAACCCCTTGGGTAAAATTCGACCAAATGGGCTACGACACCACCAAATCCCCTCCCTGGGGCTCCGACTACCTCGCCAAACAAGGCGCCAGCTGGACTGTTACCATACCCGCCGGACTGAAGCCCGGCGAATATCTGCTCAGGCATGAGATACTGGGATTGCATGTTGCGGGGACGAGGATGGGGGCACAGTTTTATCCCGCTTGTGTGCAGATTAAGGTGGGTGGGAGTGGCGTGAAGGCGTTGCCGGCCGGTGTAGGGTTGCCGGGTGCGTATGATCCGGATGATAAGGAGGGGGTTCTTGTGCAGCTTTGGCAGGTGCAGGCTGGGCAGAGGGGGTATACGCCGCCGGGTGGGCCTGTGAAGATGATCTAGGGGGCTGGAGAAGAGGGGTGAGAGGTTAGAGGCGAGAAGTATGCGGTACGGTCGTGCTATCTTGATTTGAAGCTATTCCATATCTGCACGGCGTGTTGTCGTTTCTAGCCCAGGTAGTGACAGGAATGCGGAGAGAGAAAGTAAATGTTAGAAAACAGTAACTATTATGTTTCAATCTCTACTGCCCCTAAGAGCGAGCAGCCAACTCGACAGCCTCGCGAACCACTTCTTCTAGTGTCACCTTGGGAAGCCCTAGCCTGCTGTTCCAGACCTCTTGTTCAGCTTCGAAGTCATATCCGACATCTACATCAGCCCCGAAACTGAGTGCCAACAACCGAAACGTTGCGTTGAGATCTCCTGCATCGAATTGCTCTCGAAGCTGCTTGATCTCCGGACTACTCTGCTTCTCCTCAATGTAGAACTCCGCGTTCGTCTCCAATTCCAGTGCTTCTATGATCTGCCTGGTGCTGACAGAGAAGTCACATAAGAATATCTGCTTGTTTGCGGTCACGTCAGGGTGGAGCAAAGCTCTCGCAACTGCAAGACCAGTGTTCTTGCTACTTGTAACGGCAAAGCGCTTACTTCCAGAATCGTACACCGTCGCCTTCCTCCCCTTCACATCAACGCCGAGGAAGTTGCCAGACTTGGATGGATCGAGTGCCCAGTCCAGCCAACTGCCGCAACAAATGCTGCTCCATGTCGTCTTGCCGTGGCTATCGTCGCATCTCTTGATTAGGTACTTCAGCATCTCACCCTTACGGTCGTATGTCGGGACGAGGGCGCGAGCCCGGGGATCGAGGTTATTGGCGCCGGATTCGCTGGGAATGAACCGTTTTACACCTGCTGCAAATGCAGCGTCGATGAGTCGGAATGCTAGGCCATCTTTCCCACCTGCTGTGACTGGGCTGGTGGATAATGCGACTACGACTGCGTCCTGGCCCGTGAAGGCTTCCGTAAGCTCCTCAGTCGTGAAGGCGTCCGAGATCTTGATGATGGGGACGTGAGAGGGAAACGAGGCTGATGAGGATGCACGGCTAACGATGGTGACGTTGAAGAAGGGTTCCACGAGGAGTGCGTCCAGTATGGGTGCGCCGACGGAACCGGATGCTCCTAGGATGATGACGTTCTTTATGAGGCTGGACATGGTCACGCCGTTGGTCGCGACTTGTTCTGTTTCTTCAACGAAATATGAACTGACTTGATGATGCGTTCCTCTTCAACGTCCTCCTTTTCTTATACGAGACCGTCCTTCCACTGTAGCGGTACTCATGATGATGCCATGCTTCATAATCTACGTGCTGACTGGCGATCCTTCGACCACGGCAAAGGCTTCTAATGAATCGGCCGCCGCATCCCAAGGTATTCGATGTTGATTATCGGCATCTTTCGGCACGCTTCACACTCGATGATAGGTTCTGTAAAGCGATTACATGATGTTAGTAAGCAACACGTGACTGTGGGAGGCAAACGCGGCATCATGAGATGCACATTTCGGCGGCTGCTTTTGCCAACGTATTATAATCGTGAGGTTGGGTAAGTAATTTAATCTTCATTGTAGCGAACTGTTAAGTTACTCAGCTTGGTGCCGATTAAGGCGATGTGGTGTGTGCCGCTATCGAAACGAGACAACCGAGTCCAACGTTCGTACGATGTCGCATTGTTGTGGTGCAATCGCTATTTGTAGGCCCTCGGGATGTCAGAAACTGCGCATGCGTGCCAGTCTAGTATGAATAAGCGTAGTCGCCAAGTACAGGAAATCGAGACATCTGAGACGAAAACGCGATGGTGGTTGTGGGAGTTGGAAAGGCCAAGTGCTAGCAGCAGCGCTCTTCGTGACATGCGCTAAGAATGCGCGCCTCCTCCTAGCAGCTTGCTCTTGCACACTCGACCGTCATCCAGTACTGTACTGCCGATGCTGCATTTTCCCTCCATAGCATGTTGGCTTCACCACGTCCGGCAGGGCCAAAACCAGCCGCATGACTGATGTTCTTAGCTCGGCTACTGCCGCGCCCTTCTGATCCGGCAATTCTTCTGCGCAGTGTGCACCAAACCCTGCGCCACAGTCTTACAATCAACTGTTATAGGAAAGATACTATCAGCAACCTACCTTCCACAAAAAAGACGCCCATCAGCGCTTGATCCATTACTAACCACATATCGTGACGAGAACAGAGTGAAAATGAGGATAAAAAGGAAGACTCTGATGCACTGATTGCAATGTCCACACAGTACACCACCTCTCCGCTTCCCACCATGACGGCAACATCCGAACATCTCGAAGCTTTTGCGCCCTTGACATGGGCTACACCGTACCTGACATCTCCCAGTTGGATTGCATGTGACCGCCAGCGAGGCACCGAACCCGGCGAAGATACGGACCGATTTTGTCGCGACACAATGCGCGCAAACAACGGCGTGCGACACTGGCTCGAGCTGTACGAGAAGCCGGCGCCGGGCGCCAAAGTCACCAAGTCGATATCTCTGATCAAGTATGGAACCGGATTGAACGGCTTTCCCGGCATTTGCCATGGTGGCGCATTATTGACGCTCATGGACGAAGCCATGCTACATATCCTGGTCGCCAATACTGTGCTTGAATATGGCCTTGGCTTTATGAAAGTAGGAGAAGACTATTGGAGACTCCAGCTTCATGATGGAAAGTCGGCACAAGAGGTACTTAAGGGCCGATTAGCCACAGCCACCATGGACGTGAAGCTTCTGGCGCCGGTGTTATGCCCTGGTGTTGTCGGCATTGAAACGATTGTACTTGGGGACACAGGGAACAAAATGAGGATGAAAGCCACGATGAGGGATCGACAGGGCAAGCCGCTACTTACAGTGGAGGGGCTGTGGATCAAGATCCGCGGTGCTGCAAGACTATAACCACAACCACCGCCAGTGTGCGAAGCAAACCACGAGAATCGCACACGCTTATAGAATTGTCCCTTTCACTCTATATTTCCTATCGCATGCTCGAGTAACCTGCCACCCAACGTCTATCTCCATCGCACGTGCGCAGGGATCCCGGATGATCTCGCATTGATCTCGGGCACGCTAACCAACCCGAGACCTGTGAGCTATTGGTCCTTCCTGCAACGGTAAACCTCCGAAATCAATGCCTGCAGCAATATGTGCACTGGGCAGTATGTAAACACACATGCCATCCCTTTGGCCTACCATTCGTTATGACGTCTAAGGTGGCCTAACCTACTTCGCACCACACCTGCGAGTCGACATCAAGGTCGTTGTATACTTAAGAGCAAGCCTACATTGATAGAGCTTGGGTTGAACTGCACGATCAAGTTGTCAAGTCCTTAACACAGTTCAAGATGCATTCCGTTCTGGCTTCCGTCTACGCTCTCTCTTCCCTGCTTCCCCTAGCCCTTGCTCAAACCTCCGGCACATTCAACACCCTCACTTTCAATGTCGCCGGTCTTCCCGCTTTCCTGAACGGCAATGATGTTCCTGGCGACAAGGAGACAAACACTGCTCGCATTGGAAAGTTGTTCACTCAATACGATATCTCCGTCATCAACGTTCAAGAGGACTTCAACTACCATGCTACATTATATGCCAACGATGATCACCCATACAGGACGCCTACTAGCGGAGGAGTGCCCTTTGGCAGTGGCTTGAACACTTTGAGCAACTATCCTTACACAGGATTCCAGAGAGTCAAGTGGAACACCTGCAGTACTTTCGAGTAAGTCAAGCTCAAACGAGGACACAGACAAACTAGAGAACACAGCACTAACACTATACTCTGTTAACAGTAGCGCGGACTGCCTTACACCCAAGGGCTTTACCTTCATGCGTGTCACTATTGCCGAAGGCGCAGTAGTCGACATGTACAACTTACACGCTGACGCCGGGTAGGTCCAACCTACTCCTACGACACTATAATTGCTCACTAATCCCTCCCTAGCACCACAGCCGCAGACAACAAGGCCCGCGCAGCCAACCTCCGCCAAGTCTCCGACTACATCAAGGCCAACTCAGCCGGCAACGCCGTCGTCGTCTTCGGCGACTCAAACTCGCGTTACACACGCACCGATGACATCCCCGACGTTTTCAAGACCGAAAACGGCATGACGGATGTCTGGCTCGAGCTCGTCAAGAACGGTGTTCCACCCGCCAAGGGTGCTGACGCGCTTCTCTGCTCGAACCCTTCCACGACCAACGAGTGCGAGATCGTCGACAAGACCTGGTACCGCGGCTCTGACGCTGTAACGCTCAAGGCCACGAAGTTCGATTACGCCGGCCACATGTTCCTTCAGGAGAACGGCGATCTACTGAGCGACCACAACGGTGTTCTCGTAGACTTTTCCTGGAGCCTAAATGCCCGCCGAAGCGTCTCGGATGTGTTTGGCGGCGAAGAAGGTACGTGGTACAATGATCTGAGCACCATCTCCAGTCTCGCCAGCCCGAAGGTTTCTTCCATCACGCTCCGTGGTAAGGAGCGCGTTGATGCTGTTTCGGTCAGCTTGGCTTCGGGACAGACGCTTTCGCATGGCGGGACTGGTGGCGAGGCGACTACGTTGACTTTGGCCAATGGCGAGACGCTGACTTCTGCGCAGCTGTGTCAGGGTCAGAAGGACGGTAAGACGAGGATCTTCTATGCGCTGTTTACGACTAGCGCTGGGAAGACGGTGTCTACTGGTGTCAAGACTGATGACTGTGTTACGAGGACTGCGGGCACGGGTCGTAGTATTGTTGGCTTCCTCGGTCGTTCAGGCGACGAGGTTGACCAGCTGGGATTCATTTACTCGAGCGCTTGATAGTACTTGATGGACGCGGCTTCGTTAGTTGAATTAATGGAATGTATCATGCTGCTACGATGAAACACGAGCCAAGATTACTGAGAAGTAAAATGCCTATGGGAATAAGTAACCTGACATAATAAGCAGGTAAATGATGATTGCAAACACGTGTGGCCTTTATTCGCGATGTATATGTTGTTACATTGAGCTGTTCTCGTATCCTACATAGCCATAAAGCAAATTTGCCTCCTCCCAAAAAGTGTGAATCAAAGGAAATAACAAGAAAGAAACCCTACGAGAAAACAGATAGCCCTCCCACTCTCGTATTGGTGAAGAAAAAAACGTAACGTTTTGCAGTCGTAGTCGACCACTCGTAAAAGATCAGATGAGGCCAGCTCCGAGATTACACTATGACAGAGATGTCCGTCTCTAAGCATAAACCCAGTACTGCGCTTCATAATCCACGGTAACCACCTGCCCAGGTGTCATACCATCGCAAGTCGCCGGGGCCATTCCACCCACAGTGTTGAGACGGTACACCATCTTGACACCACTGGTCGAGGCGGTTTGCGCTTCGAGCCTGAGCCACTTCACATCCTTAGTCGCATCGGGCGCAGGCGTATCGTTGATCTTCTTAGCCACTGTGTTGCCAAGACCAAGGATGTCGAAGTCGGGAGTAGTGGTGTCGAGGAAGAAGTGTGTGCCTATAGACGCAGATTCTTGAACGCGGCCCAGAGATGCAGTGCCGACGGTAGGGTTGGATGAGATCTCGCAGGAGGCATTGAAAAGTTGGGCTAAAGCGCCGATTGCGGCTGGTGTGGCTGTCGCGTTGCTGCACGTGTAGTTTTGTGTGCCCATGCCGAGCGCGACAAGAACGAGGGACATGTCGGCCGTTGGTGGTGGGAGCGCAGAGGCGGGCTGCTGGATGCCGCTGAGGTCGCAAGATGGTGCTCTAGGCTGCGCGGGGTCTGCAGGCGCGGTAGTGTTGGCGGTATCGTCGCAATCCTGACGAGGATAGATTTGTGGGAGACGCGAAGGCGCAGTCATGGCCATTGGAATGAGCGCGAAGGCCGTGAGAAAGAGTGAGGCGTGCATTTTGACGATTGTCGGTAAAGAGTGCTTTCGAAGATTGGAATGCTTTTATGTATCCTGAAGTTATGGATAGGAAAGAAGGTGTTGATAGAATTAACAAGTATGCGAACGAATGTAGAGCTGCCAGAGCCCGGAGAAACGAATGAAGAACGAGATAAGGAGGCTGAAAGGCTGAAAGCTGGATAAATGCGTTTGCTCTGGTCCAACCTGGATGAAGACGTCAGACGCCTTATATAAAGTTCTGTCATCCCTTCGTCGGACCTTCTCTAGGAGCTTCTACATGGATTTAGATTGCAAATGCGGGTGGTAACATGTCAAAACGTTTGACATGATCCTTAGGTCGATGTTGGTGTTTCGACAGGATCAAGATGCGTTGGTACATGGATTGACGGTTGAAGTCCCGTATTGTCGGGCGAGAGCGTGGTTTCGCGTAGGAGCATGTGTCGCGAGTCAGTGTGGCCAACGGTCTTCTGAAACGAGGCATCCCAGCCTTGCGGTAGGAGAGCGTTCACGACGTTGGCACAGACAAACAACCCGTGGGTCCTTCGATGTTGGCCAAGCTGCTAAGAGATTTTGAAGATCATAACAGATTGTCGATATAGAACTTGCAAAGTGCAATAACGCGCTGCGAAGTCCATGTTGTGAGATTCGTCGTTGCAAGCCACGAATCAGCGTGGTCGAGCTTACGGCGACAAGCTCTAGCTTTCTTAGGAAGGAAGCACTCGAGAAGAGCCGCAATCTCACCCTGTCTGGGGCGTAGCTACAGGGAAATCTCATCAAGGACAGAAGTTCCATGTGACTAGTAGACAATGTTGCTGAAACTGGTACCTGGGTACCTGCAGAACCTGCCACAGAACCTGAAACGTGGGGGATGAGCTGACGGCCCGAAATGGGGCAGGAAACATATCGTGTGCAGTTCGTCCGCTATCACGCTGAAACAATCGCGACCGCTACCCAACTCCGCCGCAGTCGTTGAGCTGTCTCGCGATGCTTTTGCCGCGTGTTGGTCTTCACGTGGACCGCTCGCCGCCTGCAGGCAGGATGTCATCACCCGTTTCCCCAGACGTCGAACGTAACAGAAACCTTACCAGCGTAGAAGTGAGGAGTCGGTCCGCATTAGTGCAAGGCCAGCAGAAGGCCAGCCTGCATCTCCAGGTTCGAGACCGTGCGGCGGCTTGCCCTAGGTTTCCGAGGTCAGCACTTGTGGCAAAACGCGAGTGGGCAAGTGCGATGGCCGTGTTGAATACGGCGGTGTAGCAAAGATCGAGAGAACCGTTCCGGCGACAGCATTGTATCTAAGATCACCGGCGTTGCTGGAGATTCGGAGAGTCGCGTCGTGGTGATCCGAGTGAGACGGCCATATCGTCGGCCCTGAGTTCACCGAATCGGATCGAGCTAGCGTCTTTGTTGTTTCCGCAGCTCCGCCTCAGCACACGTGTGTGCACTACGCAACGCCCTCATGTAGAACCTCTTTAGAAATACGCTGCCTCGGTTCTGTAGATATGCGATAGTAATCATCCCAGAATACACCATGGAACGAAGAGTGAGCCTCAAAGACCTCATTCGTAATGCTGGCGTCATACCCGTCGAACAGCGCCAAGCAGTCCTCCCGGCCCCAACACAGCCGGCAATCTCAGTCAGCGACGAGGACATCTCACAAGCGCGAAACATCCTGCTTGAACGGAGAGCCAAGAACCCCGAGAGCAAGAATGTACTGAAGAGCATCTTCAAAAGCTCGAAAGAGAAGGATAAGGGACAAGATGGGGCGCAGTTCTCGCAGGAGGAGCTCGACCAAGCCTTGTCCGCCGTCATCCGCAGTCCTACCACTGGACCCGGCCTGATTCAGGCTTTCCTCACTCTGGGCGCGAAAGTGAATATCATCGAGACAATCGACAAGAAACGAAGATCTAGTAACCAGGCCAATACGGCATTGCGCCGCCGCAGCACTGTTTTACAGCAGGCCGCAAGCCTGAGGAAAGCCGATGGCGTCAACATACTCGCCGCCTCCGGCGCGGACCAACAGACCTTGGACGAAGGACTGAAAGCTGCTCTGGCTGCCGGCGATCAAGAAAGTATAGGCCTCTTGCTGCGTCACGGAGCAGACCTGAACAACTTCCCCAATGCTTTGGCCAATGCGGTCCGGTCCAATGACCTGAACTTTGTCAAGCTCTTGTTGCGAGCACCAAAGCCACTGCGTGCTCAAATCATCAATTCTTGCTTACCTGCAGCGGTCCAGCAAGGCTCAGATGCTATCATATCTCTGCTGATAGCGTACGGCGCTGACCCCAATTTCGACTCCGCAAGCGCTCTCAACATGGCGATTGGAAGACAGGCCTACAAACTGGCTATCGCTTTGGTCGCTGGACCGATCCGTCTTAACGAACCGAACCTACAACATGCGCTCGACACTACCATGAGGCTACCGACGCGGCAGGCAACGCTACAGTTCCTACAGCTCTTGTTCTGCTGCGGGCTACCTCCCGATAGTCGCGGTCTACCGGACTTCCTCATTTGTTTGGCACGAAGCAACGACACTGCTGGCGCGAAGATGATGGTGAGCTATGGTGTACCGACTACGGCTGATGATGCAGAGTGTCTAAGAGAGGCCGTCGAAAATTCGAACTGGAGCTTAGTGGATGCCATCCTCCAGACCCCAATCGCCCCTCAGCATGCAACAGCAGCACTTACTGTTTTGCCGACCAACACCCCACAGCCTGATAGACTTCGCGTAGTCGATGCCTTGCTAAAGAAAGGCGCATCAGGTCCGCCTCTTGGTCGATTGCTCACGCAAGCCACCAAGGAGAAAGATACTCAGTTGATCGACCTCCTTCTTGGTGCTGGGGCACCTGTCGACTCAGGCGACAACGGCGCACTTCATTTTGCAGTGGTCAATCGAGACATCCGAACCCTTAAGTCTATTCTCAACGCTCGTCCCCCACCAGAGACCCTAGCGAACGTCTTTCCGCTCATCTTCCGTACTAACGGAATCTCGGTATCGGAACGACGCGAAATTGCACGGCTACTACTTGAGTATGGCGCAAGTGGACCTGGCGTCGATCAAGCACTAGTCAATGCGATCGCAGACACGTCGGCTGGGCGGGATGGGGCCCTAATAACAGACCTTGTTCGAAAAGGTGCCAACGTAGACGAACGAGCCTTGTCATTGGCAGTAACACAAGTCGACATCTCTCTCCTGCGTCTGCTCTGCAACACTAGACCCAAGTCTTCCTCGACCTCGGCAGCTCTTCCTCTAGCCTTTGATTCACGAGCGGGCAGACATTCAAAGACGCTCGAGATCATTGACCTGCTTCTGAATCACGGAATTGAAGAAGAGCCAGCTAGTCAGACGTTGCAGATCGCTATCAACGGCGGCCCCGACAACATTGATATCATCGATCGTCTCCTCACTGCCAGCCCTAGACTGCTAAGCACTGCGTTCAAGTACACGACAGCGATCGAAGATCCCCACAAGAAGGCACCAATACTCGATGCTTTACTGAAGCTAGGAGTACCACAGGACGCTCTGGACCAAGCCCTTGCCGCGGAGACACGACAGGCCGTTGCTACAAATGACACAACCAGTACCAGGTTGCTGTTGGGACAAGGAGCATCTGTGAGTCACAACGATGGCGAAGCGTTGAGTGTTGCGGTAGCTTCAGGAAACAGCTCGCTAATGGCATTGATACTCAGTGGACGTCACCAACCATCACGATCTAACGTCACGAGGTCGTTTCGTACATTGTTCACCGACGAAAAGTTGATACGGGAAGGAAAGAAGGAGAGCATTGGCGAAATGGCACAAGAGCTACTGGCCCGTGGAGTAGAACAATCTGCCATCGATGCAGCTCTGCGACTAGTTCTCGGCAACGAATATAGTAAGTACACGGAGCCCTGGATAGAGCTGTTGCTTCAATATCACGCGGATGTCAACACGGCGGATGGGGCGTGCTTCGTCTTCGCAGCACAAAAGCACAGTCACACCATCTTTGAGAAGCTTATGCGTCACAACCCCAAGTTCAACGTCGTCATTCCAGCGTTATTGAGTTCCAAGCTCCAAGACGAAGTAGTCGTTGCCGCAATACAGTCATGCCTCGATCGTGGTTGCATACTTGAACAGCTCGGTGTCGGCTATAACAAGCCACCGATACTCATCACCACCATGACTGTGTACCCACGCAATAGCTCGCTCATTACGCTACTCTTGAAGCACGGCTTACATCCGGAAATAACCATCCCCACTGTCCTCCATTCGTCCAGCGGACCCGAAACTGTGCCAGCACTGCTTTGGGCATTAGCTCAACCACAAAAGCGCATCTCGGACGCCGTTATCTCCGCCCTTTTGGAAGCTGGAGCATGCGTTGACCGACTTTCTGCCGCTTCGGAGACTACGGCACTTATGCTCGCCGCTCGTGAGGGGCGTCATGAGATAGTGAATGCACTAGTCGTGCGGGGTTCGGATGCGGATCTTCGGGATGTCTGGAACAAATCCGCACTGTTCTACGCTAGCAGCAGTGTGTCTGGGGAAGCCACAGTGAAGTTACTAGCGTCATGCTCGCTAGCAAATGATGGAAGCTTGCATGAGTCAGCCAGGGAACTCAACGTTGAGGTCACGAGGACATTGTTGGAGCATGCCCATGATCCAAACTATCCCTCCCGTCTCCATGGCGGCAGAAGTGTCCTTGGAGAGATATGTCTCAACGCGAGAGTCTCCACATCCGCACATCGCTCGAAGCTTCGCCAGCTACTGCGTCTTCTCCTGTCCAAACGCGTAAATCCCAAATTCCGCGCTCGCAACGAGAAGTCTAGTGTCATCCTCGCGCTCGACAATGCCTACAGCGCCCTTCCCATCACAGAGGCCCTGCTAGAGACAGAGATATGGCAAGACCTCAACGATGAAGCACACATATACTGCGACCCAGGCTCAGGCCTCAATTACTCACCCTACTCCTACGTTGAGCTAATCGCTACGCCCGCCCGCGCTCCCGTCAAAAAGGCCCTACTCGATCTCCTTCGCGACAAAGCCTGTCTCCCAGTCTACTACTCCTCATCGGCACTCCAACCCGTTGGGGCAACAGGCATCCCACCCGCGATAGCCAAACTCGTAGACAAGCAAAAGGAGCATGAGCTCTCCATCCGACACGAGAAGGAGAAGTTTGAGCACACTCGCACAATCGAGGAGACAAGCCACAAAGACATCCTACGACGCAAGCGCGAGAGCCAGACTGTTGAACTGGAACTACAGACCAAAGCAACACAACACTACACGGCCTTGGAGCAGCAGAAACACGAGTTCGAAGTCCACCGTGTGAGGGAAGCGGAACGCATGAAGCGCTCTGAGAGAGTGGCTTGGCACAACCTGGTACAAGAGCAAGAGCGCGATGCGGCTGCTGCACGGGCGAGTGCAGAGGAGAGGAAGTTGAGGGAGACCATGGCGGCTGAGAGTAAGATGATTGAGCAGCGGAAACAGGAGTTGGAGCATAGGGCTGGGGTGGAGAGGAGGATGTTGAAAGAGAAGGAGGAGCATTATGAGAGGAATGTTAAGAGGCAGAAGGAGGTTAGGCAGATTGAAGGGGGGCCGCCGCAGTGGGGGACTGTGGATTAGTGGTTTGACGGAGGGGTAGTGGGATGATATTACGAGTTTCCTTTTGGGTTGGCGCAATGGGATGAATTGAAGCTTCGAGAGGTCTACAGTGCAGACGTCAGGAGTCAGTTACGGCGTTTTTAACTTTGTATTGGGCCATGTTCTCCTAATCGTGGATATTCGCAGACCTCGTGGATTCGTCACCCCGTTGGCGCCTGCCTCCGATGCGTCCAATCGTCATCGCATCTCCTTGGCAACGCGCTCACTTTCACTTCGCTCCTTCCTCATCAAAGCACCTTGCCCTATGCGCACTTGCCGAACTTACAAACACCCCGCCTCTACGATCTTGACTCCTACACAACACCTCAAGCCCAACTCACAACAGCGACCCAGCCACTATGGATCGCCATCAGCAGTACGGAACGCGAGTCAAGTCAGAAGATGAAGAGCTCGGCATATGGGTGCCCGTGAAGCAAGAGCGAGAACCTACCGAGCGCGCTCCTGGCGTTGTACCCAAAGTCGAACCATCCGGCGAGGTGAGTGCAGTCGGTCTACGGACAAGCTCACCTAATGGCACACCACTGTCTTTCAACGCAGGTACTGACTGCAACACTGTCAGACCATCGCGACCTCTAACCGACCAGAGAATGCTCACAATCAAGCTCGAGAGTGTCCACCTTCCACCCGCAAACGAAGACGTGGTCCAAGAGCCAAGAAGCCGCCAAAGAGAGTGCGCCTGGCAGAGAAACTACGAAAAGCTGAGGAGATGAACGGCCTACCTGGCAATGAACAGCTTCATCAAGAACGTGACGACGCTGTTATACAGCGAGCAGAGACTCTTTCAAACGAACACCAAAGGCTCTCGACCGAGGGCGTAAACAATACTGAGCTGCGGAATTCTCGAATCTACCGAGAGCTCTCTGACGCTCGTAAGATGATAGCAGACCTTAGAGCACGCTCACAAGTGAGTGCACCGAAGAAACAAGCTTCGCCACCTCATCAAGTACCCGAGTCGACCGCTATATCGAAGCAAGCGAGTACCATAACCGCATTAAGAGCCGAGATATCCCGACTAGAGCAACAGCTAAAGGAAGCATGTCGGGATGGCGAGAATGCCATACGCGATGCTCGCGCCTTTCAGAAGAACAACATCGATGCCGGAGCTCTAGAGAGACAACTTGCAATAGAACAAGCGAAGAATAGGGCAATGGTCAGCAGGCTACAGAAAGCTCTTAGGAAACAGCAGGACAAGAGTGACGGAGCGCATAGTGGCTTACCCCAGGTCGTCGAGCAGGAGGTTGGCATGACAGGCTGGCCAGGATATGCTGGTGGACAGATTGTCAAGATTGAAGATGCGGACATGGAGTATGAGGATGACGAGTAGCACAAGAGACCGTGGAAAGGACTACGAGAGCACGTGTAGGAGCGAACAACACCAATCGTAAGCAGAAATACGAGCGATAGCGACGATGTAACATTCTCATGATCACAATACATGCGACCAGACATTGTATGTCACGTCATCCCCTCCCCCTCTCATATGCAATGTCGCACTTCCGAATTGAGAAGCAAGATAACGTTCATTCATTCTCCAACAACACCGGGTATAAACTACGACCTCCCGTCCCAACCCTCCTCCTCACATGAAAATCATACTATCGTACCATCATCCAAGACTCATCTACCCCATCACTGCAGTTCAAACACCCCACTAACCCCCTCAAACTCGTCAATGCTCCCCCCAACTTTCTTAGCATCCCCATAATACCTAATCCTATACTTCCCCCCTTCCGGCCCCGTAATCCCCGTATCCCATGTAATCGTAACATCACTCGTGCCCGTAAGCCCATTAACGCGTTTCCACTGATACACCAACTCCCAATCCTCGTCGTTCTTGACCTGCGTCCACGTGCTACCATCGCTGTTTTGCTTCTCGACAGCAGCGAACGTGCCTTCGAGACGGAGGTTGTTGCGGGGATTTGCGCCGACGAAAGTAGCGGAGACAGTGGCACCGCGGGCGTAGGTGGGCAGGACATCCTTGGTGACTTGGCCAAAGGAGCGGCCGAAGCCGGCGCCGTCGTAGACGACGCCGGTTATGAGGGAAATACTTTTGTCGCGATTGTCTGGGGGAGAGGGGCCTGGGGGAGGAGGGCTGGTGGAGGAGTCGGCGAGGTAGGGGAGGTAGGTTAGGGTGGAGTTGATGTAGGCGTTTAGCGTATGTTGGCCGTAGAGGGTGGATGCGCCCTCGTAGCGTTGGACGCCGTACTCTTCTTCCGTGGCGATGTAGTGTGTGTAGCTGTTTGCTGGGCCGCCTAGTACGACGATGGGCGAGGAGGCAATGTTGGAGGACACAATCGAGTTGTGGACTGCTTCGCGCCAGCGCCTCCCTGACATGGTTGTTGCCTCGCCGGGGGAGACGATGATGACGAGCTGGCCGACTCGAAGGACTTGTATGTCGACGATGTTTGGAGACCATGGGTATGGCACGTTGGCTTGTCCGACGTTCAGTAAGACAGGCTTGGGGTACTGGCATGCCCTTTGCTCTTTGCTTGGTGGTGCAATAGCGCTACCAACGATGTTCCAGAAGGGATTTTGCGGCGCACCGGGATCATTCTGGACAAAGTCAAACGCACCAGGGCCGTCAGATGTGCCGGCAGCGAAGGAGTTACCCATGGCCGCGGGGCATGTGTGGACAACAGATCCGTTGCTGAGGGTGAAGGTGAAGTTGGAGAAGTCGACATAGGTGTGGAAAGAGCGAACCTTGCCAGAGATGGGCGTGAACGCATTGAAGTCGTAGATGCTCCTGGCACCCTCGGCCTGACGCCTGCCGATCTCGTAGCAAGACTTGTGGCCTCCATCGTCTAAGCCAAAGAATGGTCCACGACCGTGGCAATCCTGGCTCTTTCCTCCGCAGGTGCTGTCATTGAGTCGGCACTGCTGGCCTGATCCGTCTTCGCAATAGGCGCCGAGTACGTTGGGCGTCGTGTCACCGACATTGGCTTGCGAGAAGCCTGCCACAAAGCCCTCGGCAGCATTTGAGTCGGCCGCGTTGGCCTCCATGTCTTTCTCCAGCAAGTATGCGGCCACGCCTTTGTTGTCTCCAGCAATGAGTGTCTGATTTCCAAGCATACTAGTGCCATGGACAGCGAACCAGTTCAAGATGCCGATGCTCTTTCCATCACTCGCTCTCGTGAACTTCAAAAGTGTCATGGTCTTGTCGACATTGTCTGTGTAGCGATCGCGTTCTGCTTGTGGGTTGGCGAGATAGGCGAACAGACTGCGGTTGATGTTGGCATCAGCAATTTTAGCACTGCCAGCGCTGACAGTTCCCAGAGTGAGGCCTTCATGTGCCCTCTTGATGGATAGAAGTGTTCCGTCCACGATGGCACGATAGCTCTGCTTGTCGAAACCCTGACTTGTGATTTGTGGAAGGAGGTAGTTCAACCAGGCTCCCGGTCCGGCATGGCTGTGGGTGCCAGTCACGGCGACATTGTTCTTCCCGTATACAGCGTATTCGGAGCCCATCTCCTGGAGCCCTTCCAAGATACCATTTCGGATGGCAGTGTCTCCAGACTGGGTGTCGAGGACGAGGTACACGAAGCGCTCGCTGGCTTCGTCCGGGTTGCCGACGATGAAGGCGCGGGAGTAGAGGCGTTGGCGGAGTCCGGATCCGATTTGCGACGAGTTGGCGTAGCCCATCATGTTGAGCTCGACGACTGGACTGTGCTATCGTCAGTACAGTCGCACAGTGATACTCTCGCCACCTACCCAGTGATATCCGCCTTGCCAACGCCGATGAGGTATGAAGACGCATCGTCGGCCTGGCCTCCATCCTGCTTCTCGCTGTTGAAGACGTCCTGCTGCGCTCCATTGTATGTCTGATCAAGGCGCGCATGCCAGAAGTCGACGACGGGGAATCCGAGGTTGATGACGAGCTGAGCAATGATCAACGAGGCAATGAGGGCAGCACCCAGTGCCACTGCGATATGTGAGCGCGCCATGGACGCGAAGAGATGTCTGGGCGGAAGTGTGCGGAAAGAAGCTGGAAAGCGTCGGACGGGGCGCGAAGAGGTACTTGTACGCTACTGCTGGCACCAGAAGCTACGCGTGCCAGACGTGTAGAGCGTCGCACATGGGGTCGCCGTGCAGTCAATCAGCCGGGGAGATAGAGAGGCAGGGGAGCGAAAAAGTATCGCCTTTGGCCACACAGCAGCGCGAAGCTTGCCAGCTGCCCGTCGCGCCTGGCACCTGCATTGCATGACGTTGCGGGGTTCCTCGCGCCCTGGTTGGCGGGGAGCCCGGACAAGACCAGGCCCATCCGCCTAATTCTACCGGGCCTGCTTCTCTAGTTTCGCGACACCCTTCACCGTCCAGTCCGTCCAATACACCATCTTCCAATCCACACCCTGCCCTGGCCCGCTGCACGTCGTCGCTTGCCCGCCATGCCCCTCATCCAGGAATCCTACGACCATCTCCCTTGTACGTGCAATTTGCGAGTGCCTGCAAACAGCAACCATGTCCGATGCGCGCAGTATCGCGTGACAGATAGCCCGTATTGCCTCGCTAACTGCTTGTAGATGTCGATACGGAGCTCGATGCTGCGAGCCTGGTCGCCGCCAGACATGCCATCAATGCCGATATCAGGAGCGCGGGCGTAGACACGACAGACATGCATCCAGCGCTGATACCAGCCGCCACAAAATACACACCCACCTTTTCCGACTTCATTACACGCGAGCATGCGCGCCTCGACGACGACCCTACCTCGAAGCTCTCTGGCGTCGACCTGAAGCGCTACGAGGATCTCGATGCGCCGGAGAGCACCACCCCGACCAGCGATGAGGATAGGCCTGAGTTGCTGGAGCGGTGGAACAAGGCGCTGAAACAGGCGTACACAAGCTCCGAGTATGTGCAAGGCAGGCTGACACAGTTGGGCCTGTTGGAGAAGTTCGGGAAGAACGCATGGTTAGTGGGCAACTCGCAGTTGGAGGATATACTCAAGGGCATCGAGGCTGAGCTGGCGGATTTGGGAAAGCAGCAAGAAGAGGTGGAGATGGCGAGGAGGTCGCAACAAGATAGCGCAGGTGCTGAGCTCAAGACACTCGAGGAGACGTGGAAGAAGGGCGTAGGGAGAGTTTTGGAGACTGAGGTCGCGGCTGAAGGGTTGAAGTTGCAGATTCTGGACAAGAGGAGGGCAGGCGCCGTTTGAAAATTTCGTCACCGTCCGAGTGAGGACATAGTAGCATGATACCCAATACACACCCATTATACAGCAGCACTGTGCCGTCATCCCAAAATCCCAAGGGGAATGCGCAATTCAGTGTCATTACTAGGAACTATATAGCTAAAGTAGCAGGGGTACTCGTTTATAGAATTGAAAACACTCCTCATTCGCCATCGCTGCTTCGCTCATCTGCAAGAACAAGGAAAGGAAAACGTCTCATCCCTTTTGGGTATCGAACTCCATCGTCGTTAGCTCAAAGTCCATGCACTAGTAAAGAATACGCTCATCAAAGACGGGTGCCTCGCGCGAGTGACCATCCTCAACACCCTTCCAGTACACCTTGCCCTTCTCATTGAAGGTAGCCTGCTCGTCCGTGATGACGAGTCCAGGGACAGCCTTCTGGGTGTCCCTGATCTCGCGCGTGCTGATGCCCATGTCGTCCTTTACGATCCAGATCACGGGGGTGGGGCTGGTGACGGAGGGGTTGAAGAAGGCGCGCTTCTGGATCTCCATTGGCAGCGGCTCTTGCGGGTGATGGTAGAACTGGTCGAGGGACGCGGAGAGGTTGTGGATGGAGTGCTTCTCGGGGTTGAAGATCTTGGCCAGGAAGCCGGGCATACGAGTGGGCTTGGGTGCGTAGCTGGGGGTGGCATCGGTGGTGTGCACCTTCTCGCCGTTCTGCGTGTGCATGCCGTCCTCGTGGTGGCCGTTGGTGATGCTGCCATGGGCAGGGGATGGGTCGGTGTAGGCGAGGCGAGCTTCTTCATGCTTCAGGGCGAATTTCAGTGTGAACTGGAAGACGATGGTGAGGAAGAGGAGCAGGCACATGATGGCCAAAGGACCGACGGCCTGGATATTTTCGGCCGTGGCAATAGCGAAGAGACCGATCAGGCAGATCTCAGATAGGTAGATACCGGTCATAAGCTGACGAAGGGCCTTCTGGTAGGCTTCGCCCTTCGTGTCCAGGTTGGTCTCGTACACGTAGAGGAAGTTGTACCTGAATGCAACGTAGATGAGAGAAAAGCCAATCGTAGCGAACCCGAGGATAAGAGGTGCAATGCCAGAGTAGGTGATACCAATGACAGCCAGATTAACCCACTTGGGGTACTCAGATCCCCACGATGGAGCTGAGAGCTTGGTGAGCTTGTCGAAGATCTTGCGAGGTGTCTTGCCAGGCAGAATGCGGCCCAGGAGCACAACCACGACGAAACCTCCGATGTTGAGTAGAGTTCCAGCAGCCGACGAAAGACCCAACAGGATGAAGTAGCTGATGTAGAAGTTGGAGGCTTTGGGCAGGCTCTTAGAGAGGAGCGTTAGCACGCTGCCAGGGTCATCGAGAATCTGGTTGATGGCGGACGTGATGGCGCTAGACAGGGTTGCCACAAGGAATACCTGGACGACCTGGAAGGCGAAGTACCAGTTCTGGGTCTTGAGCTCGATCTGACTCCATGTAACGTAGCCAGCCAACTTGGCCATCAAGCGACAGACGATCGGCACCAGAGCCATGAGTACGGCAAGCATGACAGCTGGCAGGAGACCAGTGACAACACCCAAGATAACCTGAGGGATGTCCAGAATCCACTCGAGCCAGGAGAAACGGTCAGCTAGGTAGTTGATGTTGGAGATGAGACCGACAAAGGCAACTGGGTACATTAGCTGAGTTGTGTAAAAGTGTGTAACGAGTCTTACCGGGAATTGCGAAGAAGATGATCATGACAGAGATGAAAGCGGTAGCGACTGCCCAGCGGGCAAGGTGCTCCATGGGCTTGATGCGCAGATTGCCCCAAACAACCTCCTGGGGCACGATACCAAGTTGGCGTGCCTTGAGCTTCTTGTCGGGCCTGGTCTTGCTGCTTTGCATCATTTGCCAGGCATCCTGCGCATGCCTTTGGGTGTCAAACTCGAGGAAGACGGCTCCGACCAAGTCGCCCTGGCCGTTCCAGTGTTTGTCCTGCTCCTGGGTGATCTTGGGCATGAGCTCGGCAAGGTGCGATCGTCCGTACTCAATAGTGTCAACCTTCTTGCCGATCAGGAACTTCAGCTTGTGTGTCGGGCGCTTCTTGGGGTCGATCCACTTGGTGCCATCAGATACGTCGCTGGCGACGAAGTGCTTCTTGCCCTTCTCTGCCTTGATCCGGTTCATGTTGGCTTCACGTAGGAGCTGGTTCTCGCCATCCTCCAGCTTCATAGCAGTCTTGTCACGGTCCTCAACCAAGTCGTCCAACTCCTTCGTGTTTGAGGCGACCCAGGCATGCTTGACGCCGGGGAACATGTCGAAGAGGGCAGACTGCGACATGGTCGTCGGGACGTTGGTGAACAGAATGGTACGCGAAGACAAGCGACTGGCTCCCCATGGCGAACGACGGTACGCTTGGCGGAGGTTGACGACGTAGAAGGACTCGCGGGCAATGATGGCCATGACCATGCTGAGGAAGATGAAGGAGATTCCGGCATGAGCATAGTAGCGGTTGACATTCTTGCCTTCGGGATTGACGTTACTCATGGAGAGAAGATCGAGCTGCTCCTGGCCTGCCCCTCCAGTTGCATTGACAGGGAAGAGAACGGGCCATGTGACAAGACATCCCAGGAAGCAGGTGACGATGAGGACCTTGAAGAAGCGCACGAACAGGTAGCCGTCAATGGATTGGTGGTCGAGAATGTACTCGTCCTTGAGGTTCTTGAAGTCCTTTATCCATCCCAAGAAGCCTCCGCTCGGTGCGGGCGTCTGTCGCTGCTTCCCCAGGTGATTGAGATAGGTTCTCGGCGCATACACTCGGCGGAAATATTTGCGCGCGATAAGGAAAGCGACCACGAAGGCGAGCGCAAGAATGGCAGTCGGCACCAAGGTGGAGACCAAACTGGAAAGGGAGTTGGAGGATTCTTTCTGGGCTTTGCCAACTTCACCACCCTTTGTTATGATTAGCGCGCGTTCACGCCGATGCTGTCGCGGTAGTGGGGGGACTCACTGTGGACGACATGCTGGGCAACTAGGCAGTCGCGTGCCCGTTAGGTGGAAGAGGAGAAGCAGTGAAGGGAAGATGCTTTGCTAGGAAATGAGGAGGCTCGCAGGACGGCATACAAATAAACAGGACTGCGGGCGCTATACAAGGAGTCCACAAGCCTCTAGTGTGACGTCGTGGTCCAAGCACACTCCACAAATCGGTCCTATCGCGCGACTCGACCCAGCGCGCTAACGACATCAGCTTAGCTGCGCGCCTCCAGCTTCTGGACCCTGACAGTTGTCTGCGGCGCCCATCACCAGCCTCAATCGCTGAAGCCTTTTCACTACGTGGCAGTGAGTGCAGCTCGGCGTGGCCGTCGAGTGAGACTTCTCAACCACCCATGTCCGGATCGAAACGCGTCTTCATGTGAAGGATGCGCGACCAGGGCCTAAGGAAATTGCCGAGCTGGCGGAAAAGCAACCTTGTGATTCGCGACATGCGGCGCAAATCCAGTTGAGACAACATTGCCAAGCTCCCAGCCTCGCTAGCGATCGCCCTGGAAGCAGTACGACAATTACGTCAATCGAGCGTTGTTCGCTGCCGGGCTACCCCTTCTCCCTGTCAGGTGTCACAGGGAAGCCGCCTTGGTTGAACGCGACCGACAATTGTACAGTGAACAAAGACGGCACAGGTCCGACTATGCGTTGTTGCGAGTTGGCAAACCGAGACTATGACGATGCCATCTCACCGTCCTCTGTGCGCATCCCATCACCCTGCACTGCACACAGACACGACACAGACACAGAAAGGCTATTCTCCCCACCACATCTGGATCCCGCAGTGATAGTCGCAATTGATTGACACGCGCAGCCGCTCTTCGCACACAGCGGGAAGGATTGACCACTCCACACCCCCTGTGGGAACCGACGATCTAGATTGAAGCCACATCCCGTCTCACTACGTCTACGATCTCATCTGCGGCTGCAGCCAATCCCCTGGCCCCTCCCATGATCTCCACCAACGCCAGGTGACGCGCAATATCGACTGGACAACATTTGAGTTTTTGTGTTTTCAGCTCGCTGCCCCTGTTTACACATGCGGGTTTACGTGGCGCAGCTTCCAGACCCTGCGTTTTTGCTGCACCGCCACACGTTCACACCAATCTTTTCCGCGGGGTATGCGCAATCACTCTTACCTGCATGGCCTAGGTGCGCTGCGATTCACGGCCTTTCCGTACGTCTGATGCAATCGCAGACGTTGTTTTCTAATCAAACCACGACCTAGTTCGCACGTGCCATCAAGCTGTTGGCAGTGCCGTCCCATCGATGGACAGGTAGTATCGTCACTGTCTGCATCAGACGCACAAATGCCTGTCGTCCTCACATGAGCCGGTGATGAACCTTCTTTCGTTCGTTCAGGGTTTGCTTCAATAGGACCGAACCAGCCGTTGATCTTTTCAGAACCCATAGATAGGCGATACGCGATATTAACGACCGAGCCCCCTGCTTACATCGGCACTGCCGCTGCGAGATGGCCCATGGACGATGCAGCGCGGCAAAGACATACACTCACCACATGCAAGGAGAACAATTAGCATGACTGTTCTGCAGACTTCATCACCAAAGTGAGGGTAAATCTGCAAGTTCAAACATTAATACAGGCGTCTAGGTCCTCTATCAGCACGAATTATACTCTTTTCATGCTATTGTCGTAGGTAAATATACAATGAGTGGTCCTCAAACGAGGCTATTCCACGCTCATCCACCAAGGCCAGCGTTTGGAAGTCTGTTGGCATCCGTCCATACCGACTCTGAATGCAATGGAAAGAGCTACGATCCTCAGCCTACATCGTCCAGCGATTGATACATGGATGAAGAGTTAGATCTTCTCTTATGTCCCACCTCAACGCTCAGAATAGAACACTGGAACACTGGAACCCTCGGACAACCGAAGGCGGCAACCAACCACCAAGAACCTACCCACACGAGTCCTGGCAGTAAAGCGCACTGCTACCTTACACTCACTTCAAAGCGCTACCTTCCCCAAGCGCTCTGCAATTCAGCATCCGGGCTGCGGACTTCGCTTACAGCACATTGATCGGCACCTTACCACGACCAAAGCCCTTGTCGAATTGAGAGAGGTACATATGTCTACCATGCCATGGAGATGGTAATTTACCAACCCTGCGGTACGGATTCTCGTTCGATCCCCGATGGAAGCTCGTCGACCAGCGCTTCGATACGAGCAATGCAAAACTGCAGCACTGATGACAGTTCAATGTAACCTTGATTCTGTCCCCCCAATCACCATGAGTCGTCGATTGTCGACTCGTTAGAATGTCATTGTAACAACCGGGAAAGCAATACCGCCTAGCAGACACCTTGTTGATGATGGGAAAGCGCAGCCAGGGATGATCACGGCAATGCTCCGATTTGATCAGCATACTTGTCCCAGAGCTCATCCTGCCAACTTTGAACATCGCTGGTCGAGCAAGCTCTCGCATCTCGTAGATGGGGCGTATTACCCGTGCTCGTCGTCGCCCTTGCCCATATCTGCATCAAGGTTATATCCGTCATTGTGATACGCTACGGAGCAAGGTACCGCCGGCACGCTGCTTCATGCATCGCCTTTCATATATATCGTACGATGAGAATACTGTGGATGCTACTTTTGGAAGGTGCAATGCGACATCGAATGCCAGATTTCCGTCGGTTGTCGTCATCGAGGTTGCTGTGCTACACCATACGTGTCGATTGGGGATGCTCACGGCTAGAGGTTGCTGCAATGTCGACTATGATTTCTCGTATCGAGACTCCAGTATATAATTAGGAGGAGCAACAAGGAGTCGGAAATGCGACAAGCCAGGTCATAAAGCTATTTTCAACGCTCACAAAAGACCGGTAAGAAACATCACGTATGTTCTCCTACATACAGATACTTTGCAAGATCATTCACGCACCTAAAACCAGCGACGTCGTAAGGAGCGGCGTAGACGACCCCGGTATTTACGTTTTCGTCTCAATATACAAAGGCATGGTGTTGCTGTTGTACTACATACGCTAGCCAATGTACCCACGACCAGCTCCGCGGCAACGGCATCAATGACCAAGAAAGCATCCCAAGACAGCGGTGTAAAAGCACGTCCTCGCACCCGGATAATGGAGGTATCATGATCATCAAACGATACAAATCCTACAATACAATCTTTCCAAAACGAATAACTTCTAAGTCACAACACTACTCCACCAAGAATGGCTTCCAACCAGGGCAAGAACACCGGCAATACCGGCGGTGACTCCAAGAGCTCTACTCCGATGGGCCAGTCTGATGCAAGCAGAGTTCAATCCGTCAACGTAAGTCTTCCCATCACGTCTCGCTGAACCCTACACCTCTTCCGATGCTAACATCCTCTTGCATCTAGGCCAAGTCCGGCGGCGACATGTCCTCCGGCGGTTTCGCTGCTCGCGCTCAGAGCGCAGCAGATTGGAACGCCAACGCTGGCGACCAGCAGGGCGAGACTAAGAAATGAGATGTCATTCATGACCGACTCTAGGAGAGGCTCAAAGCGGAATGGAACAGACTTTCATTAAGGGAGGACTTATTGGATGCATTCAGGACGTCTACGTGTCAGCTTGTACGGCAATTAGATAGGTAATAAAACGTGAATGTATCAATATCATGACTGAAGGAGCCGTTTATTTCTTCCTTTTCCAGTGAAATCCCGAACACGTTGCAGACTACAGTAGCAAAAGAAGATTAGTCTGTAAGATTATAAGGGACCTTGACGCCTACATTCGCGGAAGTACTTTTTGGATGTGCGTACGCCATGAGCATGTATGCAGCAGAAGGTATCTGATCGCTGTTTTCCATTATGTGGGGTGTTCATGTAGTCATCATAGTACACTCATCTACGACCATCTATCTAGTCGCTCCCTAATGTAACCTGTTCTATCCATCATGCTCTGCGCTTTGCACAGTATATAAACTGTAGCATCACCGCATACAAATCCCTCGCTGTACTGGACAGGAAATAAAATGAATACATCTCTATATGGGTTGGAAATACCTGAGACCACATATGCTCTCTCTACCCACCCATTCTAGGTAACGTTGACCCATCGTGATCCAAAGCCATCACCTGCTCTTCTACCATTCATAACCTAGATGTACTTGACAGTAACCTGCGATCCACTGTTGATAGTAACATCAGTGTAAACAGTGCTACCCTGCTTAAGATCAATAATAGTAGCACCGCTCAACCCATCCGTTCCACCAGTGCTCAGACTAGCACTCGCCTGCGTGAAAACCACAGTACCAAAGTTGCTCAGCGCAACCAAGCTACCTCCAGACTCAAAGTCCTCTACAATCCACTCCGCGTTTTGGCGGCACAGGACGGAGCCACTGGGCGCGCTGAGCGTCTGGCTGACCTTCTTTCCCGTGCTCACGTTGGTGAGTGAGACTGTGCCCTTGGTGGTGGAGGTAGCGACGATGTCAACTTGGATGACGTTGCCAGCCTTGACGGCGAAGTTGCTGAAGTCGTAGGCGTAGTCCGGGTACCACTCATACCACGCGTCGTAGGAAACAGCGCCGGAGCTGCTGACGGTGAAGTCGATACCCGCCTGGAGAAGACCACTGCCGCAGGTATCACCATCGATACCAACCCAAGCGGATGAAGACTCGGTTCCGCCAGAGCCGACGTGCTTGGGCGTAGGCACGGTGAAGCGTCCGGTTGCTGACTTGAAGTAGCCGGAGGACGGCGTCTCGAGGACGGCACCGGACCAGTTGGAGGAGTAGTCGACGTGAGCAGTGGTATTGTCGGATTCTGCAACGAACTTGGCGTTCTCCTTTGCGGCTGTGCCGACTAGAATCATGGGCTGGGTTCTGTGACGGCGACTGCCATCGGCACGGGATTGCACACGCTCAGCGAGGGAGGAGGGACGGGCCAGAACGGAGCCAGTGATGGCGGCGATGATAGCGATGGAAAGCTTCATGGTGAGTGATAGGATGAGATTGAGTGACTGAGAAGGTAGTCGAAGCGAGGGAAAAGGTTGAGAATAGAACGATAGACTGCTGAAGCGATTGCTGCGTTGATGAGTGCAGTGTTACCAGCGGTGCTCAACACTCTTTATATACTTCTCAGCCCAAGCTCGTACTTCATGTTGTATACCTCTAGGCGCACTCGTTGTACGATGGCGCGATGGTCCAGATTCAACACTTGATGATACCTTCCTAATACCTACTGGTCAGGCGCATAGCTATCCAGCTGAATTCGCCCTCCATGCTGGACTGGAAATCGGCGTACAAGATCCATCAGGTCGAACGCCGAGATACGAATCCCTGATTGGTAGCCCAGGTCGTTTGGTGAAGACCTCTTCACCAAGAGATCGGCGAATTACCGGACTGGACAGGGGTGTGAGTGGACAGTCCCGCTTGTGTGTTGACTCGGTAGGTATCAGAAGACCCTGATAAGTGATTTTCCTGGTCTATGGGACAAAGTCCGCCTATCACATCACTGTCACTTTGACCACATGTGCGTAAAAGCGTCCGACTTCGTGGTTGTCATGCTTGCATCGTCAGGTTCTCCTGCCTCTTTGGGAAAACGCCCGAACGCTCTCTTGCAGATTCGACAGCGAAAGTGAACGAGGTGGTGGGAGATGCGGTGCTCGACCGTATTGCGGGATCTTTGGAGATATCGCATGCTCTTCGTAACGCAGTGTATCTGATCTCCCTGGGTTCCTCTTAATTTCCATCAGCTCTACTTTGCGATGGCAATCCTCACTGTGCTTCGGCTCTCAAGAACATCGACATTCGCAAATGCTAATATGCAAAAGGCCTATGCATCAGCGGGAAGAACTGCCAATGTAGATATGCAGGATACATTAACTGCAGGAGGAGCTTGTCGTTGCTTATCAGCTGGCGTGCCACTTGGCAAGGATTGGTGTGGTGGTGCTAGGACCGGATAGGAAGTTCGTGATAGGTGATGCCCGCAGTGTACACCTGAAGGGTAGCAAGCTACTCATCTGCCAAGTTAGCTTGCGAAAGCTTGTTTGCGGCGAAATGCTTGAGTTGGGAAGGTGTGTTGAGTAGTGTTGGAGGTTGATTCGAGGCAGACAGGAGGGAGGTCCGATCGGAAAAAGATTGCGCCATTCCAAGAATGGTTTTGGTGGGGCGGTCTCCCTCTATCTTCCAACAGGTCTTCACACTCCTCGCCCTTGCACCTTCCAACCATAGGCTCATCATTCAATCTTCGGAACATCTGTCGTCTTCCATCTGCTGCAGCAATTTCTCATATGTCGTGTGACATTTGTAGAACTTCGGCGACGGCCACCAGCGTGCACCTAGTCGCAGCATACGCAGCGCGAACGCGTCTTCTTAGTCTTGATCGGAGAAGGATCTTGGGTCCGACATTTTGTGTGAGAGACCTAGGAGCTCTAGCTCGGGATCTGTAAAGTTTTTCGTGATGATGCCGCCATGTGATGGGTATGAATAAACTGTACATGCAGTCATCAAATCGAAAGTTATCCGGACGCGGGTAGCTGTTGAGACTGCCATATTCAAGTATCGACTATTTGAGTCTAATAAAATTCTTTGAGTCGTCATGTGTACTGGGTAAAGTGTAGCTGAGGATCAGGTAGCATTGCTGGAGCTGATGACGCTGCGGTTGCTACTCCACACGCTCGCACCCATGGCGTTTTGATCGGGCAAAGTTGAACCAACACTCCCGCAACCTGTTTCTTACTGCAAAACGACTCTGTCGTTCATGTAATTGCAACATGGTTTCCACAGGTACATCCTGGTTAGGAAGGCGACTTTTTGTTCTGGCAAGCTTTACAATATTGACACGTCTTTCCAGACATGCCTATGCACGGAAGTGACATACAACCTAACAGAAGTTTGATTTTTCCCTTTACATTGAAGTTAAGTGTGCGCTTCTTTGCAAGTCACCGTTTGCTCTATCACCTTGGCCCCATTTTTCTTCTCCGCATGATGAGTTCGAAATACGATCAACTTGCGCTCACCTCCGTAAGCCGATACTGGATATCTACCTGCTCAATACTCTCTTCTTCTAACAAAAAACTACCCACTCGCTGCGACTACTAATGGAATCGACAATGGCGAGCTTGAGCCTCTCTGGCACCAACAACCTGCCCGCCCTTGACGCAAAGGCGCGCTCGAACCTCGCACAGAAGCTCTCCAAGATACATTCGTCTGTACTCACCCGATCGGCCACTGTTCAAGATATCTACAACGTCAACGAGGCGGCCTTGTACATTCCTCACATGCCCAGACACCTCCAACTAGAGTTTCTCTTCCGCAACTACAACGATATCGCTCGTGGCAACTACCGCGCTCACTCGACCAAGCCTTTCAACGTCAACCGTGCTATTTAGTACTACGAGGTTTCCAAGCTACATACTTTATCCAGCCGCATCGATTTCGCTCGTTTCAACGTCGTCGTCATGGTGTTCATCACGATAGCCGAGACGCTCGATCAGAATACGAGCGACCTCTACCATCCAGCCGCGAACGCCTTCATCAAGGCATGTATGAGAGCCTGGCTCTCTAAGACGTCTGGCAACGATGATCAGTCCGACCACGAAGCCCTCGTACACATCTGGATGAATAGCGGTTTTGATTTATGTCACTTCCCAGATAGGGCTAGGCGCGATATGATGAAGGTGGTGTGGGAATTGCAACGAATGGTTTCGAAGTTGACGATTGTACGACCAGAAGACTTCCTTGTGGAAGTGGAAGAAAAGCGGGTACCGCATGACATCCTCAAGAGGGAAGGTCCAATGCTAGTGCTGCACTGGGCGTTTGTGTATATGAAGAAAGAGCAAGCACGCAAGGCGTTGAATACACCATCTGAACAAGAGGCGCCTATGAGCCTCTTTGTCGAAACTTCTTCGGTCCGACTAGACCAGAGTCCCGCCAGCGATCTTCTGGTCGACTTTGAGTGGGGCATATTGGAGCAGGTCTTACCGGATGAAGGTCGGAAGCCTTGAAATTGCAGTAGACAAGGCATTGAGCATCGTGCAGAGCGTCGAGGAGGATTTTCTTGCGGGATGGATGGAAAAAGTCACTTTGGGAAGGGACTAGACGCCGACCAGGACCGCATATCTCAAGAACTAAATTCCACATCCTAAGTTGAAGTATACGTTACTTTGCTACTTTTTGTTTACTAATGCTAGATCCAAACTTGAAGTAAACATCGCTTTTTATACCTTTTAGTCATTGAGGTACAACAACAACAACAACAACAACAACGTATGCAGTAATCCAACACATACAGTGGTTATACTCGGCTGCATTCTAGAATGTCGTCGCTATAATACTCTGAACCACTCTGTTCTTGACGGCTTTGCAACAATGTAGCACTCCAGCTTTTGTGCAAGTGCGAGAGATATGAAGACCTGCTGGAAAATAGGGGAAGATCATGTGGACGACATCTAGGCTGCAATAAAGGACGACAGGAGACTTCTCCTGTCACTGCATACATAGCTCTTGCGTTCTAAGAGACAATGCATACTTCTGCTTGGGCTACCGAGTAGAACTTGAAGGGTCTGGACTACTTGTAGGCATCCAGGGTATGGGATCTACCATTCCTCGTCAACAACATTTGAAAGTATCACTCAGTCACAAGCAGCACATGTCAAGCAGGCAAGAGTTATACAAAGACTTTTCGAATTCCATTCGTCGTGAATGCTATATTTACATCAAAAGAAGAGATAGCCGATCTCGCGGTCTAAAGAAGAAAGGTATGGGGGCGTCCCATCAAAGAAGATACGTCTCAAAAGGACCAACCATGAACACCAGTTCATGCAAGAAAGATCGACTTGCGACCGTTGTAAGGAGCGCTTACAAGTTGAAAGCGCGGGCGTGGCGGCGAGCCTTGGAGGCAGAGCTGCCAGTGGCGGTCTTGAGCCACTGGATGAACTGCTCAATGGTGAAGGTCTCGGGGAGAGCAGAGCCGTTGCCGGTGGAAGGAGCGGAGGTGGCAGCGGGCTTGGTGGCAGAGGGAGCGGCGGGCTTGGCCGACTCGACGGGAGAGGGAGTGGCGGAAGGAGCGGCGCTGGAGGCAGGAGTGGAGGGAGCAGCCGACTCGACGGGCTTGGAGGGGGTGGAGGGAGCGCTGCCGGCGGTGGCGGCGTCCCATACCTTGGGGCCGGGGACAGTGTAGTCGGTGGCACCACCGTATATGTTGAACATGACACCCGGGTCGGTGGCCTTGTAAGCCTTGGTCATGTCGACACCAGTGGCGGGGAGAGCAGCAGAGCCGCTGCCAGTGACCTTGATTTGACCACAGCCGTTGTAGAACTGGGCCTTGCCCTGGGCGCTGGCCTCGTGGAGACCAATCATCTCGGGGCGGATGAGGTAGTCACCAGCCTCAAGGTTGGGGAGGTCAATCTCCAAGAGACCCTTGGAGGAGATGAGGTTGTCAACACCCCACTTGGAGCCGGTAAGACCGTCCTCGTAGATCTTGGTCCAGACGGCGCCCTCACCGTTGGTGTCGGCCTTGGCGATGTAGACCATGACGGGTCCCTTGTGGGAGGGAGCGATCGGGTCATCACCGTCACCGGAGGAGGCGGGGTCGTTGTGGTGCCATTGCATACCGATCTTGGAGCCAGCGGCAACCTCGACCTGGTCGGAAGTGGCCTTGCCACCGTTGCAGATCATGGCAGTGGAGGTAACATCGAGGATGGGGTTGTTGCCGTTGGAAGGAGTCTGGACAGCGAAGTGCTGGCCCTGGTCCTTGCCGTCAATGACGAAGCTCTGGAAGGTGGTGTGCGCAGCGGCGAGGTTGGCAGCAGCCAGGATGATAGCAGTCTTGGTGAACATGTTTGCGGTTGGTGTGTTGGTTGGTTGGTTGGTTGGTTTGAAAAGGTTGAGCGTATCTTCAAAGATAGAATGGAAACGAATGAATGATAGACGAATGGATCGAAAGTGAGTGTAATGCTAAAGAGCGTGTGAAAGTGAGTGTCAGCGTCAAGCTTGATGCCCTCTCAACATCGATGGCCTCTGTATCTCTTATACTGTCGCCGCCTAGACGGCACAGTTGCGCAATGACAAGATTAGTGCCTCACTGACAGAATCCTGACAGCGCCAACGATATGAAACCCGGGTCTGTGGATTGATGCCAAGCACCTGTCAATCTATTCAGCACTGCGCTAGCGCCCGAAGCGGAAGCGTGGCTTCGGTTAGCTGCCGCAGAACGTTGAATCCAGGTCTGCTCCGTTCCTACGCCCCATAATATGTGATGAGCTATTGTCATGGAGAGATTTGAAGGCGTCGCCTCCATGCATGTGCCTGGAAGTGGCCTGTATCAGACGTTGAGCGACGAATAACGGGAGAACTTCATGGGAAACGTGAAACCATGTCGAAAAAGCTTGATCGGTTGAAGTCTGGCTATCCCAGGCGTTTAACGAAACGTCATGCGCTGAAGCGCCAATATGTTCTACTGTTCATGCTACTCGCATCCACATGTTCGCAGTTGATTGTTTGCTTGTGCCATAACGTTATGTCGGAAACCAATTGTTGCTTACCGCTGCGTACCCCATCGTCACCGGCACACTACGCAATCTCCCTACTTCCCATCCTTTATGCCACCGGTCTACAATGACTCTCATTTCGATGATCCAGTATTCTAGATCCTGCAGTTCGGCGGGAAAGCAACCTCGGTGGTGGGGCGAAGTGTTCGCTAAGGGTGTATTTCTTCGCGAGCCAACTTGAAACGAATTCCGTCAGTGGGGGAAATTGCGCGCCTGTGCCTGCCAAGATGATGGTGATGTTTCGACACTTCCGAGGCATCGCTTCAGACAACACCGTTTTCGTAGTCGAGTCGTGACGCCATCTTCTCTTTGCTCTGAAGACGAAAGAACCACCGGCTATACTATCGTCCTCCATGGATAGTCGAAATCCCGCACCCGTGCTTCGAGATAATGTAGAGTGCTGCGCCGCTTGACGAATGAACGGAGATGAGGCGCTTAGATGAGGAACGCAGAACGCGCCCTTGCGGTATGTTGTTCTTGTCATTAGTGGAGCAGAGCGTTGCGCCGATGCACGTTGTTTTGTATTCGCATTCGCACTGTGGCGTGCAGTAACATTACCGCCCGTGGTGGTGGCCTTCTTCAGCATCAATCAAGAGCCCCTTCGACCTTAAGTACCTGTTCAACGCTCAAAACGTGCTCAATAGTTCTCATTGTCTACCAACCATCCCAACCTCTGGGTATTATTAACTGATGCGCCACTCTCTAACCGGTACCTCTTTCATCTACCAGATCTCGTCTTTGACAGGCGTTTTAGATGATGAGGCCGTTGCGCTGCGATCGTGCATGAGCCGCGGCGAATGGATTAAACGCCGATGATGATTTTGTTGTACACGTGGTATCTCTTACTAGTGATAACCCAGAAACGCCCAAATGATGCTCATTATACTCGTAGAAAATCACGAATCCATGTCGAAAACCGTTCAACATGCTACGAACCCTGATGTCATGGAAGAAATGATAAACAGTGCAAGCAACATCAAGCTCGGGTAGCTCGAGTCGGATGCACTGCCTTCTTTTGTACTCGTCGCTGTCGCTTGTCCGTCGGGCTTACTGGCCCTTGCACTTGGACTATCGGTGATGCTTTGGACGCGGGTCGTGGTAGCGGGAAACAAGGCGCTTTTTGTAGTGCGTCCTGAAGACCCGTAAATCAACTCCGTCGCTCCCCACGCGAGACTGATCGTTGTGCCATCGACAGTAATTGTACCTCCCGGCGTCAAAGTCTGCCCTTCGACGACGAATGTTGTCCCGCTCCCTGATTCTGCAGTGTACGTCTGCGAACCAATAGTGAGTAATGGAGGATTGGTGATGGCGGGCTGGGCCTGTGGCGAAATGAAGCTAGTCTTGCCGTTGACGACCAAGGCTGTAGCTCCGGGTGCGAGCGAGATCGTAACACCCGAGACAACGATCGAGCCCCCCACGGTAAGCAGTCTCGACCCGATTAGATAGGCAGTGCTAGTTCCTGGAAGCGGTCCGAATGTCAAATCTCCGATGGTCAAAGGAGGCGCTGTAATTTGTGGAGAGGCTGGAGTAGCTAATGTAGACGTGACGCCATTGATCACGACAAAAGACGCCGATTGAGCGAGTGATAACGTGGTGCCTGAGACAGTGATCTCTGGACCACCGGGAACGAGTGTTTGACCGTCTATCACGAAAGTTGGTCCTGAAGGCTCTGAAAGAGCGCCGATAATATCATTGCCGATAGTGATCGTAGGAGAGTTGCCGGCCTGCGGAGTAGGAATAGCAAGTGCTGAAGTAATTCCATTGACTACGACGAATGAAGCGGAAGGCGCAAGCGATATTGTCGTCCCCGAGAAAGTAATAGCTGGGCCACCTGCAACGAGGGGTTCATCGCCAACAACGAAAGATATTCCTGGTGAGGCTGAAACGGGCGTGAAGACATTATTGGCAACATTAATAGTCGGCGCGGCTGGGTTCGGTATTACGGATGTGACACCATTGACCAGGACGAAGGACGCTGATGATGCCAAGGAGATCGTAGTACCGGATGCAGTGATTGCCGACCCTCCAGGCACCAGAGTCTGACCTGCGATGATGAATGTGTTTCGCGGATTATCATGAGCAGGGAACACATTATTCCCGACAGTAAGGATGGGCGGCGTTATGGCAGGCATCTCTGGGATTCGTATCGTTGAGGACGCCCCATTGACCACCAGTACGGTTCCCGAAGGTGCTAGTGAGATCGTATTACCCGAGACGGTAATGGCAGGAGCACCCGGAGCGAGCGTCTGCCCCGAGACGACGAACGTCGGGTTACGTCTTGGATTGTCTGGGCTGTTAAGATTATTGGACGTGCCCTGGGTTGCTTGCGCCGTGATCGTTGAGCCACCAACCACCAACTGTGGTGGGCTATTCGGAGCTGGTCCTGATCCTGGTAGAATTTGGGTGGAACCTCCGATGACCACGAAAGAAGCCGACGGTGCCAAACTGACGACAGTACCATCCACAGTAGCGATGCCTCCAGGGGTGAGGGTTTGACCAGGACCAACGAAGAATTGGGTCGCAGCGTTGGGTGTAAGTGTCGTCGAGCCAATCGTCAGCACTGGGGGAGGTCGTGACGGAGTAACTTGAGGTAGCATAGAAGTCCTGCCGTCCACAACGATGGCCGTAGCCGATGGCGCAAGGGAAACCATAGTTCCGCCTCCAATATTGACTGGAGGTCCTCCAGCTTGTAACGTCTGCGAGCCAACAACAACTCTTGAAGAAGGACCAACTACGACGGGTTTTGTGCCCACAGAACCGACGGTAACTCGAGTGAATTCGGGAGGGTTCACCGCGTTGTTATTCTCACTGCCGCGCATCTTCGTCGTGGGAACTGAATGAGGTCGGTCGTTTGGCTTGACGATGGTGGGCGTTGGTTTGCTGTTATCACCCGGAAGGTTCCAGTCCGATACTGTAAGTGGAGGAGCCTTCGACGTGCTGCCGCCCCAGCCATTTACGACGACGGGTCCGTCGTCAAAACCAAGTACAGAAGACTCGACGTGGATGAGAGCCGGACCTATACCGGGCCAGTTTTGATAGTATAGGTCGACGACAATGAGGACAGTTACAACGGTGGCCTTTAGTTGTCCAGCATCACATGCAGACTGTGGAACCTGGTTGAGAAAACCATCTGGCAATGAGCCCGTCACTGTATTTTCCTCGTCGAATCCTTGCATCCAGTAAGGGTAGACTTGGGTGGAACGAAGCTGTACCGTCTGCGTCTTGTTCCCTGATTCAATCTCATAAGCTGTGAAATAGACGAAAGGTGTCGCAGAAGTCTGAACCATCATGGTATTTGGCCCAAGGGTAATCGTAGCGGTGGCAGACGGGAAAGTATCTGGGTAGAACAGATCATACAACCCGGCGTCCGACGTCGGGATGACATTACCAGAAGGAAATGGAGAGTAGCCTGCAGACCGGTAGGCGACAGACGTTGTAGCTGCTTTAGGTCTTGCTGTGTACTCTTCGCACATGGTAACCGTGAAATCCCATTCAGCATAATACGACTCGCTGTAGATGCATGCATAATCTGATGCCAGTGCACTGGACGCATCAAAGGTTGTCGTATAAGGAACAAGAGTATACGAATCCACATTACTGAAATTCGATGCCTGGGTTGTCATAATTCCTACCACATGGTTGTATGTTGGGCCAAACCAGTAGTCTACACTCGCACTGGGGATGTTGATTGTACATGTCGCGTTAGAACTGCGGGTTTGTTGAGTGGCCGTACCGTTGATAGTGGATAGGTCGACCTCAGAGGTCGTTAGCGATGGATGTCGGCCTTGCGACGATGTTGCATTCAGCTCGTCTGACAAAGTGGCATTCGGTAGAACAGAAGGAACCAGTGGTCCAGTCGAGGCCGCATCGGTGGGCCGAAGGATTCCATATTCGCTAGAAATCCCTGTACCCAAGCTGCTAACGCTACGCGGTAGAGTTGCTGGCAGAACAGCTGCGAGCGTCGAAACAGATAGCGGTGACTTCGTTGTGAGGGTGACGTTGGAATATGGGGCTTGATGGCTTGGTTAGCACGCAGCGGATCAGAGCCGCGAGGCGCAATGGGATTTGGCTTTACCACGATGGAACACGGCCCCCGCTGCAAATGAGGCAATGCATACTGTGAGAAGCGAGTGATTAAGATACATGGCGATTGTAGAGTGCCTGCATCAGCAGCACTCTACGGATAGCGAACGTCGTGCTCTCAAGTCGTCCCAAGAGAGTGGTGGGCATACGAGAGTGCAGCAGAGGCAATCTGGATGAGCGGGTCCAGCGCGTTTTGCCCTATGAACGGCATCGATTGGCGTGGTCCCGAGCGTGGACATGCATATTTATCGGAAGATCAGCGCGGAAGGTAGCTAGGCCCTGGGCGAAGTCCGCACGCTCCTATTCCGGACAGGGGTATCAGGCGGATGGCACGTGAGTTGAAGCCGGGCACCAATAACGTATGTCCACCTCGCAAAAGAACGACGATTTTGGCCAACGTCCTGTACGTTGAGTGCGACTGCCACGCAGGTCCCTGAGGGCACAAGACCCCACTACTGCAGCATGTTGCAGGCTGAGGTGTGGGCGCAGGCATCAGAAGCCCGGCCTGCCTGTCTCGGCATAGGCGATTGCTTGTATTTGTGCGACGCGCCTCCATTCCATTGTAGACAGCCCTTGCTGTTCCTCGAGCTGAGGATTATTGTCTACATGCAGGCAGCGTGCGGCTCTTGCGGAGATGAAGCGCCACGTTCATCATGCACAAAAAGCATTCATCCCAACATCATGATCGACGCATCACTCAAGATTCCGTCTTGTTGAGCATGACGATGGTCTGGTAGGTTTGTGGCAAGCGCGCCGATCTGCCAGACTGGAGAGAGGAAATCTAAGCGAATGCGCTGGTCAACCGCTCCAGAACCTACTGTTTCAAGCTTGTCGTTCGGGGGTGGCTGTCCTGAAGTCCGGGCGTGGGCGTCGCCCGCTGGTAGTGGGAGCCGTGGTGGCCTTAGCCCAGCCGCTTTGCCAGCGCCTTGCAGTGGCAGATGGCAGTCCAGAGGCCGACCCCAGATTGCGCGAACATGTGCCAATCGGTGTAGGGATGAAACGAGGGGTCGGTCGGGTGCCTCACGGCATTCAGCTGCATTCATTTATGTTGCTGCGGAAGAATACCGGTTGAAAGCGACGGGAGCAGGATGGCCGTCTTACACGCGTCTGACGAAGTTGCCGTACAAGCTTATGTCCGCAGCACAACATCGAGGCGCCAAAATCAAGGCGTACAGCGGAGGGCTCGCAGATGGTGACGGTCGGGGCGTTCCCGCAAAAAAGAGTGCTATCGCAGCAAATGGCGGGTATGTCAAGTCGAAAGGAGCGTTCGCCCCGTTAGCCAAGTGACCAACTTCGTTAGAGCATTTGGTGCAATATATGCCTTGGCTTGCTCTCGGCTGGCATGCCAGGATCCGCCAATCTGGCTCGACTCTGGACGAGAGTGCTTTTGCATGCTGGCTGCATTCCGACGTCTTCTTCTCTTTCTTCACCCCTCTCGTGGCGCTGGCGGGGACAAACAATGCCACTCGGTGATGCTGCTCGCTGCGCTCTTCGAGGTTGAGTGGCCCCAGTCGTGCCTCCTTCCACGCGCCGCTTAGTCACGGAACATGGTCCCTTTCCGAGGGCATCGTGCCTTCCACACAGCCATATGCGCCTTCCTCGCCGCCACCCTGTTCCTACCCTCCCTTGCTGCGGCCGACTATGTGCCGACAAACATCACCGAGACGCCCAACTTCCAGCTGCTACCTGGCATCGCTTCGGTACCAGCACCCGTTACGGTTGCGCCGGACCAGAACTGGCTAGGAATCGACGGCTCATGGAACACCTTCACTCTGCGCTTGGGTGAAGCCGGGGAGGCCGTGCAAGTCTTTGTGTCGACTGCAAGTCAACAGATATGGGCCATCAATCGCATGGCCTGCATCTCCAACACCACGAGCCCGGTAACAGGAGAGATCACAGCAGTCAACGTCTTCAATTCGGATTGTGAGACCAGTCGCGGCTTCCTGTTCAACAGCAGCACTTCGGAAACCTGGCAGCAGAAGGGCTTCTACCAATTGTGGATCGAGAAATATCTCGGACTGGTCGGCAATGGACTGTACGGCTTCGATTCGGTGGGTCTGGGGAGGGCCGGGGAGATGGGACCCTCAGTTCGGAACACCACGATCGGCACCTTGGTCACCGCCAACTTCTGGCTTGGGCATATAGGCGTGCATTCCAAGTCGACCAACTTCTCCGTCTTCGATGAATCTGTCCCGAGCTACATGACCGAGCTGTTCGACCAGAAGAGCATCCCGAGTTTATCTTTTGGCTACACTGCAGGCGCCCAGTACCGTAAGACACCACCAGGTGCCCTCGTTACAAATTACTGACTCGGACGTACAGGTGACCAGACTGTCCTCGGAAGTCTCACGCTTGGCGGCTACGATGCCTCTCGCCTCATTCCCAACGACCTCACATTCATCTTCGCCCCGGATAATGAGCGCGACCTGGCGGTTGGTGTAGTCGGCATCACGGCAGATACCACGTCGAAAGGAGATATTGACCTCCTCATGAAGCGGGACGACGTGACCATGTACATCGATTCGACTGTTGCAGAACTCTACCTGCCGGTTGAGATATGCCAAGCTTTTGAGGATGCATTTGGACTAAAGTACGACGAAAAGACTGATCTTTACCTTGTGGATGACGCCCTTCACCGGAGTCTCGTCGCGCAAAACCCCAGTGTCACGTTTACTCTCGGCCAGAAATACAGCACGGATTCCACTTTGCAGATCACGCTGCCTTATGCTGCCCTAGATTTGGAGGCGACCCCTCCCTATAGAGGATTACAAGAGAAGACAAGGTACTTTCCTATTAGGCGAGGTGCAGAGGAGCGTCAGTGGGTACTGGGCAGAGTCTTCCTGCAAGAAGCCTACTTGACCGTAGACTGGGAACGTCAGAATTTCACCGTGTCAGCGGTCGACTGGACATTCGGCAAAGCTCCACAAATCATGCCTATCGTGTCGCCTACCTATGCGGTTCCGCACTATGATCCCCCAAAGAAGAAGCCTCTGTCTTCAGCGGCAATCATTGGTATCGCAGTGGGAGGTGGCTTCTTCGTTGCTCTGGTTTTGTGCGCAATTGGTTGGTGGTTCTGGCGGCGGCGGCACAAGCGCAAGCTGGCAGACATCAAAGCGCAATACGAGGCCGATGTCGCTGCAGCCGCGGCCACCAAGATGGATCCACCCGTGTCAGAGGAGGCTCCGACGTCTCCAGTACGAAGTAGTACAGAAGGTGTGACTGTCTTCCCAAAGGCCGAGCTACCTGGCTCATCCCATATGCCTCACGAGATGAGCTCCAGCGCAGAAGAGAAGGGCTCATCAGCAGTGCATGAGGCAGATGGGGAGGAGCGTCAGATCTACGAGATGCCTGGAGACATGCCTGTGCTTCCCGAGGCAGGCGGTCGTCAACTGTCGGAAAAGGAGTCGATGGTGGTACGCGAAAGGATTTACAACGGCATAGATCCGACCGGCACGCCAGACGCAACCCCAACTGCGTACGAAGAGTCGCGCCGGCTCGCACCAATATCCCCGTCCGAGGTGTCCATGGTGAGCGGTCGACTTCCAACCGACAACGTGTCGCCCATCACACCACGTACACCAAGAGACGGTGCTTTCTTGGAAGCTTCGGACACATTTTTCCAATTGCCGCCCTACCGTGCTCGCGAAGAACGACGCACCGAATCGGATGGCGATCCCCTTTCCCCCGTCTCGCCTCTGGAGGGGTCTACGGATGCCTCCCGACGGCGGTTCTCTTACGAGTCATGAGGCCAAAAAGCTGCCTGTTCAGCGACGTTACGACTGGCGTTTATTTTGTTTGGCATAAGTGGCGGGGTTGTCTTGGCTTAGCGACAGGCGGCACGATGCTTACCACGGATATGGCGTTTGAGACAGAATAGTTTGATTTCTGCATACCAGAGGCTGAATACCCATCTAGACGGCGGCACGTGGCAGAAACGAGTAGCCACGTTTTGTTAGTGTATATAGTGTAAATACACGCTTTTCGCGCACATGGGCAGCGGAACCTGTGAGGGAACCACAGAATTGCACAGGTGCATGACAGCCAGCTCGAAGCGCTAGGCTCATGCGTTCATGTTGGCCGGCCTGGCCGTCGGCTGGCTAAACGGTCGCAGGCCTGCAACGGGCAATTGTCCTGATTGTAGGGCAGAGCCAGCGGCGCGGGCGAAGCGGCAGGCGGTCTGAGGAAGGTGCCTTGGGCAGCGCCTTGCCGCAAGCAGCCAAGTTGAACCCCTCGTCCGCGCAGCGACTGGATACCAACCCCACCATATCCTCACGGAGGCCGCGACGAGGCACAGGACGACCGCTTTTCTGCATCGCCATTCTGTCAATCGCTTTCCTATTGCTTGCAGCTTCCCGGTGAAGACTCTGCGCTTTCCTCGACTGTCCCACCGCCCGCCCGGTGCCAGAGCCGCCGCCCCGCTTTGTGTTGAAGCAGCTCCTGTCAGTCATCACATTGGCCGCGCGCCTAGCCTTATATCATATCTTCCGCTTGCCGCCCGCACTTCCTCTCCACACTGTCCGACTTCTGCGCACTTTGATCGTCACTTCTCCCTTCAAAGATAGAAAGAGCCCGCCTTGGTTGCCCTTCGCTCCTACCCCGCCGCAGCTGCCACCATGGGCGACCTCGCCAACCGCAAAGTGTTCAAGGTAACGTTATATCCGCCATTCAGGGTCGAGCACGCGTATTGACAGCTTGCAGGTGTTCAACCAGGAGTTCATCGTCGACGAGCGCTACAATGTGACCAAGGAGCTGGGACAGGGTGCCTATGGCATCGTCTGGTACGACTCGAGCGACGGCGCGCCGCATAACAAGTGCTGATTGTGCCCTCCAGTGCGGCTACCAACAACCAGACGGGCGAGGGCGTGGCCATCAAGAAGGTCACCAACGTCTTCAGCAAGAAGATCCTTGCCAAGCGTGCCCTGCGCGAGATCAAGCTGCTCCAGCACTTCAGAGGCAAGTCGAAATTGCACCCACCGACTGCAACACTACTAACACCTGCCAGGCCACCGTAACGTAAGACACACATGCTCCCGAGTGCCCCGATCGAATCATGCTAAACCCCGTCGCACAGATAACATGTCTATACGACATGGACATTCCCCGCCCAGACAACTTCAACGAATGCTACCTATACGAGGGTATGAATCACATCTCATGTTTCCGATAAAACGGTGCTGATAGGCGTGCAGAGCTCATGGAGTGCGATCTGGCAGCCATTATCCGGTCCGGCCAACCGCTCACCGATGCCCATTTCCAGTCCTTCATCTACCAGATCCTGTGTGGTCTCAAGTACATCCACTCGGCCAATGTCCTGCATCGTGATCTCAAGCCCGGTAATCTCCTTGTCAACGCCGACTGCGAGCTCAAGATTTGCGACTTTGGTCTTGCAAGGGGTTTCTCCATGGACCCTGAGGAGAACGCAGGATACATGACTGAATATGTCGCTACCCGGTGGTACAGAGCCCCTGAGATCATGCTGAGCTTCCAGAGCTACACAAAAGCTAGTAAGTAGTCACTCTCTTGTCATAGGGTCCATCGTTGGCATACAGATTCAGTGTCTGTGTGGCTATCGACAAACTCACTTAGACACTTCACCTGCCGAGCTCAAGCTGACTCTGCGTAGTCGATGTGTGGTCCGTAGGCTGCATTCTTGCTGAGTTGCTTGGCGGTAAGCCCTTCTTCAAGGGCCGCGACTACGTCGATCAGCTGAACCAGATTCTGCACTACCTTGGAACACCAAACGAGGAGACACTCTCGCGCATCGGCTCGCCTCGTGCGCAGGATTACGTTCGCAATCTACCGTACATGCAGAAGATCTCTTTCCAGTCTCTGTTCAGGAACGCCAACCCAGACGCGCTTGATCTGCTCGACCGCATGCTCGCCTTTGATCCCTCGAGTCGTATCTCAGTCGAGGAAGCCTTGGAACATAGGTACCTACAAATCTGGCACGATGCTTCCGATGAGCCTTCATGCCCGACAACATTCGACTTCCAGTTCGAGGTGGTTGAAGAGATTCCGGAGATGAAGAAGATGATTCTGGATGAAGTCAGCCGCTTCCGTCAGATGGTCCGCGTACAACCCGGTGCAGGCGCTGGGGGAAACCAGGCGCCGCAAGTCCCGATACCCAACAACTACGACCGTGCTGGCTACGAAGACCCAAGGCCGCAAGAAGCGTTCAACCAGGGTGGATGGAACGGCAGCGATTTGGAACGTGATCTTCAGGGTCTTGACGGCCGCATGCGATAAGTGGATTTGGATGAATCTGTTGGGTACAGCATGTCTTCTCGTTAGTCTGAGCGTGAGCGTGGAAGGAATTTGGGTAATATTTGAGCCCCATGTAATTTCTCTCAAAATCTATTGAATGATAACTATCTCGATCAACTGCGTGACAATCTGACTCGACAAGCAATGATGGCATAACCTTGCCTGGAGGTCGTCGACATACACAATACTCATCACCCGCTACAAATATCAGTGAGACCATTCAGACCCCTATCAGCTCTGGCATACCCGTCATTCATTTATGATACATCGTCGCCACTAGGCCGGTTCCCATATGCAATGTCATCCTTGAGCTCACTGCTACATGAGTAGCCAGCATGCCACCTTTATCCCTAGCGATTACAAAATTCATCCACGCAAAGCATCCAGTACATCCCCCTCCAAACACTCCAACAACCCCTTCGCCTCACCCCCATACCCCCATTTCCCCGCCGCCCTCTCAGCCCTCGTCCGCGAATTACTTGCAAATAGATACCTCGCCAGTTTAGGAAACCCAGGCAAATTAGCCATCTTATCCAACTCCTGCATACTTATCTGCACCGGCTCTGCATCTTTGATCACACCATGTCTGTGTAAGATCTCTGCGGTTGCTTTCGCAATATCGATTTGGGAATGCTCTTGCGTGCTAGCAAAATAGTAACCGTTTTCGTTGAAGAAATCACCAGGGGAGGATTTCGATGCTGCGGCATCGATGACATGCAGGTAGAGACGCATTAGGTCTTCGATGTGCACCCAGCTCCGCGTATTGGTGCCTTGGTTGTAGTAGAACGGGTTTCCACCTAGTTTCTTCGCTTCTTTGATGAAGAAGGGGATGAGGGCGCTGTGTGTTTTCGCTAGTCCTAGCCCTTTACCGTAGATATCTGGGGGACACATGATGGCTATGTTGATCTTGTCTCCATGCTTAGCTATGGTTTCGTGTAAGATGGTTTCGGTGTTGCGGTGGAGGGCTGTGGATGGTAGTTGACGGATTTCCGGCAAGGAAGTAGTGTCGGACCATATCTTTGGGTTTAGTTTGCCTAGATACGACTCGTCGGCCCAGTCTGATACTATCCCTGTGCCGGAAAGATGGAGTAGGTAGCCTGGTGTTGGACGTCGGAGTAGACCGGTGATGATGGCGTTTAGACTCACTTCATGGTCTGAGTCACCGTTGTGGACGACGATGTCGGCGTTTTGGGCGGCGGAGGCGATGAGTGTGGTGCTGGAGTAGTCGCCGGTTAGGATGGTGATGTTGGGGTAGGTGGATGTGAAGGTTTCAGGGGTTCGGCGGAGGAGCACGGTGATGTCGTATCCTGGACGGGCGGTTGCGAGGGTGTGCAGGACGGAGCCGCCTATGTAGCCTGTTCCTCCTGTGCTGGGGGAGGGTTAGTGGTGCGGATGCAGGGTGGGGGATGGGTGGTGTACAGGAAGATCTTGGGTTCCATGATGGATTGTTGATTGATGATAATGGTTTCAGCGAGGGATGAATATGTGAGGTACTGTAGTGTTCGGGGTGTCTTGAAGATGCTTCGAACTCATGTACAAGGTGGTGCGCTACTCCGCTTTGATTGGTAATACAACTCGTTATACTATCCTCCTTAGTGCTCGGCTATATAGCATCATGGCTGACTCATTATGAGCCCGAAGCATTTCGATAGTGATCCAATTTATTGTTGGACAGTACCTAGGTATCCGAGTCTGGTGCTAGGAGCATACCTAGGTAAAATATACCCTATTCACAATCAACTAGCTAGAAACGTTGACAACGTAAGAGTCACCTCGTGGACGGCAAGCGCAGACCCAAGTCAGCGTCAATGAATTCAACGTCTTCATTCTCGGGATATCACGATGCCCAGATGTGGAAGTTTCCCGAACATTGCAAATGAGTAGGTTGTGGGTCGTACGTCGAGGGAGCGTAGATGGTATCGGATGAGACTCCACCGAGAAAGGTACTTGTCTGGAGGGCATACAGTTGTGCAAGCTGTGACAGCCAGGTAAGCTCTTTCTTCCATCAGCTGTTCGTGGGGTACCTGGGTGGTGTTTCCTACATCACGGCGATGCTGCAAGCCGCTGAGCTGATCCGTGCGCCGAGCCAGGGTCCTCTAGCGCGATAATTATTTCTCGGTCTTAGAACTTTTGGCAAGCCGCTGAGTTCCAAGTCGAACTTTTCGCGCCATTGTACAGCACCCCCAAACGCACTATACACCATGTCGCCCGCCGCGATCGAGTCGGGAAATAAGAGGAAGAGGTCTCACAAGAGTAAAAAGAGCGCTGAGCCAGCGGTCGCACCAGCGCATGATGGCGTAGACGCTACCAAGGCGCGCAAGAAGGCGCGCAAGGACAAGGCGCCTGTCGTCGAAGAGCCAGTGGTAGAGGATGTTTCTGAGGAGGAACAGAGTGATGAGGAAGAAGAAGTGGCAGCAGAGGAAGTCGCTGCCGAGGCCAGTGCTGCAGACGACGACAGCGACAAGGAAGACGACGAAGGCGACGATGACAAGCTTGCCGAACTACCCTCTGGCACGGGCAGCAACGCCCTCGATCTCCCCTCAGGCACCTCGATGCCCTCAGCGAACCCGACACGATTCGACGAGCTCAACCTAAGCGAGCGCACCATGACCTCCATCAAGAACATGGGCTTTGAGAGCATGACAGAGATTCAACAAAAAGCTATACCACCTCTGCTATCTGGAAGGGATGTGCTTGGAGCGGCAAAGACTGGTAGTGGAAAGACTTTGGCTTTCCTGATTCCCGCCATCGAGATGCTCTCACAGTTGCGGTTCAAGCCGCGCAACGGAACTGGAGTCATTGTCGTATCGCCAACAAGAGAGCTGGCGTTGCAAATCTTCGGTGTAGCGCGCGAACTCATGGAGTCACACAGCCAGACGTTTGGCATCTGCATTGGTGGTGCGAACCGAAACGCAGAGGCCGAGAAGATCAGGAAGGGCTTGAACCTGATCATCGCTACTCCCGGGCGCCTCCTCGATCATCTCCACAACACGCAGGGCTTCGTCTTCAAGAACTTGAGGTCGCTCATCATCGACGAGGCTGACAGAATTCTTGAAGTCGGTTTCGAAGACGAGATGAGGTCGATCATCAAGATCTTGCCCACGGAGCGTCAGACTATGCTTTTCTCCGCAACACAGACCACCAAGGTTGAGGACCTCGCAAGGATATCACTCAAGCCCGGCCCCCTCTACATCAACGTCGATCACCGTGCCGAGCATAGCACGGTCCAAGGATTGGAGCAGGGTTACGTTCTGTGCGATTCAGACACCAGGTTCAGGCTTCTGTTTTCCTTCCTTAAGAAACACCAGAAGAAGAAGGTCATTGTCTTCTTGTCATCGTGCGCATCTGTCGACTTCTACAGCGAACTGCTCAACTACATCGACCTGCCCGTACTTGGACTGCACGGCAAACTCAAACAACAGGCTCGAACGAATCGCTTCTTCGAGTTTGTGAATGCACAGAGCGGCACACTCATCTGCACTGACGTCGCTGCGCGAGGACTAGATATTCCTGAGGTGGATTGGGTTATTCAATTCGACCCACCTGATGACCCACGAGGTAAGCTTGAATGCACGCACTGCATGCGGAGCACATGCTGACTTATCTGCAGACTACATCCACCGAGTCGGTCGAACAGCCCGAGGTGCGAACGGCAAGGGCAGGAGTTTGATGTTCCTCTTGCCATCGGAAGTAGGATTCCTCAAGCTCCTCAAAGAAAACCGAGTGCCGCTGGTTGAGTTTGAGTTGCCGTCCAACAAGATTCTCAACATCCAGTCACAACTGGAGGCACTGATCAGCAAGAACTACTACCTCAACAAGAGTGCAAAGGATGGCTACAGGTCGTACCTCCAGTCTTACGCTTCACATAGCTTGCGATCGGTGTTCGACGTGCACAAGCTGGATCTCGTCAAGGTGGCCAAGTCGTTCGGTTTCTCGACGCCGCCGCGCATCGACATCAGTCTCGGAGCGAGCCTGAGTCGCGACAAGAAGGTGGAGGGAAGGAGAGCATATGGGAGCCAGCCCGCGCAGGGTCGACGACCGATGAGGGGAGGCAAGAGGTTCTGAGATGGTAGCTTGGAGGCATTGACGGGAGTTTGGCGTACAAAATCACATACGGGCCATGATCTAGGGTTTATAGCTTTGCATGATCTAATTGAGCACCCATGAGGATGTCAGTAACTCCAAAAGCGAAATGTGTCAATACGATGTAGACCTTGAACTCGAGCCAGCAGTGTCCTTAGCATGTGAGCTTGACAGCTCCAATCTAACTGTAAGCAAAACGAATGTCTTGAAGATTGCCAGTACAGCGCCACAAAACCGGTGAGGGCTAGTGGAATTTGGGCGGCAACCACTGAGGCAGCAGAAGAGCAACATTGCCAGGACGCGTCAACTGCCAGTTCACCAAGTCTGCATCCTTCGGAATATTATTCTCTAGCACAGGACACTTCTCGTATATTACTTGACGGAGTTGTAACCGCAGCCAGCCCTACGAGATTCCCAGAGTGTTGTGCCGCGGCTTGTATGGAGCCCTGGGGGATGCGCTGGCAAGTCGCTCGCGCTGGCAGGCCAATGACGTCGCGTAGACAGGAGAGCGGATGCGTCCGCCCACGGGGGTTGCGGCACCATCACCCCTGGTAACGACACGGGTGCTAGAAGCTAGCTAGTAGTAGCAGCGAGACGGCCTACATGACGGAGTTGACAGTCTGGCGGTGAGCATTTGACGTCAAGTTGGAGGTTGTGAAGCTGGCCGGGGAATCAGCAAAAAAACATGGAATCCTGAGAAGCTGATTTGTATTGTGGCATGTCGGCGCGGGACGGGAGGGGTAAGAATAGAATAGGCGACGTAGTTGCTTTTGGTGCTCCCAGCCATGTTTGTTACAGGCAGGCGGCGCTGTGTCGGGTGGAGGGACGGGAGAGGCTGGCATTCGTCGAGGCGGGCACAGTTTGGCTCGAAACACGCGCGCACTTTGCAGTGGGATGCATGGCCAACGGCGTCCACGAGGGACACCAGGCACGCTGTATGGTCTTGACGCGGCCGAGTGGCTGGGGACAAGTCATGATGTATCGCGGGTAGGCAGCCCAACGATAGCTGTCGCAGGTGTGTCGATTCACTCCTGTGCCCTTTGCATCATCTTCGTCTTCACTATACCCATCGTGCTATTGAACTAGGATAATTTTAATAATTCTAATTCTCCTTCGCCCACGCCATCCTCGATCTGCAAGGTCAACAAGCCTCACCTCGCCCGTGTTAGCGCCGACAAGGATTGCTGTTCTCCAGCCGTGACCCAGCCTTTCTCTCCACCACAGCTGGAGTTGGCTCCCACGACAGGACTGCCTCTCCACCAGCTCGAGCTCGACGGAGCTTCAGAGCCATTGTTACCGCGAGATAGCACGGGAGCTGTTGTGCTGCCCGGTCTGGTAAGTCCCGTGACACGCCATACTATTGAGTAGGTGTCTAACACTGGCTAGCCTGAACGTCGGCGCCAGCTCGCCATTGTCGCAGAGCGTCGCACGCCGCAGAGCTGTGCTGCACGCATTCGACCGCCAACTGGGCATCTCACGTCCCCGTTCACGACCCCCGTCCCGTTCACGCCCGCTACCACGGCGCCGCCCAGTCCGCTCGCACACCAACCCTCGCTGTTCGCGCACCAGCAACATCCAGGTCGCGCAAACGTAAACAGCCACAGTGCGGCCCTGCACCCACACCATCGCCAACATCATTTCCCTCCCATAACGTCCTCGAGGAAAACGGCGCCGGACATGTCTTCCGTCACGCACCCCGCCTTCTAGAATCTTTCAGATTCTACGATGGTTTTAGATACAGAACGACCTCCTCTTCCGGCACCTACTGAACCCTCGACTCTCGATTCCGCAGACGAATCCTACCACATAGACGAAATCAACACCGACGTCTCCAACCGCACCGACAGGACCTCCTACTCCGTCCCCGACGACGGCACCCCCATCACTATCAACACCACCTCGCCCACCAAGCCCCGCGGCTCCGCTAGACTCTCCCGCAAGTTCCCCTCGCAGACGTCGCTGCTCATCGAGTACTTCGATTCCGGCAAGGACGAAGGCCAGGCCGGCTCGCGAGGCAGCGTGCGCGTACGCGTCACCCCATCCTCTCGCAAGAGCAGGCACTCGACCGCGAGCGACAACGTCCAGATCACCCAGACCTCGGCCAAGCGCAACTCCCACGCGCCCTCGTACTCCAAGCGCCTCTCCCTCGCTACCAGCAAGTCGTACTCTGAGCTCTACGACACGCGCACCGTCGCCTACTCCGACCTCTCCAACATCTCCTCCCTGCCGCCCGTCGACATCGAGCTGCTGCCCAACCACAGCGACCTGTCTACCGACGGCGGCCGCTTCCTCCCCATGCCCTCGGACATATCGTCCATGCCCGCAGATAGCATGACAGGCCAAACAGAAATCCTCCCGCCTGCGCGGCGCAGGAGCCGAAGCATGGAACGGGACGCAGTCACCGAGTCCATGGTATCAGAGGCCATCCAGGACACCCTGAAGGCACCCCGCCACCACCGAAGCAGAAGTCTCAGCAAAGACCGCATCACACAGCGAGTCATGGAGA